CTGAAACTAAGAAGGCTGATCGCCGAAGAATGGATGCTTTTGAATTATGGTGCTGGAGGAGACTCTTGAGAGTCCCATGGGCTGCAAGAAGATCAAACCTATCCATTCTTAAGGAAATCAGCCCTGGGTGCTCACTGGAAGGACATATCCTGAAGCTGAGGCTCCAATACTTTGGCCACCTCATGAGAAGAGAAGACTCCCTGGAAAAGACCCTGATGTTGGGAAAGATGGAGGGCACAAGGAGAAGGGGACGACAGAGGACGAGATGGCTGGACAGTGTTCTCGAAGCTACGAACATGAGTTTGACCAAGCTGCGGGAGGCAGTGGAAGGCAGGAGTGCCTGGCGTGCTCTGATCCATGGGGTCACGAAGAGTCGGACACGACTAAATGACTGAACAACAACGAAAGAAGTTATTTATTTATTTTATTTCTTTATTAATTTTATTATTACTAGATTTTTATACCGCCCTATTTCCATAGATCTCAGGGCAGTTCACAACTTAATGGAAGACATGATTTCAGTTTCAAAGCAGTCTTCTATCCATGCACTGACCAGACATGCATTGGCTTAGCTTTTAGCAAGGTAACTGTGACATATCATAGAATCATTGTCATCTCATATCATACCATAGAATCATAGCTGGAAAGGACCTCAAGGGTCATCTAGTCCAACCCCCTGCAATGCAGGAACCCTGCCCACAGCCACCCCTGGGTGTCATATGTGCCTTAAGATCATATATTTAGACTAGAAGCTTCCTGGCACAGGGGCTGTCTTCCTTGTCTGCTGCAGACATACATGGATGGCACTGTGGTGGTGATGATCATCCTAATCTAAGATTTGGTTTAATCATTTCATTTATTCATTTATTCATTCATACTTCTAGCCCAGCCCATATCTAGATAGAGAACATACACACTGTCCAGTTAGAAAACTGATTCCATAAAACATATCCTTGAGTTTCACACCACTTCAAAGAGAATGATCTTAAGATTTCCAAGAGAAGCTCAGGCTGAGTTCTTGGTAAGACTTGAGGAGTGGTGATTCTATAGTGGTGAGAAGGAACCATTCCTCTGATGCTCAAATTGATGAGATGCAGAAGAGTACATTTTTGCTAGTTTATAAGAGATTATGCTGGGATATACGTAAGGAGACAGTCTTTTACAGATACTGGGGCAAATAGAGCATTAAGTCAAAACTAGAAATTTCAGTTGAGCCTGGAACACGAATGGAAAACCAACCAGTTTGCAGGATTATGTGTGTAACAGATGATATAGCATCAGGAGGCAGGCCCCCTGATCTGCTCCAGCTCAGCAGTCTTTAAAATAAGACCGACATGTGTATAATCTGGGCTAATCTGAACCTTGCCTATGCCTTAGTAAGAAATTTGGCCAGAATCACAAGGTTGGAAGAAGCTGAGGGATTAGCAAATCTAACCTTCCCATTGGATAGCAAACTATAGAAATATCACAGCGACGCAATTAACCCACACCAATAATTTTCCTAAAGGTGTCATTTCTTAGTCAGATTTATTGACAGCACAATATAATGCTCTTAAAACAAAGATGAAGAGGGTTAGAATAGCAGTGAAAGTGAAATACTAAACAAACTGACCTCTTTCAAGCGTAGCCTTTCATGTCTTGAGTTTGGAAGCAGTTATGCCATTTTATCAAGTACTGAGGAAAACACGATAAGGGCCTTATTTTCACCTTGCCGTTTGCACTAGTCATGTGACGGGAAGCGATAACTCCAATATGTATGTATATTTTTGCTCATTCTGTCTTGCTATCTTGGGAAGTTAAATATATTTGAAGAGTGTTTTTGCAAGAACTCCTTACTCTACTTTAAGTATACTCTACAATCTAATCGTTTCCCCTTTACTTCCTAGAGCAGCACTTTCAATGCTATTGAACAAATATATAGGTATCCAGGTTTGGTTTTTTAAACTCCCGAAGCAAGTAAGTATTATGGTTTGCAATAGACAATGTAGTACGTGGACACTTGCTAAAAACAGCATATTGTTTCAAAGACGTTTTGCTGCCTTTTTCAGTGCAGAAAGAAAATAGTTTTAATGGACTTCCTTGGTAAAGAAGCTCCTTAAATATGGAGTGATAGCTGAGATGCTTAGGGCTGTGACAGCGTCACACCCCATCAAAATTATGTCCATGATCTCAATGGGATAAAGAAGTGGTGACAGTTTCTTCGGATAAGATAAAGGTAAAGGGACCCCTGACCATTAGGTCCAGTCGTGACCGACTCTGGGGTTGCGGTGCTCATCTCGCTTTATTGGCTGAGGGAGCTGGCATACAGCTTCCGGGTCATGTGGCCAGCATGACTAAGCCGTTTCTGGCGAACCAGAGCAGCGCATGAAAACACCGTTTACCTTCCTGCTGGAGCAGTACCTATTTATCTACTTGCACTTTGACATGCTTCCGAACTGCTAGGTTGGCAAGAGAAGGACAGAGCAACTGGAGCTCACCCCGTCGTGGGGATTCAAACTGCCAACCTTCTGATCGGCAAGTCCTAGGCTCTGTGGTTTAACCCACAGCGCCACCAGCGTCCCTCATATAACCAGCCTCATATAACCAACATGATTAAGTCTAATTAATCATGCAGGGGTTAATACAATAGAGCAGTGTTTCTCAAACTTGGGTCCCCAGCCGTTGTTGGACTACAACTCCCATCATCCCTGCTAGCTAGAGATGATGGGAGTTGTAGTCCAACAACAGCTAGGGACCCAAGTTTGAGAAACACTGTCATAGAATAAGCTGTCCTGAAAGGCTTAGCTCACCTTGGGAGGGATTCGGTAATCAAGCCTTTGCTCCCAGCTCAGACCACATGATTCTTACAAGCCACTCTTGAGTCCTATAGCAATAATTTAGGGACTGTGCAACTTTTTTCTGAATGCTGTATGGAAAAGCACATGAGATCACAGCAATACCAGAAAGGTCAAGTGAGCATGGGTGTGTAGGCAAACGGCTTGAGGACCCAAGGATAAGAGGATCCTCATGTGCTGTGGGCTGAAGATACCAGCAGGAGGCAGCTCACTGTTTCTACAGCAGTGTCGCCACTAAAATCATACACATCTACACCCAGGCTAAGCCATTTTTTAGTAAGAAAATGCAGTGTCCAGTAGTGGCAGTTGTGGATCTGTTTGTCTCTCTATATGTTTGTTCATCTAGCTACATTGACTTCTTCAGTCAACCCATGCTGGCTATAGCAAGGATATGCCATCATCCTAGTGGCTTATGGAGAGAAAGTTCAAAGCAAATCAAGTGAGAATTTCTTCTCTATTTTTATTTACATTAGTTTGGTTTTTATTGTATTGTATGTTGAAAACTTTCAATAAAAATTCAGATTTAAAGAAAACACAAATCCAACACTTACTTGAGGTCCTGACTGAAAGCTCATAGATTCATCAGTGAAACACTGCAATATGCACATGAAGCAATCCAGCCCCAAGCCAAAAACAGCCTTCTAGACAGACAACCTTTTTCAGGCTTGCTAAATTCTAGGGTCCGTCCCCCCCCCCAACTTTCCCTTTTATCATCTACTTCTCTTCCCAGTGGCTATATATTTATTGTTATATATGCTTTTTTATCTCATTGTTTACTTAGTCTGAATAAATTTTTGTTTATATAAGATGCATGAGAAAGCCTGTTCAGTAGTTGTCCAATGACGTTTCCAACAATGGCACTTGAACTTTTGCTTTATTCATTTATGAGATATGCGTTAGGCACGTAATAGTATAAAATTCCAACTTGATTGAAAATATTATGTGATTAAAATGAACTTATGTTCTTAAACAAACATCTCAGTGGGAGGGTCTGAGGAGCATATTCAGACATAAGTAGATACAGATGTGCATTTTTCCCCAATTGAAAAGATTAGCCTGCAGGTGCTACTGAATTCATTAACTTCTCGACTGAAGACTCAAACATCAAGGAAACAGAAGCAGCACAGCTATCTGTTGATTCATACATGTTTGGAAGTGATAAATGTAAATCTCATACTCCAAGTCAGTTTTTAAATTTTAACATTAGGCAACAAGGGGAAAACTGCTAATAAGAAACCTTCCCAATATTGCAAGGTGACGGATTTATGAGCAGTTTTTCCTAACAGCTCCTAGCTATCATAGGCAGATGGAGCCTCCATGTTTGGGGGAATGTACTTCTGATGACTAGATGATAGAGTGAGCAGCAGAAGGTGAATATCACCATTAAATCCTAAATGATCTTTCCAGAGACATCTGGTAGAAGCACTGCACGGAATGGATCACCTTGGCCGGAACAAATCAGCCAATCCTGTAGTTCTTAATTGGGTCTGAAAATTTAACACACACTCTATAGGAAGAGAATAGGTAGGACATATATGGCTGGTGATTGAACATGACCTGAAGAATTTATAATCTGCATTGTTTCCAATATTACTTCTTCTAAAACAATGTTGCCTAAACTTGGGTTGTCAGCTGGTTTTGGACTACAACTCCCATTATCCCCAGCTAGCAAGACTAGTGGTCAGGGATGATGGGAATTGTAGTCTGAGGGGGAAACAACTGAAGACCGAGGTTTGGGAACACACCACAGTTCTGCTAGGATGACCAAGTGAAAAAGAGAACAGGGCTCCTGTGCCCTTAACAATTGTTCAGAATAAGAAATCTCAGCGGGTGTGCCGTTGCACCTGCTGACATTCCCTCTTCTGCCCAGCTATTAAAGGAGCAGAAGCCCCGCTTCCTCCGTTTGTACCCTAAATTCCACAGCCGTCCCTTTAATTCAAAGTCAGTGCGGGTTACTTCTGAGTAGACACGTCTAGGGCTGCCTGCACCTGCCGGTCCCTTCAAGACCAGCAATTGTCGAGGGAAAAGGGACTGATCACTGTACGTATTGTGGCCTGAGGGTGTAATTAGTCTGAAGGAAGGGCAGTGAGACCTGAGGGAGGGGAGTGAGAGGGGCGGAGCAATAACGGGGATTCGGGGGGAAAACACACTCGCGCGCGCGAGAGCCTCTCGCGAGGCTTCCCCGGCGGCGGCGGCGGCGCCGCAGCAACGACGGCGGCGGCTTCGCTCTTTTCTGTCAAGTCCGCCGGGCCGGCAGTTATGGCAGCGCTGCGGGGTCTCCTGAGGTGGCGTCGCTGCCGCCTCCCCAACGGCAACGACTCGGAGCTGCCTCACCGAAGGCGGTTGTGGGGTGTCAGGGCCCGGTCGCCGGGCAGCGGCGCGGCGCCGCTGAGCAGCTTGGGAGCCGCGGCGGCGGCGGGCGCTACCGGCGGGGCGCTCGCCTGGTTCGTCTGCCAGCGCTTCTACGAGCGTCGGCCGTCACCTCAGCAGAAGGGACGGAGCGGCGAGGCAGGCCAGGCCCGCGCGCTGCTGCCCATCCCTGTCGCGGCCGCTGCCAGGGATACGACGGTAGGTGTCTCCTCAGGAGGAGGGGCGCTCGGCAGAACAGCTGCCCTTAGGGGATGCTCTGTGCCCAAGCTCAGCTCCCGCTTCCCAGGCTGAGGCCGCGGCTGAGGCGGGCGCTTTACCTGTTGCACGGCTGCCTGCGCCTCAGCCGCCGGCCTGCAAGAGGGCGGGAGCGTCGTCGGCAGCAGGCAGCGCGCCCTTCCCCACCTGCCGCTGCCGCCGCAGCAGCAGCCGAGACTTCGCTTGGGTCAGCGTCTCCTGGCGCAGCTGCTGTTTTGCAAAAGGGTAAGCGAGACGAGCTGCTCCGGGGGAAATGGGAGCCGCCTTGCCAAGGATGCTGCGGCCTTGGCGGAGCTCTTCTTCCCCTTTCTGTTCTTGGCGCCGTCCTTCCTTGTCACCGCTTGTCAAGCGGAGCTGCTTCGTCGTGCAGTTTGCTACGTATTTCGCCTCCCCCCCCCCAAGTGGAGCCTGTGTGTGTGGTTTGTTTTGTTCATCCCACCTCTTTAGGTTCCCAGAGTGGCTTATGCAGCAGCTCCGTTGATTTTAAAGGAAAATGCAAAAGACAGCCTCTTTGGATGATCTCTTTGATGTTCCCACCAGCTGGCTCCATTACACCTGCACATGGTGGGATGCTTTGATTGACCTACAGCATTTGTACCTACAGCAAAATAGACACCATGAGTGTTTTTTTGTGTGCTTCTCCTTATGGGAAATGTTGTCTGTAGGAGGTTCATTGTTTTGAAATGGTCCTCCATACTCTCCACCACACTCTGACGATCAACATTTTTTACTTTAAGAAGGAATTTGACGATCAGCAAAGATGTTTGCCTGGAAGATTATTTTTGTTACACTTCTTCCCCACTGTTAGAAAGTAAAGAAAGGTTATCAAGTTGCCAGCTGATCTGTGCTACTCATTTTAAAAGCTTAGCAGCTAGTGACAGCATGTCCAGATTCTTGTCTATGTAGTAAATATGAATATGAGTACAGTACCCAGGGCAGTTTAGGAGTAGCCCTGTTGACATCACAATGTACTTGGTGATTCTTACAACAATAATGGAACTATTAATATTTAATTCAATACAGGTGTAACAGTGGCTATTGTACAGGTGTTAACATGATGTTTGTCAAAAGCCAGTTTTTTAATGTTTATTGATTTTACAAGAGAAGCAGTCACAATTTTGTGCATGCTAAATAAGGTGCAATCCATGTAATTGTAAACCCCAAGTTGGGCAGTTCAGACTTAGCATTTGTTATGTGGGCTTGTCTAGTATGTGGAGTATCAACACAGATAATCTAGGAAGGAGATTGTATTCTGCAATTGACATTAAGTTTTCTGCAATTGGCATATTATTCATCTATTTCATAAAATTTATACATGGCTTGGTTGTTAAAAATAAAACCCTCAAAATGGTATACAGATTATCATTAATGATCATTAAGACTAAGATATAGTAAAAAAAAAAAAAGCATCTTATAACTGTTACATCAAAACTAAGTGATGCTACTATAAAGAGCTACAAATCTACATTGAATCATTACTATCCCATTCTGACAGGAAACAATAATTTGAACTTGATGCTAACATACTTAACAAGAAATTATGGTCAAATGCTCACATCAAAGATCAAATCAAAGCAGAGCAGGATTACTGGAGGCACGCGCTTCAGTGAGTTATCCCAGTGACTTCTCTTTTGAAAGAATGTGGTTTGGCATTTAGGGGAGATGATGAAACATTTGATTCATCAAAAAATGGTAACTTCTTGGATTGCTTGACTTGTCAAATTCAGTCCTTTTCCATGTGCTCACATAAAGGTTCTAGTCAGCCATTATACTTATCCAAAACCATATGTGAAGAGGTTATCCAGTTGATGGCTAATACAGTTGGAGAAGCAATACTGAGCAACATCAAACAAGCAGGTTATTTTAGTTTATCAGTCAGTTCAACTCCTGGTGTTTCCCATGTTGATCAACTGTCATTGTTGGGTACGTTTTTCTAGAGGTGGGTTTTCTAGAAATGAATTTTTTTGAGCTGAAAGTTCACACTGGTGAGTTGATACTTAACTACGTCAGTGAACTTGAAAATAGATTTCAGTAAATGTAGAGGACAACCATATGTCAATGCAGCTAATATAGCTGGAAAAGTATAACGGCATTCAACAAAAAGTTCTAGAAAGGAACAAGTTTACAGAGTTTATTGCATGCACTGGACATTCCCTAAATCTAGTTGGACAAACCATAGTTGACTCCTGCCTAGATGCAGTGACTTTTTTGCCACAATAAAGGAGCTTTCCCCCAACCCAGCTTCTACAAAAAGATGGACAATGCTAATTCTTGTCTCTTGAGTCAAAAGTTACTCAACATTTATCAGACACAAGATGGGAGGCTCACCAAAGCTACTGCAACTATTAGTGAAAGTTATGCTTGCAATCATATTTAACTATGAGCTTCTGCAGAAAATGGAAGAATTTGAATTCATTTTTATGCTTCACCTTTGGACACATTTGCTAGACCAATTTCATAAAGTTAGCAAGATATTCCAAAGTTCACAAATTTCATTCAGCACATGTGTAAATATTTACAGCTCACTATTGCAGTTCATATCAAACACTCAGTCTAATTTTTATGAAAGTGAACAGCAAGTAAAATTTACTCTACTGGATATAAAGCAATAACTTATCAAAAGAAATGTCAGAAACAGACAGAGTACAAAAAAATACAGTGGTACCTCAGTTTAAGAACAGTCCTGTTTACGAACGATTCGATTTACGAACTCTGCAAACTGGAAGTAGTGTCCCAGTTTGCAAACTTTACCTTGGTCTAAGAACGGAATCCGAACAGTGGAAGGGCATTGGCAGCAGGAGGCCTCATTAGGGAAAGCGTGCCTCGGTTTAAGAATGGTTTCAGTTTAAGAACGCACTTCTGGAACAGATTAAGTTCGTAAACCGAGGTACCACTGTACCAGTGATGGGACAGAACCTGAAGCCTTAGATGAACTTTCTCCAAGAGACAAGTTTAGGGTATATTCATTTATCCCTGTTATTGATGTTCCTGAAGCCAACCTAGATAGAATAGCAACAGCGTACAGGAGTGCAGCTAATGAATTTTCATTTTTTGTGAACCCGCAAGTTTTCAAGGAACAGATTCACAATGGTGTTGATGCAATAGAATCCAAAAGATGCTGACCTTAGTCTCATCATTGAGTTCTTTCACCTGTCCATCAAACAAAGTCACCCTGAAAAAGAAAATTTCAGCCACCAAGATATGTGTCATATTATATTCCAGGAAAAAAATTGGACAGCTTTTCTGAATATGGAAGCAATTTTCAGATTGTTCATGTATTAATGTTTACAAGTTGTACTCGCAAAAGATCATGTTCTAGACTAAAAAGGATAAAGGATTATCTAAGGTCAATCATGTCCGGAGATCGGTTATCTGATCTAAGACTGCTCTGCATAGAAAATGATAAACTGTGACTTACCGGTTTTAAATATATAATCGATAAGTGTGCATCCAAAAGAGCTTGAAAGACACTGTTCTGACTTTGTATATAGTGCAATGTTGAATGGCTTCATTAACTTCCTAATTTTGTAAACTTATTAAAGGTTAAAAATTTATAAACAACCTTTTTATCAATGTTAAAATTTCACCAGTGTTCTACTTTCATGGAGTAGATAAAAAAGAAAGCGAGATTTGGTTTCTCATGATCAGATGCTATTAAGTTTGGGCCTCCCAAGGTTATATCTGGGTACAGCCTCATCTTGTTTTGTGGGTTATCACCAAACACATATGCATCAAGGCAGCATCATTGAGGGAGAAATGTCTTCAGCGCTATAGAAAAAGTGGTAGTGAAGAAAAAAATAGTGGCAGTAGCAATCATTCGAATTACAGTTGGTAAGACACTCTTGGCAGTTCTAAGTTTCTCTATTTGCTGCTTATCTTACTGTTTTTATTTTGTTTTTGTTTTGTTTTTTTTATAATTTTTTAATTGGTTTTTCACATTTTATAAAGACATAACACACACGTAAAAGACAAAAACAAAAAACATGTATAATTTCAAAAATCTTACTTTCTTAACTTTGGTCCTTGACTTCCCCCCACCCCCCCTTCATACATCCCATTTCCCATAGTTATGTCAGCAAGTTATTATTTTACCTCCTTACCCTGTTAATATTACATCTTTTGTAGAAGATTAAATTCTATCCTAAGTTGGGCTCAGATTCCCTTCCATCGATTTCCCATTTTTTTATTAAGCATCAATCATATTGACTAGACCCAAAAATCGTAAGTGTTTTTAAAATTCTATTTCCCCCCCTCCCATCCCCGGTTCGTCCCTTCCCAAGTACATTTCTACAATAACAGTTCTTAGCCTGGATTTCTCACATCCGAGGCCTTCAAGTCTCTTTCAGTCCCTCTCCGCCGGTTTTGTTGGTAGTCCTTTATGTTGGTCTTCGGATCTCGAAGGAGTTCTGTCCCAGTCAAGCCAGATTTTCTTCCCACAAGAAAACTTAGAGACAACTGCTGCAAAAGTTCCACCAGTCCTTCATATTCAGAATGGAGGCCCCCATCATATTTCTTCTTTCTTTTAAGTTCTTGAATTCCAAGTACTCCAGGGGCCTCCTCCTTCATCTTTCGCATCTTTTGCAGATTTGTAATCCATGTAATCCAAGGGTCTTCTTGTTTATAATCCACCTGTGTAGGCTTCTGGTTGGTACTTTCCATCTGTGCTTTCTCCTTTCCTTGTTTAGTCTCCTTCAATTCTTGAGATATCTGTTCCAGTTCAGCTGCAGATTTTTTCTCATTCAGATCCTCAATACATTCAGCAGAGCTGCTTATTCCAGAAGTCAAGGTCGTAAGTTGTTTATTCATAGCCAGACTCTGCTCTTGTAAAGTTCCCACAAAGTAACACATTCTTTCTATTTCAGCTAGTAAATTTCCATCCGCAGCCATTGTAATGTCTCAGAATTCCCTCTAGGGGGAATCTGGTTACTTAGTAATCTTTTCCCAACAGTCCTTTGCCTCGTTCTTTGTTTCTTTGTTTCGAACCACTTTAATTCAATTATATCACATTTAGTCCAGGGAGATCTTAAATAACACGCTTTTTTACTTTAAATTGCCCGTTTGACAGCTTTAACAGCTGTCAAACTCCTTTCCTCTTCAACAGGCTCAAAGGCAGGACGCTCCCGGGCCCGGAAGGGGGGGGGTTACACACCACAAGAGAAAAACTTCTAAAATTCCACTCTTACACTCCAGCTCAAAACTTCTTTTATCAAATCGTGAAAGTTAATGTCTTTTAACGCCCCCCAAAGGGGTAAACTCTCCAACTTAGTTCTCCTGCTATTGCTTTAAATCGTCTGCAGAAGGGGGGGGTGCGGACTTCCCTTTAACACACCCCCGGTCGTATCAAATTCACAAATAGATATTTTAAAGTCCGAATTCCAATCTACTCACGGGTTGCTTCTTTTCGAGTTCCGAATTTAAGGAAAAAGTCAGTGCTCTTCAGCCATGGCACACGGCTCCGCTCCGCTGGGGGTAGCGGTCTACTCCCAGCACCACGCCGCCTTCCGTACCCTCTCCGTAGCCTTTAAAAAGGCTCTTCGTGGGTCGGGGGGGCGCTTAAGGTGCCCACCGAGTCACCAGGTCCGCAGGCATCCGCGCCTGCGGTTTTTGAGGGTCTCCGCGTCGCCGTCGCGGCAAGACCCGTCCCCAGCGGAGCCGATTCCCTCCGAAGCTCGGAGAGAATCCGCCATTAGCTGTTCGCACCAACCCGGAAGTCGCCCTTACTGTTTTTATTTTGGCAGCATTCCTAATGTGCAGGTCTAAGTATGTTTATGAATTCCTGCATATTTAAGTTTGTTTACATTTCTGAAACATAACTTGCCAAAAGACTTCTCAGTTTTGTCACTGCAACAGACTGACATGGCTATGTTTCTGTTTCTCGTGGGGTCTGCATGTTGGAGAGTACAGCAGGGATGCATCCATCAGTCTACTTTGTTACATTACATCCCTGCTTAGGAAAAAAAAACATTCTGGGAGACAAGCATTTTTATAAGTAAAATCAAAGTGGTCTCAGATGGGAGCTAGGGAGTAGTATAATAAATATGCAAGAAGTACAGCCATTAGAAGCAATACTTGGATTCTTTGCTTTGTACACTTTAGGGTAAATTCAATGAAACTCTGGGAACAGAGAAATTGGAGAAATAAGAGTACCCAACCAGTAATGTCAGGAAGGCTATGAAGGGTTTCAGGAATGCTACTGAAGTAGCATAGTTAGAACACTTCTAGATTTCACATTGATACACCCAAAGGTATTGAAAAATCTGGGATGAAAGCACCTCTTCTTCTCCTAATCTGATATTCTGCCATGTTTATTCATTTTATAGAAATCCTAAAACATTTACCAGGTGCTTTATATAACCTATATAGATAATGAAAGAAAAAAGTTTAAGAGGGTGTTCTGAGCGAGGGTGAGGTAGCCTGATAAAATGTTAGTGAAGATACAGAACAGAGCTAGGGTGACTTCTCTGTGATTTGTAATAATCGTGGCAATTTTCAGCTGCGCTGGCTGAGGCTAATGGGAGTTGAAGTCCAAAACATCTGGCGGACATGTTGGTGGAGGCTGCAGTAAACCATGGTTTAGCGTTATGAGAATAAGTTTTCCTTCCGTTTAGGTTTACACGTTCCCCTCTTCTTCTCCAGCACAGCCCCATGGAAAAGATTGGAATCTTTCACTTCCATTTTGATTAACCACAGCCTACCATGCCATTCAGACTTAAATAAGCAATGGTTAGTGCAAACAATCCAGCTTCATAAACTATAAAGTTGGCTTGTTTTCACTAGGCATAAGATTAACCATAGGTTGTTTGGCCCTGATCAGTCAAGGAAGTTGTGGTTAATCAAAAGCAAAAGCTTCTTCCTCGCATCCATGCCGGAGAGGAGAAAGGGAAGTAAAATGATGGTTAGCATTATGTCCAAATCAACCCCTTGTCTTTTTATGTACATACAGGATTCGATAATAATATATAAGTACTCTGGTGAAATCCTGATCTGCTGATCTGAAAATTAAGGTCAGCTTTTTTCCTTGGATTTTTCACATTCACATGTGAATATGTAGGCAAGAAGTACTGCATTATAAGAATTGTAGTACAGTAGCCATACAAGGGACGTGGGTGGCGCTGTGGGTTAAATCATGGAGCCTAGGACTTGCCGATCAGAAGGTCGGCGGTTCAAATCCCCGCGACGGGGTGAGCTCCCGTAGCTCAGTCCCTGTTCCTGCCAACCTAGCAGTTCGAAAGCACGTCAAAGTGCAAGTAGATAAATAGGTACCACTCCAGTGGGAATGTAAATGGTGTTTCCGTGCGCTGCTCTGGTTCGCCAGAAGCGGCTTAGTCATGCTGGCCACATGACCTGGAAGCTGTATGCCGGCTCCCTCGGCCAGTAAAGTGAGATGAGCGCCGCAACCCCAGAGTCGGTCACGACTGGACCTAATGGTCAGGGGTACCTTTACCTTTACCTTTAGCCATACTGTAGAAAGCTGTCTGTGGACAAACACCAGCTCCCTCAGCCTAAAAACAAGATGAGCGCTGCAACCCCATAGTCTCCTTTGACTGGACTTAACCATCCAGGGATCATTTACCTTTTTTTACATGAAAGTGAATATATTGCAATACCACATAATACTGATTGGTAGAAGTGTGACAGCAATGACTGCTCCCCGCATAAAAACGGGGGGCTCCCTTTGCGTGGACGCGCGCAGCCCCTGGATCTGGAGCGGCTCCATCAGCATAGGCTTGGCTTTGCCTTCCCTCAGGTGGGATACCTGGAGGTCTCCGCCTACCTCAGTCAGCTGTCCAATCCCACCTGGGGGAAGCGTTGCCAAGGAGACCAGGCCAGGTAGGGGAGGGACTACCTGCCCACACAATAGAGGGAGGATCTTACCTGGGAATCCTCACTTGGCTCCAGAGCTTCTCCCACCCTACCCACCCTCAGTTAATGTCTTGTTTTGCAGGTTAACTTTTCTTCACAGGTTTGCAGGTTAACTTTTCTTCACAGGTATGCGGGTGCTGCTACATCAAGGTTGCTGTTAAAGGGCTGGAAAGGAATTTCCCTGCATTGGCAGGTTTCGCCTTTCCCATAGCAAAACGTCACAACTTTGGCGGTATCAGGCCTTGGGCGGAATCCTTTAGTCTATCTTCCTCTTTGCAGCGGCGATACCAGAGTTCCCCGTTGAAGGGAGGCTTTGACCGTACGCCAAAAGGTTGTCATTGCTCTCCCCTGCGGCGGCGGTGTAAGGGGGCGGCTATCTCTGCTTGAACATATGTTCTCCAGAGCCGGCCCATCCCCCCCCCCCACACACTGAATAACCCAGATGCTCCCTAGGTCCCCGGCTGGGGAGGGATAACACCCAATGCCTGAGCCAAGGTCTACCCACATTTGAAATTTAATAAAGTTGTGGCCAATTTAATCCCATAGCACGTTGTCTTGAGTCGTTATTCCACATGACGGGGGGGGGGGCGCTCGGGATCTGGGGGACTCCGCCTGTCCGCGCAATAAGAATTTTGGGTGCAGGATGTGTTTTACCATAAAGTCATTGAAAGTTTGGCAACTTTGTATGGTCAAATGTTTTTGGGAAAGGATTCTGAACTACCAGAACTGTGACGTTCCCCTTTTAAATTATGACAGAAAATGTAATATTATATATACCTACACTTTTGTGTTTTTAGAATATTTATATAAAATCCTGTAGTTAGAAATCACATAGCTGGACAACTAGTACATTCTGCTCCAGAGTTTGCTAAGTACCAAAACAGTTTTGTCTGCTTTGGGATTTTCCCACACTAAGAATTTGATGTTTAACCTTTTGGCCACCCAGCACGCAAACAAAATTATACCACTTTTATCTACTTGGGAGCATAGTATGTTAGCCTGAGGCCAAGTAAAGCACAGCTTTTTAAAAACTGTTTTCTTTTCCTTCATTTCCTTCATTTGTACAGAATCACACTAATTTCAAAGAAACTGACTTTGCATCAAGGAATGTGAAAATTGCTCATTTAAAATAAAAAGAAACGCTTTATAGTAAACTTTGATAAAAGTTGTAAGAACTTGGCTTGAAAATGGGAAGTGATAATTTCATAAGGATTTTTGTTTTATAGTCACAAAGTGTTTACATTTTTTATATTAAGTGTAAAATTCAGCAGAATAATAATCATTGCACTGTAATTTTGTGTCCCCTGCACTTTGTGCAGCAACTTTTCTTTCTAAAGGCTGAGTGCAAAAATACAGCTACTACCTTTTTGGTCAGAATGTGCTTGTTTCATAGTACAGTGATTTCAGTCAGAATCTCAAATGGATTATCTGTCCCACTGTGGAAATAAAGTACTGTATCATATACTAATTCATGGCACAATCCTATACTTGCGCAGGCTGTGAGTCTTTAGAATTTTGTAGAATCCCCACTTAGCCTCTGCAGCACCAGATACACCACAGTCATGACAGATAAACCAGTGTAATTCCCTTTATGCACTGGTATAGTTGTTCCATCAGCAAATATATGCCAGCAGAACATCTATATGCCATGTCCTATGCTCTGCCATCAATACAAAGCCACACCCTGTCAATGGCACAACTGTACATCAACACTGGGCAGAGCAGAAAGGATTTTGATTTCCCTCTGATTGACTTCAGTGGGAGCTGATTTTGGGAGCTCAGTGGGAGCTGTCACCACAACAGAGCCTAGGACAGGGGTAGGCAACCTAAGGCCCGTGGGCCAGATGTGGCCCAGTTGCCTTCTCAATCTGGCCCGCGGGCAGAACGGGAACCAGTGTGTTTTTACATGAGTAGAATGTGTGCTTTTGTTTCAAATGCATATCTGTGTTATTTGTGGGGCATAGTAATTCGTTCATTTTTTTTTTTCAAAATATAGTCCGGCCCACCACATGGTCTGAGGGACGGTGGACTGGCCCACGGCTGGAAAAGGTTGCTGACCCCTGGCCTTGGATATGTTGTAACTCAGCACACAGCTGCCAGTATGTAAGCCCCACGGGGGACACCACAACTCAGATAGTAGGGCATCTGGCTATACCTCTCTGATTCCATGTGATATACAGTGGTACCTTGGGTTAAGAACTTAATTCGATCTGGAGGTCCGTTCTTAACCTGAAACTGTTCTTAACCTGAGGGACCACTTTAGCTAATGGGGCCTCCCACTGCTGCCATGCCGCTGGAGCACGATTTCTGTTCTCATCCTGAAGCAAAGTTCTTAACCCGAGGTATTATTTCTGGGTTAGCGGAGTCTGTAACCTGAAGCATATGTAACCTGAAGCGTCTGTAATCCGAGGTACCACTGTACGCAGGGGTAACTCTGGTGATGAGAAACAATGGAGAAAGGGCACTTTGCACACAAACAGCTTGGCCTCACAAAACAGATAGAAACTTGAGCACATTGCTAACTCTTCTCTGCATCAAACTCTCACAAGTAACCCTGCCTTAGGACTGCAGGTGCTCAACAACTCAAATTCCACCTCCAAAAACGGGCTACCAGAACAGAGCGCCCCACACAGGTACACAAGGAAAGGTGAAAATGCATGCTAAAAAGTAGAACTTGTGTGACGTCTTTTTGCTTCTGCCTTCCCTTTGCCATATGTAAATACAGTGCCTTGTCTGAACTATGTATGTAACAAGTAAATATAAATATTGTGAATAAAAAAAAACTGAGAGAATAAAAAAAAATGAACTGGATCTTCAACATCCTGCCATGCTGCAACAACTGAGGTGTCCAGGGAGACAACCCACACATTTAAGCATGGGACACAATAGTTGTTCCATAGCAGTGAAAGAGCTCCAGTCTTCTGGATTTTCCGTGTATAAGACTAGGGTTTTTTTCCTAAAAAATAATGTCAACCATTAGGGAGTGTCTTATACACAGATACACCTCCCCTCATTTTCTTAAATCTGAGTCCCCCAAAATTGGGAGTGTCTTATACATGGGGGCATCTTATAGACGGAAAAATACGGCACTATGTACTTGGTATAAGATTGTTCTCTCAGACTTGTAAATGTTTTGACATGATCCATTGTGCATTAAATAAACTGCATGTTTTAATGATAAATAGAATGCATGGTTTATTGATAATGGATATATTTGTTGAGATGCTTTTCTTAGCCATTGTTGGCATTGGTTTCCATACAGCAGGTCTTTTTATCTTGTGTGCAGCCTTTTCTCAGTTGGAAAATGACAGTTTGGGGCTAATAATGGTCAGCACTGGATAAGAAGTGTTCTACTCTAGGCTCTGAACCTAGGACTTTCTGTGTGTGAAACCTAGGCTGTTTCATGGAACTAGGGTTCCTCCTCTATAAGTGAGTCAGAAGATAGGAAATGTCCAGTTATGTGTCCTTCCCCTATCTGTTGCTGTGGCTATGTAGCTCAAGAGCTGGTTTACGGTGTATCCGCTATGGGTTGCATTTCTGCTTGCTTAATTTCTTTTACCTCTATCTAACATAGATATTGCTGGTGGGACATGCAAAAGCTATGCTGGGTCTAGGTTCTGCTGCTACTCCTGGTGGTCCTTGAACCTGTTGTCTGTATCCCATCCCATTGCTCTATCCAGTGAGCTGATAGCATGTGCTCATGTCAGAAAGAATGCAGTTATAGCTTCTCTCATTGCTTGTCATAGGGCCTCCCTGGCAAAATTATGGCTATTGACAGTGCTTTTTTCTGGGGGGACACAGGGGGACATATACCCCTAAACATTTTGTGAATCTAAGTTTGGCCTCATTGAGGGGGGCAGTATTTCAGTATGAGTAGGAAAATGAGAGTACCCCAAATATTTTTTTAGAAAAAAAGCACTGCCTATTGCTATGCATCAGTTTGCTTCTTCAGTGCCTGACTAATACAGGGATGGGCTCTGTCATTGGTGGGACATTGAACACTGGAGGAGGAGCTGCTACATTGTCTGGTGGGGTGCTGTCATTTCATTCACAGTTTTTCTCTTAGGAGTCCATAGGAGCCTAACTTCTCTAGGCAGAACAGCAGAAGCCAGCTGTCAACATGGCAGGCCCATTGGATTGCCCTGCCTGAGGCAAGATTAGGATGCAGCAGAATGCAGACAAGTGTATTTGAATATTTACATTTTTTGGAAACATATTTTATTGGAATTCCAACAAATTACTGTAAATCACACAGGCTCTTCCAGCCTGGTGGTTTCTACAGCAGGTGTTCTGCAATGTGTTCTTCACACAATAATAGTGCATTGTTGGTGGATCTGTTTTGGACTTCCTTCCTCTTTATTACTTGCTCTGAAATGCTTCTCCAATGCCACTGTTGGACAAAAACCACCCCGGATCACCTGGGCTTTAAAAAGTTATGGGATTCCAACACAAGTTGCAGGTTATATAAATAGAGCAGTATTGCTGCCTCGCAACTTCTGTAAACGCAAATAGTGTTGAAAGTGGGATCATGGATGACTGCCCTGATGGCTGTATGAACACAAATAATCATAAATGCACTATCAAAAGGACATTAAAAGAAAGCTACAGCTGGGTTGATGAAATATATAAGTTGACAAAATGGTTTTTGAGCTTCATTTATATACGTTGAAAAAGTTAATAATATTGATATGCTTGGGCTGTTGTCCTGGAAGAAAGCAGGATAAAATTCAGCAGGACTTGCTTCCGATTAAGAAAGCATTGAATTGCTTTGTTCTGGGAAAAGTGACTTGATTTGGCGTCTGAAGTTGTTAGCTGTTTTCTGTCTATTGCTACAATGTTGAATACATAGGGTAATTCTTCTGGAAGGCAGGTTAAAATATTTCCAACATAAGTGTTTCCTATTCTGAGTGTGTATGTTTTAAGATGTAAATTTCAAAATAATTCATTGTAGTTAGCTTCCAGATTTCACATAGAAATACACATTCTCTCTAAAACCCACTTTTCATAATGGTAAGAAAATGCCTTTAATTAGAGATTTGTGATGGTTTGCTTGAAAGAAATGGCTGTGTCCAGTTTTGTAAAGGTGCTGAGCTATAACATGATACAACATCACTGTAAGATTGCCAAGAAGATTAGTAAACAAAAGTCTTAACATCTTTTGATAGGGATATGCTTTCATGAAAGTTTTTGAGGTTTGCCGCTAATTACTAGGAGATTTGGATCAGATAATCTCCAAAAGTAAGAATAGAAACTGGACCCTTATTGACTCTTACCTATTACCTCACCAGTGCTTTTGTCCTTTCCTGGATCTCATTGCATGGTGTGTCAGGTGTGATTTCCATTATGTTTTGTGAAAACGTTTGAATCTGCATGACTTGGGCACACTTCTGCCATCTTTGTTCCAGAACACCACACATTCATAGCAGCCCTAATACTTATACATGGTGGGAGGCAAGTTCTTTCTCTGCCCTGCTTTACAAGTTGCTTTATGGAGGGAAAGAGATTAGTTCCATTTAAACCATTAAGCCTGGCCAAAACAAGGCAGCATGATTTGTTGGCAAGTTTCCTGACTACCCCTTAAAATATAACACAGTACAGACCTTTTAAGGCACAGAGAGGGTGAAAACAGCACTGAAATTATTATTCTTATTTACGCGAGTTGGGAGAAAGTTCTCAATAATTTTCCAGGGATGGAATGGCTTACCATGCTAGATGTCAGCAGGTTGCAGTCTTGACACTGCTTCAAGCAGTGGTGGAGCTGCAATAAGCAACAGGGAAGTGGAAACAGCCTTTAAAATATATACTTATTTATTGCTGACAATCCTTCTGGAAAGAATGCTATGGCATGGCATGGTTCCCGGACTATACTCAATGAGGGATCCCACCAGCTGATGCTGGCCATTTAACTCTGCCACCACTTGAACTAACAAAACAATTTTTTTATGAAAGAAAGGCTGCAACCCTACTGCCTACTCATACCTATATCATAGATAAGCCCCACTAAAAGTAGGATACATTTCTCTTCCTGCCCCCTGCACACACCTACTCACCAAAAAAAAAAGACCAAAAAATAATAATTTCCCCACTTTTGCTGGAGATAAATTGCACCTTGAAAAGGAAGGAGGCATTTTTAGCTCAGTACTAAACCAAACCAAACCAAACCAAACCAAACCAAACCACAAACCCATTATGATAGGGCATAATAGTTGATATGTCCTCTGTAATAGATGCTGCTTTTATAGTAAAGTAATACAAGCATATGACTCACATTTCTTTCAGCTGTAGGTTTAAACTATAAGTGGGAGTTAAGAAAAGGAAATATATAGTCTATGATTAAAGAAACAACAACTGTGTTGTGGGATTGAAGGTGAGAGGGAGGTCAGCCAGTTAAAACTGTGGGGGAGAGCATTAGGATCTCTGTCAACAAAACAGCTAACACTCTCTTGGTTTCTTTTGTCTTTTTAAAAGGGCACAGAAAGCAGACCAGATCTTCAAGAGTTGGATCTTTATGCAACTTCCCGGGAGCAGCGATTTCGCATGTTTGCCAGTTTAGAATTTGAAGGGCAGCTCTTTATGACACCATATGACTTCATTCAGTCTGTTTCAAATGACGAACCAAAGAGTAAGTATAGTTTGTTGTTGTTTTCTGAGTGTGGTTTCTGAGTCATTCCAAATATGCGTTCCGCAGAACAATCTCCAGAACTTTATTGAGCTAGACTAGCATTTTAGTAAGAAGCCAACCCTCACCACCTGAGCACTCAATCTAGGTATGTGTGAATAAATACATAAATTTCTCTCTGTGTGCTGCTTCTATAACTGCCTTTGTTTGATGTTTTGATCAATTTCCTCTGCATCCACCACCAATGTGTTTGCTACACTGAATGTTCATATGCAGTCTTCCAGTTTTTTGATTAAAGCATAGCTTCCCTTTTGTGTGGGCTCACTTTAGGTATCCCAAGTATTTACAATTGTATATTGGTACTGATATTTTCAAACTTTAAACCATTGAGCTTTGTGAAATCAAGGGTAAAAATTTAAAATAGAAATAATATTGGTTTCATGGTCCCTTTTAGGCACACTAAAATTTACTATGCAAAATACTTTTAAGCTGATGTTATTGTTTGTATGATGCATTTTCCATGGGAAAACTAGTCAGAACCCTCTCCCTAGGGTTCTTGAAATCTAAAATAAGCAACAGGGAAAGCAACCAAAAGTAGGAGAGAAGAGACAAGAGTAGGGAGGGAGGAATATGATTAAAGAAGGGAATGAGGATTAAAGGGATAAGTCAAAGGCTGTGTGGAAAAGGTGGACTTTGAGAAGCAATTTGAAGGAAGAGTAAGGTCGCAAAAGTCATTTAAACAGTAATAACTCTTTTTTACTTTTTTGTATAGAAAAACTATTAACACTAAAGAACTGACTGGTAACTTATCTGCTTCTGGGCTCAATTTAAAGTGCTGATTTTAATCCTTTAAAGCCTTTACATGGCCTGGGATCCACAAACCTGAAAGGCTGCTTTTCCCTATATTAGCTCATGCTCCAATTGAGCGTAGGTCAGCAAGCATTGCTTGGTGTTCCATCATAGTGAAAGAGAAAAGTGGCAGTATGGGCCTTTGTAGTTATAATTCCTAAGATCTGGAAGCCTAAAACCATTTGCTTTTGAATATTTGGAAACCCACTTTTTCTTTTTTGCATTCTGGATAGGAAGTAAAATGTCTCTTTTCAGCAATTGGGGTTTGAATTTTGTTGCTTTTTGTTTTGTACATTTGGTTGATTTCTGTTCTGCTGTTCAGCCTGTTGAAACTGAAACTTGTGAATTACTACTACTACTACTACTACTACTACTAATAATAATAATAATGTAAGCATAATATAAAAGCAACACATTGCAGTAAAAGACAAGAGACAGTTCCAGGCTAACTTTCCTGGTCAAGGCATTTCAAAGGGGAGTGCTACCAATGGTGCAGTTGCGGCCAGACTTTGGGGTCTCAGTCTGGGGTCATGCAGTCAGGCATCACAACAGCAAGGGTGATTATGTCACCTGCCACCTCACCATTGAAGGCATGAGGATGCAAACAAGGGCTTCGAAATAGGTTTTCAGGTCTTGGGATGGTCATATTGGAGAAGGCAGTTCTTAAGGTGCCTGGATGAGTTTTTTTTTTAGTTTTTTTTTGCTTATTTAATAACCTGGTTTCGTTTCCTTGATTGTTGCTTTGATCTAACTGGTGTTTCTAAATTAATTGTTAGTTGTTTTGAGTTGCAGTCTAAAAATGGTTTATATAAACAAAAATGATAGGGTGGTATAAAATCTCCTGCGATTTTGAAACCTTCTCTAGTAGAGATGGGGAACTTGTGAGCCTCCATGTTGCTGTTGGACTTTAACTGCCATCTGCCCCACACAGCATGACCAATGATCAGAGATGATTGGAGTTGTAGTTCAGCAACACCAGGAGCGTCACAAGTTAGCAACCCCTGACCTAGCACCAGCTTAAAAAAATGACCACTATTTTGCTTTGCAGTAATAATCTGTGCAGCCAGTGCAGTCCCGGATTCTATCCCTGATGTCTTCAGGTAGGACTGAGGAAAACTCTTGCCTGAAACCTTGGAGAGCCAACGCCAGTCAGTGTAGACAGTGCAGAACTAGATGGAACAGCCATCTGCTCAGTCGATAGGACAGCTTCTGTGTTCTTGTGCTACTGAAAATTTTGTGTGAGTAATTATTTCTGTATTCATTTTAGGGACAAGAAAATGGAAGTCTCTTTCAAAACAGGTGAGCTTCAATTCTGCACAACAAAGAATTAGGATTTGCCTCAATGTGTGTAATTGTTGTATGTGTACTATCTACAGTTACTTTATATTTTGAGAGGAATGTCTGAAGCACTTCCCTTTGCTTGAATTGTATTAATAGCTCATAGGTGTGAAGAGATTGACATTAAAGTATTCAGTATTGGGTGAACTGGTGTGGTGTAGTGATGAAGAGTCAAAAGCTGAGGGCCCTTCTTTCAATTCCCAGCTCAGATGTAACTCAGATTGGTGACTTTAGGCAAGCTGCTCCCTCATTTTCATTTTATGGAGATGATAATGCTAGCCAATTCATATTGTTGATGTGAATGATGTGAATGCATATTTTTATTACAGTCGTACCTCGGAAGTTGAACAGAATCCGTTCCGGAAGTCCGTTTGACTTCCGAAACGTTCAACTTCTGCTCCTGCAGCCAATCAGAAGCCGCAGAAGCCCCGTCGGACGTTCGGCTTCCAAAAGAATGTTTCAAAACCGGAACACTCACTTCCGGTCTTTGATCGTTCAGAAGCCAAAACATACGAGTTCTGGGGCGTTCGAGAACCGAGATACAACTGTATATGTAATCTGCATTCCATCATTCTACTTTATTAAACGTTTGCATGCTGTTATAACCTAGACTTTCCAGTATCTTGTACCATGGGATTTAATCCAGTTCTTTCTTCTCTGTAGTGTAATATGGTATATATCTACTAAGAAGTAAGTTCCATTGAGTTCAAGGGTACTTGCTTTCAGGTAGGTTTGTAGAGGATTGCAGCCTTATTGAGCCTTTTTATCACATAGATAGTCGACTTTCTTTTAATTACTGTTTTACAGGAATTGAATCAAATACTTGTAGAAACTCCACCAGTTTGGAAAGGGTCGTCAAAACTCTTTCGTAACCTCCAAGAGAAAGGTACAGAGGAATATATGTCTTCTAGAATGTGAGATTCCAGGAGTTCCAGGTTCTTACCCAGGCTTTGTGTTTCCTTTGAAAATGAGGCACAGCGGAATCTGCAGTGTCTTTAGGATACGTGGTTTATTTACACTTATATGCAACCTGAGCCTACAATGGAGGGGATCACAGCATCAATACCCCAAAATGGGTCTTGTTTCTCCCATAGCTGAAGCCTTTGATTCAAGCAGAAATCAGGCATGGCTTTTTCTGTTGTTTTACAGCCTCTATGTCACATCATAGCAAACTCTGCCCTCAAATTCCCACTTTGTGCTACAACTGATTCTTGAATTAAGAGAGGGGCCCCTCTCATTTGCTGTCTGGCACAGAGCCCCTTCTCTTTCACTTCCCTAATGGCTCATCACCTTCCTTTTGTTTTCCTAATGGCCCATCACTCCAGGTGATTTCCTCATCAGGAAACTGGCCTGCCTTATATTTTACCATGGGCTGAATTCCGTGTCTGGCACCCAGAAACTCATAACACAGGGGAATCTGGCACCCACAAACTCACAATAGTATTTACCTTAAGCCTTAGATTGCCCTTTACCTTTTTAGAATCTTCCCTCACACTAGCTATTACTGTTTTGTGCTGATTATATTGCCACCTCAATAACTTGTACCTAAACGAATAGTACTGCCTTCAGCAGACTGAGCTGTAATTTGCCCACAGGATTTTTCTCTGTTGCCTGCAACCTTTCCAGAATCTCTCTCCCAGAACAGCAAGAGCAGTCATCCAGAACTATCTGTCTATAGGATTCAATATACTAGTACTGACAAAAAGCAGAAATGTGTTCAAGATTTCCTAGATAGCTGTGTTCTTGTCTGCCTGACCTACTTCACAAGAGCCGCTTTCATTCATTGGTCTCCAGTAAAGTGACTTAAATAGAACATTTTAAAGTCAGGGGGCCTTTGTGTGTGCAGGCCTATCTAGCCAGGGTAAGCCCTGCCCTTTGGAGGCAAATGGTCTGAAGGAGAGTGAACAACATTGTTTGTGGTGCAATGAATAAATAGGATGAATAAGCATGATGTGGAAAGATCATTAATCGTTAGGTGACTGAGACTTTCAGTGAAAAAAATTAAATGCCAGAAGTGTGATGGCTTAAATGAGCAGGCTAGATTAGTTGTGCAACTTTGACTTTTTTATTTTTGTGGCAGTGAGCATATGGGAGGTAAAAGAAAAAGACTTTCTAACAGTTGTCAGATTTTGCAATCCACTTTTGAGGGTTTGGAGTGTTGAGCAATAAGTTCATGTGGTTCATGCTCTTTTAAGCTGAAATGTATGTTAAGTTTCAGTACACTTGAATCTGGGCAAGCATGTTGCTTTCTTTCCAAGTAATTTATATAAAAGGTATTTGTAATAAGGTGTTGAAATTAGTTATGACAGAGGCATTAATAAAGAAGAAAAATGTGATTAGGCAGAAGTCAAATCAATGTAACTCATTTTGAGTACTTACTTGCCAAAATAGTGTACTTTAAAATTTGATTTGTATGTTTCTCTAAAGAAGCAAAATTCTGTGGCGGGAGAGGTACATCAGAGAAACAGAGGGGGAAGGTTCTTATGTTCTTAAATAAATGGTTATATATCTAGCATAACTCATTAGCCAAGAGAGGCTTCTTGCAGATGAAGGAGTTCCAGTGTGTTTGTAGAGTTGCCATAGAAAGGGACTATGATATGGGCAATCCCCCATTATTTACTCTATGGCTATTAATCTATGACTGCAGGAATAATTTAAGTGATTTGTTGCCTTGCTCTTTTCAGGTGTGATTTCTTACACAGAATATCTGTTTCTATTATGTATCTTAACAAGTAAGTGTTCAAAGTAAAATTTATATCCTATATTTGTACATTTCATTCCATTTGATGCTCATTAAAATAAGTCAATATTTTTGTGGAAGGGGAAAACTCATAATTTGCAATTTGTTCTTATCTGCCCATGATGAAACATTACTGGAATAATTCAGTACAAAAGTACAAAAGACAACTTAAATCACTGTCCTGGAAGCAGTACTGAACATGTTCTTTTCCATATTCATTCTTCTGATAAATAAGTCTGTTACTATTTCAATCGGTTACCACAGTAGAAGTGGTAGGAGGCAATACCAAAATAAGTTTCAACGTCTTCCTTTCAATCCCAGTTGAAGGGCTGGTTCCAGTACATACGTGATACAATCTTCCATGTGACTATCCCATTTCAACTTAGAATACATGTGTGGCATTTTTTGTTTGAAAGATTCCCATTCCTCAAACTGATGCAATACACCCCCTATCTAAATGAATGGGGTGCTGCTGTCAAAAACTCATTAGTGAACTGCTTTCTAAAATTGCATGTTACCGTGGAGGTTCCTAGGAATTATGTGAAGACCTAAGATTCCACCTCCTCTGCACAACAGCCAAGGGTCCTGTCATGAAATAGTGCTGCAAGAACTGATAAAAAACACCAAGTTGGTACGTGGTCTTTATGATTTGAGCAAGGGTTTCCAGAATGTGACCCATAGACCACAAGTGGTCCATGAACTTCATTTAGCTGATCTGCAGTGGCAAATCTACAAAGTGACATAGCTTACATGTGTGTGAAGACTCTCAATACTTTTCAAGTGGTTGGGATGGGGTGTTGGTTTCAGATTATAGTGGTACCTTGGGTTACATACGCTTCAGGTAACATACACTTCAGGTTACAGACTCCGCTAACCCAGAAATAGTACCTCGGGTTAAGAACTTTGCTTCAGGATGAGAACAGAAATTGTGCTCCGGCAGCGGGAGGCCCCATTAGCTAAAGTGGTGCTTCAGGTTAAGAACAGTTTCAGGTTAAAAACGGACCTCCGGAACGAATTAAGTACTTAACCCGAAGTACCACTGTACATGGCCTTGTTGCCATGCTGACTGGAACTGGCCCACAGCTATGGGTCAAAGTAGAAACCAAACATTATGTATGTTTAAACACAAAATTGTCACAGTCGTGTAGTATATGTCTGATTTTAGGCAGTCTGATTTTAACAGCAGAAGTGAGGTGAACTGAACCCTGTCTGCAGCCCATCACCCCAGGTGTATCCTTTTAAATTGCTTTACTCTGTTACACCTTTCCCCTCTTTTTTTTCCTTTGGCAGAGCCACATGCTGGTTTTCGAATAGCTTTCAACATGTTTGATACAGATGGAAATGAGATGGTGGACAAAAAAGAGTTTTTGGTGGTGCGTATGTTATACATTGCCCTTTTACCAGCTTCTTAAGGGTGTGTTTGTTGTATTTATGTATGTCGTAGCAAAAAACTTTTAAGTAAAAGTTGTGAAATTGTAAATCGGAGGGAAATCCCTCTGATTCAAGAGTCAGCAACTAGATTGTCCGAACAAGCCTTTGTATCCCACCCTCAAAGCATGTACACTCTACAACAATTTGTTTCCCAGTTACTCATTGTGACTTTTCCCAGGTGGATACTCCAGCTACAGTATGTGGCCCCACTATGAAAAGGGGGCACTAAGGAACCATGTGGGTGGTTACCTAGCAACCATGTGCATGGTACACTCTTGTGGTTGTGGTGATAAAGCAAACAGCACATGCTTCACAGAGGAGGTGAAGTGTGTGGCGGAGGGGGGAGAGAGTTGGGAAATGTGGGTGAAAAGAGAAACACTTGAGACTGAAAAACAAGCAAGAAGGTAAAAAGAGAGAAATGAAAATGAGAAATTTCTCCTGTTTTTCACAGATTGGATAACTACATGGTGGGTACCACCTAGTTAAGCTACAATCCATGGTAACAGTTTGGAGATGTGGCAGTTTGGAGATGGAAAGAAGGGGTTGTTGATCATTACATGCATGGGTATTATAATATCAGTCATTAAGGGAGAAATGACACTGTGCTGTTGTTTCATGAGTTGGTTATGCAGTAGCAATATGATGACAACAAATGAAAACTTTTTTAAAAAATCTCCATGGCAGGTTTGGGTAATCTTTGACCCTCCAGATGTTGTTAGAACTCTCATCCTGTCCATTGCCTATGCTTGCTGAGGCTGGTGGGAGGTTGTAGTTCAGCAACATATGGCGCACTACAGATTCCCTACACCTGTTCTATGGTATAAGCCTTGTGAATTGTGATCAACCTTTCGGAGCAAGAACCACACTACCATCTGTGTTAGAAAAGACTTTACTAAAAAAATAATAATAGTAAAGTATGAATGGGCAAAAATCCTTAATATCTATTCTAAAGAAAAACTGAGTGTTTAATATGCCCTCAAGCTGCTATTTTAACATTCATCTGTAATACTAGGAGTTACTGAAAGGCCAAGCAGACTCTTAAGTGAGTTCTCATGTAAATAAAACCAGTCTAATTAAGGCAATAGTGCTGCCCTTTATTAGGTCCCATTGCATAAAGAACATGAAACGTGACAAGGAAGAGCTTATAACACCCAGTTTTTCCTGTATACAACACCACACCAAAAATTATCCAAACCAAGTCATCAAATGCTTTACAGACTTTTTTTTATTTAAAAAATCCTGTTTGCTTATGTCATAGGTTTGAGGTCAGAGAACAGAGGGATTTTGTTCCCTTGATACAAGAGATGTTGTTTTGTCCTTTCTGCTTTCAACAGTCAATCCCATTATTTTGTTTCAGACAATGTTCCTATGAAAAGTGCTCTCAGATTAATTCATGTTCACTGTCGTACTCTTTGGTATCCTGTAGCACTTCTTCTGCACAAAAGGTTCATTTCCAGAAGATCAAATGAGCCTTATTGATGAGTGCAACAAGATCTTCCTCCCCGTATCTGGTGTAGAGGAAATCAAAGCATGAATTGGAGGTTTTAAAAAAGATCTTTCTGCTTTTTCAATTACCAACACTCTCCTTACCATTTCATGATGGATTGACCTTACTTTTTAGTTTACGCCAATCTGAGGTATTTCAAATGTTCAAAAAGAATATATTGTATAGTCTCCTGGGACTGTGCTACTTCAGAATGCAGATGGGGTTTTGCATGTTTGAAGGCTTCCCACATTCTCTGTGCTTGGAAAACTAATATGCCAGGAAGAAGTCTAGGCTAGATCCTTCTCCCTAAGGTAATAGCTTTCTATATGTGGGAAATTTTTGATGAAGGGAACAATCAAACATGAAACCTCATCCTGCATTCTAAAGTTGTAAAATTCCAAGGGGAGCAATATTCTTTTTCTGAGCATTTGAATTGGCTCTATGGCTCATTATCTCTTCATGGAGTCACAATTTGCAATGGAGGCTTGGATTGGATTGGATTGGACCAGTGAACCATGCTTTGGTGGGCACATTCAGGTAGCTTTATTATTGGAGATAGGTGCCTATCAGTCCAAGTATGTAAGGAGCTATAGATCATGTTAGTCTAGTTGCCTGCTGATAACAAAATCCACTGCAAAACTTTCAGCTCTGTTTCTGACTACTTAAATTGTATCTGTTGCTCAATCTCTCCATTGGTTTTTATGGTGTCTTTCCTACATACACAATTGCACAGATAGCACACAGCGAGAGTAGGATAAGTTTGTGTCAATTGGGACATACATCACAGCATTGCACTTGCTTCTATGTAGAGATGAAGGTGGGACTCAGGAGGAGAAAATGTGTATTAAAAACTCCATTATGTTTGTTAAAAATAAGTTTAAATATTAAGGGTACAATCCAACAAAAGTTAGTTGCAGATAAGCCTCACTGCATATAACTTTTGTTAGATAGTGCCTTGAGGCATTAGTGTGTGATGGCTTTATGTCTGTAAATATCCTAAGACAGAGGAACGACTGTAGGGAACACAATTGGCTTTTTTTGCAGCTGCAAGACATATTCAGAAAGAAAAATGAAAAGAAAGAAAGAAGAGGAGATGAAGAGAAACGTGCTATGTTGGTAAGTATTGATGAAAGAAACCTGTGGACTTTCTGGTTTTCTTCACATGATTATTGGAGCTCTATTATCTCAGATACTGCACAGAGAATGTTAAGTTTACAGTAATAATCAGAAGTACATATTTTCTATTATGATGAACATATAGCTTCATTCTCTGAAACTTTAACTGAAAGTGAGACATTTAGAGAGAGGTAGGAGTACTGGTATCCCAATCAAAGAAATGTAAAGTCATTCATAAGAATGGGTAGAACCACTGGGTTCCACTCTGCTAGCTGTGGCAGTGATCAGAATTATTTTAATTCCATTCCACCCCAACTTTTGAATGTTTAATGAAAATCGTTCAGGCTTGCTACACTCAGATCCAGCAAGGGGAAGAGGAAAAAAAACACCAGTCTTTGGATCAGAGACTGCTGGGTGCAGAGGATTCTGATCTAGCAAGTCTTACTGTTCCTACTTTCTCTGCATCTGAGGACACATCTCCTAGGATGTGGGTGGCACTCTGCATCCCTTGACCAAAACCTTCAGATTAGTGAGGGAAAGGTAAAAACACACACTACATCACTAGGTCAGAGTCATTCACATGGGAGGGGAGGGATCTTGCACAGCCCAGGGGCTGTGGTAGACCTTCCTATCTCATAAGCCCACCCCTGAAAAGGCCTACACCAGATTGTGATTACTACTGCCCTGTTTGGAGAAGGCAATTGAGGACGTTGTAGTACAACAATTACAAGTACCCTTTGAATGAGACAGATTGCCTTAACCCATTCCAATCCATTTGCAGAGCCAGTTGTGGGACTTAATCAACCTTGATTGCCCTGATGGATGACTTTTATTGACAGAAGGAAAGGAGGAGGTCAACCCTGTAATCATTACTTGATATCACAGGGGATTTGATACAATTAACCATAGTATCCTCGTGAACTGACTTTGTGAGATGGGCATTGTGAACACTGTTTTACGGTGGTTCTGGGCCAATCTCCAAGGTCAGTTTCAGAGAATAGCATTGAGAATATATTTTAGACACCTGTCAGTTGTGCTTGTCCACAATGATATTCAACATCTATATGGAGCCATTAGGAGATTGGGGGCAAGGTTTCAACAGTATACTGATGATACCCAGCTGTATATCTCTGTAACATCTGTATCAGGAGAGGCTGTTCAAGCCCTAGGCCTGGGGGTGGGCTGATGGTGGACCAACTGACCCTGAATCCTGGCAAAGCGTAGGTGCTGTGGCAAGCAGCTCTTGAGTCTGGGTAATTGGTCAGTTTCCTGCTTTGAATGGGGCCCTGCTTTCCCTGAAGGAGCAGGTTCATAGTCTGGGGGTGCTCCTGGATCCATCTTTGTCACTAGAGGCCCAGGTGACCCGAGTAGCTAGGAGTGCCTTTTTCCAGCTTCAGCTGCTAAGACAGCTACAGCTGTTTCTGGACCAGGATTGCCTGACAGCTGTTGTTTATATGCTATAGGGATGTGGGTGGCGCTGTGGTCTAAACCACTGAGTCTCTTGGGCTTGCCAATCGGAAGGTCAGCGGTTCAAATCCATGTGACTGGGTGAGCTCCCGTTGCTCTGTCCCAGTCATGTTGGCCACATGACCCGAAAGCTGTACAAAGGTATGCTGGTAACCTGTAGATTGGACCTCTACAATGCACTTTATGTGGCCTGTCCTTGAGGTGCAAAATGTGGCTAGTGCAAAATGTGGCAAATAATTGTACAGATTGGCAATTAGCGATGGAGCTGTTTTCAAGGTGCTGGTACCTTGAAAAGCTCTATACAGCTTGTGACCAGGATACTTAAAATATCATCTCATCCCTTACACACCCAACTGATCACTGTACCCTGCAGAAAAGGACAGCCTGCAGATACCATCTTATCAGGAGGTCCATTCCACATCATGTCAGAAGCAGGCCTTTAGTGTAGCGGTACCCATCTTTGGAACTCCATTCCATTACATTTCAGACAAGTGCCACTGTTGTTTTCTTTTCGGCACCTGTTGAAGACTTTTAACAAGTAGAGTTTTTTTAAATCCCCATCAGTCTGTGAATTTATTTGAAATTGTTATTATATATGTAATTGTTTTGTATATGGTTTTCATTTTATTGTGAAATTGCTTCAAGATACTTCATAGGCAGCAATTCATAAGGGGGGGGGCGGATAAGGTGCTTGAAGAGGAGGCAAAAATGATGTCTTCCCTTGTTCTGGTTTGTTATTTCTAGAGCAGCTGCAGAACCAGCCAAAAAGTGGTTCCTACAGAAAACTGGGCTTACTACAGCAATGCTTCTGCCCTGTTGGAATCCTGGTTTCTGTTGGAATTCTGTTGTGGGTGGAACTCTGTTCAGTCGTTCATTTTTGATAATCCTATTGCTGTGGTGACAATAGTTTGTTTTGATGACCTGCTTTTTAAAAATCTTAAGAACATTTTAATTTTAAAAATATTGTTGAACTTGTTTAATTTTAAACAAAGACTTATATTTAAGTAAAACTGTATTTCATAACAAGTACAATGGAAGTTGTTATGCCCTAACCTACTGTTATCTTTTCTTTTTATCCTGGCTTCATTTTGAAATGCAACTCTTCATTTCACTCTTCTTTACTATATCAGCATCTCCAGCTTTATGGATACCACAGTTCTACTAATGCTGTATGTACTCTAAATGTATTATACTTCTGAAGTATTAAATCTATGTGAAAGCAGCATTCACTACAAGAAATGATACACAGCGTTAAATTAAAACCAAAATGTTCAGAGTTGATAAGAAACTGTTTTAAGGTTGCCTGGGGGGAAGCCTTAGGTAAGAGGAGAGGATGCAGCTGTGACTTTTTACCAGCACCCTCACCAAGAGGACTCCAGTTTTACTCTATAGCTGATTTGGAAGGAGGATCAATGAAGGGGTTGGTGGAGGAAGCTGGTAGAAGGTGTAACACTTATTTGTTATTTCACTGCTGCAGAACTTTTAGAGGGGTGGGCAGGATCTTTCATTTGTAAGCTGAGTCAGTTTTATACTGAAGAAATACTTGGCCATTTTTTTTTTATATAGCATATAGGCAAAGTAGAAGCACGAGGGATCACTGCCTCAATAGGTTCTTCATTTTTCAAATCCCCGGTAGATCAGACTCTCTGACTGTTCACCAAATGCAAGCTTTAATCCTCACACTAGATAATAGATTTTCCTGTTTTTGTTGAGCTCACCATACCATTTAGGGTAGATAAGGTTATTTTGATAGGATTTTAGTACTAGGGGCAGGAGTCAACTAATGGAAGCCCTGTGCAAGGGCTTCTGCAACAGGGATTTTCCCTTTCCTCCCTTTTACATTCCCTGAAATTGGTTCTGGAGGGGTTGGGAGCCCTTTAGCAGCAGCATGCAGGGAAAAAGGAGGAACCGTTCTGCCTGACAAGCTTGATTAAGTTACAAGAAAAAATACAGGAACTTGCTTCTGTCCTCCCCCCGCCCCCCTTTTCTTTCATATTGTGAGTTACTTCTCTGGTGCATGGCCTGGCGTATGTATTTCGCATGCACTGCATGTGCCGCATGACTGGCTGAACTGAAAATGTCACAGCTGATGACTTTAGTATAATCTTTTATGGAGATGAAGCATGTATAATGTAAAAATACTAACATCCTTGGTATTGAATACAGCAGATAACATCAAGTATCAAGCTAGTTAGCTAGTATTTTTACAGTATATTCACACATGCACACACATACATTTCCTCTCACAGAATTATTCCTGGATTGGGCTTTTCAAGCAAATACATTTTAGGAATGGTACCCCAGAATTGGATACCGTTTTCCTTGTTTCACTGTTCAGACAATATAATATATTTGCCTGAGAATCCCATGATAAGGATTATGGCAATGAGTATTTGTCTCGCAATTACCTCCATTGGTCCATGAGTTCTAGGCACTGGCCTGAGAAGTTTTTCTTTTGTCCAGTCACTTACTCAGCCCCAAGTTGAAATGGAAAGATACTGTACTACCATTTTGTTGTGAAGCCTTCCTTGACTCTGCTAAACAGATTTTATTTGAAAAAAGTGCATTGATCACAACTATAGGTCACAACTATAGAACTATTTATGTCATGGATAAGACTTATTGTGAAGGTTCTCATCTGTAGAATTTTAGGTTTAACATGTAAATGATGCAAAATTAAATATGTGCATGCTTATGAAGCAATCCACATACCATTGAAGCTAATGAGAAAGGTATTTGCATGTACTATATAGATTAAGATTGGCAATCACAGCTACATGAAAATATATATTAATTTTGTTTCTAATGTATTGATGCAGACTTCAAAACTCTTTTCTCTGCTGCTGGAATTAGCCATGAAGTTAAATGCAGTGTAACTTGGTAAAGCGAAAGCTAAAGAATACTATTTTAAAAAACAAAAACAAAAATTCTTGTGACACTTTAAAGGCTAACAGATTTATTCACAAAAGTTCCCAAAGTTTTTAACCATAATAAATTCATTACTCTCTAAAGTGCCACAACAATCTTGGTTGTTTTTGCTGCAATAGACTAACATGGCTGCTCCTCTAGAAACCTTTTCCCCCCTAGTCTTTCTTCACACTTGTTTATTTCCTGAAATCTAAGTTTAAAAATGATTAATATCTAGGTTTAGCTGCCAGCACATGGCTGCATAGATGTATGTCCAGGGTCCTGTCACTCCTGGGTTCACAAGATTCTCCACTTTTGAGATTCATTCAATATCTTCTCCTCACCCCTTAAAAGAAGAATCTTGGTTCCGCCACCTCTGCTGCAGCACCTGAAAGATTTGGAAGAGAAGAAGAGAGCTCAAGATATTTTTGTGGAAAATGCTTACACCTTCATTTGCCACTTTGGCATTACCCAAAAGTTGTATGAGTGCAGTGACAAATGGTTTTTCCTGTCTCAGTATATGAATGATGCCTCTGAGGATTGAGTCAGCATTAAGAGCACTTCCCCTTGTACCCAACTCTATGATATCAGTCAGCGTGGAAGGAATGAGACTTTAGAGGATCTGATATTCGCCCCCACATATTAAATGCATTGACAGCCTGCTACATGCATCTGCTTATCCCTTGAACCAAAGGCCATCAGGGAACTGCTCATCATCCTTTTGTAGTTGAGGGACGCATAACCCCCATCCTCTGTAGTCAACATAACTCTTCCTCAGGACACCCTCCGTCAGGAATAGCACAACTGCTACTATCTGCCAAGGACATTCATTATTAGGTGTGGGATGGACGCAACATTTGGACGTGGCTTCCCAACCATTTCTACATTCTGCTGCTTACATATATACTACGCTACAGGGTGATTCATAATAAAGTATACAGTTTCAATGCACTATAAAAAAAAGAATGTAATATATCTTATGTTACCTGTAACAGAATTGTAGGGGAATGTTTCAAGTTTTTTTTTTTTTTATAAACTGTCACAGATGTTCTATGTGTGCACCCTTTGTCACATGACACACATCGAACTGGTAATCCGTTGCTGCCCAAACGCGACTCATCCTACATTTTGATTTTCCCAGGCTTCGTTGAATGGCGGTGCAAACACTATCAACGACTTCTTCCGATATACACAGTCATCCAGGACTTCTAAGTTTGCACAAACAGACCGTAGTTTCAAAAAAAATATGCCAATCATAGATACATTTTCTGCTTGGAGGTTTTTTTCTGAATCTCAGAAAATGCCATCGCACAACAGTTTTGCTGTTTTGCTCAAATCAAGAACACAAAAAGGCCTTCTCCACTGTACACACAGCCATTTTGCCTGACTAGTCACATGACACGTGCGTTATCGCCTATGTCACTTCCCTCAGTAGCAGAACACAAACTTTATGAGTACATCTACCTCACGGTTCACAGTTGTGATCCGTGTTGTCACCTGTTACTGTCTTACAGCATCTAGAAACTCTATACTTCATTATGAATCACCCTGTATATTTAATGTAAATGGTCTTAGGTACAAACATCAGCAGCATAATCACAAGTCACCTTGAACCGCTTCACTGTTTCTACTTCTGAATTTTGCTATGGAATCTGACAGAACCACTACAAGAAAACAGAATATTACGCTAAATAGATTGTATGACCAAGCAGCTCTTGGGTTCTGGTGAGCCCCTACTTCCCAAGAGAGGATAGCTTTTACTGGCAAGTTCAGATTGCACCACTGTAATGTGTCCTGTAGTTCCATTCCATCAGTCTCGCTGATGTCACAGGAACCTGTTGCCCATTGAGCAACCATAGGCACCAGGAAATCAGGCTTAAGTAGATGTCAACACCTGGTGCTGTGTGCTTCTAAGAGCTGCCTCCATGGACTCGCAGGACAGTCTCCAGTGAGACCTATCTTCACCGTCACCTGAGCAATCCTACTCAAGACAGGAAATCCCAGAAAAAGGTGTATTTTACAGTAATGTCATCCATCAGTATCTCCCACTGACAGCTGTCTCCATGGAGGTGATACACACCTGCTGTTGAAGTAACCCAGCTAAAGTGAGGGATTTCCCACCTTGAAATATTCGTATTGCAGCAGCTGCTGAGAACTATCTCCATGGAGACAGCTCTCAAAGGGACCCAACAGCAAACACAGAGACATGCAAGGAATGTGAGTACAGGCAAAGTGTAGGATGGAAAATCTTCCCTTCTGCCCTGATCCTTCTGCCTACTGTGAATTATTTCACTTCCTTGTTTATAGTATGTGTTTCTCACCTTTCTAGATATGCTACCCCATCTTGTCACTATAACATTTAAGGATGCTGCATTTATGGGTATAAGATACATCCATTCACATCAGGGGAAGACTGAGGTGTGATTTATAGTGTTTTCAAATGACAGCTATGATGGCCCTTGGGGGGAAAAAAAAAGATACCAAATCTTTAATGGCGTGGTTTCCTACTGCATGTCCTCTGCATTTTGAACCATAGGAAAGGAGGAAGAAAGAGATGCTGTAGTACAGCACAATGGCCAATACCCTCACCTTAATATAACGAGAAACATTTTTTAGAAACCAACCAAACCACAAGCACAAAATCGTTTTGTATAGAGAAAGACCCCTTCATTAACTACTTAAAGATGATCAGGACTGGCAGCTGTGATAGCAGCAAACATGGACTCCCACCCACCCACCCCACACACCTCTTGTTGTTATCTCATGAAGGATCTATGAGCTGAGTACTGGACTTGTCTTGGAAATACCTGGTTTTTTGTTTCAGTTCTCTGTCTACCACACTCCATCCTCTTCAGCCTCTCAAAACATAACTGTGTCCAGGATTTCAGCACAAATCTTCATGCAATATTGCTGGCAAGTTTGGAGTCCCAGCACTACTTTTCTAAAGTACACGTGTTTGGAATTTTAGTTCAAATTGATGGTACTTATTTCTGACTATACTTATGGATCAGAATGTCAGCTGAATAATTTTGGTACTTTTCAGAAGGATGACATAGTATACAAACATGCACGTTGTAAGCTTCACTCTGTGTCATCTGACATGTCACTACAGAAAACCCAACATGAGAACATTATTTCTTCACATATAATTAAAGATAGCTTTCTTGCCTGAAGAAAAATATCTAAAGTAGCTAGAAATATTTATATAATATATAGAGAGGGTGTTCTTTTTATCTTTTCATATATGTTGGCTACTGATCAAAACTCCGAGCATAATCCAGCCAAATTAAATGTCACTAAATTCTTCTGATTTCAGTAGGAGATAGTTAAGCGTGTGCTTAAGTATTTCCCATTGAAATAAATAGAACTTAAAATTCTTAATTGGGTGGGATCTTCCCCATACTTCTTTTTAATCTAGTAAGAGTAATACTTCACAAGCTTGCTCCAATTAAGAGAGAGTTCATAGGCTCCAATTAGGAAAGAGTTCAGTGAGACAAATTAGTCGTGACTGAAATCCCATTTACTTCAATGGAGAACCATGACTAACTTTTTAAATAGAATGGGAAAAAAGTCTAAGATTCTAGTGGCACATGAAGAAGAAAACTTATCACATGAGAATCATTCTTTTTTAAAATGTGTACAAAACTATGTTTAGGTCCCATGTGCAAAGCTATTATCGTAATATTTTTTAAAGGTGGCAATATCAACCTAATAAGATTACATCATCATGAATAAGAAAGTGATTATCAGGGACTTTGCTGCTTTGAAAAGGGCAATGTATTATGTGTTATACAGCATTTTTATTTGTGTAGAAAAAATGGAGAAGGTGATCACATAGAGCTTTCTCTTTTTGAAGATTAGTTAGCAAAGATGTAAAAGTGTATAAGCTGCTCTTGGTTTTTATTACTTTATTACCCCTTCCCACCAAACCTATGCATCTTGAAAATTTTGCAGGTGCTAAAAACAGAAGGAGAGGACCTGGTTCCAAGAAGCTATTGGGATACTCTGAGACGTAGCACAAGCCAGGCACTCTTTTCGGACCTTGCAGAGGTATAACAAAACCTCTGTATGGTCCATGAGCTGTTCTTCAGTTTTAGTTTTCTTTTTCATATTCCATTTTATTGTGTATATTGTAAATATTTTAAACTTTTTAATTACCCCTCCTCCTTGCGTTGTTTTTATTTTTCCCCATGGTTTTTGTTTGGTATTTACATTTGTTATATTTGTTGCATAAGAAAAATATGCATTTGACACATACTTTAAACTGCCATATTTCTTGTTTACTAACAGTGAAATAATTGGTTTTATTTCATTCTTGGAATATTGGATATCTTTTTATTTTATTGTATTATATTGTATTTTGAAAAGATACTTCACAGTTATAAGTATGCCTATCTTAAGAACTAGTCTTTTACATTTGAAAGGTAAAGATAGGTTCAGTGCTTTCCATTTAATGAACCATCTGATGATAAACATTTATGTTTCATAAAAGCATAAGTGGGCAACCTTTCTCTATTGAAGGGTACATTCCCTTGGGGTAAGTCTGTCAGAGACACATGCTGGTTGTATATGGAGCCAGAAACAAAAGTGTTATAAATTAGCTAACTTAGAATGCTGCTCCTTACATAGCAAAAGTGGGATGAAATTATAAAAACCCAGGAAAAATACAGAGGAAACCAACTGGAAGCAGAAAACACTGTAAGGATGGAATGGGACAGCATCATAAAAAATTGAGGGACAACATAAAATGCAACTGGGAGCTGCTTGTTGCCTACCTGTGGATTAAAGGAACAGCTCTGCCTGGTAACAACCATTGTACATTGGAATAGCTTCCATTTATGATTATTTGGGCACAGCTAATTTTAGTAGACATGAAGTTGGGATTAGGCATGGGCAATTGTTCATACTGTTGCATGAGGGGTTGTGCCTGCCAAGATTCCATTTTCTACATTATCTATTGAAGGCACAGAATCCCCACTGCAAGTTGAAAATTCATCTGACATTAGCTCTGTGTCTTACTTGCTGATGGGTTTAAGCCCCGTTTGGTGCATCTACAGACCTCCCAGCTAGACGAAAGGCAATTTTCATATTTATGTGAGACTGACAAGGAAGATATTTGAGGAAGAGGAGACATTTAGACTTCTTTCAATGAAAGGAATGAATGCATTAATAAACACTGACTTGAGGCTATGGGAATTGAAGAGGGAAAGCATTTTATTTGGGAAGTCAGAATTAAAGGGTTTCATTCAGTATGTGCATAGATCCTGATAGAGTACTGCTGCCTAGAATAAAGAATTTTCTGGTCTTTGTATATCCACCCTAGGATATAGTTCATACACAACAAATTATTCTCCATGTTAAGCCCTTTTATAACCATTTTTTCTTTCTCATCCACTAATTCATATAATTATTTTCATGTAGATATAGGTGGTTTACTTGTAGAGTATTGAGTATAATGATGAATATATAAAATTCATAGAAATTGTAATTGTTTTACCATGTAAGCAATTCCCTTGGTCACCTGGGATGACCTAGAGAATACAAGTCCTGGGGTGCATCTGTCATGTGCTTGTAAATTGAATTTGCACCATTTCAGGACCAACTGTACTCAGAGGGTTTGGAAGCTATTGATATAATGGTCACCTGTCAGTGTCATTTGTATGAATCAAGTGTAGCCTTGCTGCAAGGTCTTTGGGAGCCAATTATTTGAGCTGGTACTGTAGGTCAAGCTTGCATTTTCAGAAGGGCAGTATTTTGATAAATAAGCAATAAAAAATAGATGCAACAGTTAATAATGCTGTCCAGAAATAGAAAAGAAAATACACAATCCTTCATACTGCTTAAATATATCTGGTTTGTGTACCATATGAATCTGAAAGTCGGCTAGTCAGGTCTCATATTGAGGACCTGCTACTCCTATTAGATTACAATTTCAGAAGCTGTAGGTTTAAAATATCTCAATGTGTGAATATATATTCTTAACTATAGAACAGTTTCTTATAATTCCACTCTTCCTCTGTTCACACTTGAGGTTTTTCCTCATAGGAAGTAGAATTGTTGACATTTTTTGCATGGACAGATTTTTGCAGAGAAATGACATCACTGTCAAAAAAACAAAACAAACAAAAAAGCACAGGCTCCTGAGGTAGGCCTGCCTTATTATTTTCTCCAACAAAATATTCCCTTCACTTTTTTGACATTAACAAAGCTATGGATGAGAAATACGTCTGCAATGATGGTTGCCTTTCCATCATCATAATCATTTTTAAAAGGTGCCAACTTATTTTCACTATATTATTTCACTATTCTGATTAATTTCACCCCGGTCCCTGGTTTTATTTAACACGTTTGATCATAACATGTCACTTTTTAAGTTTGGTAGGCTAAAATGTAATGTAAAATATTGTGTGGGGAAGTATGACCTGACTAACGTTACTAACTGATCTTGCAAATAGTTTTAATATGTATTTGATGCATGGATGCATTTAATCTTGAAGCAGTCTTTTTAAAACAAAGTGCATTGATAAAATTCTGTGGATTTTATTTTTGTTACTAAAGCTTTTGCAACACTAAGCAATTAATATACTCAATATGTTTTTAAGCGTGCAGATGACATCACTGGTTTACTATCCGATACTACACTGCTGGTACACTTTTTTGGTAAGAAAGGAAAGGCTGAGCTTAACTTTGAAGATTTTTATAGGTGAGCCTTACTTTTAATACTTTTCATATGTACAAATCCTTTTGTATATGTCATATTAGAAATCATACATGCCAATAATATTGTCTGTATCCTTAAATATTTTTAGAAGGTAGTTTCTGTTTTTTAAAAAAAAACTTTGGAGTCTATGGCTTCCATAGCCTAGAACTTGAGAAGAGCCACCATCTTATCCAGCATCTTATTTTCAAAGTGACTAACCAGATGCCTCTAGGGAGCACTTGTGATTCCCAGCAACTAAAAACAACTTTTTGTTACCTTTAGTTTTCTGCATAGTATTCTGGAGTACTTAGAAATACATTAGTACCCCATTTAGAAGATCAAAATATGAAAATACTATGTGTCTTATTTTCTGTAGTGAATATGAATCAGTTCTGCAGCCACTGGTAAATCCTGATTTTGGGGTTTATATCTATTTTGTATTTTTTGGTCTGAATGATCCAGTAGTTCCATTGCATTAGAGCCTTTGTTTATGCACTGAATTCCATGTTGAGAATTATCTTTACTGGATCTCTATAGAGCTTTGCAATTGATCACAAAGTTTATACATAGATGACAGGTGAGAAGCCACCTTCACAGATAATCAGCCTCTGTCTGTAGCTAAACATGTACTTCTGTGCCTTTTAGAAATAATGTAACTTTCTAAACTTAAAAGGAACAACATCTCTTTGCCTCTCTGACATTGAAATCTGTGGTACAGTAGTGAGAACCTGTCCCACACCCACCCACAGGTGTTGTTGGGCTCCGACTCCCATCAGCCCCAGCCAGTAAGACCATTAGTCAGGAATTACATGAGTTGTAGTCTAGAGCTTCTTCTACTTTCCCCATAATTACTCCAATGTGCTCTAAGGTCTGATAGGGAAAATTCTTCTTGTAAAGGCTTCACTATTGGCTCTAGTAACAGGGACAGCTCTGTAAATGCTGCTTTGTTGTCCTCCACATGAAGCTGTCCTGCCTGTTCACACAGCAGCTCCATGTGCACTTGCAGAGCTGTGGATTGGCTCTGATGAGAGTTGCATCGTGTTTATTTTCCTTGGCTTAAACTCTTTCCACATTTAGGTAGCTTAAAACACACTGAAACCAATGTGAGTTAAGCTGCAATCCTATGTATTTACCTAATAGTAAGACCTTTTTAAAATAATGGGACTGCATTTTAAATGGACATGTATAGAGTGCAATACTAAACCATGTAACTTTGGAAGCTTGCAGCCCTTGGCATTAAAATATCTTTCTATTGTCATTGCTTCACATTTTAGCCCCACAACTCACCTCTATATATTTCACAATATTTTTGTATGTGCAGAAATGATCTGCCAATGATAAATTTCCTTTACTAGGTCAAACCAAGAAGTCCATCAGCTGTTACTGAAATTGCAAGTTTATTAATTTTGCATGAATTGAAATGTTTGAAATATTAGGGGGCGGGGTTCTACATATGGAGTTATAAGATTATTAAATCAATACCTCTTATAATTCAGGTTTATGGATAATCTCCAAACTGAAGTTCTTGAAATAGAATTTCTTTCATACTCTAATGGGATGACTACCATCAGTGAGGAAGACTTTGCTCATATACTTTTAAGATATACAAATGTGGAAAATACATCAAGTTATCTGGAAAACGTACGCTGCAGCATGCCAGAAGAGCAAGTAAGCTTTCAGCAAAGACCCAAACATCTGCACGCACACACATACACAAAATCATAGCCTGATTGAAAGCACAGTTACCTGAAAATGTCAATCACTTCCAGTTACATGTGCTGAAATGTGATACCTTCTGTTGAGCAGGTGGGATTTGTGGGAAGGAGGGGTGGGTTGGAATAGCCCAAATAGTTTTGGAGAACGAAAAATGGACAGGTCCTGTTAACCACTTAGGTTTCATTCATTTTCATTGAGTTTTTGGACATGGACATTCTGGGTTCATTTTGCATCTGAATGGTGCCTGGGCACATAGGCAGGAAGGAGTAATACTTTACACAACACCTTTCACTGGCTTTTGATATTATCTCAGAATGGCTAATTATAACAGAATTCTTCTTTATTCTATTTGTAGTCCAGTTATTTGAGTGCCATTGTTCATGTAGACCATACATCAACAGTTACACACAAGAGGGAGGTATTGGCAGCCTCAGGGGAACCCTAAGGAGGAAACCCTTAAAACAGCCCAATGAGGATTAAGCATGCACAGTGCCCAGGGAATGCTGACTGACTGAGAGGGAAAGAAACTGAAAACCAGATGGGAAGGAGAATGGAAATGAGTAACTGAAAGATAAATACAAAGCAAGATGCACAGAGATATAAAAATGGTAGGAAGACCCATTTCCTTGTCTAGACAGGCCATTTCCTGGTTCATATAGATACAGATCCTCCAACTGTCCCTATTTCCCAGGGACAGTCCCAGATTTACAGAAGCTATCCTAGTTTCTGATTTGATCCCAGAATGTCCTATTTTTCCTTGGAACATCCCTATTTTCATTGGAGAAATGTTGGAGAGTATGCAGTTATGCAACCCCCAAGTCAATGAGATAAGAAACTATACAACCTAGAGAAGACATCTGAAGGCAGCCCTGTATAGGGAAGTTTTTAATCTTTAATGTTCTATTATTTTTTATTATATATAAAATGTTGGAAGCCATCCAGAATGACTGGGTCAACATCTCTATTTTCATTGGACTAATGTTTGAGGGTATGTAGATGAGTCACCAAATGATGAAAGTTACAGCTTCTGATAGAATTCAGTGGAGAAATCAAAAGATTTTAAAGTAGTTGGGACTGTAGACCACTGTGTCCCAATATGAGAAAAAAGCACACACACCCAATGAGAACTGATCATGGTAATAGGCACAGAATGCTGACTGTCTGGGACAGAAAACCAGGGGGAATGGGATGGAGTGGCTGAACCATGAAAAGAAAAACAACATTTTTTGAAGTGCCCCACTCGTTTCTACCAATAGTAAACTATTGAGTGTGAGTCTTTATGTAGCCAGGACAGCCCCATCTACAAAGTACAAAAGGGTGGTTGAAGCGGGTTACAGATGTACTAGGTTAGATTGTGGCAATGCAGTGTGCACTGTGTTGCCTTTGCTAGTGCAAAATTCAGTAGCCAGATAGCTGTCTTTGGTAAAACAATTTTAGCATGGGGCTTCTCAGTAGTGACTCCCCATTTCTGGAATGCTCTCCCTAGGATATACACCTGGGGACATCATTGTTTGCTTTTAGGCACCAAACTAAAACATTTCTGTTTAACCAGGACTTTGACTGTTACTTGTAAGGGTCACAAGTTAGGGCTTTGGCGTTTGTAGTGCTCACCTTTTAGTGGGATGGGTAGAATTTGTCATAAATATTATTGAATGAGTGTGTTTAGGTTGTTGGTTTTTTGAACCTACAAAAGATGATGTTCAACATCATCTATCCTAAATGACATATTATTTAATTGTGATAGAATGCCACAAAGTCCCATGTGCAGTTTTGCCATCTTTAGGGTATACGCTCTTTTAACACGTTTAATCTAGTTCTTCAGTCTCCTTAACACAGGATCATTTGTAGAAGGCCAGTGTGGAGTGAGTGGTTCTTAGAAGTGACTAAACAGAGCATTTCAAAGAACTTGGGCAGTTGCAAAAGCAAATAACCTTGCTAGCTAAACTGTTTGTTAGGAAACAAAGGTGTTGTCTGGAGTAAATTTAAGCAACAAAGAGACATAGTGGCAGCTAAATGCATCAGTGCAAACCAATAGGGTTGATGTTGCAGGGACTCTTTCAAGCATGGAGTGCTTTGGATATCATTCGCTTTTATTTGTTTACAGAAAGATCAGGTTTAACTGTTTTAGAACTATTTGTAAACAGTTCAGCTTATTTTCAAATGATCACACTTTTCAACTCTTGACATTTTAGTTTGAGGGGCTTAAAAAAGAGGCAGTAAGCATCATTTAGCAGTTAGTGGTAGTTAAAAGGAGGAGAAAAACACCCAAAGTGCTTCGGTATCATGACACAGATAAGGCACTCAACAAATATACTTAAAGGACAGTACTAAAAAGAAACATGAATGTGCTACAATAATAGTGGTATAAACAAGCATTAAAAATATAAATACTTGTTAAAGAATAAAATGGGTCATGTACCCCCACCCCCACCTAAAAAAAAGACCAAATATTCAGAGTTAGGGAAATGGGAGAAAGAATTAGAGAGCAAAGAAACCTAACTGCATGTTTTGGATTCTGGACATATCTGTATCATATGCACATAAATCAAAGTCATGGATTGCTTATCAAACTAAAATTTAACCATCAGTTATCCAGAGATCAAACAAACTATGACCTGTTTCTCCAAAATTTGGTTTAGTTTCAAGCTGCTGTTTCCATGTCCCTTTGTAGCTTAGTGAGTTTCCGGGATGGAGTGGGCAAACAAACCATGGTTTTTATTTTATTTATTTCCATACAAACAAATTGTGTATACCACATTATAGTAACAAAACTTATAAATAGTTTGGTTAAGGAAGGATACTAGGTTCATACATAATGCCAAGCCATAGGCAAAATAAACCAGAGTGAGTAAGCCAACAATAAGAGATGGCTTCAGATCATGGCTTGTTGACAGTAAAACAACACTCAACTCCCAACTTCCCACTTGACTAGAAAACACACAAAGCACTTCCCAGCCGTGCAGGAAGCTCACACAGCCAATTGCTCCCTCCTCCCATCACCATGCCATGCCACAAATGGTGTTCCCCGGTAAGTGGGGAACAGGTATTACCAATAAAGCTTCTGTCCGTTTGGCCACATGGGAGAGGCCTGACTCCTTCTGAGAGAGGCATTCTTTCTCTACTAGTACAATTTGGTTTGTGGAAGCAGGATTGCAACTTTGTCAGGGAAGGGGGCTATGAGAGGTATAGAACTGTCTCCATTGTATGCTGACTCCATTATCAGCTGCAAAACTGCTGCCAAACAATTAAAGAATGTTGCTGCTGCTTCTATAGTACTAATGTCAGTATTCTTTTATTCATAGGGCATTACATTTGATGAATTCAGATCATTTTTCCAGTTTTTGAATAATCTAGAAGACTTCGCAATTGCAATGCAGATGTATAATTTTGCAAACCGTTCCATAGGAAAAGGTAAAAATATTTAATGTCAATAGTTAATACTTTTTTAATATTAAAAGAAAATAAATCTGTTTTGTTTAATATTTGTGTGAGCATCAAGTATTGTGCTTTTTCTGCCTGTTCGACCTCTCCAAAATCTTTTAAATATGTATGTACTGCATGGCAGTTATCCATGTTTGAATCCTATGAGACATAAAATGCCTCTTTGTATCTAAGGGTTTTCTTGCCATTTAATAAATATATGCAAGTGTGGTAGGGAAGACTCATCTATGAACCATTTATATACTTTTTTTTTATATGTATATGCTTGTAAAGCCACAGTAGCAGTAAATCAGAAGCTCCACAGAAGTTAAGCTGCATGCTTCCACCTATGGTCAAACTGTATATTTGTGAATAAATTCAAATACTACAAGACACTATAAGCCTCCAGCAAACCACCTCAAATCACACGAATGAAAATATACATGTATATTAGATGTATTCTGTACTCCACAATTATCATTTGCATTAGCAGTTGCTTTTTTCCAAGAGATCAGCTGTGCAACTAAGCTATAATAAGGGGCCACTTAGAACACAGTGCTCTTGACAAATATATATATGTGATGGAGAATGAGTTTTTTTCAATAATAAGTAGTGGTAATCACTGTGTTGCATGATGATTTTGGCTAGCTGCTAAATTTCCTTGTTTCCGTAGATGAATTCAAGCGTGCAGTATATGTAGCTACAGGTTTGAAGCTTTCAATGCATTTAGTGAGCACTGTCTTCAAGATCTTTGATGTAGACAAAGATGATCAGCTGAGCTACAAAGAATTTATTGGTATTATGAAAGACCGATTGCAACGAGGGTTCAAGGTAAGAACATGGATTATCTCTTAATCACGAAAACTTATGAAAGAGATATAAGCAGTCCATAAACTATTAAATTTTTGCTGTTTCCAAAACTATTTGAAATATAGACATTTTTTTCATAGATATCTGTTCTACTCTTCAACTTGAAAGGGTTTCAAGAACTGCATCACATAGATGTGTATTTTATTATTATTTAAGGATGTGCCAAAATTCATAGTGTATGTTGTGATAAACAGTAACATTAGTCTGACTTTGAAATGAAACTCATGATAAATCTATGGTTATTATTGAAATTAAAACTACCTTCGTATATGTTTAGTTTAGTTTAGTTTAGTTTAGTTTAGTTTAGTTTACTAACCCTTAATTTACAGAACTGGGATTTGTTTGTTTTTTCTATAGCCAAGTCTACAGACACATTCTGATCCAGCTTGCTGTTGATCAAGTAGGTCCCCAGTTAATCATCTAGAAGGTTCAGTCTCATCATTCCAATTTATAGACTGGGAAATTGATGTCTAAAAGCTGTTGATAGCCTGTAGTTTTAGAAGTTTAATCTGTACTCCTGACTGCCCCCTAGAGACAATAAATTAACTAAATAGTAGTCAGCAGAAATGAATTTTGTCACAATGTATTTTTAAGTAATTCTGTAAATACTGTTGTGTAATTATGCATTTAATTTCACATTTTAAATTAGGCTTAGTCTTCTATCAAAAATACAGTAATCAGATTGCATTTATTTATAAGCCTGAAATACATGTACAATATAAATATTTTAGGTTAATGATTATAAGTAGGTATGAGCCGCTACCTACTTGCTCAGCCCATAAACGATTGGGCTGGACTATTCAAACAGTTGAAAAAACTCCCTTCTCTAACAAAAAAAATGTCTTGAAGAGGGAATACCAGGTGGCGGAGGGCATGGAACACAGCAGGGCTTCGCCTCAGTGGCAGATATCATGATCCTCAGCCAACTAGAATGCCCTTCTCCAATGTATGGTTGTGTGTTTTCCCCATTAGGACATGGGAACTGCCAGGGAAGCGTGGGGAACATATGAGGTGGGGTGCTAGCTATTTTGTGCTCTGCCAAGCTCAAAAGGCAACTCAAAATCAAGATTAAAGCAAGTGGGCTGAATTACTCATACAACCCCAGTTTTGATTTCTTACATCATATCTGATCTATGAGGCCTTTAAAGAAGGAAGAATGAATTTATACACCTTCTCTAGTAATTTGAATTGGCAAGCCAACTATGCAATACCTTGCCTTCAAAATGTGGTGACAAAATTTATTTCATTGCTTGTGCTCTGAATGTTGTTTTTTAAAAGTACCACAGTAGTGTGGAGTTGCTGATTGTCCTTGTTATTAGTGTTGGGTTAAAATGTGTTGTTAGCCAATCTTCTTTTAGCATTCCCTATATACACTGTTCATAATTCTGAATATTATGTCTCCTTTGCAAATGTATTAAGGGATTTTATAATTGTTTTCTAACCTGAACTTTACAAATTTCTGCTCTGAGATCTGGTATGTTTAACTGCCACCCTGTGGACAGTGACTGTATTGCCAAAATATGTAGTGATGTTTGTACGTAATTTCACACAAGCTGTATGAAAGTAGAGTATGGAGGCTGTTTCCATAATACCTTATTTAAGATGTAGATTCAAAATCTTTGCTTAAAACATGCATTTTTTCTCTTCTTTATGAAGAACTTTAAGAAACAACACTCTCTATTGTAGCATCTTTAAAATTAATAGTTATTCCTATATTGTGGTATCATGCATAATTGCATCACAGGTGCATGAATATTTTAGCCTAAAATTATTTTTGCTGAGTTTTCTACACTATGACTAACAAGTACAATTCCTTTATTATTTTCATGCCATCTTCTCCTAACGCTCACCTTTGGCTGCCTTCACATGATGCTTGCACATGCACACTTCTTTGTCTTCTTCTCAGGGCTACAAAACCCTGCAAAAATACACCACTTTCAAATCCTGTGTGAAGAAGGAACTCAATAGCAGATAAACTATGGTATGTCTATGATACACTGTGTTTCTAAAACTGTTGGTTAAAGATTTATCACTGTATTTAGCTGACCTTTCATTTGACAACTGAGAATCAAAATAACTGATCAGAAAGTGAACTCTGTATAATTTTGTTCAGTTCATTCAGAATCAAAATTCCAATTTCTTCTCCATTTTCCTCGGGGAACTTGTGCATAAACTTGTTTGCTCTAGGAATATCTATGTCCAAGTCTTTTGGCTTAAGTCTGGAGGCTTATGACCCAGGACTCCTGTATTACCTATTTTTGTTAGCATATATCAGGAGTTGCCAACCTTTCTGGGTCCATGGGCACATTTGAAAATTGGAGAAATTGTTGTGGGCACCATACCAAACAGGCACTGCAACCTATGCTGTTGGCTACCACAAACTCCTCCTTTCAGCACAATTTTCAGCATGCAGAGGGGGGGAGGTACCAGGGAAGGCCTCTATGGGACTATGTGTGCCCACGGGCACCACATTGGTGACCTCTGGCATATATGGAGCCATGTTAAGCTCCAAGACAGTGTTTCCCACAACAGCACAATGAGACCTATACTTCATATAAACACGTGTCATACATTTGATAGTAAAAAATGTATAAGCAACCGTTAGATATTTCAGGATCATTCTGCCCTGTTCCCCCATTTAGAAAACATTTCATTTTTCTATAAAGGGAGTTGCTCCAGCTCCTTGATCATTTCCCAGGAAAGAGCACCTTAAAATGATTAGGGGCCTGGAGCATCTGCCCTGTGAAGAACCAGGGACATTATTGAGATAGGTAAAATGTATGGTATGGAGAAAATCAATAGATTTTTTTCTCCTTCTCCCATAATACAAGAACACTGGCTCTTCCAATAATGCTGAATGGTTGGAAATACCAGGTAGACCAAAAAGAAGTACTTCTGCACATAGTACATAGTTAAAGTATGCCATTCACTGCCACCAAATTGGACATCTTTAAAAGGTGATCAACTCATTCATGGAGAATAAGGCTGCCAGTGGCTTCATGATATCTATATATTCTAGTGGCAGTATGCCTCTAAATACCAGTTGCTGAGGAGCACAAAGGAGAGTGCTTTTGTTCTCATGTCTTGCTTATGAACTTTCTGTGGGCTTCCTCTGGTTGTCCAGTGCGGCTGGAATGCTAGAATAGATAGAGGTTAGTCTGAACCAGCAGAATTCTTATGTTCTGTTGTTGCCACTTATGCACAAAAGAAATGTGCTGTTTTATTCTAGAAATGTTTAAGTGTTCATCATACACTTCAAATTAGATGGAAATTTTAGTATTTTGATTTTCCCAGAAGAATATGTATGTTGTTAATTAATATAACCTTCATGTCCAGTATGTAAGAGGATTTAATGGGTTGCCATCCTGAACACCATAATGCTTCTGAGATTGCCCTTCATTTTATTTATAAGATATGCATAATTGTTGTGCAGGGTCACAGATTGCTATATTCATGCTTGTCCTCAAATTCTGTAAAATAGAATTCACACAAGAAGTATAGTTTTCTTTGCCTTGGCTAAGTGTAATGGAACCAGGAAATGGAGGATATGTGTAATTAAAATGCTGCCTGCTCACAAGTCACACAGCAGATTCAGCACTCTTCTCTTGCAAGCTATTTGCTTATGAATGATTTTTATTTCCCATGGTCAAGTGGCTAGCTTCAAGCCTGCATTTTTCAATGGTTAGAGATTTAGAGTTTTTGCTCAAGAATCTACACTTTATCTGGCTCGAACCTACATTAATTCTACAAGAGTTAAGAATTTTATTTTCTGCTTTGTGTGTTAATATTTAAACATTTATTTTTTAAAAAAATTAAGGTATCAGGACTTTTTTTTAAAATCCTGTTTTTATAAAACAGATTATTATTTTGAATAGGGTTAAACAAAGATATTGCCCTTTACCTTAGCTGTTAACAGAGGCACTGCCAGGTTTTCTTAGTTTTGTTTTAATGTTGCATGGTAAGGGACATAGCCAAAACACCTAGCTCTTGTAAGCTATTTAGAATTTATTGTTTTGTTTTGTATTTTATATACAGACCTCCTTTAATGTAGCTGTAATTATGTTTGTTTTCATTAACAGAAAAAACCGAAATACGGGTTGAAGGACTACTATGTTTGTGTGATGACTGTAACAAGCAAACACATTAGGCAGCGTTGGAAGCAATTTCGGAATAGAGATATGCTGTGATGGATGGCAAGACACTTCCACTTTTGTTCACCGCTGATGGTTTTTCTTTTTCTTCTTGGGCATGCCTTGCAAACTGAATGCAGAAATCATGAAGTTGGCATTTAAGCCAAACATCTTCCAGCTGTAGCTATATCTTATCATCTTGGACTGTGATCCCTAAAGTGCCCTGCTGTATAATTTTCATTCACTTCATTAGGTGTGAGTGTCTGTGGAGTGAGAGTCATCCTCTGAATATTTCTTCTTACAGGGATTCAAGTGAATCTTCGTAAGGATTTTATTTAACAATTAGATTTTATTTTCTAATTAGTCATCTGCAGAGAAGACTTAAACATGTACTGAGAAATAAGTCAGTGGGACTTACTGCCAGGTAAGTGTGCACAGGATTGCAGTCTTAAAAAGGGTTATATTTACAGAACACTTACAACCAAACCCAAGGCAACAATATTATGATTTAGTATTATCTGGTTTTATCTTTGTGAGTTGCTTTGGATCCATCCTAATGGGGGGAAAGTGTACAAATCATTTCTTTTAAAAAAGTATGCATGGGGAAACCATTCCTGATCTTGTGGAGCCCTTTCGAAGAAATTAAAATCCTGCTGATCAGCTGTTTAGCATGGAAGGACACGATCTAGTCCTAAAAACAGCTGAGTTATTTCTGCAACAGCTCCAGGTGCAGAGCCCCAAGCGTTGGATCAGTAACAGAAACTGCACGTATAGCACCCTTCTCCTTCTCCAGGTGGGACAAATACATCTAGTGTCCTGAGTTGGAGAGGATTGTTCCACTTTAAATATAATAACAAAATGTGAATTGTTTTAGGAATGTATTTTTAAAAAACATCTGTTGTATTTATTTTGTTTTCATATGCCATTCCATTTTCTTAATATGTTTGTTAGGCTGTTAAATGTGCCTATAATTATGGCTATGGAGGGAAAAAATGTTTTCATATGATTTTATAATAGGAACATGTGGAAAGCAAATAGGAAATGTAAAATGAGATTTATTCCGAAGCAGAAGAAAATTTTGTAGCTCAAAGCTATAAAGCTGCATTCAGACCACTTTGAAACATTATGCTAAACAAGCTTTTATAGTATAGATTAATGTGAAAGTTAAAATAGTTTAAACATGGAAACATTATGGTACAGTGGTACACAAGCCACTTAAATTGGAGTATTTTAGTTTTAATCCTGGTGTTTCTCATTACATTCTGTTGGACTAAATCAAATTTCAACTGGTTCAAGGATAGTAGTTTTATTGTTTATGCTTTACTCAATAGGTTAATCAGAATGTGCTGACTTCAGATTATATAATTATGGATAGCACTGCAACAGGAAATGTGTTTCCTAGCCTACTTATTCTGTGCTATCTTAATACACAATCCTTGGATCCTGACAACAGAACATAATTCCACTTGCAAAATGAGGGTTCCTTGGCTCTTCCTCATTATAGACCCATTTCCCTACAGAAGCAGCTCCTGATAGTCAGAGACCCTCTGGAACCTCAGGGGGCTGCTACTGGAAAGAGGAATCCTTGGAAATCAGGAACATCTCCTTGCATGAGCAAAAGCAACTTCTGCTTGCACTTGGGCACCCTTGGTTCCAAGCCCAAGTGTTTTCTTTGCACTTTCTTTAGTTAGCTGAAAATACTTTAGTCATGTAGTGCATGACTTAGTAGACAGATGCATTGTCCTCTGGAGTTAACTAGCATGCAACACTAAAAACAGACCTTAAATTTTGTGCTAGTTTGCTTCCAGTTTTGGTAGTTTCAAAACAAATGGAATGCCTGCATTAATGTTTAGTCATAGCCTGTCACAGAATCTTATAATGATAAAGTGCCATGATTTTATATGGGTATGTCAATTAAAAGGTCACTAAGTAAGAAATCATGTGAAAACTGCAAGCAGTAAGCTGCAGCTTTCAAGACTGCTTTTTAAAATAAATGTTCTATAGCAGTAGGGGGTTTTTAGAAGATAATGAATGGATACAGTGCAATTTTCTTATCATATGTGCTCTGCTGACTAGTTCACAGACTCACTTGGCAGAACCTCTACACATGATAGAAGGCTAGGCGTTACTTCTTCACTTACTGGTATGTGATGTTAGGTGCAGATATGCAGTTCAGGGGCTTGTGCACAAGAATCATACACCTTGCTGCCCGGTTTTGAGGGATTGCTGGATCACAAATGATTTTATATACCTAGCAAGGTGGGGCAAAAGGAGAGGTGTATCTACACCATTGTGCATAGAGAATCCTGGGCAAGATAAATGTAGGACCCAGCCCTAATTTTCTAACATTACATGGTGGTTCTTTTGGCTTCATTAAGGTCAATGGGAGTAAGTTAAGAATTTCAGTAAAATAGATATTTCACTCATGAACTTTGTATCCAGTTAATTAAAATCAATGGGAATATAGGATATATAAATTTGTGCTGGATCACACCCATAATTTGAAACAGTGTAGTGCTGCATTTACAAAAAGTATGAATTAAACAGAAGACAGAAAAATTGAGTCAACACCAAAAGATTTAGGGAGCAATTTGCAGGAAGAACATGGAAAAAGAATATTTAATGAAGTTTGGAAACTAAACAAATGTATGCTTTCCACATCCAAGGCCATAGTATAGAAATTCTGGCTTTTCTCTTTCCAAAATGTATAATTTTACATCACTGTTACAGGGATTAAACTACATGCAAGATAAATGCATTAAATGCTTCTACTAGAATCCTTCCTTTCTCTGTCTCTCCCTTTAAAATGTGTACAAGCCAGACTACATGGAGTTTTTTTCCATTACAGTCTAACCTCAATAAATATTCTAAACAAGTGCACATATTTTGTAGTTCCAGCAGTTACTTATTTTGTTCTGTTTCCTTGTATCAGTCCTGCCAAAGTTACATGTCTCCTAAGACGCTGTTTTCACCAGTACCCCTCCTGTGGGCTTGAATGGATCAGTGGGATTGGGTAAAGATGCCTTTGGACATTGCTTTTTCCGTGGTTGAAATAGGTGTGCCAAGCCAAATTTTTGTGTTTGCCTTCTGAAACTAGTCCCAAAATCTCTCTGCTTGCATAAAATGCATTGTGATCCTAATGTGATAGTCATCCCCCTGAAGCTGCTCTAGCTTACCTTTGAACAAGAGGCATCTTCTGTGTCCCCATCTTTACCAGCACAGTATATTGTACAAGAATCCTGGTCTTACTCCATTCCTTAAAAAGCTTACCAAATTCTAGTAATAAAGTAGTTCCTGTATATATATTTTATTAATGGTGACTCATCACTTATTGAACTGTGTATAAGAGTCAGTATGAGTTAGAAATAATTTTACTGGGTAATAAAAAAATAGGCAGGGAACTATATACACATATCCCGTAAAAGAGGCAAGTAAATACCAGTTTCCTATTTTTCAAAATTCTGTTGACATTAATCCCCTCATTTGATTTGGCTATTCTTTAACATATAAGGCACTTATCTGCCACCATTCAACATTCAAAACTCACATACTTCAGATTTCATTGGCAGATAAAATAACCCATTCAAATATAATTTGCAGCAGTAACACAAGGAAAAAATGATAGATTAATTTATTTTTAACAAAATTAAGTCTATTTCCTATGTTTCTCTTTTATGGTAGGCAACTACAATATCAATGTAAATACAGTATAGAGCTGTATTTAAATTTAACACAGACCCATATCTATTTATATGGTAGTAAACTGCTGCAGCAGAGAAGGATGAATGTCTGTAATACTATGCAACCACAGCATAGAACTGTCATTTCCATATATGAATTATATATCTTGATTTTGACCTCAGCTGTCACGAATGCAAGGCCAGAGTAAGTGCCAGAGTGTAAGGTCCCTCCTGGGACTGACCCAAACGCTCACCTTTCCCAGGTGGCCTCAAGGCCACTGCAGAAGGGGCCACAGCTGCAGCAGGAGATGGTAGCCGCCATCTGGCCGAAGGTGACTGAGCTGAGCAGCGCTTCCCCAGATCCAGGGGCCACAATCCAGACACCAGGCTCCTGCCCTTCCCCACCATGAGATGCCTGGACTTCAGGCACTGAGGAACCAGGATCAGCCACAACCTCATTGGCAAGCAGCTGGGTCTCTCCATGGTGGATGATATCAGACTCATGGAGCTGCAGGAACTGCAGCATAGGCAGTAGTGTCTGCCAGTCAGTGAGCAGCTGGGAAGTGGTTGGTGCAAGGCTGGGGGTGGTTGGGCATCATGTATTTGGATGTCCCCAGAAAGGGATGTCCTGGACAGTTGATGGATATGTGCCATGGACCCGCTAGAGCACCGATTGGGAGCCACTAGTATAGACTATGGTTTGCTTTTGATTCTCATTGGATGGATGGCTCATTTGAGTCAGTGTTGCACTGCCTGCTTACTCGGCTGTGCTTTGCTTGCTTGCTTGCTTGCTTGCTTGCTTGCTCTTTTCCAGGAAGAAATAGCAATGAGGTGCACTGCTAGGGAGTTCTGCATTTAAAGGAGACAGAGCTGAGCAGCTGCACTAGTAAGTAAACATTTGGCATATACACTCATCCGCAAGATTTTTATTGTATGCCAAGGAACTGACCATTAGGCAGAGAAATTGCTTGGCATGAAGAACTGACAGATTATGAGCCCATTCCTGCTCTGCTAAAACACTCACCGCGACGCCAAAAAACACATTAGGAAATCACGTGATACAGTCTTCCCTGGACTATACAACTTCAGAATACGGGGGGAGGGGGCAGCATGCACATGAAAGTGAGCACGCATCAGGCAGAAGGGTTCCTGCTTTTCCTTCTCCTTCCTAGTGCACTATTGTTCTACACACAGGACATTATTTACATTGGGGAGATGGATATATGTGGGGTTGCTCTTAACTGAAATAGTTTGGACCCAGTCCATTTATTTTCACAAGAATTATTTGAATCACTTTTCTAAAATCAGGAGCCAAATGCTAGGAAAGCAGTGTGCCTCTGTGAATCATAACTTACGACAAATGATTAAATCATAAATGTTTTAGGGCCAACAAAAATAATCCTGCAGGGTAATAAAAGCTGGGTAGCACAAACACACCCACAACAACTATTATCTTCTTTTAAAACAGTAATGAGAAGCATTTTTGTTTTTTCTCATTGTTTTAAGCATAAAACACAAGGCTGTATTACTTAGAATGGTGCCCCTTCTTTGTACAGATTTAGTGCATAGATTGGAGTGTCAAGAGGGCATCTTTGAATGCATTATTACAGGCAACACTGTGGTACAATGGAGCAGCACATCTGGCTGTTAACCAGAGAGTTGGTGGTTTGAGCCCACCCAAGGATGGCTGTGGGCAGGATTCCTGCATTGCAGTTGGTTGGACTAGATGACCCTCAGGACCCCTTCCAACTCTATCATTCTGTGGCTTAAGCAAAACATAGGAGGGTAGATGGACTTTGGGGTATGTGTCTTTTAATTTCGTGACTGCTGTCACCATCTGCAGTGATCATGGAGCCCAAGAAAGTAAAATCTCTCACTGCCTCCATTTCTTCCCCTTCTATTTGCCAGGAGGTGATGGGACCAGTGGCCATGATCTTCGTTTTTTGATGTTGAGCTTCAGACCATATTTTGCGCTCTCCTCTTTCACCCTCATTAAAAGGTTCTTTAATTCCTCCTCACTTTCTGCCATCAAGGTTGTGTCATCTGCATATCTGAGGTTGTTGATATTTCTTCCGGCGATCTTAATTCCGGCTTGGGATTCATCCAGTCCAGCCTTTCGCATGATGAATTCTGTATTCATTTAAGTTTAAACCCTTTCTATTACTTTCTATTACTTTCTATTACTGACTATATTTGCAAATCACCTTGCCACTAAGAGAGGGACAGAAATGATGTCCAATAAGAATACTGAGAACACAAATCCCACAGGACTTCAAAAGCTAAGGCTCTAGGCTTGGATGGGCTAAAGAGGCACATGGTACCTAACAATTCTGACATAGTAGTGCAGATCTACCACATCCCATGGTTACAGACCTCTGAGACTGACCATCACATCCACTTACTTACCAGCTAGAAGAGACTCGTTTAGCCAGTATTCACTAGTGAGTTGGTGAGTTAAAGTTAAGCTTTTCTATTGTGGTTGGTTAGGACTAGCAAATCCTTAGCCTCAAAAGGCATTCCGAGGCACTTTCGCCTTTCATCCTGTCTTTTGCACGTTGCTCAGATTGGGGCATCTTGAGGTTCTAGTAAAAAAACAAAATAGACCCAACAAGCCTGGAGTCTCCCTGATGTACATAACACAACTGTGGCCTCAAGGAAGATCAGAGGCTATGGTGGTAACACAGCCTTCATCTAGGCACACAAGGGCATGTGATTTTCTTACAAATCAAAAATAGAATAGCTGCCTTTCTTGCTTCCTGCTTCCCCCACTTCCCTTTTTCAGGGAAATCATAATTAGACAGCGCCTCTCTGTTGGTACTTGTTCCTGACCAGGGGTGCCTACTTGAATAAAATATATTGGAGGGGGGGCAGGTAAACCCCACCCCACATAATCAATCATGGATTTATTTTAGGGGGCAGGTTTTATGTTGGGCGGAAGGCAGAAACGAGTTATCTGTGATGCAGTTGGTTAAGTATTTTTATTTATTTACTTGATGGGGGGTGCAGCTACGCCCATGTAATCAATCACAAGACACACACACACCCCGTTTGAATGGCAATGCCCATCAACTTTGGGGTGGGGCTGGCTCCCTGCAATCTTTTATGCGGCGAAGGGACCTCAGCCCCCAGATGTTGGTGCCTATGTTCCTGAGGGGATTTCTTGCACCGGAATCAATTATATATGTGTGTGTGCCTATACAGAGTACTGGTTTTTTGTTTGTTTTTTTGCGTGTGCGTCTGTGTGTGAAGAGAAAGAACTGGCTGAGGCGCCTTCCTAGCTAGCCTGTGACTGGCGGGAAGGAAGGACGACGCTCGCGGGGCGGGGGGAGGTGGCTGAGGGGAGGAGCGGCCGCCGCCGCCGCCTCACGCCGCTCCGCCCGGAGAGGGCGGCACAACGGGCGGCCGGGCGGCCAGGCGGGAACAGGGGGGAAGAAAGCCCTGGGACCGCGCAGGCGTCGCCTCCGTCGCCGCCTCCGCCGGCGGGGATGTGCGTCGAGGGCCCCGGGCTCCCCCGACGGACCACCGAGCAGCTGAAGAGGCCGAGCGCTGAGCGGGCGGGAGAATGGGGTGCGGGAAGATGGCGGCGCCGGCAGGGCCGGCGGCTTCGTCGAGCATCTCGCTGTCCCGCAGCAGCAGCAGCAGCCGCTCTCGAGCGGGAGGCGTGAGGAGAAGCTGCCAGTGGCTCATTTACTGGGTGCCGGTTCTCTTCATCGGGAGCATCGTCGCCTGGTCCTACTACGCGTACGTCGGCCAGCTCTGCTTGAGTGAGTCCCTGGAGGGGTGGGTGAGAGAGGAATGGACGGAGATAATATATTTATTCAATATATATGGCGACTCGCGGGGGAGAAGAGAGTTTCTCCAGAGGCACCTCTAGCCAAAGCTCGCCTAACAAATGGGGCGCGGGCGCGGTTTGGATATTGGCTCCCACTCTTCTCCCGGCGAGCCTATTAGCCTTGTCTTCTTCTTCGGCCTCAAGCCTTAAGCTGCGTCGGGGGCAGCATGAGGGGCACCTTTTTATTTTATCCCTCCTGCTTGCCTTACGCCCTCCTCCGTCCCTCGATAATAACGCGCGCGTCAGAATTTGAACTTGACTCCTTAGGGGCGTGCTGGGGTTTTGTGTGTGTGTGTTTTTAAACTGTTGTTTGTTGAGGTAAAACACTATTAACACGGGTTGCGCTTTCAATAGACCCGCATGTGCTTGTGTATGTGTGTGTAAACACGCGTGCACACGCGCACACGTTCACTCAGAGAGAGAGAGAGAGACTGTGTCGCGCGCACGCTCAGCATAAACAATCTATTGCCCCAGAGCCGACTCTCCTAAGGCAAACCGGCCGCTGACACTCAGCTGATAGGAATACCTTCCGCAAGAGGAGGAAGTGGGCACTGCGGGTTGGGAAACATCCTCGTTTGTGGCCGACAGGGAGTTGGACTCTTGTTTTCACCTAATATTTTCTCCCCCAAAAAACTTTTTCCCCCTTATCTTTTTCTTTCCTTCTTTCTTTCTTTTTGAACACTTAAAATCAAGAATAGTGGTTTGGTGCTGCTCTTAATCATGATAGAAAGGCGAGCTTCCTGATAGGGCTTTTTCCTGCATGGTGTGTCTAATCTGTGTACATGATTGCAGTTCCAGACTGATTTATGTGGTGCTCTGGATTATGTAATGCAGAGTAACACCACTGTGATCTTGCATATGTAGGTCTGGAATGTTTTCATGGTGAACAAAACATCCTGCTTTTTGCCCTGCCTTGGGAGTGGTGACAGCAGCAGCTAATCCGCTGCTGCTCCTACCGCAGGTTGTTGTTTACATGCTTAGCATTGCCTGGGCTGAGCCAAGTAGGATCTTTCTCTTCACAATCCCATGTGTTAAGAAGGATAGACTGGGGGGGGCACATGTACACACACTCACACAGAGTGCCTTGGGTTCTCTAAGGATAGGCATACAGTTAACTTGTGATGTTTAGCAGGTGTTCATTGTCTAAGGGCCAAATGGTTGGGACCCTTCTGTGTCTGATGTTATAATTGTGGGTATTTTTGTTTAATGTGTATATTTACTCTAGCCCAGCACACATTGCTTATTAGAAATGAGCAGATACAAACTATAACCTACTTGGCAGGCACTGTATAGAGAATAGTAAATCTTCCTTCATCTCCTACCCCAACATTATATTTTTATGGTTCTAGTGTTAAAAAGAGATTTAGGGATTAATTGCAGTGTGATTTTTAGTAGTCTTGGCCTTTTCCTTAATCTGCTAAGAATAAAAAGGAAGGTCTCTTGAGAGATACTCTGCCTTTTGTAAATGGTGCCTCCTGGGTTAATTAAATGCTAGCATGTGCTAAGCTAGGTCCCAGTCATGCACTAAAAAAATCTTGTGCATGCTGGTTTACTATTGTGGTGGTGATGCTTATCTGCAAGATAGTAAACAACTAACAGCAGTGTACCTCCCACACAGAGTACAACTACAATATGAATTTCTGGGAATTAAAACTGTACACCATTGCCATCTTTTCTATATGCTTTATTTTCTCCACACACACACAAATGTGCTTTGAGGATTTGGATCAAAATATGACAGTTTAATTCTGTTTTCTGCTATTGTGAATAATTTTGTGCTAGAGATAAAAATGCTCTTTATACAAGGCTATAATTGTACATCTATAACATGAAATAAAATGTCTTCCATGTTTCAGTTTCAGAACTGTAAAATAATGTTGAGTGTGCTAAAGGCTAGCTGCTGTTATTTAGTAGATTTTTTGTTGATCTTTGGCAGTTGTAGTAACTTTCTTTCTTAAACATACAGCAAATGCTTTAAAAGCTGACATCCCATGTTTAAGACTGCCTACATAGGTAGTGACCAACATTTTAAAGAAGTGTTCTACAAATAAAGTCTAAGGTAGATAGCATCACTGTTTTGGTGCATATCATACTAGTAGTCTTCAGCTTCTCAAACCTGGGGCCAATGCAGGATGCAGTTGTCAGTTTTAGTACATATGCCAATTTTTCCTTTTCTCTTTCATTCTTCCTCTGTCTTCTACTTTTTCTCTCCTCCCCCAATCTTTTCCCTCCTCTGAACAATGTAAAGAAATGAACAAGAAAAGGGTAGAGTTGCATGACCTAGTTTTGAGACACAGCCTGACCCAATGCATCTTTCGTTTATTGATGTGATTTCCCCCCGCCATTTGCATAACAGGCAGCAGTGCACTATGGGAGAGAACAACAGATTGTTTGTCTTTAACACCTGATATTCAGTGGTATACTGCCTTTGAACATGGAGGTTCCATTGGGCCAGTGGAGACCATACACTTAAATCTAACAAATAACAGGAAAATCTTTTAGTGTCCCTCATCATATGGATTCAGTTTTTTAAAAAGCTTCCAGCATATAATGTGTGAGACAGTCCTGCTTTCAGACTGTATTCTGTTCTTGGACACAGCAGGATTGCCATGGCTTGGAAGACAGGGGTTGCTACAAACATAAGCACACCCCACTTGCTCTGACTCTTCTGCAAGGCTCCTTGTCAGGCAGTGAGTGCAAAAGAGATGCTCTTTCTTTACCTTTGTGGAATATTTAGTGAGAATGAGGAAGCTCAATAGCTGCTAGAAACAATTATTGACTCCCAAACCCAGTGATAGGTTGTAGAATCCTGATGAATGGTTAATAACCATTGATAGGCTTCCCCCCTGTGATAATTGGATATTTCTCGTAAAAAAAAATGGTTAGTTTTAAACATTTTTGTCTTCAAAATCTAGACTTTGTTTAAAGGCACAAATTAGCTGAAGGAAAGCACTTTTAAGTCCTTTTTGTTTCAGTGGGAAAGTTAGTGTGTGCATAACGTTAGCAGGAATGTATCCATAGTGGTTATAAATAAAGCGATTGGACTAGGAATATTAGATTTCAATATGAAATTTAATACTTCCTCACCTATTAGCTTTCGCCCTAAACATTGTGTCCTTAATCTTTGGGAAAGATAGGACAGATTCTCATGACCATTTGGACAATCATTGCTTTATCAGAGATTACTGTACACATTGATGGCTTGTGATCAAATCATAATCACATACAGGATCAGATGTTTAGCATACCATTTTGATTTTTGATGTTGTGCGCATCAAAAATTTTAAGATTTTGTATCTCCCCCAGCCCTAAATACTTTCTGTATCTTTAACTGGGTGCCCCAAGAAGTTACCAAGCATTTATTTACTTACTTCATTTATATCCTACCATTCCTTCAAGGAACTCAAGGTGGTAGACATGCTCCACACACACATTTTATCCTAACCCTGTTGGTTGGATTATAGTGACTGACCCAAAGTTACCCAGTGAGCTTAATGACTGATTGGGTATTTGAATTTCCCTAGTCCAACCTTCTAAACGGAGCCAGCAAACTGGCACCCGCTGGTGCCATGGCACCCATGATCGCCTTCAGCGGCGTCCCTGGGCAGGGGCTGCAGACTCTGCTTTCATTTTTTTTAAAAAGCCCCCATAGTAAGAAAGTTGTGAAGCAAAATGCACAGGTACCCTTTTAAGTGATCTCTGTGAAGTGAGCCAGACTGACTGATCGCACCCGTCAGTGATTTTATCCAATAGGTGAATTCAGAGCTGTGACAGATACCAGGCAGTAGGAATCCATGAGGTCCCAAAGAGCTGTTGTTTTTCCCTCCCCTTGGTCCTTGGAATCTCTGTAGTTTGCCCTTCCTTTTTCCTTAGCAACTAAGATGCATATTTCTTGTGGTGGGTTTGTCTGAGATCAGATAACTCCCAGAAATTATTTTTTGCAAATGCTACAGCACAATACATGTGGGTGGATATTAAATAATTCCCCTTCCCACAAAAGGCAAATGTGAAAACTTTGCAGATAGGCCTAGGATTGTCTCCTGTGCAGGAGCTAAAGATCAAGCACTCATTAAGAATTCACTGTATAGTTTACTTACAGTACGGTGGTGCATATGTTTATTCAGAGGTAAATGTCTTTGTGTTTAATGTGACAGCTTAGGCTTTGGTTGGCATAGGGAAGGACAGGCTTATTGTGCCTTTAACAGCTGTATGATAGGCAGAAATTCAACAGATTAATCCTTTTATAGTATGGAAATTCAATTGTAGAGAAAGTTTTGCCTACGATTTATGGTTTGCCCCCCATGTTTTGTCATACCATGCCCCCTTTGCAGCTATTTTATGACTAACACCCACAGTACACTCTCAACATTATAATTGTGACCACTGGACCAAAATAGTTGGTGACCCCTGCCCTATATTAACACATTTTTATTTGATTTGATTTATACCATAATATTTCATTGTATTGTTTAATGTTTCTAATTTAACATTATCTACCTTGATCAGTTAATCACATTACAGTATCATCAGAGTACATGGGATTTGTGCTGCCATTCTCAAGTTGATTCCTGGGGTGGGTTTTTTGTTGTTGTTATCTTTAATTTTCTTGACAGATATTCTATAGCTAAAGACAAAGAGTTCTATCCTCCTCTTTGTTCTTTATTTTCTTGTAATACTTTTCAAGCCACAAAACTAGTGTGCTGTGTTGTTTGTGTCCTTATTCTCTTGTTCCCTGTCTCTGAAATGCCCTGCCTCCTGATACTAGAACATTTCCATCAGTTTTGGTTTTGAAACAATGTTTAAATACATGCTTGTTCTCCCAGTTTCTACTCGTTAATTTTCCTTCATTTCATTTCCTGTTGTGTCATTCTCATATCTCTTATATTTTTGTCGATTAGATAAGCCTGCAGACAGTACTGTGCTTCATTTTTATTGTGCATCACTTTGTTTTGTAACTGCTTTAGAAGTTATGGTGTCATTGTTATGGAACCTTGTTCTCCCCCACCCCTGCCCTTGATGGTTTTCTGAAGGTGGCAATTACCATTCAACCTGCTATTCTTCTGGTGCTGCAATCCTGTAAATACATACCTGAGAGAGAGCCATCTTGCATTCAGTAGGACCTAATTCTGAGTAAGGATTCATAGGATTGTACTGTGAGTTAATATGAACAACATAGAAGTCTAAGCAATAGTGCACGGAACACTGTGCCGAGTGCCACAGCGCACAGAAATGTCGTTTACCTTCCCACCACAGCAGTACCTATTTATCTACTCGTGCTGGTATGCCTTCGAACTGCTAGGCTGGCAGGAGCTGGGACAAAGCAATGGGAGCTTACCCCATTGTGCGGATTTGAACCTCCGACCTTACGATCAGCAAGTCAAGAGGCTCAATGGTTTAGACTACAAGATGTAGTGCTGGCCACTGGCTTAGAAGGTCTTTTTAAAAAATCAGACATTTATGGAGGATAGATTTGTCTGTAGTTATTAGCTGTGAAGGCTAAATGGAACCTCCATATTCAGAGGCAGCATCTGAAAACCTGGGAGACAGTGGGACAGGCTGTTATAATTGCTGTTATACTCTGTGTGGGGGCTTCCAATAAGCATTTGGTTTGTCTGATGGAAACAAAATAATGGAGTAGATGGATATTTGGTCTGATCCAGCAGGATTGTTATTGCATTCTATGCAGCTGTTACCAAAATAGTCTCTACTGCCTCATAGATATATAATTAACACTATATGCGAGTTCAATGTGTTCTTAACTATCAGCACCACATTTAGCACATGCTGAAAGACAAATCGACTGGGATTTTGCAATTTGTGTATTAGAAATGGCATTAATGCTCAAGTTGTCTTCATCCAAAGCAGTCAAAAACCATTATGATATACAATGGGTGTCCTTATTTAAATTGTTTAAATAAAATATAGAAATACAGTCATACCTTGGTTCTCGAACGGCCTGGTTGACAAACAAATCAGCTCCCGAACACCGAAAACCCGGAAGTAAAGTGTTCCAGTTTTTGAACGTTCTTCTGAAGCCAAACGTCTGATGCGGCTTCCGCTTGAGTGCAGGAAGCTCTTATAGCCAGTTGGAAGCCACGCCTTGGTTTTCAAACGGTTTCGGGAGTCGATTGGACTTTTGGAATGGATTAGATTCAAGAACCAAGGTTCCACTCTATGTATTAGGTCTCTGTAATTGCTACTGGAGACTTGCCAGTACAGACAATGACTAGTTAATGTGTATCTCAAAATTGCTTATGCACACACAGTGCACACCAGGAAGTGACCGAAAATGTCACAAAAAAATCAAAAAATGGGTGGAACAGGGGCATAACAGGTGGGGTGTGCTTATATGCACTCTGCTGATGCATGTGGGGGCCGGGAACAGAATCTCCATGTGAAATGGTCATCAGCTGTATTTGCTGTAGCTATAAGGTTAAAGAAACTGTTTTTTTCACCCTCTCCTCTTCTTCACCTTTTCATATTCCAATACTGAAAAAGAGCCATGTAGTACCTCAAATGCTAACAGATTTATTGTAGTAGAAGCGTTCAATGAGAAACATATGCTACAATGAATCTGTTAGCATTTAAGGTGTTACAAAATGCTGCTGTTGTATTTGCTGTAATGGATTAGCACAGCCAAACCACCCCCTCTGAATTTTTATCACTCTATCTTAATATTTTTGCAAACCATACTCGTAAGGAGCTGCACTGGAACTGCTTGTGAGGAACTGCCTCTGACACATAATTTGTACTTGCATTGCATGTACCTGCAATGCAGCCACTGATTCTATAACCTTACTTCAAGGGGGAAGACTGTAGGCTTCTGGCCAGGAATGTTGAAATAATTTTAAATAACATAATTTTTTAAAACTGGTATTCAGTTTTAAAACTGGTGTTCAGCAAAAAGAAACAAAAATGAAGAATAATTATGACCACTGGGAACAGCAGAGGACTTTTCCTGTTAATCCAGAAGCAGGCGTATAGATAGTATCTTAGAGCCAAACTGGAATTTGTATGCAACTGTGTATGACTCCCATGTTTACCCACAATTAAGTTTGGAGAAACAACTAAATGGGAGATTTGTTGACTCTTCTCCTCTACTCCTTCCCACTCCACATTACACCCTACTCCCAGCAACTTCTGCCAGCCTAGCAGTTTGAAAGCATACCAGCGCAAGTGGATAAATAGATACCGCTGCGACAGGAAGGTAAATGGTGTTTGTGTGCTCTGGCATTCTTCACAGTCTTCCGTGCGCCAGAAGCGGTTTAGTCATGCTGACCACATGACCCAGAAATCTGTCTGTGGACAAACTCCAGCTCCCTTGGCCTGAAAAGCGAGATAAGTGCCACACTCCATAGTCTCGTTTGACTGTGCTTAATCATCCAGGGGTCCTTTACCTTTCACTTTACTCCTAGCAGCTTTTATCCCTCACATAAAAATGTCAATCTTTTTTGTGTGTGTGTCCATGAGTACATCTAAAATCTTGAGAAAGTGCCATGAATGCTGTCACAAAATGAGAACCATAGGAATACCCATTCACAAAATGACTGTCAATGACGACCAATTGCAAAAACACCCATTTCACAGAAGGTAAACTCTCTTCTCCCTCCACATAGGATAAAGAGAATCACACAAACAAACACATACACATGCCTCAAGGAGAAATCACATAGAAACACACTCTACTACTTCCCTTCTTGTTTGGATCATTTTACTTGCACTCCGTCCAGATGCATTGTGTTGGTCACTGCTGTAACAAACAAAAAACTATGTCTTCATACTTTACCTTCTTACTTGCCTGTTTTTGGTCCTTATCCAGAAAAATTCATAGAGGCAGGATATGGTAAAAAGTGATGATCCCTTGGTCATCTCGGTGTTCTTTTTAAGGTGGTGATTGCTTCCTTCCCTCTTATGAAGGGAGAAGAAAAAGGTGGAGAGCTCAGAGGCCTTATGGGCACCCTGGGAGGTCAGCATGGGGCTCAGCTGTATTCATGGGCACCATGTTAGCAATACCACAGCCCCAACAAAATGCCAAATGCATATACAGCCATTTGTCTACTTCTTTTGCTCAAGGAAACTGGTGTCATATATAGCCATGGTGGCTGGGAGCAGTCAGCCCTGTTTGAATTCCATAAGTGAAGTTAGTTGTGGCTTGACTAACTTGTTTCATTGGTTTCAATAGAACTTAGTCATAACTATGTAGTATATGGGCTATATCCTGCCTTCCTCTCTGGGCAGTGTATTAGAGATTAAACAGAAACAAACCAGTATGTCTCAAACAGAACAGTGAAAAAGTATGGTGTATTAGACATAACACAAAACAAGGAAAACATTTTAGATGTACTTTATGCAGAAAGTAATGTGATTACAAAAAACAACAACCCACAAATGACAAGGACCTGGAGCTTAAAATTGTAATGGTAATTCCTATAGCACTTCTTAATTTTTTTCCAAGTGGTTTTAATCTATTAGAAGAAGAAGAAGAAGAAGAAGAAGAGTTTGGATTTGATATCCCGCCTTTCACTCCCCTTCAGGAGTCTCAAAGCGGCTAACATTCTCCTTTCCCTTCCTCCCCCACAACAAACACTCTGTGAGGTGAGTGGGGCTGAGAGACTTCAGAGAAGTGTGACTAGCCCAAGGTCACCCAGCAGCTGCATGTGGAGGAGCGGGGAATCGAACCTGGTTCCCCAGATTACGAGACTACCGCTCTTAACCACTACACCACACTGGCTCTTTCTCTTTTAACAAGCATGTAAAATAGGCCACATATTTCCATATGCCCAAAAGGAATATAGGTTAAGATAAAGTGACTTGCCCAAGACCACACTCAAACCCATGACATTGATGATATTTGAACCAAATATCCTCAGTGTGGGTTTTTCTTTATCCATTAGGCAGACCAGCTCACTAGATAGCTTTGCTTAAAGGAAAAGTTCTTGAAAAAAGATGATGTGACAGTTAGGCAATACACTGAAAGTATTTTAATTGAAATATTTGTCACATAATTTTACTGTGACAAGTATAATTAATATTCAGCAACATCTGGTACTTAGCTATATATAGACATGAAGCATAAGCACTTTGAAGCATCATTGAGTTGAATGAAAAAGTTAAGCACATGTTTAAATATTTCCAGCTGAAATCAGTTGAACCTCAAATGCATGTGCATCCACATACACTGTAAGCATACTCAATTTACTCAGTAGAAGATGCTGAACAAAGGACCTCAAGGTGCCACTCAGTCCTATTTGACTTGTTTGTTTCTTTATTCAGAAGCATTTTTCTCCCACTCTTAGGCCCCAAAGCAACTCACATAATATCAAAAACAAATGACAGTCCCTGCCCACAGGTTTACATTGTAAAACTTTATAAAACATAATGTTTTCTATCAAAAGGGATGGGGAGAGAAGAAGAACAGGTAAATTCAGGTACCAGTTTTGAAGTTACTGAGTTTGGATCCTAACAAACTTGAATGGAAGTAGTTGAAGAAGAGCAGGAGCCAAACAGAGCTGGTCTCAGAATTGGGTGGGGTGAGACCTGCTTTCCATCTTTCCCTCTGCTGCTGCCCAATGCAGTGTTTGTATCTCAAAATGCTATAATTAGTAAAACCTAAAATCGAATTACATAAACCAAATTTAATTCTTTTACCACCAATGCAGTTTTGATCATGAAGTGTTAAGGCTGTATACCTTTAGAAATAAATGAAATAAAATTGATGCATGGGGGAGAAAACTACCAATAAGTCATGGGTGTATCACTCTATTTCAATATATAATAATTCCGCTTGTAGATAATTTGTTAGTGATCATCCAATTGGTGATCCCATTTTAACCTTATAGCTAACAATAATGGGAAATTTCTGTTTCAACCCCCTAGCTGTGAGAAAAGGGCATCAAGACCCTGGGAGCCAGGAGCCCCTTTCCCTCCACCACCACTCTCAACCCCTTTGGGGGGCATATCTCTGCAGACTAGCACTTTAAGAGTGTTGTCTATCTTATTACTTTCCACTGGCTTAAGAAGTCTTTCCTATCTCAAGTTGAAACTCCTGTATCCTCTTCTACACTAGAACTTATTGAGAAGAGTTGTTGTTGTTTAGTCGTCTAGTCGTGTCCGACTCTTCGTGACCCCATGGACCAGAGCACACCAGGCACTCCTTGTCTTCATTGAGAAGAGTACTTCTTTTAATGCAGTTGTGGCTATTCACCCACTCAAGGATCTAATGATCTTTTCAAGAGAGAATACCGGCCCCTGAATGTTCCCCCTTTATTTACTTATAAATATTGTAACTGCTAGGATATTATCCTAGGGTGGTTTGGTTTGTTTGTTTTGGAATGGATGTTTAATTGATCACAGCAATTTACAAAGTAAAATATTTATATTAACTAACAAATGTACACAATGTCTCAAGAAGATGGGAATGTCTTGTTTGTGCTCAAATAATGGCAACTAATATTTTTTCACTTTGTTTGTTTCTTTCTGTCTCTCTTGCAGTAACCATGACAAATATTGGAGAAAAAGGTAACTGTTTATTTATTATTACATTTATGTTTTGCTTTTCTTACAGTATCTCAAAAAAACAGTTTATATAGAGTTCACTTAGTTTTAGCAAGGTTTTACTACACATTTTGTGGTTTACACTCTGCATTTTAATTCCTATATCTACGCATGTAGTTATTTTTATTTAACTTATACCAGGATGAGCAGTTTTGAATTCAGGGCCTGCCAATAGAAGAATTACTGACAGGCCTGGAAAAAATATTTTTCTGTGCAGTAGTAGTAGTTTTAAAAAAGGAAAAAGTATCTGGTAGTCATCTAAAACGGATATAGAATATAAGGCAAGGAGAGAGGGAGAGGGAGAGAAGGAATGCTTATGGAGATATGATTTTGAATCAGCTTGTGTAAGTTACTCAATAATCAAGTTCAACATCAATGCAAGTAAAGAAGGATAAAATAGAGTTTTGTTAGATTCCTAGTCTGCATTTTATTACTCCTTTTCTTGATATCCTGATTACTGTTTGCATGGGGGCATATTTAAGAGTGTGCCTCCCCTTCCGCAAAGTCTGAAGTGGCAGAAACTGCTGCTTTATAGTAAATGTGGGAAATGTGGGCGGCTTCTTTATTCCCCCCCCCCCCCATTTGGAGATAAAGGAATAAAAAATTTCCCCATTTGGGGAAAAAGCAAACTATAGTGTGAAGCAATTATGGTTGGTTGGCCACTGCAGATGACACACAGCTCTGTTTCTACTGTTCAACACTAAGGAAGTTGTTTATGTTCCGAACTGGTGATTTGAGGCAGCAATGCACAAGATGAGAATTAAAAAATTGATATTTAATCCAAACAAGACACAAGTGCTCCTGGTCAGAAGATAGACCGATTCTGGAATAGGGATTCAGCCTGTTTTGGATGGGGAAGAAAGCTTTGGCATTCACCTATAAAGTCCTAAATGGTTTAGGTGCAGATTGACTAAAGGACTGCCTCCTTCCAGACGAGCTTGCCTCTTGCCTAAGATCTAGTGGGGAGAACCCTCTCTGTATCCTACTTATAGAAGAAACATGGATGGTAGGCACCCAAGAGAGGGCCTTTGATGTGGCCACACCTAGATCTTGAAACACCTTGTCCTTTTAGGTTTGAATGCCTCCCTCCCTGGACAATTTCATCAGTTGTTGAAGACCTTTCCATTCCAGCAAGCTTTCACTGCAGGATAAGAGTCTGTGTTGGATAAGAGACTATCAGTTATTTGTCGTGCCTGTTATATCTGTATTTTATTAATGTTTTATTGTGTATATATGTAAGCTGCCTTGAGTGAGGTGTAAGCCTTGGAAAGGCTGGATAGTCTTAGTAAATAAATAAATATTCTTATTTAAATAAATACAGTGGTACCTCGGTTTTCGAACATAATCTGCTCCAGAAGACCGTTCGACTTCCAAAACATTCAAAAACTGAAGCATTTACTTACAGAAAACTCAATACGGAAGCCACGTGGCATGTTCGACTTCCAAAAAGTATTTGAAAACTGAAGCAGTTACTTCCCGGTTTTTGGCATTCAAAAACCGAAAGGTTCAACTTCCGAGACATTTGAAAATCGAGGTACCACTGTAAATAGTTATTAGAGTGAAGAGGTTCATCATATTTTTAGATCAGCGTTGCCAATCTGGATATGTCCTCACTGCCAAAAAAATCTCCCCCCTCCTATCCCTGGAGCAGTTTGGCAGTTTAAAGAAGTTTCCTTTTCAGAAAGGAAACTAATAAGATGATGAATGAATGCATCACTGTGTGAATGATCATGAGGCACTTATAAAAACAAAATAAAATGTGGAGAACCAATCTGAAGCATGCGGGAGGGGCAATACCAGGGTTCATTTTGCTGGTGTGCACATCATTTCAGTTGCAAACCTGGGTGGAATCCAAGCTCACACTACTGCTGGAGAATCTGCTATGAGGTCTAGTTCCATATATTATATCTGTCCTCATTGCAAAGTGATATTCACTCAACCATTGCTGAAAATCAGCAGCTCAGAACCTTAATCTTGGAATCCTTAACTGGACCCTTCACTGAGCCAGTAATGTCAGTCATTGGGAAGTAATTATTTTAACTGATACCATCAGGCTTCAGATGCAGAACTAATGAGACTTGTTCATGGCTTTATAGTCAGCCTGATTTAAACTGTAACTGGTTTTAAGTTATGTTTTTATGACTTCTATTAGATTTTATTGATTAGTAATGACTGTAATATCACTGTGTTCGTTTTAATTATTTTAAGTGTCCACAGCAGTGGGAGCCCTCTATGGTGATGGGAACTTATCAGATGAATCAGTGAGTTAATTAAATAAATAGAAATAACCAACAGACAAGCTCATCTCTTAACTCTGCGTTCTTCAAGAACAGCCAGATGAATTTCCCATGGGTTAAGGGAGGATACCGGAGGACCTTAAATTGCTTGCTAGTACACCTCATCTTTCCTCCCTCTCGTACCTTGGTCTGCTCCTGTAGCTTCCACCCTTGCATGACTGTACTCATATTATAGTTGCTGTCTCCTGTGTGTCCTCCACAACTTCCCCCAATCTTCTTCGTGGGCTTGGGAAGCGAGAATGGGAGATAGTTTCATCAAGTGAGCAGAAATGCTTGCACTGGAAGAATAATCAAATTAGTATAGTGCTAAATTGCACCCATAGAATTCTTCCTAGAAAACCTTACAAGTCAAGCTGCACATTTTCTGGTAGTGCTACATAACTTCTTTAATTACCCTTGCTTTATTTTATAGTTGTGCTGAAGTCTTGATAGCACTGTTACCTACTATGGACCCTTGGAAATGTTTAGCTTCATCTTGGTTGTCTGTATATTTCTCACACTATTATGCAGTTTCTGTAATTTGTTTAACGCCTTAATTTTATGTCTTTGTTTTAGTGGTGTGCCTGCTTGCCTACCATCTATTTTTCACGATGTTTGTGTGGTCTTACTGGAAAACAATCTTTACATCACCAATGAATCCTTCCAAAGAAGTAAGTTATGGTGTGGTGTAAGAAAAACGCCTTTGTTAATTTTGTTTCTGGTGCATAATATCCCCATTTTTTAAGGTGTAAATAACACCTTGTATGAATTCATTATCTCTAGATTCCATTCACCTGAAGGCCAACAGTTAGCAAAACATGGTCATTATTGATAGTTGCAAGCATTTTACATCTGGGTGAATAAAATCACAGTGTTCTGTCGTGCACTTTGGTTTGTCTGTCTGTTGTTTGAAATATTTTTACCCAGCTCTTCAGCAAAAAGAAAAAAGAAAAGAAAAAGGCAGTCCTTGCCTTCAAGCTTACAATCCAAAAGGCAAGACACATAAAGAAAAGGACTGCGAATGAAAGAGGAAAGAAAACCGAAGCACTTGGTCTTAATTTTTTTCAAGCTTAGCAATAGGACATGATAACTTAATTATGTCTCCTATTGAGACTATTTGAGGGTTGAAAAGGTTAACTTTTCAAACTGTCTCACCTGGGGTTGAGAGGTGAATAATATGGAGCACTGAGAAAGTTAGGCTGCAGGCTTCCTGTTTCCAGTGCGCCAGGAATGCAGTCTCTCCCAACACCGAGAGAGAGAGAAAGACTGAGATAATCAGATAATGATGAGGGAATTTCATTATCTGCATTCCTCTTCGGTTGGAAGAGGAACCAGGGTCTCACCCACAGTTTGCCTGGCGGTCTGGCACTCGCTTCCCCATGGAATGTGAAGGCAGGCAAAGGAGCTGGGTTTTATTAAAGTTTTGCAAGTTTTATTAAAAATATCTGCACACTGAGGTTGGAAGAAATTGGAATATAATATGGAATTTAACAAAATTGGAACTGTGTGAGTGAGAGAAAGAAACTGAGAGGGAAGGGGGGAGAGAAATGCTATGCTTTGAAATTATAGAGCAAAATCCTTCCTAACCTCCAGTACCACAAATGAATGTGTTCAAGATAAGGATAATTGGCCATAAATCAGTGCCAGGGAGGAAAGGAGTCTATCAGCAGCGGGAATAAAAGTTTTTGGATTACTATCTGCAGTCTGGATTCAGACCATTCTTTCGAAGCTGGAAAAATGGCAAAGACGACTTGTTTACTGGAATCCGAATCACGGGACGAAACAATGCAGTGACCTTTGGAAACTGTGAGATAACAGCATGATGGGAACCATCAACAGTTGCAGGAATGAAGGATACAACACCATATATGGATGGGGAAACATCATGGAAAAAACTGCCATATGCAAGAAAGAATAAGGATTACAGCTAAAGTTCCTCTCTTGAAACTTTATAAATTATCTATTTTATCAACACAAATAGAAATCGCAAGATTGTAGCTGTTATATAAGGGATTATTATATTTGAATGTAAAGTAATGGAAACTATTAAAATTTTGCAATGCAGAAAAAATGTAGAAGAATGAACTCATCAACTGTAGCTTGCAAGGGGCAGAGTTTAAATTGTAAAATTCGACATTTGAAGAATTGGCATTAATAATTGTATTAATTGGATAAAATTGGTATTGTTAAAATGAGGCTGCTATTGGAACGATACTGGAAAATCAATAAAAATATTTTTTTTAAGAAAAAGAGAGTTAGGCTGCAATCCTAACCCCATTTACCTTAGAACAGTCTTTTCACTCATCCTTTTCCCACAAATAAATTAACAAAATGAATAGCATGAAGTAATTTATGATAGTTTCCAGATTACACCTGGTTTTTGGGAGGCGCACACATATAGCATAGAATTGTAGAGTTAGTAGGGACCCTGAGGATCATCTAGTCCAACCCCCTGCAATGCAGGAAAATGCAGCTGTCCTGTACGGGGATTGAACCTGCAACCTTGGCTTTATCAGCACCATGGTGTAACCAACTAAGCCATCATGCAAATCACCTGGCACATCATAACCATGTATTCAAGATGTGTAAGAGCATTTACCTATTATTGTGCTACTAATTCAGTTTCCTTTTTTTCTAGTACCACCTGACCTATGCAGATAAGGAACTGTTAGACAGAGAAACTAGAAGTGAAATCCATCAGGAAGTGCTGAGGAGAGCAGCCAAGGACCTCCCCGTCTACACAAGAACAATGTCTGGAGGTAAACAGTTGTAAAGATTGAAGCGTTTCCACTCCTAAACTCTCTGGAAAATTATTGTTCTTCCTGAGGGAATTCTCTTAGAAGAGATGCCTGTAAAACTCCCTTTCTCTTGTGCTTTGTATGATCAACTTAAAACAGATTGGGAGTGCCTGCAAAGCCCCTTTCAACCATGTCCCGCCTTTACCTGGGGGCAGATGGGAGTGGCTTGCCCAAAACATGCTCACAGGCCAAATGGTGGAGGCCTGAAAGGCTGGATTTGGCCCACAGGCCAGAGGCTCCCCATTCCTGGGCCTAGATACATTTGAACACCATCTGGGTAAATCATGATAACCTCAATCCAGTTAGGGGCTTTACAAGCACAGAAGCTGTCTTTGTATGCATGCCCCTAGCTAGTTGGAGAATTGTATGTGTCACTCATCAGCCTGATGTAGCAACTAGCCTGAGAATTGGTGGTAACACTGACCAGCCCATGGCAGGCTTCCTCAGTCTCAGCCCTCCAGATGTTTTTGGCCTACAACTCCCATGATCCCTAGCTAGCAGGACCAGTGGTCAGGGATGATGGGAATTGTAGTCTCAAAACATCTGGAGGGCCGAGTTTGAGGAAGCCTGAGCCATGGAGAGTGTGTGTGGATTTAGTCCTGTTCCCCTTCAAGCAGCCAGTTGATATGATTGCCAGTAATCTTTCAAGCTACATGAGTGCAAAGTTAGTTTTGGGACAGTGACTAGCAGTGCAATCCTAACCATGTTTACTTAGAAGTAAGTCCTATTTAATTCAGTGGAACTTTTTAAGGGTGGTTAGGACTGCAGGCTTAAATCAGCTCATATTTTTCACCTGTTATGGTTAGAAATATGACATTGTTAGCAAGTTAAGACATGAAAAAGAAACATAAACCCTCCCCCCCTTACTGCATCAGTTTCTGGGACCAGCAGAACAGTAACGTTTATGTTAAACAGAAGTCTTTTTCTGTCTTTGCAGCAATCAGATACTGTGACAGATGCCAACTTGTAAAACCAGACCGTTGTCATCACTGCTCTGTTTGTGATAAGTAAGAACAAATACTGCAAGGCTATGTAGCATTTCTGTTATTGCTGAAGGAGTTGAGAAATGAAAATTACCTGCATGGATTACTGAAGAAATTATATATACTTAAATACAGGTTTTTTCTTTTATTAATGGTTATTATTTCTTTATAAAGCAGTACTTGATTATTTATTCTCTCAGTGTGGAATTCTGCTATTATTTACATGTGTGGATAGCCCGGTGATCTCACTGGGACATAACACCTGAGTAACTCATTGAAAAAATTGTATGCTTAATATTTGAGGCATTTCGTTTGGCATAGACTATTAGCTATCACTGCAAGCTTGATACTGCCGATTATATTCTATTATTGTTGTTTGTCTTTTTAAAGATGTATTTTGAAAATGGATCATCATTGCCCTTGGTAAGTAACCATGTTACTTCATCACTTTGGATAGATAATATGGGAAACAAACGCTGTTTCCTGATGATGAGGGGTGAAAAGTTTCACTCATAAGATCTGAGGAAATGGCATGACAAGATCTTGTGGCAATAGCACAGCATTTTTGGGGTAGTAGCCTTGCAGCAACGGTGATAACTATTGGAATGGAATCACCTGTTTTTTGCTTTTGCTTTTATTTTTGTTAAACAAGGTATTTGTGTGTGCTATCTTGGAGAGGAGTACCACATAGTCTACAGCTAAGGAAAATAGAAACATTTCATAAAATGGCAGGGAATTGTTATGAAGGAGAAAAGTGACACCTGTGGTTTACATGGTTAGTTTTTCAAGTATTAAAAGGTTATGTGAGAACTCCTGCTAGATTGGGACCACATTCTTCAAAAGAAATCTAGATATAGATTTTTAATCGTCATTTTAATTTTAATTTTTAAAAAACAGGAATAAAAAAAAGAAATTGTCAAAATAGCAATTTATGCCAGGGAAAAGGAGTGTCATTAATCTCCAATAAAATAGCAGCATACAGTAATCCAGAACTGGTCAGGGTGGTCTCCTGATGGTGTTGCATTTTAATTGCCATCAACCTAGCCAGCAAAACTCAGAATATGTAGTCCAACAGATTCTAGAAGACACCACAACGGCTATTGTGCACAGATATTTTTGGCATTGGAATTCCATCTAGAACAACCATGGAAGCCGAGAGAAAAGTAAATCTTTTCAACAATAATTTTTTGAAGTTCATGCATGGGAAATATGGATGTATTTTAGTGCCTGAGTCTACTGAAGCTATGATGTGCTCCTTGTGCAAAGCCCAGGGAGAACATCTGAAAAAGCCCAGATGCCATTGGTATGCAAGTGGTTCCCTTTGAGGACAGGCATTTTTATGTTTGCAATATTCCTCAGCACCCAGTCATTACTGCTTTAGATAGAGGAATTTCATTGATTATAATGGATTAGAAAGGTGGGAGGTAAATACATAGTTTGAGGCCTATGAAGAAATATAAATGAAAATTAATTATATGTGTGTATTTTCAGTGATGCAAGCTTCTTTTTCCCTAGGGTGAACAACTGTGTTGGATTTTCCAATTACAAATTTTTCCTTCTTTTCTTGGCATATTCTCTGTTATACTGCCTTTTCATTGTTGCAACCGATTTACAGTATTTTATTAAATTCTGGACAGTAAGTTTTAAAAGTATTTCATGTTTCAAATATTTAGCTCTGTAAACATAAACATGTTGACTGCTTATATATAGGGTACAATCCTAAACACAATTACTAGGCAGTAAGGAAAGTAAACCCTGTTGGATACAGTGGGAATTATTTTCAAGTGAAAACGCATAGGATTGTTCTGCTAACTAATGTTCATATATTATCTATTTTTAGACTGTAGTGAACCACCCTGAGATCTACGGGTATAGGGCAGTATACAAGTTTAATAAATAATCATAAAAAAATAATAATAATTTAGCAGAGTTCTACCTCAGTTTTTGTAGTCACGGTTAGTGGTTATGATTTGGTAAGGGAGAAGAAGAGTAATAAGCTTAGTTACAGGTAGGTAGCCATGTAAGAGTAATAAGCTTGTTAATGCTTTGGGGAGGAAAAACCTGTCGTTTTTATGCTAGCTGACAAAGATCAAAAGCATTTTTAAAAATGGCATATGGCCTACATTCACTGTTAAAAGCCACTCAGGGTTGATGCTAGGTTTGATAGGGCCTTTGGTGGCAGTGACTCTCTGTCCGCCCCTTTCCTTTATCTTACCTGACAGGCAGGCTCAGCAGCAAAAAGAAAAAAGCCTATCTAGTAGCAAGTGTAACTTCGGACACCTGCCTTTTTAATTCATTGATAATGCCTCTGTTGCCCCAATGGAGCATCACTCTGGATCAATGCTATGTTGGGGCCTCAGTGGCATTGTACGGGAGTTAAAATGGTGGGCCACAGCCAGGTTCAGTGCTGAGAGAAGCAAGCATTGTAAACTTTGTTTAGTTGCGCTTGGGTTGTACTGAAATCTATGTTAACTGTTATTTTAGTCCAAATTAATTTAGCAAAGGAATTTAACTAAAACTGATTTACTCTGGATTCATATTCAGGCCACTGCTGAACTACCATTTAAGGTGGTTGTCGCATATCAGGAATCCTGTCTGAAAACGAGAAGTTACACAGGGAAAGAATGCATAATTACTGAGGCATAGTAATTATGAGTACTGTGATACAGTACGAAAACGAAACAGTGCTTATTAACAAAATTAGCCTTACTTCCTGAGGCTGTGATCCATTAGTACCCATAGAATATTTACCATATACAGTCATACCTTGGTTTTCGAACAGCCTAGTTATCGAACGTTTTGGCTCCCGAACATTGCAAACGCGGAAGTGACTGTTCCGGTTTTTGAATGTTCTTTTGGAAGCCAAATGCCTGACAGGGCTTCCATGGCTTTCAATTGGCTGCGGGAGATTCTCTCCCGCAGCCAATCAGAAACCACGCTTTGGAAGTTGAATGCTTTAGAAGTCGAATGGAGCTTCCTGCAGCCAATCAGAAGCCACGTTTTGGAAGTCGAATGGACTTCCGGAACGGGTTCCGTTCAAATTCCGAGGTACGCAACTGTATCTTCCACCATTCTCTCAAAGTATTACGGGTGGTGTATTTGGGTATGTCCCAGTAATTCTTGAATAAAATTTCCTTAGCAATTAGAGAAGTTCAACATAGGTGATAAAAGATCCTTTCTTTTATTTCCCTTATAAAGCATTGACATTTCCCCCCCCCCTTCCTCTCTTTATAGAATGGTCTTCCTGATACTCAAGCCAAGTTCCATATTATGTTTTTATTCTTTGCCGCAGCCATGTTTTCTGTCAGCTTATCATCTCTCTTTGGATATCACTGTTGGTTAGTGACCAAAAATAAATCAACATTAGGTGAGGATTCATAATTTGATTCAGTCCATATTCTGTGAACGGTGTGCACTGCTTTGAATGGGCTGAGGAATGTAAACATATCTCTTCCCTTTCCAGAGGCATTCAGAGCACCTGTTTTTCGACATGGAACGGATAAGAATGGATTTAGCTTGGGATTTGACAAAAACCTAAGACAAGTCTTTGGGGATGAGAAAAAATATTGGTTGTTGCCAGTGTTTTCCAGGTAGGTGTTGTATTGAGAGAAAACCAGTTATGTTTTGAAACCAACAATGAAATTTGAAAGAGTTTTTAATGCTGTTCGCCTACTTACAATGTTGTTTCATTTTACTTTTCAGCCTAGGTGATGGATGCTCCTTTCCTACCTGCCTTGTTAACCAAGATCCTGAGCAGGCTTCTACTCCTTCTGGACATAGTTCTTCAAACAAAAAGTAAGCCTATATTTATTCCTTGTCAAGTTTCCACTTACCTTGTTGTTTTTTGTTTCTTGCCTGCTGCTTAGATAGTAGTCATATTAACATTTAAGTGTACATTGGCATAGAAGCACTCTCACAAGTAGCATTTGAGACACATAACTAATGACCTTGTACAATCCATAATTCTTGATTGTAGATGCAGAAATGACTGTACATTCTTCTATGTGATCGTTTTATACACATACATGCTCCATATTTTTACAGAGAGGAGAATGTTACTCTCTCCAGTTCCTGAGGGCAGGGACCATCTTCGTGCTGGTTTTTGTAAGCCACTCTTGAGAACATTTTCAGCAAAAGGGCAGGGTATAAAATAAATAAGTACTGCATTTAAACAAACATGGTACCCATCATGCAGCACATGAATGCTGCATTGTGACAAAGCATGGCAACCATACCATATGAACACTTTAATACCTTGGCTATTATCCTATCTCTATGAGGAGTTGCAAACCTCTAGCTTGCATCTCCTGCTGCTCCCTCTAGCACACATGCATCAACAATTCAGACTAACCTGTTTAGGCACTGGAATTCATCAAATGCACCAGGAAACACAGAGCACCCAAGTTGAAATATTTATAGGAAAAATAAAAACATTGGTAATGAGATTCCTCACCCTAACCTGGCGGTCTTCTAACAATATTTTTGCTCCTCCTTCAACATTTTTGTCATTGAATAGTGAGAATAGTCATCATTTTCCTGCTAAACCATTACGAGACTCCCAAAGTCATCTCCTTACTGACTCTCAGTCTTGGACAGAAACCAGCGCAAGTATTGAAAATAACAAATCGGGTAAGAGATTATTGTGGGTTTTTTAATACTGTGATGTTTTCAGGGTGACTTGCTTGCAGGCCTAGCTTTCAGTCCGGTTTGAAAACAAAATAAAATTTACGTACATATCAAAGCAGATACTATCCAAGCAGTTCCTTTATACCTAAGCTCTAATTTGAAACCTGCAACTTTCTGGGCAGTGAGTGAATTAAAAGTAGGGGATGTCTGGCAACAAAAAGGGGAATATATTCTGTTGAAATAAACATGCATGAGAATGCAGCACAGCTTGTCCTTTTAAAAAAAGTTCCCTGAATCAGTTGGGCATTGGTATCTTTATTACACATACCTGCTCTATGGACCACAGGAGTCTTTGGATTTCTGATTTTGAGACCTGTTCATTAAGTATAGAGACCTCATACAGATGACCAAACTCCACAAGAGGCATTTATAATATTTTTGACTTCTGATATGCATGCAACTGTTTTATGTAGGCTATCTGAAGGACAATATTCTCATATTTGTCATATTTGTCAAAGCCTTGCCAAGATCTGTTCCACTGCAGACAATATCCATTGCCCATAGTATCATATATTTTAGAGAAATTAAGGGTAGCAGCAACAGATGTATGTTGAAGGGATGTAGAATTCTGCTGCTGAGGCTCTCTGGTAAAAAAAATAGGAACCACTGCTTCAAAACATCATTTTATTTTTCAAAGGTATGACCAATCCTGCACTAACGATGGAAAATGAAACCTAGTCATGCAAGTACAAGAGAGAAATTCTGGATCTTTAAAGTAAGTTGTTCTTTTTAAAAATAAACTTTCTTGACACTTTTATAATTAAATAAATTTCTCTTTTATAATCTTCTGTAGTTCATGATCTGCATGTGATTTAGATTGTGGACACGATAGCCATTACATCAGAACCCTTTGTTTTTCATACTGGTGTACTTTAATGCTTTGTTGTAGTTAAGAATTGTTGATGAGAGGATGAGGGATTCCTCGACAACATCAGCATCCATTGACCAGCTGTTCCAGTCCACTGCAGCGTGGATGTGCCAGAAGATATTTCAAGATCTAATTTAGCTGTCTCTGTATCATCACTTGAAATATAAGACCCGTTACCATCTCTTACATGTATGAAAAGAATGTTTTGGGTAACACACATTATTGTTAAAATTCAAAAGGAATGTCTTGAAGATTACACACTGGGGAAGCAGGTAGTCTTTCCTTAAGACGTACAGGACAACACCTAGTCCTTTTTAAAGGACTAGGTTAAAAGGGGGATTTTTGCATTGGCATCGATAGCTCAGGTGAGTGTAAGCTATTTTCATATAACCTGAACCTGCTCTTGTGGCAATTCTTGAATCTTTTAAGTTTTGCCTCTGGTTTCCACATACAAGTTATCTTTAACCATGCGAATATATTCTCAACTTTTATCAATTGATTTGGGCAGCTTAGTAGGCTAGAATGATTGGACTATATTTTGAATCTTACCTTCAGCTGAGTTCGTCATACTTTTAAATTTAAACTAACCTCCGTTAGATAGGTTGGATAAGTTTTAGGAAAGGTTTTGTTTGATGCTAATATAATAATCCCCCCAAAAAACACTTTATACATGAATCACCTACTTCTAGCTAGGCTACAATTTCTCTTAAATCATACAGGGGAAGCAGAAGACGAACTCCATCCTCAGTTTACGTGCATGTAAAACATGATCGGAGCAAAGTTTAGTGAGACTATAAATGTGTGATTGTTTACTATTCAGTTATTCAACCTTATTAGGAGTGTTTGATATTAATATTCCTTGAGACTGCTAGGCTTCAAAAGCTTAACCTAAATTTTGTGCCTTTAAGAGGCTCCATTTTACCTATATGAATCTTTTCTCAGTTTGATTTAGCATCCTTAAATTGCTGCATTCCTCATCATTACCCTGATGATGTACATATAAGATGTATATTATCATGTAGAACATACTAAAATTAATTACTGTGATGACTACACTGGATTATGAAGCCAAGTGGGCTTGCAGAGACCCTTTTTATTTTAAAGGAAACTAACAGTTGTTTAGGCTTTTGTAGGATTTGTCAGATATTTCTGAAGCCAAGAAAACTGAAGTTTCATAATACGTTTTTTATCAGTGCCTTTGCATGCACGGTATCTCAGATGAAATTATATACATTTAATGAATCACATAAAATACATTGTGCTGTTTACATAAAATAGGTGGTAATATTTAATTCCAAGATGGTTTGTAGAAGTTGGTAATATTATGAGCAGAGGAAATTATACGTAACTCACAAGGGTGCATCTGTGAAACAAATTGCCACTTTAAAATCAGTTGGGTAGTCAGATTTTTAAATTATTATAGACACAGTAGGATGCATATCTGGCTCCGTGACTTACCCTACAGCTGCAGTTGCACCAAGTAAAAATATTTTTCAAAAGCATGAGGACCATTAGAGCCCAGTTCCTGAGTGAATCACTGTTAATGTTTTTCTGAAACATTAAGAACGTTATTTCCTATTCTTCAGGCAGCAAAGAAGACTTGGAGGATTACTTCAAAATTATTCACCCATGTAAATAAGGTTCTATTAAAGTGAAATGGTATGATGTCTCTGACATCATTGCCATTATAACTGGAAGGCCGCCCCCCCCCCCCCACGCAACCCCTATCTACATTTTAATCCAAATGAGTCGTTACAGGTTCAATCACCAGAAGTGCCAGAATATGACCCTGGGATATTTGAGATCATTGTGATCTGCATTACATAGTTTTACACAGTATGTGCAGACATGTTTTGCAGCCAATAGTTTCTATAGCATAATGTTGTATTTACTTAGTGTTCAATGTTGGAAGTGGTCATGAGAATCACAGGGACTGAATGGGAAAGACTGGTACTTTCATTGCTTTATCATAATGCACATTGTGATGTGTATTCTGGTTATGCAGGGCTGCCTTTGATACTTTACCAGCATTCATTAAAATGTGTATAAAATGAAGGGGAAAGCTGAAATTCAGTTTTCATGGGACACATTTATTACAGATAAAATCTATCTTATAGTATTTTTCAGTAAAATTCAGACTATCAGAGCACATTTTAAATATGGCTCACATTGCTGCATCATGGAAAGGAAGACTGATGACTGTGTCCGATTCCAGTATTTAAACATACCTCCTGGGAAAGTGGGGTTCATGCAAAAGATTGAGCCAGCCTATGATGGGTGTAAATGCATTATCATGATGCACTTTTTCCAGCTAATTCAGATGTCACACATAATTATTGAGGTAGGAATGGCTGTTATACATCCTGACCGTATTTTCTTGAATGTAAATATCAGTGCTATCTGTGAACGATGGGGCTTCACAATAAAAGCGTGTGGGATTAGGGAGTGAGCAAATAGCAGAAGTGGGTGTCATAGATAGTAAGTAGTGATGTAGGTATGGCTACTGCAGAATTTTAGATTAGCTCTATGACTTCCTGTTTCTGGAAATGCAAATTTCAAATTCCTTCATAAATTATAGTACGGGAGAAAGGAATCTTTTCTCACTCCACCTCCACCTGCATGGCTAAAACACTGATTAACTGAAAACTAGGACTCTCACTTTAATTAAAGACATTTTGGTCAATTGTGTGGGTTTTGGGTGACTGGTCAATTTAATCTGCTGATTAAATTTGCATAAACTTTTACACAGGTAAAAACAATAATTTTGAAGGAACAAATATACTTTTGTTTTTAGATGAACTATTCCCTCCAATGTATAATGGAAGGGAAATGTCTCTTAAGAAGCTGCTTCTGTCTTAAGTTTGTAGAAGTAATTATGTTTTCAAATGTCTGTTTTTAAAGCTGCTGCCCTATTTAGCAGAGGACACAATTTTAGGTGATTAAAATGTTTGAGTGCTTTGATTACATGATCAATCATTGCAGCCCTATTGAAACATTTTGGTTATGTGCCAAGGATTCAAAATACTCCTTTTAAATGGTTTCATAGTTCAGATTCCATTACAGCACATAGGGAGTAACACGTCACTATATGAAACAAAATATTAATACACCCATTAGGAACTACATGGTCAGCCTATGTATTGAATTCTTTCCTTCAGAATTAATAGTTCTTATTTAATGTGTAAAACAGTATGTATTTCACATATGCCACTATTATATGGAATGCAAAGTACTAGTAGATATGCTTCTAGTACGTACAAATATATATGCCTACAGTGCTAATAGTACTATGATTGTGCTATACATTGCTTTTACACAATTGCTGGCTTATCCCATCTGCCCCTTTTTCAGGTGAAGATTTTTTTTCAGCCCCAAATGCATTTACATTTTAATAACCCCCCTGTATGTGCTGCACACAAAAATTTCTAATCTTCCCAAAGCATGGGTGATTGCTGTTTAGCAGGTGATCTGTTACCTTGCCTGTTAATGTCACCTCTAGGAGCACTGGGAGTACTTGTACTAACTTAAAAAAAATAAAAATCAGACTGATCTGTAAAGTAAAGCCATGTCCTATGCATCCAGGGCACAAAGGAAAGTGAGCTGAGAGACAGCACAGGGAGTACTTGACTCTAGCTTACAATAAATTTTACGAGTGTGCTTTTTCACCTTTATGAAGCTGGCAAAGGAGGGACAGTGTGACCCATCCATGTTCAGTTAGCAAATGTTGTTTATTTTTGCAGGCTCGTAGCTTTCAGGTTATTTCACGAAGGTAAAGGTAAATGGGACTAATTAAGAGTTTGCACTGCCTAATCCTTTGCTAGCTTCCATCTTTACATTGTGAACACCAAGCAATTTCGAGCTAGCCTGTCAAGATAATGTTTATATCTTCTCCCCACCTCAAACCTCATCTAACCTAATCCTTTATGGACTAAAAGGTTTGGCAGAACTGCAAAACTCACACAGGTCATCCAAGACAACAGACAATACAAAATGTACAAGTTGAGAGTAAAGCTAAATAATGCTATAGATTACTGTGTTTTGTTTTTTTCAAATTGGTGACAAGGTACTAATTTTGAAGATACAGCTTTTTAAAAGTCCTAAATAATTAAAGCTAAAATTCTGACCTAAGGCCAGAAATGTTTTTTACTGCTTTAATAGAGGATGCACTGTTACAATGGCTTTTAAGATGGACAGTTTAAGACAAGACAGTTACTTGTTTTCATAGATTACAACCTGCATTATCCCCAGCCAACACTGCCAATGGTTAGGGATGATGGAGGTGTGGTCCAGTGAATATCTGAAGGGGTACAGCTCTCCCATACCTGCCAAAGAAGAAACTTCATGTGAATTGCAGATATGTTGAACTAGTTAGGAAATAATTTGTGGGTAGAATTTGTTCCTACTCCTTCTCAGTGTTTTCACCAGTGCCAAGACCACTGCTTCAGAGACTTACTGTTATTTAATGCACCAGAAACTGTAACGATTGGGACTCCTTCAATTTGCAACATAGGAAAACTATTTCAAAACTTGACAGGATTTTGTTCTGGTGTTTAACTAAAGTAAGAGCTGTAACATTGCAAAAAACAAAAACACCCTTTTCTTCCCCAAATCTACAAGCCAGATGCAATTAAAGAATGAGACCTGTCACTGAAGACACTATACACAGCTCAAAACCTATTCTGTATTGAAGGGGGGAAACATTTGGGTGTGAAAGCTCCTTGTCAGTACTGTACATCTCAACATTCCAAAAACAGCACTTGTATAACTTTGTTACCCAGTTGAATGAAAGTGGGCAATGATGGAACCCAGAAAATATCTGTATATTGCTCCACAGAAGTTACAGTTTTTTTCGCCCCATAGGGCGCACTGCCCCATAGGACGCACCTAGCTTTGGGGGGGGGGAAATAAAGAAAAAAAATTATTTCCCCCCCAGGCGCGGGGCTGGCGCGGGGGAAGCCCGAGCTTCCCCCAATCCCAGCCCCGAGAACAGCCTGCTATCTGCAAGCCTAGGGACGCCAGCGGTAAGTCGCGCCGGTCTCCCCAGGCTTCGGAATACAGGCAGCTCTGCGCAGCCATCGGGAGGCGGGCGCGACTTCGCGCCCCGCTCCGGATGGCTGCGCAGAGCGGCGCTCGCCCCGGGACTGCAGGCAGCTCTGCGCAGCCATCGGGAGGTGGGGGTGACTGGTTACTCTATAGTTAAATTACTTTACATGACTATCAGGTGAATGTTTGTTTAAAAATGGCCAGGTGAAAAAAACCATTGTACAGTGTGACTGTTACAAATTGGCCTTTTGGACTACTCAGGGTACTGCGATTGGACAAACTTTACTTCACCTCTGAAAGGAATCAGTTTTTGAGGACACAGATGACATTACTCTGTAGGTATGCTCTGCTGGTGATTTGTTTGCTCCTCTTCCTGCTTTACTTCTTCAGTGATGCTGTCAAGACTTTTGAAGCAGAATGAGGAGTCCTAGCTTCCAAAATGCTCTGCTCCAGAACTGCTTTTAACTGGGTCATCCCTGTTATGAAAACACATTCCCAATGCCTGCCTGAGTACATGTTTGCTACGAAGCAACAGTGTACATATAACTACTGGTCTTGCAAAGAAGAGCTTCTTGCATTGCTTTTGTTTGTACTCTGTAAAGCAGTATTATGTATTTTTGTATCATATCTTGCTGCTGGGGAAAATAAGAATAAAAGAGACAAATGACAAGAATTCTGCCTCTGAATTTGAGAACTGGAAAGGGCCATGTGCAACAATGCAAGCAGTGGCACTGAAAATGTTTTACTAACATGGCTAGCACGCAAAACATGCACCATTCACAGCTGGTGCAAGTTTTATCAACTGTTACCAGATACGATTTTTCCCACTGCCCAACAGAGACTTTGGTCCGCCTACTGCTGGCATTTGGTCACCAAATGGGTTTCCCATAAGGGAATGCAGGCCTTGACCTCAAGCAGGTTGCCCACTCCTACAACAAAACTATGTAAGCATATCAGCAACTGAAGCCTTTAGAACCAAATCTATCAAGTGGTCCCTCCATACCCAGAGCAAGACATGAAATAGTGGTTGTGGCAATAAGACTTACCTGTAGTTCATGGTGGGGATCAGGATCTGGCCCACCTACTCAGCCATTGGGATCACAGAGTCCCAGTTCCTAAAGTAAGTAAGATTAGTGTATCTGGTGGATGGGCATCTAGAACATACTATCTCCTACACCAAATATCAGATTATGTTTTGAACAGCAGACTGGACTGGGGACAACAAAACAGTGGAATTAAATTATTGCCGCAGGTAATAAATCCAAAGGGATTAATTGGGCACAATGATATACCAGTAAAAGCTTTCAAAACAAAACAAAACTACAAGTCTGCAGATACGTAAGAAAACACTTTTGAAGCCTTTATTTACAAAAGCTTTTAAAAACAAATAACCCTCTTATGCAAATGTCTGTTATTGTTCTTTAAAAAGGACCACCCACAGTTACATCACTGTAACTTCTTGAGGAGAGAGAGGAAAACAGGTTAAAGTACATGGTAAACAAATCAACTTAGGATTTACTCTTGCTGATTTTCAGTGTGGGCGATACACACGAAATGCTGCCACAGGCACTCCATCATTTCAGGTTAGGGTTTAGCTATTCAATACCAATTGAAGTCCTCCTGCACAACTGCTTCGAATGAGCATGCTCTGCATGGTTAAGAAAGTACTTTGTGGTCCTTTAATAAAACAATGTATTTATAAAATATATTGCTTAGACTCAAAAAAATAAACTAGCCTTACAAGCCTCCGGTAGCTTTATTAGGTACAAGTAGATTTTGTTGTTTTACAACAAATACCTTTTGTATCAGCTACCAAAAGGGCACACCTATCTTCCTTTTATTTAGCTCATTATCGAGTTGGCTTCAAATCTTTGGATCTTGTCCTCATACGGACTTGTGTTCATCTATTCAAGTAGAAAATAAATAGAAATAGAAAGTATTTGTAGGAAATAGCTTCCTGTAACAGGAATAAGGAACTGGATCCACAATGTGAACTTAAATCTTACTGCAATCTCCATCATTTCAATTATTCTGCTCAAAAGCAAAATAGGACACAGTTGTCCCCGAAGGCGGTACAGCTTGTTTCCAGATACAGGAGGAAAATTTGACAAGGAACCTCTCCGAAACACACCCTATTGAATTGAACAGAGCACAAATTAGACACCAGGCAAGAGCTTCTCAATTCAGTGGAGTACACCCAAGAGAGATTCTGATGGCACCATCTAGTTATTTTCATCACACAGCAGTGCGAAACTGGCAAACTGATCGTAAGCCGGTGTGTGCAGGGCACACCTGGAAGACTGGACACCAGTTTAGATATGAGCAGCTGCTAGGATTTCAGTAGTTCTGAACAAGATTATGCAGTGAATATGAGCTTTTCTAATGAATTTGCAACTTTGTGTGTTCAACCAAGAGGATCAACATTTTGTCTGGGCCAGGAGAGGGGACAGAACCAGAACTTCAGATAAAACAGAGGATCTGACAGAGAGAGTCAGTCTTCTAAAGTGCAAATGTGATGGTCCACAACCTTGAATAGCTAAAACTCCTGTACACCAGAAGGGATAAAGAAATGTGGAAATTGGTTACAATCAGTGCTAGCTCAGTTTGGGGAAAGGGGTGGGGGAGATAATAAACCAATACTAAGACCAATTAAAGTTTACCAGAAATTTCATTATCATTTCAGCTTTCTTCTACCCGCCACGCTGCTCCTACATGTGCTTATGTACAGATGGGCAAAGTACAAGGCCACATTTAACCCAGAAATGCCTACACCTTAAGGTCAAAAAACTGGGATAGGAACAGTCAGGTTTAGTACATACAAAGGCATAAAAGGAAGTGTGCCAAGGGGAAGAGAAGGCCTTATTGTCCCAAGGGATTCAACCAGAGATAAAACCTATGTACAAGCACGTGGAGCTCAGAAAATGCAGCTTCCCATTTCATGTCATGATTGCTTGTTGGCTTCTTCTTCATATGCATTTCCTGTCCCATTCTGTACATATGAGGAACCAGAACCGAGACCGTACAAGTGACCACAGTACTTTGCATCATCAATGTGATCTTCGAAGAACATCTGGAGACAATTCAAAACCACAAGTCAGTGAGAAAGCTAAGGAGGAGAAAGCTAAGTGGCAGGGTCTATCTTGTCACAAAAGGACATTTCAGACCGCTCTGCTCGGAACAAACTGTGGCCCCACACACTTTTCTTCCATTTTTATGCATTCAATCAATCCATGAGAGGGCATACTGCTTGCCCACATCACATTTATTGGGAAAGGCTATGCTATGGACAATGGCAGAACACCTCCTTTGCAGGTAGAACATCCCTGGTTCAATCCCTGATATCTTGAGGTATAAGTGAAAAAGACTTCTGCCTGAAACCCTAGTGAGCCACTGGCAGGAACCAGCTGGCAGTAAATCACACTGTGTAAGTTTCAATTAACTCTTTATTAGTAAGAACACAATTTGAACAGACTAGGTGCTCATCCCCAGTAGGCCTTGCCCATGGATCAGTTACCAAGACAAAGTTCCCACCTCCTCACAGCTGCCCACATTCCCCTTTTTCCAAGCAATCTGAGACCGCATCTGTGAGCAGCCAACCTCTCCTCTGCCCTTTGCATGCCACTTCTGGTTCTGGGAGAGAAGGTGGGAGGGAAGCTTGTTGCAGCAGGAAGAGGAGACACCCATGACCCTTCATCAGCCAGAATCATCTCTGCCTCTTGACCTCCCTCTTCTCCTGCTTGACCCTTCACCTCTGATTCTGGACTTCTCTCTGCCACAGACTCTCCCACTTTGCTAAGCCCAGTTACCTCTTCAGCTTCCTACACCCCTTCTTCCCAGTCTTGACCACTCATTGTTGTCCCGCCATCACTCCCTAGGCTCTGAGCCTGGTTCCCCAGCTGGTTCCTCCCACCATTCCTAGTCAGTCCAGGCAGCCACTATCAGTGTCGACAGTACCGAGCTAGACAGACCAATGGTCTGACTTGATATAAGGCTGATTCCTTTGGTATGTGTGAGGCAGGTGAAGCTGGGACCTGCCTTTTGGTCAAAGGCATACACAAACTGGCATTGAGGGCAGACTGCAGAGAATAAGCTGCCACTTAGCCACTGCTTCTGCCAAAGAGAGGAACTACCTTGCACTCTGAGAAGCCTATTTCCAGGGTTAGCTTCACTAGGCCCAACCCCAGTGGCAAGTTAAATAACAATTATTCATCCAAAGGCTGATGAACCCCCAACCACCTACCTCTCTCATTTTGAAGAAGGCCATGCCAGTTAGTAGAGAATCAGATCCTGCTTGATGCTGCGGTCCTATCCTCTCCAGCTCCAACTGCTCAGCAACTTCTTGCAATCCACCCTGAAAGAGAAGATGGCAGCACAATCAGAAGATTGTAAGTTATTACCTCTGGTAATAAAACAGATGAGGAATTAGTTTCCATCCCATTTGTTTATGTAACTGTTTCTGAAGCAAGGAATGCACAGTATCACACAACCGAAAAGCCATGTTTTTTCTCGGAATCGTGATGTTAGCTAAAGATACAATTTCACTGAAGCCTTCGCAAATGAGGAAAGGAATGCCTTTCAGCACTCCTGTTTGCTTACGCTTGTATTATTGCTTTTAAACCCACTGGAAATGAAACTGAAAAGACAAATCTTGGAAGTGCTACATTGCCCATGTCAGAATCATGTATAATCTCCCCCACTGTTACAACCATGTGCAGGAGGGAGTGTCATGCGCTCAAGCCCAGGAGAAGGCCCACAAACTTGCTAAATGCCAATACTGAACAAGTCTGTATAATGCAGACATTGTGCCTGAGCAGAGATTTCTAGTGATCTGCCTAGGCATGTGACAAGCAGTTTTCAGGATGGAAGGGCAACAGATAGGGGCTTTAATAGAACCACTACTTTGGTTTAGGAAAATTAGGAGGAGACTACAAGGTCATGGATTCAATCCCCATAGGGCCAGCTGCATATTCCTACAGTGCAGAGGGTTGGACTACATGATCCTAAGTGTTCCAATTCTATGATTCTATGACCTATACAATTGGGGGGGGGCATTGCTGGGATGCATGTTTTACTCCCAAAATCCCTACAACTTACGCTCAAATGATTTAATTTTTTTCATATTCAACTACCCAAAACACTGGAGAATGAAGAAAAAGACGTCTTCAGAAATTAAGGTTATGAACTTCAAAGAGTCTAGAATCACTATAATTGCTGTACTATAGGATCCATAAACAGGAACCTTTTAATAAAACAAATGCATCAAGGAATCCAGATAAATTAAATCCTTCCCCATCCACCATTTTTGAAATGATACCATGCAAATTTAGAATATGTAGTGCATTCTTCAAGCTATACTGGCTTCAGGGACTACTCATTACGTACATAATTAATAAATGTGATGCTGATGATGTTGATAATGACGATAATAATAAAAGATCCAATGTACTCAAGTCAAACATTATTAACAAAAAAATTGCAACTCCAAACTATATTATTTCCACCCTTTGTCCAAAGATGCCAGGGCAGTGTACAACATAATCTACACAGAATAAAATTAATACACAGCATAATAATAAAATCATCATCATTACAGTCCCACACACACATTTAACAGGTCATATACTATATAATGGCTGATGGCCTGAGTAAAGAGGAATGTTTTTGCCTGGTGCCTAAAGACATGTAATGATAGCACCAGGCAAGCCTCTCTGTGGAGAGCATTCCACAGACAGGGAGCCACCACAGAAAAGGCCCATTCTCATCTTGTCACCCTCCGAACCTCTCAGGGACGAGGGACATAGAGAAGGGACTTAGATGACAAGCGCAGGGTCCAGGTTGGTGTACATAAGATCTAATGCAAGGATAAGGAACCTCCAGAGCTGTTGGACAACTATCCTATAATCCCTGGTCATTCGCTACGCTGGCTGGGGCTGATGATAGCTAGGTCTAACTCTAGCAGTTTATAGACAACACCGTAAAGGTAGAAGACGAGACAAAAGCTGACTTGTGACATTCTTCATCCATAAAGAACTTTATTCCTAAAAATGTTGTTTAATCTCTGTAAAAAGGCATTAGGGAATTTACCTTGAGATTTTTGCAACTCTTCATAAGATACTTCACATCATAAATGACAGGGAAAAATAATCTCAGAATCTCAAAGAAGTCCAGCTCTTCCTCAGGTAAATTGGAATTTGTCAAGATCTTGATCAAATAACCAAAATCATAGCCACTGCAAAGCAATTAGGAACAGAAACAAAACAAAAACACCTAAGTTTAGTCAGGTTGTCATTCCAGAGATTCTTCTCTTTAAAAGAAAAACTGCAAAGCCCAGGCATATGTATTCTCTTCAAGACGCTAAATTCATTATTATTAAGAAGAAAAGCAGGGGAAGTTCTGTTGCAAAGCCGGACTTGTGCCAATGGAACTACTTTGCTGGATACTGGCCAATGTAACCATCTGCAAGAGACAGTTAATCCTATAGCATACCAAATGAGTCTGTACTATAATCTTCCTTAAGAGGCTATTGTAAAAGGAAATGCATTAAATGTATATTTCACAGTGGTGATATTGTGGATATGATGACAGCCAATAAGCAATATACATATGAAGAGAATTCTTAAGAAACCTTTAAGAAATATTGCTTTTATATCTATCTACTGAGCAACTAAATCTACTGCTGTTCCCTGTTTATAGGACAGAGTATGAAATGACAATTTAAACCTACGTTCTGCTATATTTTACCAAGACCTTTTATTTAAGAGTGATAGTCAAGTCAAAATAGACCCAATGAAATCAATGAACTTTAGCTACTTAAATCTGTTGGTTTCAATGGGTCTACTTTAAGTATGACAAACACCAGATAGCACCCTAAATTATTAACTATGTTACATTACAAATTAAACAACCTTAGGTCTGCATCAGAGCTTTCCAAACTTTTCATGTTTGGTGACACACTTTATAGACGTGCATCATTTTGCGACACAGTAATTCAGTTTTATTTGCAAACTGGAGGTTAAACTAACCCCTTTCCAGCCCCAGGAGGAGTGTGGGGAGCGTTCGCACAACACAACTACACACTGCAGCCGACACACTAATGTGTTGCAACAGAGAGTTTTGAAAGCTCTGGTCTACATCAATAGTCAATAATATTTTGCAAGACAAAGCCTGTAGGTTTATATTCTAAATATATTCACTATAGTTTGACAAAATACCCATTGAAATTACCCAGTGCTCCAAAAATTCAGATTCAGCTCTTCCATCTGATACAGAATTTCTTAATTACATTCCAGGTTTTCCTAAGCTTCTGCCCTTTTGTAAAAATTTAATATTGCTTACTGAATGCCTTGCATTGTTCCTCCCATTATTTTCACAGCTAAGCCACCAATTTCCTAGGTTTCTAAGCACTCCTTTAAATCAGTAGTCATTCAACATTATCAGGCCCCAGGGCCCATTTTTAACTCAAATATCCATTTGGGGACCCATTTCTTAATCTTTTACCATATATGTACATATATGTATTCCTCCTGTTACAACCCACACATTGAAGGCCAGTGTCTTAGATCATATGAGGCCCAACCCAGTTCATGTTTACTCGTTAATTAAGTCCCACTACTTTAAAGTGGGACTTACTCCCAAGTATGCACAAGATTACTGTCTATGGCTGCAACCTAAACACACCAGTACACCCCACTGAATGCAATGGGAGCCACTTGTGTATAGATGCACTGTTAGTAAACTTACCTACAGAGTTAATGTTACTAACATCTCCTGTGATTTCTCTGATGGTATTTAATGCATCCTTCCAACCATTTTATATGATATTACACTGTTAGCACATGCATGTCAATCCAGCATCAATGGTTTGACAAAACCAACAACTGACAGAAATGTAATTATATATTCTCTTAGTTTTTGCATAATACACTAAAATTAAGACAGTCCTTTTTACATAAATTTTTACATAAATATGACTAATAAATATTCATCTGTGAGTCATAGGGGGTTTTTTTGCCTTCTCCTGCCATAGGATTACAAATTGAGAAATTTTGTGTGTCTCCATATTCAATAAAAAGTTGTTGAAAACTAGCTTGATTTTAATACACCTTGTACTTCTTTGGCAAAGGGTTAACTAGGTTCCTTATTTGCATATACTGAAAGAAATCTAGTCAAATATTATTGCATGTGATCACTTATGTATGCCCAAAATTGATCACATGTAGATCTAAAAATCTAATTAGATTTACATTTTTCCAAACAATAGAACTACTGAGTATCCTTAGAATATCAAAATCTGAATGACTCAGAATAAAAGCTATGGACATGCATTAATGTTGATAGGTTTGTATCCATCCTATATATTAAAATACTGCACATTAAAATAGTCTCCATTTATTATTCATTCTCCCTTTCTTTTCTTTGTCAATACTCCACCTGAATTACTATCCAAAGTCTCCCATTATTGGCAAAATAGTCAGTAATGCTGCATGATAACAGTTTTGTAAAGTGTAGGATTGCCAGCCCATCATTTTAAATTTTGTTTCATAAAGTGCATTCTTACATGAATTTAGGTAATACCACATGAATTTAGGTAATATTACATTTTTATCAATGTAACTCTTTCAATCACTTTAGACCACATGGCCTGCAGGGTTACACAGAAATAAAACAGACAATTAAAAATATATTATGTTGCTGAGAAATCATTAATTCTAAATTAATAATTCTGACTTATTAAAAACCACTGCTAATATTTTCACAGCCACCCTATCTTGGTCTGATATGGAGTGTTCACATTGTCATTGTACTCAAGCATTTACAATACAGAATTCTGATTCATCAAGGAAAACTGATGGATACAAGATTACTAGAAATTCAATGTGATGCCTTTTTTTTGGCCATATCCGAAGCCTGCTTGCTATGCTTTAGGAAACATTCTTCACTGCCTGCTTGTAATATTTGACCATAGCTGCCTTAAAACACAATTTCTATAAATTAATCCTCATTCACAGAAGACTAACAGAATTTTTCATGTAACATTTCAGCAGCTAAAGCAAAAGTTAAAACGGTTGGGCAGCAATTCGAACTGATCAGATTTTTAATGGGACAGAAATTGGAACAGCCAACTTATATAGCTGGATACAACTCTTGAAATTATCTACACTTATTTTATTACCAGCACAATAGCTGAATTCCAAATATTTCTAATCTATCTCCATCAACTGCTCAACCTGATAATATAATTTATTACACCAGATTTTTAAAAGCTATGTCTACTTACACAAAGCAGAACTGAAACATAGCTAATGGCCTCTTGTCTAAATGAACTTTTTCTTCTGCCATTGAAGGTATTAAAAACAAGTTCTTAAACACCTTGGGCACAAGGTACAGTACCTATCTCAGGAGCTGAAAGCCCTTTTCATTTTTAAATGGTTGGACCACTCAAGCATGCTGAAATGCAATAAGAAATGCATGAGCACCACAGATTATGTCCATAGCTGGTCTTGAACAAGATGTCCTTTTTCAAATAAGATACCTCTGTTAGCAACTTTTCCCAGAAAACTCATCAGTATGCATACAGGCCAGAACTAAAACTCAGTAAGGAACTTCCCACACAACCGCTCGACAGGAGAGAGGTATTCTTTCAAAACAGTTAACAACACACACTGTGGAATAAGCTGGCAAACAAATGTTCCTAATTGCTTTCAGCCTACTTTGTGAGCCCAGCAGTGGAGAAAAAAATTCCCCAGGTGATGAGTCTGGCTCGAATCATTAGTGTGCTTACACAGATATCTAGACTGCAGTCCAAACCCTTCAAAAGTTTATTTTGTCCTCTTGATTTAACTGAGCCTTCAGGGGTGGGGAGAAGCCAAAAGACTAGTTTATTGGCACCAGATAAGAAAATAATCCATGCAGCAACCAAATTAAAAAGTTTAATTTTTCCCCAATATTTGGCATTACAGTTAAAATAGAAGGGTTGTATTTTCCCTACCAGTATTATCATATGGGTCTTCAGAGCTGCACTGAATTTGGATTTTCCAACGATGTTAATCAACTAATTCCAGTTTTCATTTACCTGCTAAGCGTACACAAAGGGTAGAGATATGTGGCTGTTCCTTCCTCTGACCTGGGAAACTGTCAAAGCAAAATAGAAAAATACAGTGCTCCCTCTCTACAAGGCCGACACTTTAGTGCCTCATTTTAAGATACAAATTATTAGTTTCCAACTGGAGCCGAAGCGTAGAGATTTAACTTAAAAGCAGGAAAGCCTTTACGACAAAATCACGTTGCCATATCCACACCTCATCCAACCCTGACTTTCCAATCTCAATTAATGGGGGCAATTATTTGGTATTACAGTTTCAGGAAAAGGTTAAAGAACATTAGTTATATATTAGTTGTATTAGTTAATGCTGCATTTACCTATGAAATGAAAGCCACTTGACTCCTTCGCATAGCACGACACCTGACGTCATAAGAAGTTCAGCAAAGTACTGAGTCTCAATTCCTTCATCCTCATGTTTTTTGAACTGGATTCCAGATGTTGTTAATAGCTCTATTGAATCTTGGGCATACATGTCTTCTCTAGGAGAAACACGATGGGGAAAGATTCACACTTGAAATAAAGAAATCTTGAGATAAACAGTTTATACCAAAATCTAGGACAAATTGCCCATTAAATCATGAAAACGGATGAACATCAATAAAGGATCACAGCATTATTAAGGTTTACTGCTTCATCTTACAACTGTGTTCAAACATCAAGGTAAACTATAGTTAATGAACATGAAGTTAATGAACTATGAACATGACACCCTCTGGCTTTTTTTAACATTCTGGCCTAACCAGAATGTTAACTCCAGACAAACCACAACATGATGTCAAGGTTGGTTCTTAGCTTCCTGATCATGGTTTGAGCAAAACAAGCCAGGATCTCTAGTTCAGGCATAACACGCAGCCAAGGATCATGACTCGCTGCTCCTGCTTGCCCTGAGGGAGGAACAAAGTGGAAGCGATCTTTGCATTTATTGTAAGCCAGTAACTATGGTTTGCCCTGATGTGAAGAGGGTCTCTGCTTGTCCAATGAGAAGTAAATTCCACTGAGTTCTATGGGACTTACTCCCAAGTAGGTGTGTGCATGACTGTAACCTAAATTCATGATTTCTAACTGAATACTCTGCAAATTATGGGAAAATCCTTCTTCATACAGCACTCTCATTTACTTCAAGGATATTCATTTGTTTTTTAAAAAATAAAATCTTTAAGCATTCACATAAAAGCCAGAGAAAATGCAGTTGTATATCCTAAATAAAACTGAGCAATGTACCATATTTTTCACTCTATAGGACGCACTGGACGATAGGACGCACCTAGTTTGGGGGGGAGGAAACAACAAGAAAAAAATTCTGAACCCCAGAAGCCAGAACAGCAAGAGGGATCTGGCTTCTGGGATAGCCTCTTGCTGTTCTGGCTTCGGGGACAGCCTCTGAAGCCTCCGCAGGGCAGCGGGGTGCCTTCACCCCGCAGCCCTGCAGAGGCTTTGCACAGCCACCCCCAAGCTAGAACAGGGAGATGGAGCGCTGCGCAGTGATCCGTCTCCCTGTTCTGGCTTTGGGCTTAGCCGCGCAGCCTGCATTTGCTCCATAAGACGCACACACATTTTCCCTTACTTTTTAGAAGGGAAAAAGTGCGCCCTATAGAGCAAAAAATACGGTATGCAACAAAAATGGAAAAATTAAGAGGCAGACTCCAGGAAAGCTTGGGTAAATGTTAAAGAGGCTTTTAAAGGCCATCACTGTCCCTGTCTCACAAATCAGAGCATTCCTGAGGGTAAGTGCTATCACTGAGAAGGCCCATTGCTGCCTTGCCACCAAGTCACAATCTGCTGCTCATGGGACAACCTGCACCATCTTCTTAGAAGATCTTAAAGATCAGCTTGATCTACTGGCATCACAAAGCTCTGTTTGCTTCCTAGGGACTATGTACCACGAAATCCATGAAAGTGTAAACCCAACTTTGGACTGAGGTTTGTATCTTACGGCTCATAGTTTACATAACTGGTGTATCACAAAAGCTTTCTTATTACTTTGAGAGACAAGTCATATCCGAGAAGTCAAACCATCTGTTCAGCCCCAGCCTGAAAGAGTGCTAGCTGATTATGTTTGCTTAAAGACTGAGGTTGCGATTCTATGCACACAATGAACTCAGGGGAATGTAATTCCAAGTAAATATGCACTGCCCTGGACTAGTCAGCTGCAATGAGAAGCATACTAACTTGGAAGCAAATCCCAGTGCCTCCAATGGGACAGACTTCCAAGAAAACATGCTTCGAGTTGGAATGCAAGGCTGCCCTCTTAAAGACATTGCACTGCTCAATAAACAAGGTTAAGTGAATTCAAAAGCAAGTCTAGAGTTCCCTTAAACTCCCAAGTGGTGCATACAAGATTTTACATAGAAAGAAAACCCCTTCAATTTACTGGATACAGGTTTGCAAACTAGTATACATTTTTCTTATAAAAGAACTGCTGCAATTTGGCAAAATGATAGGAACATTTGCTTACAATGAAATAAGTCACCAAGCCCAATTCTAGGCTCTGCATAGCTTTTAGGGGCAAAACTATCACACACACACAAGGGAACACCTGCCCCCTTGATTATAGGACTTTGCATCAGCTCTGCTGCTTCAGTAGAGGAGCCACCACACAGGTTTTGGGGAAGAATACTCACCCACCCCACTATTTGTCCCCAAGCTAAAATTTATTCCTAGGCTGGCTAAGAATACATCAAACTGGCTTCTCCTTGCATTTAAAAGGTAATAGGACAGAGCTTTCAAGCTGTGCCCTGACTGCCTTGCGCAGGATAGTATGTCTGAATTAAGCACTTTAAGCTAAATTCTGTTAATATCACTGGGTTGTTTCTGGAGAAGCACAAGCTTTAAAGGCACTCGTGCAAGGAGAATATCCCACCTTTGCCTTCCCATTGAAATGCCATTCCTGAGGATCCAGCTAAATGAGATTTAAAAGCCTGAACAAAGTTACAAGTATAAATATACACAAACGCAGCCAAGGATTGCAACTTACGTTAAATTAAATTTAAAATTAAATTGCCATGTTGAAGTTCCTGGAGGGTATTCGCCTTGTTCATTCATGAACGTCAGCCCTAATTGAATTATCTTTAGTAAGTCCACGTTACAGCGGAGCAGTTGATACTGATAGTCTGCATTACTTCTGAATTCTCCAATAGGCCGTGCAACTACACCTGGAAACTCTGTGTCCTGAAAAATTAAAGCACAAAGACCAAAGGCAAAATATAAAAAGCTACTAAAGCTCACAAAATTTGTTTAAATGCTTCAGAAAGCCCTGAATGCTTTCCTGACAACAAGCATCAGGTGTGGGAAGACACACTCATTTGCAGTTAATCCCAGTCCCTTGGATACCAGGAAAACATTGTAGCCAAGTTGGATTATGGACTGGAACATTTGTTTGTCATAATTTTAGAATAACACTCAAATGTTGTAGTTGCAACATTAGACCTGTCAACACAGGAAGGATGGTACTTAAATATGCCATTCCATATTATGTCCCAGCCATGCCTCTTTCCCTTGCATGTTGGATTGACACAAGTTGTTAGGGCATGTCATTTTAGGGGGCAAAACTTAATTTTTGCACAATTCTTCAGTGATGGGTCTTTAAAATATGATTTTGGGTGTGAGGAATTCAAATCTGCTTTTTATGGTTTTTTTTTGTAATTGGACAACATTTAGCTTGGTAAGTCTACATTTGATGAAGAAGCACATAGACTTCTTTCGCAACACCAAAAAATTCAATTTTACCTTCTGAAAATGTCAGATAATGCTAAGTAATTATTATTATTATTATTATTATTATTAATATAACTGATTTTGTGTACAATTTTACACACAAGAAAAACTAAATTATACCTCCGGGTATAGGGTGGTATATAAATTCAATCAATAAAATCAATTTAGCCAAAATATTGTTTGAATTCCCAAGTCGTGTTTCAACTTTTCAGCACCCCTCATTCTTGGAATTTGAAAACTGAAAAATTTAACATGCCCTAACACGGTGCAACATCCGGGATAGGGAAGCCTGTGGCCTCCCAGATGCTACTGAACTCCCATAACTTCAGACCACCGGGCATGCTGGTCAGCCGGAGCTGATGGGGTCTGAATTCCATCATCATCTGGCAGGCCACAGATTCCCCATCCCTGCCTTATGTTGTGCTGATTTACTGAAGCAGACACACTGTTCTGAATTACTGCACTGGTGAAGGACTCCCATACAATCTGCTCCTAGCCAATATTTGCAATAAACAAGACTATTAAGATACAGAATATAGAGCAAATTGAAATATATAAAATGGTCATTCATAGAAATATATAGCCAACCTTGGTTGTTTACACTGGTGTAGAAACAGCACACTAGGAAAGTCATTAGTTTGTACACAAAAAACATTGTTTCTTTTGTAAATATCAGCTTGCCAAAATTTCTGGTTCAAAAAGAACTGAGGTGGGTATAAGCACATGAGAAAAATAAACTAAGAAAACTGTACTTTATTGCTAATGAGAATATTCATTTTCTCTGAGTCTGTCTGTGTTAGCTCATCAGCAAGTGTTTAGATATCTCAATTCTGCTCAGTTGAATAAGCCAGCTTCATAACCTATGTTCTGAAACTGGCCTATAAGGAAAACTTGCTAGTTTATTTTAAACCAGAAACCCTGGTTCAAATTTAACACTAAGCCAGGAATCAGTGAAAGTGAACTAAATCTGCTCATGTCCTCTTCACCGCCATGTGAAAGAAAAATGGGGTACACAAGCCCAATACATGGCTGATAATCATCCAGTAGTTTTCAGAGTGCTAAGCAATGGTTTAGTATTGCAAGCCCAGTTTTCTGTTGATAGAGCCATCTTCCATAAATGTCTGTTCCTCCTTTAAAACCATCTAAGTCAGTGACCATCACTTTACTTTGTGACAGTAAATTTCACATGTGTGAAGAAGTTATAAATCTATTGCCAATATATATTGGCAATAGATTTATAACTTCTTCACACATGTGAAATTTACTGTCATGACCCTGCATGACCCTGAGCTCTGATGTTTTGAGAACATGAAAAACTTCAGTCTGTGAAAAGAACATGTTCCCAAACCATGTAACCATATCATCCATCCTTTTCACATGATCTCTTAATTTTAAATGGTATCAGTAAAACACAATACCCATCCAGAACAACCAGCAAAAACACTGTAAAGATAACATAAGCATTGGTCCTTACTTGGGAATAAGTTTCAGATTATATGGGACTGATTCCAACTAAATATCTGAGATTGTAGTCTTCTGTTATTCTTGAATATCTAAATTATCTTCTCTACATTTTCCCCTTCCAAATAATTTTCAAGGACTAGTTCCAGCCCAAACAAAGAAGGTCACAAATATCCCAACATCATACCATGGCAACATAGTTAAACTTCCGTATAACTTGACGAATTTTCTTCATCTCTTCATCCAGGTTGCAAGCCCAAACTTCACAAATTCTTTGGCTGTGATCTACTGTAGCTGCTGGCATAGTTGGGAGGTTTCAGATACCAGACATCAAAAAGGTATATTTGACAAAGAGTCCGTTTCATAAAACAGGTTTTGGTTATATATCTAAAGAGATTTAAAAAGAAAGAGAGAGAGTTATTCCAAATTCACAAGTAGAACAAAATCCATCTATTTCAAAATCATGAAAAATGAATCTGGTAATCACATATTTCATTTATTAAAAAAGATGGTGAATGTACTGGTCTTGTTCACAGGAGCAAAATCAGATATGTTTATGCTAACTCTTCCCCATAGATACACTGATTAACAAATCATCAGAAGGCAAAGAGGTGTCTCTGGTAGAAACAAGTGGCTGTTAGATAAATGTCAACGCAATGCTGCAAAAACCTATATGTTCAGGTATCAATGAGTGATTTATTTCAATGGGACTTGCTTCCAAATATGCTTAGGATGGCATCCTTTAACAACTGACATTTAATTTACAATACCTATTTGTTCCACTCAACTTTAAATGTCTCCGTTAAGACAAGCTCATGTAACTAGTTAAGATGGATAGCAACAAAGAAGGCTGCTGCTTATACATGCACTGACACAAAATAAAATGAGACTGTGTCAGTGGGTCAAGAGGTGAGCAGGTTAACGAGAGTTTCGTGTCCTGCTGCCAAAAAGGCAAGCTCACTTCCTGGGTGTGACAAAAGGAAAATGACGGGAACAACAGCTAGATAAAGTATACCTTCTCCTGGCACAAATTTCTGCAACCCACAGTAGCACATGGAGGGTGAAACAAACAGAGAGATGCACTGGAACTTTACAAAATTTATAACTCTGCAGAAGTTACAGAACCTAGAACAGATGTTTATTACAAAAAACACCAGAAAGATTCCAGGCACCCTGTTACTTGGGAAGTGGAACATTTTTAACTAGCACATAGGAATGTGAAGTATTGCTCAGCATAATTCAAGGTTGGCTCCCTGGAATCCAAAATATTCTTCCAGTCAAAACAATAAAGCAATGCGGAGAGAACTGAGCATGCAGGTTTTCAATTGTATTTCCCACAAAGCATTTACAGCTTTGATAAAAAATTCCAAAAAAATCAGAATGCAAAGGTCACACTTATCATAGGGAAGCTGTATTTCTAAGTCCTGGTTTTTAGCCTAGTCACAGAACCATAGAGAGTGTAAGGTAGCTTCCTATATAATCCACACATGCTACCTTCCAGTGCATTAAAAAAAAATTCAGAGTGTACATTTGCTGCCACTAGATCACCACTACAAGTGTTATTTTTGAAGTATTCATGGAGAGTTAAAAGCAAAAAAATGACTACAGCAGATGTCCACGACTAGTTTCCCATAAGCTAACAACCAACACACCTCTAGTACATCCAATGCTTACACAGACATGATGTTTCTGAATGACAGAATTGACCTGCTGCATCAATGAAGATATTTTTTAAAAGTAAAATATCTGCTGCGGTGTGTGCTTTTAAGGGCCACGAATGCACTTTTGTCAGATCTATAGATGGGGCAATAACTAATTTGTTCTATCGGTGCAAAGCTTTACACTTGTGCAATGAAACTTCCTTCCCCAAGTGCCCCTAAATCCGTTAATAGGGGAATGGGTTTTCCTCATGCACCTACTACCCACTAATGCATCTTTCTTGATGGTAAAATTTCCTTACCACCCACCAGTGCTCAATGGAAGGAGGATTCAGCTTGTGCTGTAGAACCTACCGCCCACCTAGAATTCTGAAACACCCACTAGTGGATGGTAGGGACCAGGATGACAACCCCTGCTCTAGAGGGATGTTGCATGCAAGGAGAGGGAGAAATTCTGCTGCACAAGTGGAATTCCTTACTCTGGTGCCCTGAGTTAGTGGTATTCAATGAAGGTGGTATCCAACCACGTTTTACTTCAAGTAGTCCCACTAAAACGAATGGAGCTTACATTGGTTTCAGCCGGTCTACCCTGAGTAAAAACTTAGTGGAATACCAACCACAGCCATTGAGTCGGTATACTGATCTCTTTCCTCAACTACTTCAACACACACTGACACCTGCACCACCACAAATTAGTATTATTATTTATTGAATTTATATACCCGGAGGTCTCAGGGTAGTTCCCAGAGCAGTATCAAAATACAGTGGTACCTCGGGTCAAGTACGAAATTCATTCCGGAGGTCCGTACTTAACCTGAAACTGTTCTTAACCTGAAGCACCATTTTAGCTAATGGGGCCTCCTGCTGCCGCCGCGCCGCCGGAGCACGATTTCTGTTCTCATCCTGAAATAAAGTTCTTAACCTGAAGCACTATTTCTGGGTTCACGGAGTCTGTAACCTGAAGCGTATGTAACCCGAGGTACCACTGTATACAAACCACAAAATATATAACCAAAATAAAAACAACCCAGTAACAACCCCTCCCTGCCAATTGAGTCTAGACACAGAGAGAATGTAAGCAGCAACGATTGAAGAGGCAACGGGTGGGCAAGCAACCTATCCCTTTTTGTAAATACTCCTTTTGGCAATGTCTTTAGAAAAAATGGAAAAGTGGGTAGGTGGGTAGAGAGCGCGCGCATGGGAGGACGGGAAGGAGAAACTAAAAGCGCGACCCCGGCCATGCATACGGGGCTGGCAGTTGCTCGCCCATCTGGCGAGGTGCGGAGGGCCGTCGCTACAGGCCACGCTGGCTGTCGGCGTGGGGCTGGCATTGCCCTCAGGCTTTTCAAGCGCGAAAGGCCGAGGCGACAATGTGGGGTTCATTTTTTTATGCCGTGAACCGCCCTGAGGTCTGCGGGCGAAGGGCGGTATACACATGTAACTGATAGCAAGGAATAAGAATAAACGAAAAACCTCCTGCCCACCCTCCTCGCGAGGCCCACCCGAGGGAGCAGCATCCCCCGGCCCTCTCCCACTCCCCACTTTCCCTCAGGAGCGGCTCCAGCCCCGCTTGCTCCCTTCCCAACGCCCGGAAACGCCGCCGCCGCCACTTACCGGAAGAGAGGACGGCTCCTCACGCGGAGCGGAGGGAGCGGGAGGCGGGCCTAGCTGGGACCCGGCGGCGGAGGCAGCCCCAGCGCGACGACGTGCGGGGAAAGCTGCCGCTACTGCTGCCCCCCGGCCGCCCAGCGCACAAAGCCATTACGTCATCGCCGCGCGCCGCGCAGCTTCACCTTTCAACTCGGCGCGCCGGCTTCGGCCTCTCCTCCCTCTTCGCCGAGGGCGGGGGGAAGGAGGAGGAGGAGGAGAGTGGGGGGGCGGGGCGACTTCAGCTCTCAGCCAATCGGGCTGACGTTGGCGGCGGCTCCCGCCAATGGGTGCCGAGCAGCGATGACGCGGGGGGAGGGCGCTCGCGACTGCAAGGAACGGTTTCCTGTTCCCTCAGGAGGAGGAGGAGGAGGAAGGTTGGCGGCCTGAGGGGAGTTTGTTGTGGCGGGTGGCGAGCGAGGCCGGGAGTGGGAAGAGCGGCGCCGGCGGAGCAGGGAAGGAAGGGCCCGGTCTCGCTCTGCCCTGCTCGGTGCGCGAAGCGGAGGATGAATTGGCTCTTCCCGCTTTCCAAAGCCGGCAGCGGTGGCGGGGCCGCCGCCTCCTCGTCGCCCTCGCCCTCGTCGGCCGGTGGAACCGCGCTGCCGCCGACTCTCACCAGCCTCCAGCAGCAGAAGCAGCGGCAGATCGAGTCCCTGCGGAGCGCCCACGCCGCGTGAGTGACGCGCTGCCTGGGGGGGGGGGGGATGGGGTGTCAGAGAGAGAGAGAAGGGGGGGGGGGAGAGAAACAAATTGGCCAGTTTATTTCCCAGCCCCTTTCTCAGAACTGGAGTTACAAACTTCGGCTGTGGGTAGAGAGCCGGATGTTTATCCGGCTGACAATGTTTACAGGGAATGCCTGTCGGATAAGGATCTAGACCGCAACGCGACGGTTAGTAATTATTATTGCTCTGAATCGATAGAGGAGCTTATTCCAGCTTCTCCGTACAGTTGAGAGATCAGGTGGTTTTGTTGTTGTTGAAACGCGAGCGAAAGAGTGTTTAGTCCGAAGGTGGTGGGTGACTGACGGCTCCGTAAGACCGTGAAGCGAAATCCGGAGGAGAGAGCCAAAGTTGTGAAAAGACAAGCAAAGGTGCGATAGTGGGTGCGGCGCTGATGGAGGGGAAGCTAATACTCGCCGCAGTCCTGAATATAAAAATAAATGGCTTAGTCATTACAGTGGTACCTCGGGTTAAGTACTTAATTCGTTCCGGAGGTCCGTTCTTAACCTGAAGCACCACTTTAGCTAATGGGGCCTCCTGCTGCTGCCGCGCCGCCGGAGCACGATTTCTGTTCTCATCCTGAAGCAAAGTTCTTAACCCGAGGTACTATTTCTGGGTTAGCGGAATCTGTAACCTGAAGCGTATGTAACCCGAGGTACCACTGTATTGCACATGCAACCCAGAGAGAGAAGAGTACGTAGTGGCGTCTGTGGCAACCAAATTTGCTGGCAGGCTGTGTTTGGGAATGAGGTCAAGAGAGGAGATCCTGGCCCACCAATCCTAATTAACTATTGTAAAAGGTAAAGGGACCACTGACCATTAGGTCCAGTCGTGGCCGACTCTGGGGTTGCGGCACTCATCTCGCTTTATTGGCCGAGGGAGCCAGCATACAGCTTCTGGGTCATGTGGCCAGCATGACTAAGCCGCTTCTGGCGAACCAGAGCAGCACACGGAAACGCCGTTTACCTTCCCGCCAGAGCAGTACCTATTTATCTACTTGCACTTTGACATGCTTTCAAACTGCTAGGTTGGCAGGAGCAGGGACCGAGCAACGGGAGCTCACCCCATCGCGGGGATTCGAACCGCCGACCTTCTGATCAACAAGCCCAAGGCTCTGTGATTTAACCCACAGCGCCACCCACGTCCCTTTAATTAACTATTGTACAGGGGTGTAAAGTGCTCCAGATAGCTTTCTGGTACCAAACGAAAAAAGCTGGAGGCACCAGACTTCCTTCAAAGCCCATTCCACATAGGAGCTCAAGTTTCAATCATTTTCCTGCATTGCCTTGGTTTGGACTACATGTTCCCTGGGTCCCTTACAGCTGTAAGGTTCTATGAATTACCCTAAGATAGATTTTAGCTTAACTCTCCCATTAAAATCATTTGAACTTCAAAATGTTTAACTTTCCGGTATCATTAAAAGCTTGATGATTTTCATTGTTCCTGTGGCCCTTGGTAAATACCTACATTTCTTTTAACAGTATAGCTGAAATACAAAAAGATGTGGAGTATCGATTGCCATTTACTGTAAACAACCTGACAATAAATATTAACATGTAAGTACTGTGTGATCTGCTTATATGTCACTTTAAATGTTTAAGCTGTGCTTAGCAATTTGGGAAAACAATCCTCTATTAAAGATTGGTCAGATTTGCACACCTTGGGGCTGAGATGAGCAAAAACACAATTGGCCTGTTGTTTTATTTAGCAACCCAGGACCTGAAAGCACTTTTTAATCATAGTTCATTTAAATTCATTTTATTGGTTTTGCAGAACTGTAGTAAAAGGTAAAGGGACCCCTGACCATTAGGTCCACTCGTGGCCGACTCTGGGGTTGTGGCACTCATCTCGCTTTATTGGCCAAGGGAGCCAGCGTACAGCTTCCAGGTCATGTGGCCAGCATGACTAAGCTGCTTCTGGCGAACCAGAGCAGCGCACGGAAACACCGTTTACCTTCCCGCCGGAGCAGTACCTATTTATCTACTTGCACTTTGACGTGCTTTCAAACTGCTAGGTTGGCAGGAGCAGGGACCGAGCAACGGGAGCTCACCCCGTTGCGGGGATTCGAACCACCGACCTTCTGATCGGCAAGTCCTATGCTCTGTGGTTTAACCCACAGCGCCACCCGCGTCGCTTTTCAGAACTGTAGTAGTTAAGTGCAAAGTAAAGGTTTACACTCTGCTCCTCTTGCATGTGAGGATAAAAGAGTGTGTGCAAGCCTGAAGAGCTCACCACAGCTCATGCATATTCACCTTAAAGAACAAGACAGTTGGCCAAGTGTACCTGTACCATTCATTCTGCTTGCACACAGGGGAGCAATGAGCTTGGGACTGATTGCGTGTATACAGTGACCTTTTTGATAGTTTGCTGATTTGTGGACAGAGGATGAAGACCTTTGACTAGCTTGCTTTGGCCTATGGACTGTGGTTTTTTTGTATTTGTTGAAATTAACATTTGTTATAATTTTAGTATAATTTAAATGATAAATGTTACTATTGTCCGTAGAGTAGTAAGAGTAGTAATTATAAGGAAGGAAATTGCCTTCATTGCCAATGCAAACCGTATGATATGAAGAGTATTCAAATAGAGATTTTTTTAAAAAACAAACAAACCCAGATATCTTATTTACATGAAAGTGATGGTAATATATTTTGGTGTTCACAGATTGCTTCCTCCTCAGTTTCCTCAGGAAAAACCAGTCATCAGTGTTTTCCCTCCAATACGGCATCATTTAATGGACAAACAAGGAGTGTATGTGGCCTGCCCATTAATAAGCAATGTATGTACAATTGTATCATTTTCTTTGAAAATTTAAGGGACTCGATGGCCCTTGTGGTCTCTTCCAACTCTATGATTCAAATAAACTGTACATGTCTTTTCCAGGATACATAGGTGGCAGCAATTATATTCTATTGCAAAAAAAGTTTTCAAAGAAATGCACTTACTGAAATATTAAAGTATGTGCTCTATGTAGAAAAAGAAAGATTTTTTTTATGATTAGGTTTTGAACTAGAAGCCATAGCATTTTAGATGTTTTTCCAGAGTTTATTTCAGGGTGTGTGTGTTTTTTAAAAAATCCCGTATATGTATTCTGCAGAGCTCATGATCCATTATTTCAATACCTAGCACCTCAGTTTGTATTTAATCATGGAAACAATTCAGCTCCTGTGCAGATTGAGGCCTCTGTATTGACAGCCCCTGGGGCCAGATAATGCGTAACAGTGGCACCTGTATCGACCTCCTGGTGTCAGTGTAAATGACTTGCCTTGTATATCATGCTTTAATTCTGCAAATTAAATACAGCGTTTTAATCTCTTAACAGTTCACAATGCACTCAGACCTTGGAAAAATAGTTCAAAGTGTACTTGATGAATTTTGGAAGAATCCTCCAGTTTTGGCTCCCAGCTCAACATCATTTCCATAGTAAGTGTAAACAGAGAAAATAAGGGTGATAATTGCAAACAAGCTGGATACATAATTTAGTAGTGTTCTTAAAGCTTCCCTTACACTTGAGTTGATAAGCTATGGGCCCAATTTGGATATCACGGCCAAACAATTGTATCTCCTCTATCCACCCTGCACATTTTGTTACTGTTCCTCCCTCACCGGTTCATAATAAGTATAATTTGCAGTAATAGCCAAACTGGACAAACTGCCAGAAACATGTTTTGCCTCCAGGCTAGAATTGGAAACCACAGTTTGACTACTTTGGGTGTCACAGCAAACTATAACTATTTTTATTTAAGATAAAACGGTTAGTTCTGGATCTGTCTCAACTTAGAAATATGCTTAGGAATGCTTGTAAAGGATACAGATCAATTATAGCATGAGTAGCTATCCTGTGACACAGGTGCAACACATGGCAACAATGGGCAGGAGTTCATGAGAGTAGGATGGTCCATTGCCGTAGCTACTGTATAGAGCATGGCTTATCTGTGACCTCCCAGATGCTGTTTGGCTTTTGCTCCCATAAGCTCAAGTTAGCATGGCCATTGTTCAGTGATGGTGGAAGATGTACTCCAACAACATCTGGAGGACCATAGGTTAGCCACTCTGGTAAAGAGCCAGGCCTACCCCATCTACCACCTCCAGAACTTTCTGACTCGGCAGAGTCGAAGTTCAAATAACAGTGATAGAGTGCACTAGAGTGATGCTGTGTCATACTTGCCTTGTGTCTTGTGCCAAGAAGATTGACTAACTTTGAATTAATGTTTCATAACAACAACAAAAATCTCTATAAAGGATTTCGTTAATGTTTTACATTAAATAACTGTCACCACTTTCACATACCCAGAGGGGCTTCGAGGTTGCGTTTCTCTAACAGCAAGCCTCCTCTCTCGGTGCTGCATTGCAAATCTGTTATGAAATGAGGGGGCTTTGAAAGGTAATCTGTAATATGGCTGGGGGGGGGCATGTCTGCTTTTCTACAGTAGGGCGGGGAGCTAAAAAAAAATGCCACCCCGTAGGCACAAAGCAGTTGGGCATGCCTAAAGTCATTGATTCAATCTAAGTCTTGGTGTGCCAACAGCTAACTGCTTGGGCCAAAATGCATTGACAGCTGGGCCACTTGATTTCCTAGAAGGTGTTACACTGGCATTGTTGGTAGACACCTTGGTACAGATGAACGGGTTATTAGAGTGAATCATTGTGACGTATTTGACAAGATACTTTCCTTATACTTCAGCAATCCTTTCCTTTGAGTTAGTAGTGAAAACACTCCAGAAACTGTAGCTGGTGGTAAACTGTTTCCCTCCTTTTTTCCGTAGCCTTTACAACAAACCAGCTGGAATTCCTCCCTACGCTCAGAACTTTCCGTTTCTTTCTCCATACCTACCACAAGAAACAAATAGGTCTATAACATCTGTGCCACTTGCAGAATCACTTTCTTCTGGCTACGCTGCAGACAGACCTGCGGCTCCTTCCTTTGGCATGATATCAGATCTGCCATTACCTGTTCCAACAGCAGAAACCATATCACAGGTGTGTATGTCTGGTGATAGCTATAATTCAAACTTTTTATGCGCCTGCTAATCCCAACCACAGATCATATAAAAGGATTTGGGGCGTTTGAGCAGAAATATAACTTAAAGTGCTTTATGATGTTGATAGATTGCTTGATCTAGTCACTCTATAAAGATTTCACTGAAAAAGATTCAGGGACAGAAAAGGCTGCCATATGTCCAGATTGACTCCATGCATAAAATAGCCCCCAACTCCAATTGTATTGCCCACGTAAACCAGACAACAATATAGTGCTCCACCTATATAAGAGCAAGAGAAACATTTTGTCCTCATGCTAGAGGTTTCTCAAACTGTTACTCCATATAACTCAAACAAGTGTATTTCACACCTCCCAAATGTGAGCCCCAGAGTCACCAGCCAGTTAAGATTATATCAGAAAGTTGTATCCAACATTAGTATATACTGAGAAGGCCCACTAAAATTAATGAATGTAATATTAAGGGGCATAAGTAACATTAATTTTAGTGGCTGTGCTCTGAGTAGAGCTTAGTCGGATACAACCCAGTATCTCATTCCTCACTCCAGTGTTGCTGTCTTAAGATGTACAATCCAAAGAACTATGGGTGGAAGTCATGTAAGAAGTCAGAATTGCTGTTTCATAGTTGATTGGGGGTCAGGACAGAACAGCCAGAGGGAGGATTGCGATGTTGGAAGAACGCAATGGAGTTCTTCCCAATGATCTGAAAAACAATATTTTTATCAATTGAGCATATGCTCAGTCTGATTATCCTTCAACCTACATATTGTAAAAAGAATGTTTTTAAAAAAATATAAAACACATCTTCCTACATCTTATCTCTAACTTGTGTGGTATAAGTTCATAGAGTGCTCCCGAGTACAAAATCTGTGTCATAGAGGCTTAGATAGATTTTTGTTGTTGCTTCATTATTAGAGTTTGTGTCCAATGGATTATTCTATACTGGTGAATTAGACTGAGTCTTCTTTTCATATTATAGTCATACAGGAAATAATTTTCTGTTGCTTTACAAATCTGCTAGTCATGATCTATTTTCAGGGGGGAAATACCATTCATTGTCATACCTTCTTGATAAACTTTTCAGGGGAGCCCGAATGGATTCAGTTACAAAATGCCTGATGTACCTGATGCATTTCCAGAACTATTGGAACTTAGGTAAAAATATTTATATCATTAGAAATGTATTATTGTTCATGTGCAAACCAGCTCCACTCATAGCTAGATCTGCACCTAAAAAACTGCCTTTGGAGAAACTAAAAGCAGTTCTTTCATGTTCTTAGAAAAACTTGAAATTCTTAGAAAACCTCAAGCGAAGTACTTCCAATTGTGAAACACTGGCACGTGAAAATGATCCATCAGTGGCTATAATCAGATTAGTTGTACAGTGATTCCCCCAGAACACAGGATATTGCAACAAGTGGGTTGAAGAGGTTTCTGCAGGCTGAAAAGAATAGGAGCACTCTGTCGTCCATCTCAGTGGAGCCAAAACGCTTCTTAGTAGCACAAGCAGTTAGCTCAAGGTCATGTTCTCTCAGAAGTGTTCCTATCCTGGAGGAAAACAAAATATTCTAGTCATCTTCACCTGGGTGTTTCAGCTGAAAAAATTGCAGCACCAGGTTCATAAAATGAAATTGCATGCAACGTATCTTCAGTAAGGTGAGGAATGAGAGGTTTAGGACTTAGAACCTAAGAGGTACTTGAGGCTTAGATTCCACTTCTTGGATAAAAATGTTTAGGTGATCTTAAACGTGGGTGTGTTTCTCTTGAAATGCAGCATATCACAGCTGACAGACATGAATGAGCAAGAAGATGTCCTGCTGGAACAATTTGTTAGTCTGCCCCAGTTGAAGCAAGTCATTAACGACAAGGATGATTTAGTGAAAAGTATTGAAGAGCTGGCAAGTAAGACTTCAGAATACTTGTAATTTAAAGAGTAACGTGAGAGTAAATGGTAACCTTCTAAAATTGAACAGTGGGTTTACTTTGCAGAAAAAAACCTCTTATTGGAACCAAGTTTGGAGACGAAAAGACAAGCAGTGTTGGATAAAGTAAGTGAAGGGGAATTATTTCTGGAGCTTGGAAAGAAAATATTTGAGTTTGATTGTCAAGACATTCTTTTCTTGTAGTATGAACAGCTTACTCAGTTGAAGGCTACATTTGAAAAGAAGATGCAACGGCAGCATGAACTGGGTGAGGTAAGCTGTGTCCCTCTTGCATATCAAAAGGGAGTGCTTTTTCCCAGTGCGTAGTTAACGTACGGATTTCACTATCACAGGATGTAGTGATAGCTTCTAGCTTAGCTCTGTTCCAGGCCTCTTTCACATTTATATCCGAAGGTGGAGCTCAAAGAAACATAAGTAGGTATTGCTCCATTTTATCTTCACAGGAACCCTATAAAGTAGGTTAAAGATTGGAAGGTTGCGCCTGATCCCGTGATCTTCCATGCATTACAATGAGGTGGGAGAGTCGTGAGATAGTAGGCTGTACTATTTCAGTTTAGGTAAATGTTCCCCTAAGGCTGCAATCCAGACCTCCAATCTGCCGAATAGGGCAGGGGACCTAGACTGCCATAATGTGGAGCTGGGTTTTGCCTGCTCTGGCCTTGTACCCTGGCCTGCAAAAGCAGCAGAGCTATAAATGCAGCGGTGGCTATGTCGCATCCGTCTTGCCCATCTGCTATCTAGCCTGGGTTAGGATTGGTCTGTAAGACCCACCAATTAAGGGGAATAAACTGTTACAGCAGAGACTGCTATAATTTAGGTAGGAGTCGTGGTCTAGCAACATCTTGAGAAACCACAGGTCTACAGTGTTCAAAACTCTGATTGTTCTAGGCGCATTTTGCGACCGGGAATTTCATTAGTGTGAGCTGTTTCCCAACTCTGGGCGCAGTACTGCGCCTAGGATTTCAGATTAAAACAGCAGAGTAGAAGAAAAGGAGGACCTTTTTTTACCTCCCCACTTCCAGCTGCTCTCTGAAGACGGGAGAAGAGACCCTCTTAAAAATATTAGGGAGGTGGGCAGGGGAAGGACTAGACCATGTGAAAAATGAACATCATATTTTAGCTGCAGTTCATTAATTTTCAGTTTGTATTCTTGTTATAAAAAAGCATGCCTAGACATTCCATTGTTGGCTTAAGGTGCCATTTAGCTCTTAGTGTTCATATCTGTTTCTAACAATGGTCTCCTACCTCTGACCAGCTTACATTTCTTTCTGGGAATCATAATGACTGCATGTAGTTTTTGACCTGTATAAACAAAAAAGCTAATAGTTCAGTTTTTCCTTAATATTTCTAAATTAGAACTAAGTATAGTCATACTTATTAGATTTATATGTCTTCAGGCCCTTCACAAAACCTTTTCCCCCCTAGAGTGGCTTTGCAGTATTAAAGCAGAATACAGTCAGAACAATCAATTTACCAACAATACATCACCACTTATTTCATTTTGCAATCGGAATCTTTTTGTCACCCAGCATTTTCCAATTTTGCTTAGAGTTGTAGTGCAAGTGCTCTGCAGGCAAGACTGAAAGTAGCAGCTCACGAAGCTGAGGAAGAGTCTGACACTATTGCAGAAGACTTTCTGGAAGGGAAAACGGAAATAGATGACTTTCTTAGTAGCTTCATGGAGAAGAGAACAGTATGTGAAATTCCCTTACATTTTAAAACGAATTATGTTTTGCATAACTTAAATCTTAAAAATAGAATGAAAATGTCCAGCAGAAAAGCTGTTATGGGATAGAAAATGATTCTCTTCAGCAGTTTTGAAAAATAGGCTTTTTGTTCTTTTTTGAATTGTATAGTAGAACTGTGTTGCTATCTTGGGTAGAGAGATTATCCTCGAGCCTTCCTGCATTTCACCACAAGCTCTTGTCCAAGTAGCTCACCAATTTGTGGCATAATCTTTGCGACATCCTCAGTACTTTTAATGCTCAGTGTGGTGTACTATGCAAGGCTGTGCTTAGATTTGCTAAATATCCTCAAATAAATTGTTTTAAATATTGGAATGCAAAAAAGGACAGCTAATTTCTAAAGCCCGCTTTCTAAAGCAATCACTACAGGAAGATACAATACTCAGAAGCAAGCCTCCATGACTCCAGAGAGACTTAATGGACTTACTCCCAGGTAAATGGGTTTAGGATGGCAGCCTAAATTACATATAATTCACACCATGAAACAGCAATTGAAAATATATATATCAAGTTCCATTAGCACAAAAATTACTGCCTGTGCTGTTAGTGCAACAGGACTTCCTCTCCCTCTCTTCTCCTGCTCCCCAAATCTGTTCTGGTATTCCCCCAATACTCCAGAGGAAATGGGGGGGCATGCATGGGAGAGAGAAGAAGTAGAGGAAGTCTGTTCGCACAGGCACAAATTCTTGGGCTAATGGGGTGTGATTCCACCAAAATTAAGCATCTTTAGTTTGTTGATTCGTGGAAAAGAACTAAATTATCCCACCGAAGTCAATGAGATTTAAAAGTTCTGTAGAAATTGCTTACATTTGCCAATAATGGCAAATATTACTTGGTGGTTAGAGGCTTCTATGGTTGAAGAATGTACAGCTTTTATTTTTGTTCCATATCAATCAGGGAAACTGTAAGTCATGTGCAGCTAATAAAAGTAGTACTCCAAAATATGTCCCATACTTGAAGCCAAAAGCCAGCTAGTGGAATGTGGTTTGTTTTCCTGTTGATTTTCACAGTAAAATGATCAAATGCAATGTGACTGGTTAGCAAATTATGCTCCAAGATAAAAAAATGTGAGTTGATTCATGTCATGTGGCCCATAAACCTTAAAAAAGCATGCTATACAGAGCATGTGGCTATAGATGAATGCTCACTTGTGTTTCTCTTTTAGGTTTGCCACTGTAGAAGAGCCAAAGAAGAAAAGCTTCAACAGGCAATAGCAATGCGCATTCAGTTTCATGCTCCGTTATAGGTATGTTCACACAATATTCAGACTTGAGTTGCCTTTTCTTTTTAAATGTTACTTATACTTTTCAGATTCATACATTCCGCTGATGTTACAGTCATTGACATTTCAAAACTTGACTTCCTTCCCCCCTCTTTCTGCGGTTCCTTAAATGTATTTTTACTATCCTATGCATATCCTAATTAAGTTAATTTGCTCATTTATTCATCTAAATATATACTCTTATGAAACTGCAGGTTATTACAATAATCCTGCCAATGTTTTTATCTCTTTACAATTTATCTGTAAATATCCAATAAACCGTTTCCATTATTTTGTAAAAAGTTTGTTATCTTGATTTCTTGGTTCTTCCAGTAAGTTTAGCCATTTCTGCATATTCCATAGGTTTTTGTATCCATTCTTCCTTTGCTGGGACTTCTGCTTCTTTCCATTTTGGGGCAAGTAACATTCTTGCCACTGTAGTCGCATACATGAATATGTTTCTATGCAGTTTAGGTAGCTCTGTCCCTGTAATTCCCAAGAGAAGCTCACTTTTCTGCCATCCTCACTTCTTTTCTGGGTCTTAAGCTTGTCTTGAATTAAGCTAATGAAATGTTCAAATTCCAGGAATTCCCAGTATAGCTGAATGGAGTTTTGCATTCCATGGCTGTTTGATTCCAGCTTTTCTTTTTTCTTTTCTTATGATATAATGCAGGAGGCGATAGGAAGCTTTCTACCCTGGATTAATTAGAAGCCCACCTTTGCGAAGCTATGTTTGTGTACAGTGAGAAATCTGACTGACTGTAGTTATGTTTGTGTTCACAGGTTTTCCAGCTAAATAGAATTTCTGAGGCGAGTGAATGAATCCAGCAAAGCACATTTTCATATAGCTGTTATTTTGCAAATAAGCATTTCATCACCGTTGTTGCGTTTATAGAAGAGACTGTATACAGAACTGGGATGATGATGGTGATTATTATTTTGGGACAAATTAGGAAGTCTTTCTATTCTCATTTCATCCGAGAAATCCTCCTATTGCAGTGTTTGCACTAAATATTTCTTGTCATTATTATTGATAATCCTTATCATATTTAAGTTCCTACTTCTCTCTCCACCTACTTTATAGATTAAATATTTAAACATGTAATTTTGACTAGATTTTTAAATTTTATACAACATAATTCATAACTTTTGTATTAAACATTTGCTGTTTTGGGGTGGGGCAGGGGATGTAGAAATGTTGGTTACTTAAAAGTAAGTTGCAAAGTGTGTGAAGCAAAACTCGTATGTTAAGTCCTCTTTAAAAAAAAATTCTGTTTCTTGAAATCCAGTTTTCAACCATTTTTATGTTGAAAGCAGCACACTACATTGCTATTGAAATTAAGTGGTGGTGGCAGGTAAAAGGCTAGGAGACTTGAAAATGGCCTTGCACCCTATTGAGGAGATGCACACAGTTAGCTGCTTGTGGGATCAGGTCTTCATTCTAGAGGAAGAGTCATTTCCCAGCTTCTAGCACCACATGAGAAGGGCAAGAGTATGGGTAGATCTTTCAGCTGCTCTATTTTTGCCCTTGGATGTGTGGAAATCGCTGAAGGGATTTTATCCTGCATATATAATACAAACACATACCAAGGTTTGGAGAGAAGGTTGGGTAGACCAGCGCTGTGGCCTACCTGAGTGAGGAATCAATTCAAGCAGGAAGTAGAATCATCTGAAAGAATAGAGCCCAAGCTTTCTTTGGAGCTAAAATTCAAGATACAGTGATTCACCAAAACCAAAGAATTTTGTTGTCATATAGAAACATGTTAGATTATTTGTTTACCTCATGGTGCTGTAGCTCTTGCAAGGAACTCAAACTACTTCACCGACCTTACATTCTTTAACCCTATTTTTTTCCTACACAATTACAAAAAAATGGTAATTTAACAGATAATTCCAAGTGTATATATCTCTTGTTCTCCCCCCTCGCCGGTGTCACTCAACTTTGTTAAAAGAAGTTAAACTTCCTTTTCTTGGGTGGCTGCAAGGACTTTTTCAAAAAGTTTCTGGTACTGATATTTGCATCTATAAACCAGCACTTCAGATCTCACAAGTGAAAAACAGCTGTAGAGTTCAGCGTTACAATACCTTAACGGGCTCTTCCTGGCATCATTGAGTCTTGAACTGAAAATAAAACAAGCTTGGTGGAAAAACATACTATTGCTACATTTGTCATTTAGACGACATTACCAACTTGCTTGCTTGCTTGCCCTCTGAAGCTTGGTTCCTTTTCCTTAAAACATGCCCTTTGGGGCATAAGATTTTAGGGGCATTTTGAAAGAAACCAGCTTTGGGTAATATTGAACTAAGCTATAGAGTCTCCACCCCCATCATTCAGCCCGGATACAGAGGTCCAGCTCCGAGGGCTTACTGGTGGTTCCCTCCCTGCGAGAAGTGAGGTTACAGGGAATCAGGCAGAGGGCCTTCTCGGTAGTGGCACCCGCCCTGTGGAACGCCTCCCATCAGATGTCAAGGAGATAAACAACTACCTGACTTTTAGAAGACATCTGAAGGCAGCCCTGTTTAGGGACGTTTTTAATGTTTGATGTTTGAAATATTCTGTTGGGAACTGCCCAGAGTGGCTGGGGAAACCCTACCAGATGGGTGGGGTATAAATAATAAATAATTATTATTATTGAAATTAACAGATTAAGTTTTATTACCTTTTATTTACTGTGGTATATACATATACCATTGGGGCTATTGCGAAACGATGGGTGTATCAGCATGCTGAAGGGAGCACTGAGGTTTGCAGGGAGAGCAGGAAGACAGAAAGCAACTTTATCTGCAAAGTAGGTCAATGAGGACTGAGTAGCCATGAAATGCTGTTTATGGTAGAAGTGAAATTGAGAGGAAAGCACTATATGGAAGGAATGGCTCTCTGAAAGCCAGAATAGGAGCATTTTTGTTAGGAGGAAAGGTATGCTGTAACATCCTGTGTGTCCCATCAGTTGTACACTTCTTTAAATCTGAAATTATATTTATCTTGGAATATATCAGTCGTTTTTGGTTTCCTCCTGGTCAATGGTGGACATATCAATTAAAATCAGTCTCTAATATTATTTAGCAGAACCATGCCATGCCATACCTAAGCTTTGGTTCTCCTTTAAACTTAACAGCATGTAGAGATGGAGCTTGAATTGGCACTTAAATAGCTTTACAGCTAAGAGTAGAGAGTTTGGACATAAAGCATGCAGGTAAGACAAAATTTGCATGCTGCCTATTAATAGTCCAAAAGTTCTTAGCAGTTTGTCCAGGGTGCAAAAACAGATTATAGACCCACCTCAAATTTTACATTTCTCAGGATGCATTAGGGTTTTAAAATTATATCTCTGCACCCCAACAGTGAGTCATTTGAGCACACGACAGTGGAATAGTCAACCCCTTCGATCCACCCATTGGGGGGAGTTTAGTTCAAAAAGGTTTTAAGTCCACTGAACAAGTACGGAGGAGTGGGGCTAGATTCCCCCTTACTTAAGCAGCTGGTGGCAGGGTTAAGTGTCTTGAAAGAGTTGAGCAGTGCACGCCTCTGGATTGCGGATTCAAAGAAATTGATGAAAGCACAAACATTTTTTCTAAAAGAATATCTTGAATTTTCCAAAATTATAATAATCCTAAATATAAACAATAGAGTGTAATAATTGTGCGTCCTTATGTATTTATTATTTAAATAACCTTCATTCAGGTAGTATAATGCAGCATTAAGACGATACAAAAACAAAACAAGCCATAAGGTCTTAAATCAAGAGTTCAGGGATCCCAAGCAAAACCACCAGGAGTTGAGCGGCAAAACTGGACATTAAAATATGCTGCACAAATTTTACTAAGTGTTTTTCATATTTCAAACTCCTATATTTCTAGAAATACAGACAAGATGATATAGTATACAGTGTTACACTTGTTTTAAGTTCAATTCCCAGATTTCACCTTCCCACCATCCGTATTTCATATGTGATTCCACAAACATGGCGGCTTCCATGCTTTCCAAGTTTTGAAAGAAACCATTCTTCATTCCTATCCAGAAAAATCGTTAAGAATGTACATCAGGTATTCTTACGCATATGTTTTAGAAAGATGTACGATTCTAAAGTGTGGAGCTGATTTCAAAACATGGAATGTTTAAAACCAATGTGAGTCATCTTTCAAGTTTCTGAATGTTGCTAGATGTGTTGCATCCCTACCAGGTTTTTATCACTGAAGGCTGGGGCTATGAGTTTTGGGGACAGTGTTTGCTCCCAAAATTATGTCCCTTGTCCTACCCACTCCCCGCCCACTCCAGGAGTGAGCTACAGCCATTACATTTACATAAGAAAAAGTGGCAGGAATCTACTCAGGGTCCGTGACTGCTGGGTTTTCTGCTACTAGTAACCAAAATCGCTTAGTTTAACCAAACCCAACTAATCTGGATTATTGCAGTCCATTTACCTTATTGCAGCTCCATATACCTTAATAGGAAGTATTTTGAATCAAGCCCCCTCCTGTTTGCATTGTCACACCCTCTTTGCCTGCATGACCACACCTTGAGTTCCTTTCCTGTTTTGTCGCTAGACTAAAACCAGGGTTTGACTGTTGTACGTACACATGATAGCTAATCCAATATAAACTCTTGTTTCTGTAACATAATCAGGAACAAAATGTGGTTTGCGGGACATGCACAGGAAGGACGTCTTGTTGCACAGGCAGAGTTCAACTTGCGGAGCATTGAATACAGCCCAGTATCTTCCAAACTAGAAGTCAAAGATAGGCCTCAAGTACAGGGGTCCCATTAAGCAGCAATCATCTTCAAATCCCCCCACCCCCAAAATGATATAAAAGCAGAGCTCTCAGAGACAGAAGTCTAGCAAAATACATCAATCCCCATAAACAGCCTCTCTGCATTTACCTGGATTCACATCCCTTGTTGTCTCAGTGCTACAAACCCAACCAGAATGGACAGGGCATCTTTTATTATGCATGGGCATGTGACTTTGCATCCTTGATCGTGAAGCTGTTGTTACACATGGCTATACCTGGAACTAAAACTGGATCAGGGTCACGGTATTTAAGGAAACGTCTCCCTTAGAGGAAAGCAAAGAGAAGGCCCTTTGTTGATTTGAGATACAACTTCATCTTTGTTTTCTTCCTCTCCTGCAAAACGAAGGGGCAGGAAAGATTGGGGCTTCTGGGCCTGCTTGGCACAAGCTTGTGGTCCTCAGGGTTTGTGGTCCTCAGCAGTACAGCCTTGCTTCAGTACTCCCCATCTGTAACACAGGGAAATAAGTGCTTTCTAAATACTTGGTCCTTTTAAGAATCTGCAGCAAGTGACTGGTATGCTGTCTGTGCCTAGACTCGTCTTCTCATCACCTGCACAGGTTGGAGCTGGTGGCAGTTGTAATCCAAATTATCTGGAGGGCACCAGTTTGAGGAAGGCTGGAATAAATCCAGGAACATGGGAATGATTTTTTTTACTATTTTAACTATAACTTTCTGAACGGATGGAGTAATGCTCTTCAAGAAGTTTTGTTCAGCTGTATCCATAAAGTGCAAGCTGTTATTTTCCAGGAATGGTGAGGGCAGGTCTTTGTTTTGTTTTGGCATGGCTTGCATCAACATGTTTTCTCGAAGCTTCTTTGGAACGGTACTGCTGTCGACCAACTAAACACTAACCTAGAATTCTAAGTTAAATAGAAATTGTCCGTTCTGTATGGCTCTGTCAGTTATTAAAGGAAGATGAAGCAAGCCCATAAATACATGACGGTTCTTAAATAGGAGAAGCTAAATATAAGAGGTTATTTTTCCAGTTAAGATTCTAGCTTACAACTATGTTACATCTGGACCTTAAGTGCACAACTCTATTTCTTTGGACTTTTCTCTCTTTCAACATGCAGTCATTTGTCACCTACTGGCTGGCTGTCGTTTCAGACAGTAAGACAAACAGCTTCGTCCGAATCGCGGTCTTTGGTGCTATCCTCGCTGGGCAAACATCCCCCTCCGCTTGGGGACCGGCAGCTCATGTCCTCCACACCTGACTCCTGATCACTGTTAGCAGAGAGATCTGGATCGGAGCTTTTCAGGTTATCTTGCGTAAGAATCAGGGCCGAGTCTTCTTCATCTCCCTGTGATGGACTCCGGGAGGAGAAGGATTTCAGATTGCCTGTGTAATCCTGGGGAGTGTTGGCGATGCTGTCATTGGAAGTAGAATGTCCAAAGTCGTTGCTTCCATTTCGTTGTTTTTGCTTTATCTCACCATTATTCAACGGCCCGCTTGTAAGCTTGGCCAATCTCTACAAGACAAGAAACAGTTCATTCCTCGTTTTTCTATCTTTCAAAACATATATATCCCGCTCTTCAGCAAGAAAAACTCCCAGAATTACTCACATATCGATAAAAATGACACAGTTCCTGCCCTGGCACCTCACAAAAGGAAAAGGGGACAGCAAGGGAAGAGGAAATATACATCCCATATTAACATCATTATTATTTTGTATTATGCTTACTATTTCTCAAGGGCTATCAAGGCCTTAAAATAAAGGAAACAAAACAGCAACCAGTCTATTTCCATCTTAACTGGTCAAAAAGGATGGGAAGGGGAAGAGTAAAGCAAGCAAACTCAGGCATGAAATTATTGGTGTTACAAGGCTATTATAAACATCAAAAATTTGGTGCCTGAGGTTGATTATTTTCTTCTCTCCCCATCCCTTTATCCTTTTGTGTCACATCTGTTGCTTTTCTTGATCTAAGTCACTCTAGGAGCCTTTGTGCATAGGGGTGAGTATAAATGCTTTGAACAAAAAAACTAAATACGGAGAACAACATGAAATATAATGGATTGGATTGAGAGAGAATGGCCAAGTGAAATTACAGTGGAGCAAGTTTCCACCCTGGAGACTTAGGATACTGACTCGCACCATTCCCGCCCCACCCCCAGGCAAAACGTCTTTTCTTTTCTTAGCCTGAGAAAATGTGTTTTGATAAGGTCCAATTTTTGGAGGGTTCTCTTTCATCTTTGGAAGATCATTCCTGACCCAAGTCTTCATTTTTTATTTTGACATAAATGTTTGGTACCAAGCTACTAAGAGGACTGTCTAAGCCCAACTGAACTAGCCAGGGATTTGAGATCAGCTACAGAGGTCCCATTAGTGCAGTCTCCATAAAATAAGCGAAGGCTGGTGTATACAAAAGACAGTGCCTTTTCTGCAATGGCCCCATGTCTATGGAACACTCTCCCTCAAGATCAGCTCTCTCCTTAGTAGTATTTAGGTGGACTCCAGAAACAAATTTTAATGAGAGAGTTTAACAGGCAGTAGTCTTACTGCTGGCTGCAATATATTGATCTGAAATGTTTTTACTGCTCCTATTACACCTCTGATTATGCTGTTTATATTTTATACAGTTTGGAATTGTTTTACATGTTATAAGTCACCACGGGGGAAATGTTTCATATTAAATGGCAGCTAATAACTACAATTTTATGGGGGGACAGGAGAGAGAGGATGGGAAATCATAATAAAAACAAGACCTAAAAAAATGTCTTCTGTCTCATCACTTTCAGGATCAGGGATTGTGTACTATTTATACTATCCAAAGTCATAAAATTAGCTTTAGCGGTTGGGGGGGTGGGAAGGAATGCAAGTGCTCCAGTCAAGAAAGGGAGATCTGCATGCTGGAGGTGTATCTCTGTATCTTCATAGTGATGGACTCAGTTTAGCTTGATGGACGCATCCCCATCTGGGACCACCAGCTGCATGCAATGCACACATGTTGAACTGGATCAAAGCTGGCCCACCACACTGACTTCAAGAAGCATAGTGAAATGTAGTGGTTATAGAGTGTTGACTAGGACCTGGGAGTTCAGGTTCAATGCCCTGTTCAACTCTGAAAGCTCCTTCACTGGACGAGTCCCAGTTTCTAAACCTAACCTCCCTCACAGGGTGGCTACAAGAATAAAACAGGGAGAAGGAGAACCACATAGACCACCTTTGTTCCTTGGAGGAAAGGGGATTGTTGGCATCAGTCAAGAGAGAGAGAGGCAATGGCATGTGCCGCTGGGGGTGAAGTAAACAACTGTGTTGGCTGCACCAAAGTGCAAGCCTGGGCAATGTGGATGGAGGTCCTGGGCTGCCCAGATGACAAGAAACCACTCTGGACCTTGCTGATGATATCCCACAAGGCAGCAGAGGTTTAAGATCAGAGTTTTCCTTCTCTTCAATGGGTTACCATCCCAGGTTGACGAGTCCCATCTGCCCCCTCTATAGCACATGCAGAAACCACCTTATTGGCCTTGGACCTACTATTGGTTTCGTCCTCCAGAGTCTGTCTTCACATGCAGAGGAAGTCCCTATCTCATGGAAGGTTTGAGACCCATCAGCTACCATCACCTGGTTTAGCCAACCAGTCGCATGCTAACAGCTTATAGGAGCTACAGGTGGGAGCTGAGAGCAGGATGGAGACCAAAGGTGGACAAACTACCCCAGAAGGAGCATAACATGTCCCCCACCAGAGGGACTACCCCTGCCCTAACACCCCAAAGGGGGGATAGAAATGTAATAAATAAATAAAGATACCTCTTCCAAGACCAGTAGCTCTTCCTCCAACTGTTGTGTTTCTTCCTTCACTGCCAATAAGTACTCAGTAACAGACTGCCGAGGATGCAGCCCTTTTTCAAAGCGGTTGTACATTCCACTCCAGAATCTGGAAAACGAAAGAATGAAGTTGCAGGACTCACAAGGAAATCCAGTACATGCCTATTCAGGAGTATGTCCCACAGACTTCAATGGAAGTAACTTCTACCTAAATGAGTACAATATCGCTTTTAAGACCCAGCACAGACCTCTATGCCAGCGGTCGGCAACCTGTGGCCCACGAAGACTGTTTTACTGGCCCACGAGCTGCCCCTGAACTGAGCTGCCCACTCAGCAAGTCCCCCACTCTGCGCTAAACCAGCGCAGCGTGGGAACTCGCCGAGCAGCACCGGAAATCGCGTCTGCACATGCGCAGATACCGGAAATCGCGTCTGCACATGCGCAGATACCGGAAATCGCGTCTGCACATGTCCAGACACTGGAAATCACTTCTGCGCAGACACGATTTCTGGCGTCGCGCTGCGCCAGTCCAGCCCACGGACGATCTCCGTGGGAGTGATCCGGCCCATGGCCGGTAAACCTTGCCAACCCCTGCTCTGTGCTATACTAGACACAAGTTTAATAAGGGGGGGAAGTTCCTTAAATTTCAAGTTGGCATGTGAAAATCCTTGCCTGCCTTCTTCTATCTAGGGCAGGGGTCTGCAACCCGCGGCTCCGGAGCCGCATGTGGCTCTTTTACACCTTTGCCGCGGCTCCGGGGTGGATACTAGCGAGGGGAGGAGGCGCATTGTGCGCCCCGACACTCCCCACTGTGGCGGGCGCTGTACTGGCTGTGGCGTCGCATGGGGGCGGTGCATGCGTTAGTCACGCACCGTCCCGATGTCACCTTCCCACCCGCTGTCAAATCACGGCTCCGGAGATATATTCGTTTTAAATGTCGCAATGGTTTTGCGGCTCCCAGTTTTTTTTCCTTCGGAAACGGGTCCAAGTGGCTCTTTTTGTCTTAAAGGTTGCAGACCCCTGATCTAGGGGCTAATTTTAACATGGAAGTCTGCAAAGTCATGCAGCTCAAATATATATTCCTGGATTTCTGAGACGTTTCTGTTTGGGAAAGTGACACATTTCAGCATGAAGCAGCTGTCAAGCAATCAGTACTTCACAAATTGCAGCAAGCACAAGATCCCTGAAACAATGAGCGTGCTGCAGTGGGAAGGAACACCTGATGTATAGGCAGATGTTTCTTCACATAACCCTTGAGACGCTGGTTGACAGCTGGTGACAGTTCCCTGGTTAGCCTGAAAACAGTAGTCTCAGAGAAGGTGGGGTACACTGTAAAGACATGTTGTGGACTACTTGAGTTAGACTTATCTGCCCTGTTGTCCAGTTCCTCCGGTTACATGCAACCAAAGGTCGGTTGCGTGCGCATATAAGCAGATCAGTGCAGGGTTAAGTAACAGTCAGAGGTGGATTCAGAATAGAGCTGTTTAGAAAGGGCTTGTGAAGCTATTTTAAGAGGCTCTGTAATGCTGTAAGTTCTAATGATAGCGCTAAGTGGATTCCCGTCAACACAACCACCCCTTTCCCAAATCTATAGTAGTTCAGTTTAATTCTCAAGAGGCAATGTTAGCTTCAGATCAACTTTTAAAAAACAATTTCCTCGGGGAACAAAGCAATCAGAACAATAAAACAGCACACTCCGTAAAGGAAACCAATGAGAGATCTTGATTTTTACCATTTGCATTTGTACATAACAGATTTTCAGCTTTTGAAATGTAGCAATAATAAACATTATTTGTAAATTTCAATAAATATAATTTTAAGGACTGGATGTGCTTGTTTCAGTGTCAGTGATCCTCACAGCACATCAGGGTTAAGACTGCAGCCCCATTAGGCATTTGATATCCATAGCTACCAAACGTGTGAAGGGACCAGAGAGTACATGTGGGGCTAGCCCCCCTCCCACTGACTCTGCCATACATGCCAGCCCCACCTGCTGCATGATATGCATCAGTTTGAAGGGCACTGCTTCTGGGCATGTCAGTTTCCAACATGAGGACAGGACCTCTGATTAACCAAGCTTTCCCATCCCTGTGGAGGAAATCCTATGTGCTGAGGAGGGCCCCTCGTCAGACTGCTGTGCCCACCACATGCAGTAACAAGTCTTGTGTCTTTCAGCTTCATGTGGTTGGTGTTCATGGGTACCAAATGCCTCAGCAGGGCCCATCTATGCTGCAGAAGGCCTTCTTGGTAGTTGCGCCTGCCCTATGGAGCACTCTCCCGTCAGATATCAAAGAGATAAAAAATCATATGACTTTTGGCAGCTCTGAAGGCAGCCCTGTTTCAGGAAGCTTTTAATGTTTGATGTTTCGGTGTGTTACTTTATACTTTATTGGAAGCTGCCCAGAGTGGCTGGGGCAACCAGGTCAGGCAGGGTACAAGAAATATGTTGTTGTTGTTGTTATTATTTCACAGGATCACAGAAAATATATATAAACTCTAGCTTTGGGAGTGGGGGGGAGGCTAGAAAAACAAACTTGAAAATGAGCAAGAAATCTAGGAATATATGTAAGTGGCCATTTGGGAAGGAAGTCCTACACAGGCACATTTGACTTTCAAAGTGAAAACTTCAATTATTATTATTAATTTGTTTGTTTGTTTGTGCCCTGGCTATCTGACTGGGCTGGACCAGCCACTCTGGGCAGCTTCCAGCATGTATAAAAACATAGTAAAACATTAAACCTTAAAAAGCTTCTGTATACAGGGTTGTATATACAGGCAAGAGAGAGAGAAAGAGAGAAGATGATGATGATATATATATATATTCAATATAACTTAAGGATGACATTTGCTGAAAGATGTTAGAAATCAAACCACACGATATATGCCACATAAACAAGACGCATGCCTATAGCCTTGCTACCAAGCCCAACATTGGTGCTGATGGGAACAGGTGCTTTTAGAACAGATATCCTAATACAAATTTGTTTCAGGACTGGGCATTGACATTATTTCTGGGAATAATCCAGCGATACAAGCGAAGTGTCTATTTAGCAAAAAACTCCACATGGCTTTATGTCTCCTAAACAGAACATTATCACATTATTCATACACTGGAATGAAACCTGGGAAACAAACAGCAGCATTTTGTCCTAACGTTTTCCGTTAAGAGAACCTCCACTGGCAAGATTGTCACTTACTTGTAGATAATATGGCAGGGTGCGGACTGTGGGTGCAGGGTCCGATTATAGTCTTCCCTGTACAGCGGATTCACATAATCTGCCCGATTCTTCCACAAGTGTGCCCAAAGTGAGTAAGTCCGCTCTTGAATCCTGTAAGTTGATTTGAGAGACAAGTCCCATGAATACAAGCCCAAGCCAAAATACGCTGGTGGAAGTAGGTTAAGAGAGCAGGTGTTTAGTTAAGAAGGCTAGAATTCAAATGCTCTGGACTGGGTACTCTTTGATTCAAGCTCCCCTATTCCGAATGGAGAAGGATTAGAGGAGGGGTGGAGAACCTCAATCCGTGGGGCCAAAAGTGGCCCACTAAGCCTCACTTCCCAGCCCTTTGAACCCTCTCCAAAGCACATCCCTTTCCCAGGCTGCAGTCTTCACTGGCCCTCAAGTGCTTCTGTCTGGCTTGAATGTGTCCTTGGCCTATGATTGTGCTTCTTGCTTACTTGAGTGGAAAGGGTGGGGCAGGGGGGACGCATGCGCACATGTTTTTCACATAGAAGCTGCTACCTTTTGCATGGCTGACATGCAGCCTACCGCACCAAGTTGCACCTGTTGTTCAGTCCACTTTTTGTCCTGGGCCTGCTCACTACTTGAATAAAGAGTAAGCTTTCCTACACATCAAGGCACTGTCAGGCAAGGAATGTCCACAGTTAGGAATTTACTCAAGTGTTTCCCAAATGTGGGTCAACAGCTGCTTTTGGACTACAATTCCCATCATCCCTGACCACCGGTCCTGCTAGCTAGGGATGGTGGGATTTGTAGTCCAAAAACAGCTGGACACCCAAGTTTGGGAAACAATGATGTTGCCAAAAGTGCACTTACAAGTTAGGAAAAGGCGGGGCCATCAGTCCTACGTCTCTCAGCTACACCTAGATGTGTACCCAATGAGGCAGTTGCCGCAATGGAGAGGCTGCTCCCTTGAACCTGGCTTACGTATCTGTCATGGGACTGCCAGAGAATGCCACTGAGGAGCGGGAACAAACAGAGGGAGACAGACAGGAAGTGTCGGATGGGGAAGAGGGGGAGAGCCAGGAGGCGGAAAGGCTCTCCGATGCTGGAACAGAGCCCCAGCACCGAACAGGAAGTTCAGGCACAGACAGTGAGGCTGTGCCTGTTCTGTCTGCCCAGGAGAGGAGAGAGTTAAAGAAGAGGGGGGAGAGACGTCACATGAAACTTCCCCGCCTTTTCTGTTGGAGGAGAAGCAGGTGAAGGCCACTCCCCGAATCTGAACCGGATGATTCAGATGCATGATTGTAATGTGCTGCTTGAACACATGTAAAATAAAGGTAAAGGGACCCCTGACGATTAGGTCCAGTCGTGGCCAACTCTGGGGTTGCGGCGGTCATCTCGCTTTATTGGCCGAGGGAGCCGGCATACAGCTTCCGGGTCATGTGGCTAGCATGACTAAGCTGCTTCTGGCGAACCAGAGCAGCACATGGAAACACCATTTACCTTCCCGCCGGAGCGTGCTTTCGAACTGCTAGGTTGGCAGGAGCAGGGACCGAGCAATGGGAGCTCACCCCATTGCAGGGATTCAAACCACCGACCTTCTGATCGGCAAGTCCTAGGCTCTGTGGTTTAACCCACACTGTAAATATCTCTGAGTGAGCAGAGGTGCTTATTGCAAAGAGCATACACAAGCCATCACAGTATCTCCCCTATCCGAGCTGCACACAAGCAGGTGAAGACTCTGCCTGTGTGTAACCTTCTGCTCCTCCCTCTTCAATCCTCTTCTGGTCCTGGGAATCAGTGGAGCAGGACTGAAGGGGGCAGGAGGAGTGGGTGTTGAAGCTCTTGACTCTACACCAGCCTGACCTCTCTCTTCCTCCACTGCACCCGGTCTTCACTCTCCAAACCTGCAGCTTCTCCTGCCTCTGACTCTTGCCTCTTGGCTGTTACAGGTTCCTTTCTTCCACATCAGTCTCCAACCGCCTTCTGCCAGTGCCCACTCGTCAGTGTCCGGCCAGTCCCTGACCCAAGGGAATGAAGCCCTTGAATTGAAAAATGTTGCTCACCCCTAGGCTAGACGGTACATTCAACTCCAAATCAAAGCCAATGAATAAAAGTGATATAGCAGGGGTGGGAAAACTGTGTCCCTTCAATTCCTATTAGCCAGGCTGCCAGGGGTGGATGGGAGCAGGACTCCAACATCACTGGAGGTAAGCCACAGCAGTCTAACAGGCCTAGGGTTGTAGCAAGCTTGGGACGTTTGAAGTCCAAGTCATGGCTAAATACAGGTCCTTTCTGTTCTCAAAAAAGGCATGTTATCAGACTTCCATCTGGAACTCCTTGACCACTGGCTGTGCTGACTGGGGCTGATAGGAGATGTAGTCCAAAAGATAATGGAGTTGACTAGGCTGGGAAACCTGATATAACTTGTAGAACTAGGAAGTGGAGGGCAAAAGATTTTCATGGCCAAGTCTGCACTTTCCAGTACCCCATTCATCTAAATGAAATACAGCTCTCAAGGAGTGAATGGCCTATTGTGCATATGTATTATTTAAGTGGCAAGCGTGCCTTACTTTAGCTCTCGCCTTTCCTTCTGGCAGTTGCACAGGAAGTTCCCAAACTGGCACGAACAGATGTGATGCTGTATGTGGATTAGGAACCTTTCGTTGAATTCAAAGGCACAAGGAAATTGTTCCATAAGCTGCCAAACACACTCGATGAACTGATCAATAACTGGTGAGATCTCCTTTGGGTCTCCATCTAAATTGCCATACCTAAAACAATCCCAAAATGAAAAGTTAATTCATAGCAAATGATCCTTTTAAATGAATGACACCCTGCACCATTGCAAGCCCAGTCCTAAACTTCAATTTAAATAATTTGTTAAAAGAAAAAGATTACTTTGGTGCCATTCCTAGCACTTCAGAACCAAGTCTGAAGTTTGCCTTGGCTGAGGCATGAGAGTCAGCCCAAGCCTGAATAGCTAACATCTCAATTTATTTGCATACAATCAGAAAAGAGTTTGCCTACATAGTCATACACAAGGCAGTGCCCTGGTTATCTTGAATTACTACTACAACACCATAGTTTGAAACATTGCACAACCACTGCTGTCCCTCAGTCAAAGATTTGCTGCCTCATACAACATAACAGTTATGGAAGATTTAGCTCATAGCTCAAAGGCGCAGCTATAGGCATTATTTAGAAAGTGTTGTTCATTTGATACCCAATGGTAGCAACACATTTCATTTGCTGTAGCCTCATGAAATCTACACACAGCAAACTACACTTACCTGTGATTAAATTTATGGCCAAATGAAACCCAGTCTTTGTCAATTAATACCTAGAATGAGAGAGGTATGTATAAGTAGCATGCAAAGAAGCTCACATGCATTTTTAAGAAAGCAGAAAAGTATCTTCACTGTCGGTCTAAGACAGGGATGGAGTACCTGTTTTCAGACTCCAACTATCATCAGCCCCAGCCAGCATGACCAGTGGCTAAGGATGATGGGAGTTGTAGTTCCAATGGGGAAAGTAGAAAAGAGGTGAGACCCATGCTTTTTAGGCAAGAGTCAAGTGGAAGTGTGGATGAGCTTTCAGCTTAGACAATTCTGAGTGAATGGCCAAATGGTTGACTCAGCATAAGGGAGCTCCTATGCTACACTTGCTCTCACAGAAGCGCATAGAACCAAACCACTAGATAATGAAAAGTAGCTTTAAAATACTTTTAGTGTTAAGGAAACCTCTGCTATACTAAGCTAAGTAACTACAGAGCACATAGCTTGTTACAAGTCCCAGCTTTTTTCTGCAAAAGCAAGCATGCTTACCATAAACCCTTTCATAGTTCTGTAATAAGGATCTAAAAGAAGGCTTGCTACAGAGCAAACCTGAGCTGTCCGGTCCCATCCGTCAGAACAGTGAACAAGAACGCTCACTCCTTCTTCAGCAACAGCCTAAAATACAGAGGAACATTGAAGAGATATATAGCCAATAAAAGCAGAGCAGTAACATTTCCATCATTTGTGTGAAGTACATCAAACTGGTGCAGCCAACACAAAGAATGACTTGCTTGGATTTGCAAAGTTTCCAGCTACAGTTTCCCAGCATCTCTAGGTATTGCCTGGAAAGACCCTTGTCTGAAACATGTGCCTGTACAGCATAGACCAGGGGTGCAGACCAGCAGAGACCAGAGGTGGGTAATCTGTGACCTTCCATACGTTGTTGGACTCCAACTCCCACAAGTCCTTGTTGGCATGTCCACTGATCAGAGACAATGAAAGTTGTAGTCTAGCAGAATTTGGAGGGGCACAAGTTTCCCATCCCTGGTGTAAGCGAAACTTAGCTAGCTGGACCAGTCATCTGACTCCATCTCAGGCAGCTTCTTATGTTCCAGTGTTACCAAACAAAGAACTCTACAAGTCAACATAATGCACTGGGCAGATCCTGGCAGACGGTGGACAGCAATTATATATCTCGTCATATTTTGCTTCTGTCAGCTTTAGGGGTCACGCCCCGCTTGTCAAAATGTTCAAATCAGCTTATTGATCCTGTGTCAGGGGTTGACATGCTGTCCACAAAGGCTTTCACTGGTGCCTTTGGGCAGGTGTCCCAGACTAGAAGATTTCATTTTTTTAAAAAAAAGGTCTCTAGCTCATCTAGAAAGAAAGTTATGGAACAAAATGTGCAGGTACCTTCTAAGCAATTTCTGTGAAATGAGAGTGAGGGTGGTATGGCTACTTTACATATTTTTTCTAGTACTGAAAAATGCTCCCTGTTGATATTAAACAGCAAGAGCATCAGTGTGTCTGTCAATATAGTGTGATCTCCGCAATCAGGACCAGCAGGACATAGCTGACTTCCCATGGAAAGCATCAAGTTGTTGCAGGCAACCATCTCTCTTAATTTTGTGTTGTACCACATTGCTCGTGGAAGCCATTCTGTGACTGATGCCTCCAGAACGCTCTCAAAATGTGAGATATGGCCACCGGTCCAAAAAGGTTGGCAACCCCTGCTCTGTGTTCCCTGGTTGTTGGGAATGTGATGTCAACAGCCACAGGTACACAGGACAGGTAATGGTAACTTGGGCAGGACAGAGTGGGCTACAGGGGCCCATGACACAATTTGTTTCAGTAACATGGTACCTATTTGTTACAGAGCGACACCGTCTACTTCCCTAGCCTCATTTGGGCCACATACATTTCTTACATAATAAATCCCTGAAGGCAGCAGCAAGTCAACAGCATAAAGTCAGGTCTTCTGGATCAGCATTATCCCAATTTCTTTCTTAAAAGTACATACTGTACCTTAGCAATAAAGATGCCAGCATCCATGATGGCTTTGATATGCTTTAGCCAGCCTGAGTTCTCTAAACCCCAGAGGAAGTCACTCATCGAAGGAGATCTCAGCTCGCAAACTGCAAAATACACCAGCTTCAGTAAAGAACTCTGTTTATAGCCAGTTTTACATTATTGTCATTATTATTAATGTTTTTAAATTTGTATGCCGCCCTTCATCCGCAGATCCCACGGTGGTTCACAACATAAAATTGCAACATAAAAACCACAAATACATAAAATCCTAGAGTTGTAGAGTTGGAAGGGACCACAAGGGTTATCTAGTCCCATCCCTGCAATGCACAAATCTGTTGCCCAATGTAGGACTCAAACCCGCAACCCTGAGATTGAGTCTCATGCTGTAACGACTGAGATATTGGAGAGGACATAGTAAAAGTAAGAACATTGTCTTTTCCAATACATAGCACATGAAAAAGGGGAATTCAAAAAAGGACTGGGAGCTGGTTCCCACATGCATAATCGTAGCTTTTAGCACAATTATGTACAGGTATACCCAAAATAAATTTAACAGTGGTATACTGCCAAATAAAGGAGCACAGCCTTCAGAGTCACAAGGATGACTTGGGAAAGGTGTGGATACACCTTTTTGTTGCCAGGACTGCCTAAATAGGTTTTCATCTTTCTTCAAATGCACACACTATAGAGTAATACAGAATCAATCTGCAATGAGCTTTTATTTTTGGAATGAAACCAGTTTCTCCGGAAGTGCTATTCAGGGGCAGAAAATATGCAATAGATCTAGACTGTGTGAGGACTAATAATAAAAACAAACCCAAGTACTCAGTCTCCTTTGATTATGAAATACTGTAAGAGGTCATGTGTATACAATCTCACAAAGCTGCAGAATGCTTGCCTACACATCTAGGGACAAATTTGTTATGTGTATAACAAAGCCCAAATTTTATTTAAATGAAGAGCAGTGAAGGGAGGCAACGTGGGAGAGGGTTGCTTTTTACCCACCATGGGTGGTATTCAACCAAGCAGACAAACTGCAAATTGACCCTCATAGATAAAGTTTAAAAAAAACAACAACGAAGGGGAAGCATTTTAACTTGCATTGATCAGATTTAATTTTTAGAAGCTGGGACCCAAATAGAAAGCCATTGTAATGAGTAGCATCATACATGTCATAAGCTAGAAGCTAGAGACCCTGGGACGCGGGTGGCGCTGTGGGTTAAACCACAGAGCCTAGGGCTTGCCAATCAGAAGGTTGGCGGTTCGAATCCCCACCACGGGGTGAGTTCCCGTTGCTTGGTCCCTGCTCCTGCCAACCTAGCAGTTCAAAAATATGAAGTGCAAGTAGATAAATAGGTACCGCTCCAGTGGGAAGGTAAACAGTGTTTCCGTGCACTGCTCTGGTTTGCCAGAAGTGGCTTAGTCATGCTGGCCACATGACCCGGAAGCTGTATGCCAGCTCCCACGGCCAGTAAAGTGAGATGAGCGCCGCAACCCCAGAGTCGTCCACAACTGGACCTAACGGTCAGGGATCCTGTTACCTTTAGAGACCCTAAAGCAATTCAACTAAAGCCAAAGAGAATGCCAGGAGAATGGTAGCTTGAAGGATTGAAGAGACGATAACCAAGTTGCAGAGCACCCAAGTTTAAGCCAGATCTGTCCCATAGTATTAAGCGCCCAAATTTTATCCCAGCTATGTGCAGCTAAAGGATCAGGAGTGATGTCGTTTGATGTGAAAGGGCCCAAGGTCCTGAAGAGCCACACCTGGTTGGAATAGGCCAAGAGTAGCCAATGTGGTCCTCTGAAGATTCTGTTGGACTCCAACTCCATCATTCCTGACCATTACCTATGTTGGCTGAGGGTTAGAGTCCAACAACATCATGTTGGCTATTCCTACAGTAGAAAATCCTGGCCAAATAAGCAAATATTCTGCAGGTACCTGTAAATTTGATGCTTGGACACATATGCCCTTACTTAACCCAGAGTCCTTTCAGCTAACCTTTCATCCAGTGATCTATCACATAAGGCCATTTTCAAAAATGGCATCTCACAGAACTCCTGATGGCCCACTGCTGACAGCAAGAAACCTGTCCAATGATTTATGTATCCATGCAGATGGGAGCACAAGCAATTAGCGGCTGGATTCAAACCGAGATGGCTGCCTCTTGTTTGCAAAGTGCAGGATAAAGTCAAAATAGAGCCTTCCTCCCATATCAGAATCAATATTTGCTCTCCACTTTACTGAGCAAAGTCCATAAAGTCCTAAATTATGGGCCTGCAACCATATAGACATCAAGAGAACTCCCACTGATGTGGAGTTCAACTGTGAGGAATTAAATAACTAAGCAAAAGCTCCATTAGATTGCATTGGCACCTTCATATCCGCACCAAAAAGCATTAATCTATAAAAAGGGTCTGCAAAGAGGAGAATCTGGGACAGATCTGGCCTTAAGCACAGGAGACAACCCTCAGTGGTGTGTGTGTTTGTGTGTGACTCAAATATCTGGCAAGCTCAGCAACTCACAAGATGACCTTATTTCTCTTTCCAACAGGGAAAGCTGGTGGCTGGTGAGGAATGCAACCCTGTTAACTATGAATACTAGAGAAAGAGGTAATGACTGGTCCGATTTTTTAATTTACTTAAACAGGAAGCATAACAGAACCGAGGTGACTCAGCAAGTAGAGTATGAGACCCTTAATCTTAGGGTCGTGGGTTCGAAACCCACATTGGGCAAAAGGTTCCTGCATTGCAGGGGGTTGGACTAGATGACCCTCGTGGTCCCTTCCAACTCTACAAGTGTACAGTTCTCATATTTGTATCCTGCCCTTACTCCAAAAGGCTGAGAATAGCATATGTGGATTAATCTCATTTCACCCTCACAATAAGCCTGTGAGATAGGTGAGCCTGAGAAATATGTCACATTGCTTCCCCCAAAGAATTCTGGGAACTGTAGTCTATTAGAGGTGCAGGAGCTGTAACTCTGTGATTCCCATGATTCTTCAGGGGGAAGCCATGTGCTTTAAATGTACGGTTTTGGTGTGCAACAGAGTGACTTGTTTAATGGAAATTCCCACACCCAAATTTTAGTATTCTGCAAACAACAGCTCTCTTCACACTACCCTTTCTGATATCGTATAAAGTACAAGTATGCACAGCTCATTTCATTCAGGTATGCACCCAGGAAATTTTATCGTTTTGGAGCAGAGGGCAGACGTGCTCAGGTAGAGCAGAAGTCCCCAACCACTTTGGGCCCAGGAGCACATTTTGAAATCTACAGAACTGTCACAGGCATTACAAAATGCCTGCTTCACAGAAGAAAAACTGGTGATGCTCTCCACACAAAAAACACAACCCTTCAAGCAAATAAACAAAAAAGAAGGCAACGCCCTCCAATAAAAATAGGCTTCCTCCAAATAACTAATAATAATAATAATAATAATAATAATAATGTAAAGGGGCAGTGGCAGGGGCCATCAGCAGATGCCAAGGGGGCTCTCTGCGGGTACCACTGTGTCTACCGGGACCACACTGGGGACAGGGCAAAGTCCACATTTTCAATATTTGTTGCTGAAACACAGAAGTACACACAGCAGATGACTGATCATTTTTAACCCTCTCCCCTCAGGATCTCGCTGCACCGAAAAGCACGTGTGAAAGATGGGAGAGGGCACAAGGCAAAAGCATAGATGAGGAAACACCCACAAAGTTTACCTTCCAGCATTTTTTGGAGACTGCTTCTCATGACATGGATGTTCTCAATACCTATGAACTGAAACTTGATGTTGGAGTAGTTGTCTTCATTCTCATATCCTTTCCCAGCTGCTCTGTTTGCCATTGCATTGAGCTGCAGAGGGGGAGTAAGAGAAGAAAGAAAAAACATTGAGCTGTAGAGGAGATGGTGCTCATTCTGCTATATGACAAAGGAACAGCATGCAGTATATACAAAAGCAAAAACACTTACAGGAGTATTTCACTCCACTGCGTATCTACGTAATTACAAAAGACCACCTTTTAAACCTATTTGCACAGGGGGGAGGAGGGATCAGAGTAAAATTGGAGCTTTCTTTGACGTACGTTTGAGCTGCGAAAACTAAGAGGCTTTTATATTTTTCAGCCCTCAGGTCTTTATTCCAACCTTACTCCGAGTGCTAATCAAGACGCACGCTCTGTGTTTAATCTTCACAATGACCCTAGAAGGTGGGTTAGGCTGAGAGCTAGTGACTTGCCCATGGTTCCCCAGTGAGCTTGGTGGCAGAGCGCGGATGTGAGCTCAGTGCTCTACAGACTAAATCATACGCCCTAACTACTGTGCCAGAAATGGTTCTCAATTGTCATTACAACCCGCAGTGCAATTTGGGGTGGCAACACTTTGGAGCAATCAAATTTTGCAAGGATAGCTGGGTCCTCTGCCTACAGGCTGTCAGGGGCTAGACCATGAGTAGGCAAACTAAGGCCCCGGGGCTGGATCCAGGCCAATCACCTTCTCAATCAGGACTGACGTAGAATAGGGGAAACGAAGCGAGGGTGGGACTTTACTTAGAGCAACGCCATTTCTAGAGAGAGACTGCATTCCTTTGTCTCTCGCTGTGATTATTGAACAAACTAATAGGTAACAACTCTTCCATTTTTTATCTGCTTCTTTGCTGCCACCGGGGGAGGGATCTGATTTCCCCAAACCTGACACAGGAACACAACTGAATCTCAAACACACACACACACAATCCCTGTCAGTTAGGGCCAAACCACCTGGTGTTGGGACAGAAGTACCCACTTCTCATGGTCCCTAAAAGTAACTTTTCAGTGGCTCCAATCCACAAGATATCCTCCTTGATACCCTGAAGAGCCACTGCAAATCAGCATCAACAATACTGTGCTAGAAAGACCAATAGCCTGACTCACTAGAAGGGAAATTCCTATGCTCCAATATGGACTACCATCCCAAACTTATCTGGGCTGTGATCGAGAGACCCAACTGGGATGCAAATTGGAAAGTAAGCCCCATTGAACTCAATGGGCTTACTTCTAAGTACATATATTTCTAGATTTGCACCCGCTCATTTTTCCTGGTGGCCACATCCATTGCGAAAATCAAGCCTGCTGCAATCCGCCGCCCCCCATGCTAGAAAGTGATGGCGTGCTGAGAACTGGCTGTAACATATATTGATGGATGCTTATTTCGATGCAAGTGGCATCAGAAAACTAAAACAGCAGCTGCATCTTTGGCAGCAAAATAATCACGACGGCCTTTCCAACCAACAAAACATTTATACTTTTCTCTCAGCACCTATGATTGTGGTTAGCACCTACCCAGTCCTCGTGGCGTAATGCCCATTCCATATATTATGGTTGCCACTTTAAAAGGGGAGAGCATGAAAATAAAATACAATGGCTATTTCTTATCTAGTTGCATTAACATTTATTTTTGTGCTGTTGAAGCAAAGTCCGCTTTTAACATCACAATATATCCAGAAGATGGCACTATCTCTACAGTACCGCAGTGGATTTACATGAATATGCTGATTGGCTCTCAGATGTTGAATTTTTGATGGCCTGCGTTGATTTGCTAGGGTGAGTTAATTAGTAATGAACACTTTTTTAAAGTGAGGTAACTCAGGAAGTTTTATGATTTTGTAGGCACAGCACAGAAGAAAATTTTCAACTTACTGACAAAATAAGAAACTTTATCACAAGTTGAAGAGAGAAGAGACCCTTCCATCCTGGACCCTTCTGCTTCCAATGTTAACTTTGTCAAATCTATCAGAGATAAGGATGCATCCTTATCTCAGATGCATTCAAAAAGAGAAATCAGTGGCAGATTTGCAGTTCTGACCACAGTGCAAGTAAACTGGGACAAAACTCACACCAGAATCCAATGCATTCTACTGCAGGTCTGAATGGCTTTCCTGATGATAGTTAAGTTCAAGGGCTCTTATTGTATTTATAGCATTGGTGCTATAGCAATTGCCCATAACCAAGTTAGAATGTTTGCTAGCATTCCGTGACAGCACAGAATGACCACCAGTCAAGTAATGGCACAATGTAGAGAGCTCATAGCCTCAGGCAGCTGTAAAATTATTCTGCTGCAAGTCTGTCTGTATTGACCTGTAGTGATCAGGTTTGAGACAAGTAGTTGGCAAAGGAGAGGGAGGGAGTCTGATTGTACTACCTGATACTTTCTACCTGGCATTAACTGGAGTTGGGGAGTCGGCTGCACAAGTTACTCTCTATCCACTGGTCTTTCAATGGAAAGCAAATCTTGCTGAATTGCCCCCCAATCAGGGAAGTTGGGAGTGCTCAACAATCTGGTGATGCCCATGACTACATGCTACAGCATTCTTCTTCAAAAGTACTTTATTTTGCAATATGGAAGAAGAAATCAAATTGTGCGGTAGCCTTTGCCGGATATTTGAAAGAACACACATACAATAAGCTTGCATACTTCAGTGCTGGGCCATTCTCCTAAGATGCTGATTCTGCCACAATGTCAAGTCATGGAGCTACATGTAACATCCTCTGGGTCCAGTGCCGCCCCCCCCCCCCCCCAGGCTTCAGTAACATATAATTTAGAAAGCATAGCCTTAGGACTATTTGTTTGCTGTTCCTCTAACTCCAGAACTCACAACAAAAGAGCTAAGTAAAACCATATTTCCATCTTCTGAGATTTGTAGCAGCAAGTTCACAAGGCACTTCAAGGCCACCCAGTGCTATCCAACTCATTCAGATGACCTCTGACATACTTCTACAGGCATGCTATTGTAGATCTTCTGAGACGCGCCAGGCTGTAATCTGCATTAGCCACCACAAAATAAGCACATACACCACAGAGTACAAATTTTCTCACTTTTGGCCGTGTATCAACAACATAGATGAAATCACTTCCTGGATTTGCCTTCCTGATCGACTGAAGCATCTGTTCGTCTTCAAGGCATCGGGCACTGAAGCCCGAGAGAGGCTGGCTACTCCTGCATATGGAAGCCTGTGAGGAAACAAAAACAGAGACAGAAATATTCAAGTTAACACGTTTAGCTCGGCCAAAGGGAATTTACCATCTAGAAATGGAAAACAAACCCCCCAGACGCTTGCCACTTGAAAAGTAAATATCTAGCCTATATCAGGGTTAAGCGCAGAACCGCTTTGTAAACCCCTTTGAGGTTTTCTACACTCAAGTGGTATATAAGTTTTATGAAATAAATAAATAAAATGAACCTCAACGAGGCTCTCTTCTTCTCCCCCTCCCCCAGCATATCTGCCGGTTTCAAGGAAGCACCTATTATGCACCTCAACTGCATTCCCACCCATGATTCAAGACCCAGGCAGAGGATTCAGCATTAATATCCCCAGAGGCTCTGTAAGAACTCTCTCCTTGTGCATCTCCCGACCCTTACGTTGCAGTTACTACAAATATATGAGGTTGTAGAAGTGCGTAAGTGATGCCTCCCTTCCAGTGCCTCCAGTGCTTCTCCCTCCAATGGGGAAGAGAGACTGACAGCACTTTTGCTTGTGTCCCCAAGTGAGAAGCTATGGAGCTTATTAAGGTGCATAGAGATGGAAGGGGCATTGCAGGTGATCAAATCCAACTCCCTGCTTGATGCAATTATCTTATTTATTTATTTATTTATTATTCTATGTGCGGACAAAAGAAACAAAAAAGAATTGACAGTGTTAACAAAAGGAACCATAGCACACACAAAAAACCCATACCTCAAAAACACTCTAATGAACAATATATTTTAACCAAATTTCAAATGCATTTTCTTTGTTTATTTGATGCAATTATCATTTGTCCCTCACGGTTTTTAGCTAATAGAAAATGAAGAGTCAGTCCAAGTGAAATAAATCATTGAAAAGCTTTAGTCCCACACTTACATTATTTTGCTTGTAGTAATATGAAAGTGCTGGGAAACGCCTCCTGCTGCGGAATTTAGAGCTTCCCATAATGATGTGGGCAGTGGCTGATTTTGGCACATACACTTCGGTGGGGTAAGAGTCACAGACCTGTCCAAAAGCAGAAGCAGAAGGAAATCAAGATGAGTTTCTTGAAGCAGAACATAGCATGATCTTCTGGAAGACTCACCTAAGGATAATTTCAAAGGGCCTCACAAATAGTCAAACTATATCTGTGCTCAGTATGCTTAAGAAAAAGCCAAGCAAAAAATAACTGAACGAAGTTTGAAAGCTTGCACTATCTCACATAAAACACAAATTCCATATTTCCTGAATAAGAGTGATTTATATGTTAGACCTAGATGTTTTCCCATGCTCTGATGCACCACCCAAAACCCTTTCTGCATCCTCCTGAAAGCTTTCTGTTAAAGAACTCAAACATTCTGTTAAGTGAACTCAAAAAGTTCCTTTACTTCCAGAAGCAGCACTCAATTGAATGATGGGGGGAGCAAAGCAAAGCATGATGAGATTGTGTCACACAACTTCTTTGTACTCTGGCCCAGTTCAGACATCACAATGTTGCTCTAATAAATTATGGTTTATCAGCCAAATAACAAACCATGTGCCCATGCACTCCCACACTGCTCAACCACTATCCTCCTGTACCCAGCTTTGATGTTTATATCCTGGTTTTTAAAACCACTTTCCCATAATGTCCAAAGAGGGGAAATGGTTTATTCTGGCAGTGTTTAAACCACAGTTTGGATGTCACAGGAAACTGTGGTTTAACAAGCCAAGGTGTAAGACCCAAAGCTGAGGGCATGAGAGAAGAGCACATGAGCACACAACTCCATAAACCATCATGCCTGAATTGGGTCACTTAGTTACCAGGCTAATGCAGGGATGGTAAGTGGTCACTGCTGTCCTTTGTGTTCCACATTATCAAGTACTGCACCTTTGGTTGCAGCAACTCACCCTGTAATCTCTATTGACATCACTGAGCTGCCAGTAATTATTTGGGACCCCCATCCGATTATATTCTTCCTTCATGTTTGTCAGATTCCAACCTTGCTCTCGCTCTTCTTTGTTTAGCTTGGGGTTGAAGGAAAAACAGTACAACTCTTCATATTTAACTGAAGGACAGGGAAAAAGAGACACACACACTATTTATCCATTTGATTTATTATTATTGCATCACAAACACCAACTTTTATTCGCTTAGCTATGCCAGCTGTCACATTTTTCAAAGATGATAACCAATGAAGCTTGCACTTCGTTAGGGAGGACTGCACTTGTGTATATGAATAATCCAGATGGGATTTCAAACAAGCTCTGTATGCTGTCTGTCCAGACACTTTACAGCCAAACTTTGCAGACAGCTAACCTTTTCCCTGATTGGGAGGGGAGGCAGGCAGGGTGTCTGATGTTAAGAGCTGCATTTCTTGCTCTTCTGTTTTATCCAGATTGCTTGTTCCGTTAGCAGCGTGTCATTTGATTCATTTGCTCAGACCACCGGTTTGATGTGCCATGCTTGCTCCATTTTTCTCCTACTGGTACTATGTAACTTGGGCTGCAAGCATACAGGTGGCCAGAGGCCAGTTGAGTGGCTCCGGAATGCACATCAGTACCACTCTACTGATGGAACAGGCCAATGGCCCATCGAGTCCAGCATATTGTTCTCACAGTGGCCGACCAGATGCCTATGGGAAGCTCTCAAGCAGGTCCTGAATGGAACAGTGCTCTCCCCACTTGTGATTCCAAGCAAATGGTATTCATACTGCCTCCTACAGTGAATGCATGTTGAGGCAGGATCCAAAGTCTCCTTGTACCTCATCATACTGCAGGACTAAAGAACTAAACCAGCCCTAGAGAGGGAAACCAAAACGCATTGTGTCAGGGAAATAAGAAAAAGCCATCTTCACTTCCTACGAGGCTCACATTGAGCCAGGAGGGCAACATGAAGTAGACATGAGCTCTGGCACGGATTCTCATGGAAAGACACTTCCATAGAACTGCTCTGCCCACCTATGACTTGGGCAGCAAATAAATAAAATTGGCCGATGAGCCCTGCAAATGCCATTAAAATTTTCACTTTCGTTTTTAGATGGCATTTATTGTTTGAACACAAGCCAAGCAAACAAAAAATACCTGGACAATATAATTTTATCTTAGATATTTATGGCTCACCTTTGTATTCAACAACAGAAGACGCACAACAGGATGAAACAGATTTAAAGAGCAACTGCACACCAACACAATAACAACAAAATAAAGGAATACAACAACTGTAATACAATTACTTAAAATAGTCATAACCAACTATTTTGAGTAAAAGTGTTCCGACAAGTCAACTGACAGCATTATGACCATCAGCTGATGAAGATCCCAACCCAGCTAAGTTGATGGCGTAAGGCACTATAATTCTACTATCCTTACTTTATTATTGCTAACTTTCCCCCACGTTTTATTCCCTCACTTAACTTCACATTTAAATAGGACTTAATTTCTGTACTACAAAGTGCACAGCCATTTTGGCGAGGTGGGGATCAGCTAAGCTACTGCCTCTTCTCTTTCCTTTGACCTTAAGAGGAAAAGAAAGTGTGTATCGCACACTCCGTTACGATGAAATAAGGGGGAGAGAGCACCTTAGCCAACTGTTTTATGTTCAGGAGGACTGACGCAGTTAGACTGTTATCTACAGGAAATGGCTTAGTAGATTACAGCAGGATCTTCCAGCAGAAACCTGGCATCAGACTACCATTGGTCACCTGTGAACCCTACCACAGTGAAGGCAGATCCAGAAGCAAACAGAGAGAATTCAGCTTTGGTCCATCCTGTTCTATAACAGTAGGAAACAATTAACTGGATGTTATGGGTTAATCTCTTTCAAATGTTGTCATTGGGGGCAGGGTAGGGAGGCTTGCGGCAAGGCAAGGTACCAGTCACAGGTGACCTTCAGGTTCCTTCCTTCCCTACAATTTTATGAATTGATGTCCCATAAAATGGCCAGAACACAACTAACAAGATTGCCATGTGTGATAAACCCAAAGCAAATAAAGGGCTCTTGCAACAGCTAAGTCCCTTATACGCAGATGCTTGCAACATGCTCAGAATGGGAGGAGAGGTCTTCTTGTGGATCAGGAATTAGTTAAGTAGCAGGAAGCAGAAGGGAGGAATAAATGGACATTTTCCCGAATGATGTAGAAAATGGAGTCCGTCAAGGATCAGCAATGGGCCATGTGCTTTTTAATTTGTTCATAAACAATCTCTAGTTAGGAGTGAGCTGTGAAGTTGTCAAGTTTGCTGATGATACTAAATTGTTTGGGGTTGTGAAAATGAAAAGAGATTGTGCTCCAAAAGAGCCTCTCCAAACTGAGTTAATGGGTGGTAAAATGGCAAATGAAGTCCCATGTAAACAAGTGTAAAGCAATACATGTCAGTGCAATAAATGAACGGTAGCTCCAGTTCCCAGGATTCTTTGGGGGAAGCCACAAGTTAAAGTGGAACAAATGTGCTTTACATGTATGGTGTGAAGTCTGCACCCTACGAAAGCTTCTCCAGTGTCATCCATAAAGAAGTAAAGTGAATCCATCTGTGTGAATCACTTGCCATATCAGGAACAGCCAGCCAAATTGGATTTGGCACTAGAAGTGTATCCAAGCGCTGATGCCATCTTACTTCTCAAAAGCAAAACAGAAAAATCCTGCAGCACCTTAAAGGCAAAGAGTTGCAGACAACCTATGTCCCATTCAAAGTAGATCCATTAAAGTTAATGGCCATGACTAATTCAGGTCCACTACATTTCAATGGTTCTACTGTGAGCATAACGTAAAATACAACCCAAGCAAAATAAGGTGCCCTAAGTCTGTTATTTTTGCTGCAGAGACTAATATGCCTATATAGCACTATTGAAAAAACTTACTTCACTTTATTGCTTTCAATGGGATGCACAGTTAAATCAATAGTCAAGTGCATCTGGTTACACATAAATGCCCATTTTAAGTGTGACTAGAGCAGGATTAGAGTATGTAGATGGATACAACTAGTAATCTATGTTGTACAAAAGGAGTGCTGTATACAAGAAATGGAGAGGAAATTAATCCATAAACTTTCAGAACATTAAACCATAATTCAAAAAATAGATGAGGGCAGGGTTTGAACAGTTTCTGGAACTCAGACTTTTCTGCCTCCATCTGTTTATTGTCATGGCATGGGTTTATGTACACTGTTCCATCTGTTTATGTACATTGTTATATTTAACCTGGGGAAAAATATCTCAAGTAGAAAGATCTGGCTGGAATTTTGACGTGTATTTGTTCACCAGCGTCCAAAACGTGCATTAAAGTCATCCATTACACCGGCTCACATCACTGGCTAGGAGCTCTCACAGCTAGATCAAGTTAGAACAAACAACGTCCTATTTTCAGTTTAAGGCTTTATCAACAGTTCAGTCACAAAGTGTGAGGTGCAAAGCTTATTCATATTTGCAGGTTATTGGAAGTGCTTGACACAGTTGGCAGGAATGAGGAACATGGTGGGATGTCACCAGAACCACCTGTCACAACCTAAGCAGAAAGAGTTCTCAAATCTTCCTCGATAATACTTTTCCAGCCACTAAACCCTTACCTATTTCCTTGCTCACATTATTATTTCCTCAAAGGGGACTTTCTCCAGCCCCTTGATCATGTTGGTTTCCCCTTTCTACACCTTTTCCAGTCTACAAAATCCTTTGTTGTTTCTGCTGCAACACAGCTACACCTCTGAATATCTGTAAAAAGGAAACACCTTAGTGCTGTGCCAAAACTAAATTCAGGCCCAGTCTGCAGGTTTACAGAACAAGAGGATGAGAAATAAAGTTCTAAATCAGCTGTGTAAATGTGCTGATTGATATTAAAAGATTAATGGAGCTAAGTAGGAAAAAACTAAAAATAATAAAATGAAGGGTCCCTGTCCCATGGAACCTTACCTGCAAGGAGAAAGAGAAATAGTGAAATAATGGCCAGAGTGTTATGGGCAAAACCAGAGATGAGCATAACCATGAATGGCTAAAGAGAAGAGAGATGAATGAAATGATCATCAAACGCTGAAAGGAGATGCCTTTTCTACAACTGTGCTATCAGATGGCACAGAGCTTTTTTTGAAAGACAGCAAACAGATATTGCATTGTTTGTACACTGGGTGAAAGAGAACAGCCTCCTCAGCATCAGGGTTTTTTTTTCCTTTTTCTTTTTACAAACTGCATGACAGCAATCCACCACAAGATAAATATGAGAGAGCATTTGTTCAGGCTTAATTTCCAGATTGTATCCTTCTGAACTTCCATTCCATACCTGGGCGTGCCAGACGGATTAAAGATATGTAAACATCATGGCAATCTCTTTCTTGAGGCATGATGAACTGGATGTTCTGAAAATTCTTGCAGCGAATCAGCAAAGGACAACCAGTTGCCGCTGTAGCCTGCTTTTCGATAGAAGAGATTTGACTGTGAAGAACCTGAAAAGGAGAAACAACTTTTTTTACTGTGCGCTTTCTCTCTCTCTCTCTCTCTCTCTCTCTCTCTCTCTTTGTGTGTGTGTGTGTGTTAAGACACCTTGAACTCTGCCAAGGAAAAGTGGGGTGCAAATGTTTTCAATAAATAAATAATAAATAAATGTTTTAAATAACCAAACAGCAACAAAACACTTGCAACTTTAAAAGAATACAACACAGCCCACTTTGACCATGTGCATTAATGCATGCAACCTTCCAATGTGAAAGAGGGAGCAAGGCATTGGAAAATACGCTGTTGTGAAGCAGAAGAAAGACAGAGTCTTGAACCAGTACATATGAGCTCTACATCAGCGTTGCGGTGAACTCCCCATAACGAAGAGCTGAAACTTACACAGTACATTCCACTTCCAGCCTGAAGCTCCCTGTTGACCAGGTAGGGTGGAAAAGTCCCCTGTCTGAAACCCTGCACAGTCACTGTCGGTCTGTAATGCTGCTGGACTATAACTTCCCCAAGACCCAGCCAGCATGGCGAATGGTCAGGGATGATGGGAGTCATGGTTCAGCAACATCTAAGTGGGCATAACGTTAGCTACCCCTGGTGTAGACAATACCAAACTAGATGGACTCAGTGTAAGGCAGATTCCCATGTTCGTAGATTTTGAGCTTTCTCTGGTAAATTTGCTGCCATCGCAACAAACTCAATGGTCTGGCTGTTCCTTATGCATACCCATTATGTTCTATGCATACATATAATCCAGTCTTGACTTAAAAGTCTGTGTACATTGCACACAGACTTTTAAAAATCAATGGAGAGGACAAATTAGCGAACTTTACGGGATGCATTCACAGATATATCCACTCCCTTTTAATTTGTTCGGCATACGTTTGTAGGGCATTTTGCAGTTATAAAAATAAAACCAGAGTTGTAGAAATTACTTTCATAGGATTCACAGAGCTGTAATATAGAAATTGCCATACCCACGTCTCTTTACGGGTGTCTGACTCATTTTCTACAAAGATCACATGAGTGGCTGTTAGATACAGTGTCCCTAATGCAGCCCTTTTGGAAGATATTCCATCAATCAAGCGGACATTTTCCACCTAAAAGAGAGAGAGAGAGAGCATAACCAAGCAGTTCAATACTTCCAATAAAATAAAAAAATAAAAAATTCTACAAAATTCTATGAAACTGGTTTTCTGTTGAAATAAACCATTTATGTTAAACATGCCAATCTTTTTCCACTGTTTAAAAGTAGCAAGATGAAAGAGACTAGAAGACATAGAAAAGAATATTAATTTTACATCCCAAATTTACTTTTCGTTTATGTATTTTCTTTGTTATTTGCTTATAAGGCTTACATTAAACAATATGCAAATTAAAAATACCATCCAACATTAAAAACAAACTGACATAAAATGTATCAAACTATATATAAAACCAATTGTGGCAAGATTTATTTATTAATACAGAGTCAAAGATACAAACTAGAAAGAACATAATCGAAGTAAAGTCAGTAGTTTTCAAACAAATATAAGTAATATAATTACATGCTAAAATTGGGTGATAAAATTACATGTCTGTATACAATGGATGGCATTCAACTATGTTTTACTCAAAGTAGATCCACTGAAATTAATGTACCTAGTTTAGTCATGTTCATGATTTCCAGGGAGTCTACTCCAAGTAAAATACCACCCATTGTTCATAATCATTTAGTCATATTCAGAGCATTTTTCTAAAAAAAAAAATGTTTAGGGGTACTCTCATTTCCCTACTCATATTGAAATACAGTGGTACCTCTGGTTAAGTACTTAATTCGTTCTGGAGGTCTGTTCTTAACCTGAAACAGTTCTTAACCTGAAGCACCACTTTAGCTAATGGGGCCTCCTGCTGCCGCCGCGCCGCCGGAGCACGATTTCTGTTCTCATCCTGAAGCAAAGTTCTTAACCCGAGGTACTATTTCTGGGTTAGCGGAGTCTGTAACCTGAAGCGTATGTAACCTGAAACGTATGTAACCCGAGGTACCACTGTACTGCCTCTCAATGAGGCCAAACTTCTCGATTCACAAAATGTTTAGGGGTACCCCTGCGTACCCCCAGGAAAAAAAGCACTGGTTATACTTAATTTTTGACTAACAGGAATGAGTGGCTGCAACCTTTTGTACTTTGCAAAATAAAATTTCTGAAAATCTCAATAAAACTATCAATAACAATTTTTGTAAAAATGGCAAGATGCAATCTGATTGGTACAGCCTTGGTTCTGCTTGCCTCTGACTGGACCTGACATTACTCATAATTCTGTGCAGCGCGTTACAGCAGATACACCCATATTTGCTAATGAACTTTTCTTTTGTTTTCTTTTTTAAATAAGTATACTAAAGATGAGTTAAATTCATATTTGCTCCATACACATATCAGGATTTCTGAAACAGAAAAGGGGTAAAATACTTATACACAAATTCCACCTCAACCACATCACATGAGACAAAGCAGCTAAGAAATTTAACAATTATTCATAACCTAGCTACAAAGACATCTAAAGGATTATCATGTTTTTAAGAGCCTATTCAGAGCTCAAGGTAGATGGGGATTTGAAAAAGCTAAAATTAACTTCTGCCAAGCTAACCAAATAGATCTATGGAGTGTTTCTGTATGCTCTGTGGTTTTATTTGAGCTAAATTCTCATGCCTTTATGACAGCTCATCCTTGCCCTTTTCTCTACTGAGAATCTACTTTGGTAACAAATGAGTTAAGAGTGGAACTCCAGGATGTGACCCAGTTTTTGGGGGTTTTTTTTAGTATAATGATTCACTGACTTCTTGGCTAGTTCTTCAGTGACCTATGTCAAGAGCTGGCTGCAGAAAGCAGAAAGCTAAACCACTTTGAAGACACAGATTTTCTAGCAAGCTCTGGCCTCTGGGAACTATTTTTGTGCATCTCACATCATTCCCAGTGGAGAAACAAACTGTGCGATGTCAGCTCAAAATTCACCCTTAAGGCAGCTTAGTGCCAGATCATCAAAGTACTTTAGGCCAATAGGAGCACTGAAAAGAACAAAGTTTGCTCTGCAGTGTACATTCAATAGTGACTTAGCTGGGGACACAAACTGCACTAACTAGGAGTCTAAAGGTAAAGGTAAAGGGACCCCTGACCGTTAGGTCCAGTCGTGGACAACTCTGGAGTTGTGGCACTCATCTTGCTTTACTGGCCGAGGGAGCCGGCGTACAGCTTCCGGGTCATGTGGCCAGCATGACTAAGCCGCTTCTGACAAACCAGAGCAGCGCACGGAAACATCGTTTACCTTCCCGCCAGAGTGGTACCTATTTATCTACTTGCACTTCATGCTTTCGAACTGCTAGGTTGGCAGGAGCAGGGACCGAGCAACGGGAGCTCACCCCGTCACGGGGATTCGAACCGCCGACCTTCTGTTTGGCAAGCCCTAGGCTCTGTGGTTTAACCCACAGCACCACCCGCACCCCCAAACTAGGAGTCTAGTGTTAAATGAAAAAAATATTCAGTTATATATTTGCATATCCCCATAATTTTTACTAAATATACATTTTTTATAAATTAAGAGACCATTTTCAGTTCAAAAAAGAAATCCAACCAATCATTGTCAGAATGGAAGTCCCTAATCCAAGAGCACATTAGAATCAAAACAGTCAGAAAACATTCAAGAGAGAATGCTTTTCAGGAGTGGCCAGCAGCTAGGGGAAGTGCCATGGACCTTGCCTCTCTACAGCACCACTGCTACCACATACTGGGTATAGCGGAGCAAGGTGATGAAAAAAGGCGGGGCAGGCATACCAGTATAGCCAATCCAGTGCTCCCACAGTAACAATCTCACTGCCACCTTCCCCAGTAGTCAATGCTGCCCCTCCTCTCCTGGAGCCACTGACATTTTACATGTATCTTACTGATTAATTAACTAAATCTTTAGCTATAGATGATGCTCAATGGTTAGGAACTGTGCAGAAACACCTACTGAAATTGGTATCAGCAGCAATCAGAGAGAATACTTTGAAAGTTTGAAGTTTAAGTCACATTTATTTACTGTAGGATTAATGTGACTTAAACATCAAACCTTCAAAGTATTCTCTCCGATTGTCAGAGAAGAGATATGGACATGTCACAGATTCTGGAAGCCCATCTTCGAAGAATGTAGTGAAATTTTGGAGTAATAATCTGTGAACTGCAATTGGCTTTGATTTCTGGTTTTAGAAATGCGCAATACAAGGAAGTGGTGACTTTCTGTGGGGTCAGGGCACCAAAGAAGTGGGCAAAAATGGAAGAAAAGGTCTTTCATTAAATGATTCGTAAGGATATGTGAGGCAAACCACTCTCAATGAAAGCTGGACTTGATATGGGGTAAGATACCACCAAAGCTGTACATTTTTAAATTGTTTTCATTTTAAGCAAGACTTTGTACCACATGATATGCCAATGCTTGGGTTGTGTCGTTTGCCTTGGATCCAACTTCTAAATTATTTGTAAGCCATCTAGTTACTACATGATTGTGTGCTCAGAATTTGAGGTGTAGGACAGGTCAGCATGTCTTGGGGGTCCTAATGAGGAGGCTCGCAGGCCAGAGGTTCCCCACCCCTATTGCAGAGGTATCAGAGATCATGGTAATGAGTGCCAAGTCCCTTGAGCGATCACCTATGCACACAAATCGCAACTGACTGAAGTATTTATTAAAAGCCATGTCTGTCCACCATGATATATTTTCCTCCATGAACTTGGTTGCTGTGGGCTAAAAGAAGCAAAGAGGGCATTAAGCAGAACACAGTCAAGGGATTTATGGTGTCTATGGCAACCCCTTACATGATATATATAAAGTGGATCCAAATTCAACACAACACTTTTTAGAAAAAAGGGAAAGAAGGCAAAATATAGAAGTTAAAGGGAATGCAAAATTGCAAACAGATGTAAGGCACTTTCAGAGGATAAATTTAAAATCTGACCTTCTGAACAAGGCTGTTGGGAGGTCATTCAAGAAAAGGGATGTTGTATTTGGGAAAGGGATAGGCAAGTCCTCAAGTTAAGATAGCTGCAAAGCTCTTTCTAGATATGCTGAATGCACGTTAAATGCCTGTGAAGGTTTTATGGCTGCAGTCAAATTGCGCTGGGTGTTCCAAGACATCATGTGTCCCTAAGTATATTTTATACTTGTTGAATGAACCTTGATTGTGGATCTAGTTTTTAAAAGGCATGGAGAATGCAATAAATTGTTTTGTCACTGTGACAAGAGACTGCCAGTCATACAGCGGTTGCAAGGCAGTACAATAGCAATCTGGATAACATTGCTTACAGTCAGCCAACCTTGTTTGGAAAATAGGATTATACAATTGAGGATTCACACATCTGATTAAAACAAGCACAAAACTAGCGACTTAGACTTGTGTCTTCTCCAAGTGAGAACAATGCAGATTCCTGATTAAATTCTACTCTAGGAGACTGATAAGGAAGAAAAAACATTAGCGCCGAGCCAGAGGGGGCGTGGGGAGAAGCATAGCTGAGAGACAGTTGGGTGTTCAAGAGGAATAGTCATGCTGTCTTTTTCCTCAGATGACCCCAAGCTCTCATCACTAGACTAACAGCAGGAAGTTATGAGACTGAATAGATGGATGATGAGAATCTTCTAGCCCCAAGTGATAATAAGCAGGACATAGAGCACTCTGTAAACAAGGTCAGCCAGATAGCACCACAAATTATATTTCTCTCCACTTGTAGAACTGAAACACAGGAAACCAGAATCTGCCATTTAGAAAGGTTTCTGAGCTCTGAGGTACAGACAAGGGGTTGCTTCCACACTGTCACTGTTTTCAGGAGGGATTCTATCACCTATCAGCAAGTTCAGGTTATGCAATTAAAGACAATTCAGCACTCTTGTGCAACAAACGTGCTTCACCTGACACCTCCCCCCCTCCAAATCAGTCTTTTTGCAATAAGGAAAGTGATGGGGATATGCACTGGAAAGTGTGTGATAACAATTGATTGAAATCCCTGTGCTTTTAATGAACAGTTTAGGAACACACTCAGGAAACTGCCTCCTATCAAGTCAAACCATATATCCTTCTAGCTTATTAAACATCATCTGTACCATACACTGAAAGCAGTATTACACCACTTTAAAGAGCCATGGCTTCCCTCAAACAATCCTGGCACCTGTATTTCATTAAGGGTCCCCAGAGCTTTTAGGATATCCCTATTCCTGTCACAGACCTACAATTCCCACAGTTCTACACACTTAACAAACTACAATTTGCCATGAATCCTTTGGGGAAGCCATGACTATTTAAAGTGGCAAAATGCCTAAAATCACAGAATCAAAGAATTGTAGAGTTCAAAGGGACCACAAGGGTCATCTAGTCCAATCCCCTGCAATGCAGGAACTTTTTTGCCCAACACTGGGCTCAAACCCACAACCCTGAGATTAAGAGTCTCGTGCTCTACCAACTGAGCTATCCCTTCTTTAAATGTATGGGATCCTAGTTTCATCTACAGACACACTGCCAGCACATCTCCAGGGTTTCAGTGCAATTCCCAGCAACCGTACCTAAATGACAGGGATTCATCCTGGGACCTTTATAATGTAAAACATGTACTGTACCACTGAGCAAGGATGCAACAATGCTCACACACATAGAGGCATAAGTAGCCAGCTGTTTATTTTAAAACAAATACATGAGAACGTTATACCGATTAATGAACTTGTCAAGACATGAGACTCGGACATCCCTTTGGAAAGAAAATACAGTGGTACTTCGGGTTAAGTACTTAATTCGTTCTGGAGGTCCGTACTTAACCTGAAACTATTTAACCTGAAGCACCACTTTAGCTAATGGGGCCTCCTGCTGCTGCTGCGCCGCCGGAGCACGATTTCTGTTCTCATCCTGAAGCAAAGTTCTTAACCTGAAGCACTATTTCTGGGTTAGCGGAGTCTGTAACCTGAAGCGTATGTAACCTGAGGTACCACTGTAAAATATTTGTGTCATGTCTAACTTTTACATAAGGAAGCTGACACCAGAATTATATCAACATCTTCATATAGCCATGGATTAGTTTACTGTATTTTCGCATCACAAAACTGGCCTGGAACTGGCACAACAGAAGAGCATATTGATTTAGTTTCCCAACATGAATCAACAATATAGTGAAGAATAACTTGTTGGTTTGATAGTCAGAGGACAAAGTTTAATTAGTTTTATTTTTTTAAACTGAAGTGGCAACTACAAACCTTCCTGACCCTTGACAGCTATAACGAATGGTACGTGAGGCTACTCTTGAAGGCAGTCCAAAAGTTGCAATTAGTGCAGAATGAAGCTGTCAGGATTCAGAGCAGCTCAGTAAGCCGAAATCTTCCTATACTGCCCATGTACTAACTGGCCCTTCTCATTGGACTAGTGTTAAAGGAAACTCACTGTGTGGTGACATTAGATAGGGCTTTCTCTGTTATGGCATCTCACTTCTGGCACTCCCCTTTAATAAATGAATGGTGCTACAACATTCACTTTTAGGCACTAGTTAAATAGTTATTAGCGTTTTGTAGGGAGTTGACCTCATGTGGAGAGTCATAAATCAGTCTGTTGTATGTGTACTATATTGTGCTATTATATACTATTATCTGCTGTTTTATGAGCTGCATGTAAATTTTATTATTACATTTTTAGTGGGGGGGGGGGGGTTGTTCAATCCTGCCCCGGGATCATTAATTGATGAAGGGTGTGCTAGACACCCAATGAATGAATGTTGCTGCTTGAGCAACATATTGTAAAGTGTATCTACAAAAAATGTAATGTGTGAAGCATCTCTCACAGGATGCTTTACTATGTACATAAATCCAAGATCTAACATTCTTCATGTAATATTGTTCTCAGCAAAGTTATGCTCATAAAGATGCCCATGTCAGCTCTACACGTTACATGCTTCATAGTAGCCTGATGAGCTTTGACGGGAACTTTAGAGTCAGTCCCGAATTCATATTGCACTAAGTAGCCCATGAAGACCCATAGGTTGAGCTAATCTCAGCCCATTCAAGTGGGAAATGAAAAGAAAAGAAAAAAGAACATCGAAGGCCTGAATATTTGTGATACAAATGTCGTTTCCCCCAAAAATAACCTAAATACTTTCAACAAAACAGAAAAAGGACTCAGTAACATGGAAAAACTAGAACTTGAGGACAACTTGGACCACCCAGAATGCTGCATTAAACAAACAGATACAACATCAAATGAATGCCTGGTGCTATTATTACAACACAGACGCTAGGGACTCATTTGGCATGTTCAGTGGAAATTAACTTAAATTGCTCTGCTGCCAATATATAGCTACAATGATATAAATGGAAGGAACCACACACGTTATGTGCCTGAAAAAAAATATTGTGATCTAAGTGCAATGTCTTCTTCATACCTTTGGTATCAATCTGATCTTTAGCACCATTGGTTCCCCGCCCTTTAAGTTAGCACAAAGCATTTTCAAATCAGGTGGGGATCTGGTTTCATCCCCCATCCCCTTTTGCTGCCATTTATGGTGAAGCCTGTTAACAGAAGATTATTTCACTCATTAGATATTTCAGTTTTTAGCAGCTTCCCAGAGGATGTTCTTTCTAAACCACACTAATGGCTCATAATCATTTACAATCAATACTTGTTTCTTACAAGTAAAGTTGCTGGACCAGGGAAAGGCTGTAGCTCAGTGGTAGAACACATGCTTTGAATGCAGAGGGTTGCAGGTTCAAGTCTCAGCATCTCTAGATAGGGCTGAGAAGGACCTCTTTATTAAACTTTGGAGAACTGCTGCTAGTCATAAAAGACAATATCGTGCTTAATGGACCCATTCCGTATAGGACTACTCCCTATTTTCCAATGTCCTATGTTTTTTGGAGAGCTGATCTACAACATCAACAACATGAAGCAGTAGAAAAGGAGGCTGAGGCATTATTATTTATCTCTCTCTCTCTCTCTCTCTCTCTCTCTCTCTCACACACACACACACACACACACACAAACACAGAGTAAATAACAACTGTGGGGAAACCTGATCTAGATTTGATCTATAGCATGGTGTGGGAGCGTTAACCCTTTGGTCCACAATGGTCCTGATCCAGGTCGGTAGTCTTTCATGGTTGCCACCTGCAACACAGATATCTGGGCAAAATGTGTTTTAGACTTCTTGTCCCTGTTGCAAGCATCCTGTTGCAGCACTGCTTCCTTGGGTACCAGAGGGAAAATGCTTCCGAAATCATGCCTGTCAGCCAACCAACCAGTAAAAGAAGTAAGTGATGTAATTCAAAAAATAAGGAATGGGGCCTTGGATGCATTGCAGCAATGTTTCATAAATATGCGGATGACACCTAACTCTATTTCTCTGTAACAACCGGGGCAGGTGTGGTGCACCTGGAGTGGTGTTTGCATGCAGTAGCGGCTGGATGAGGATTAATAAACTGAAATTGAATCCTGGCACGGTAAAGGCCTTGTGGGTTAGTGACTCTCAGGTCCAGGAATTACGGTAGGTCCTCCCTCTGAAGGAGCAGTTACATAGCCTGAGGGTGTTCCTGGATTCATAGTAGTCACTAGAATTTTTGGCAAGAAAGGAAGAATAAAGTGGAAGATGACATGAGTGGGAATATTGCCAAGCTTTTCTAAACAAACCTCAGGAGCTAGAAACTTGATTTCTTAAATGAAAGTCGATGGACTTTGGTTGACAAAATCAACAAAAAACAGAAAATTGTGTGCTTGCCCAACCAGCCCACACCTGCCCACAACCCTGTCTAAAATGACTATATGCTGTTTCCCCTTCATAATCACTTTGAAAAAAGAAAAGAACAAAATCCTCCATATTCTGAGTGCTCTCAAGACTGTGTCGACTAGATATAGGCACATAATTCTTATTGTTTCTCAGAAGTATTGGAATAAATGCGATAAATGAAACCTTTTTTGATTAAGATACAAAAAGGAGTAAAGGATCAGTGTTTTGGGTTTTTTTAAGCAGGATCAAATATCCCATTTCCTGTCTGGGAGTCAGAGGCCTAGTGATGCAAGACCAAAGAACAAGAAGCCATTATTTTGAGTTGATGGCTAATAATATACCATCAGCATTTGCAAAACAACTCTTCAGCGCCATAGATCATTCCACATCCATTCAGCCAAAAGGAATTCATTTAACTTCAGCATTCTCCTACGATTCAACGCTACCTTGATCTCATTCCTGTAGAGAAACTACATCATATTCGGAGCCCTTTTTGTGTGTGCTGCAATCCTATTTTTCACCTGCCTGGAGAAGATCAATACGGTAGGTTCTCTTCCACCACCACCACAACCCCTGTCAGCAGACACGGCCAGGCAGAGGCCTCCAGTTTAATTTCAAAAAAGTGATAAAAAGCAGAATGAAAAGGGAGGGGACACCTTCCCCCCTGCTTTCAGGGATGGTTGCTGCATTATGGACGAATTAAAAAAAAGCATATTCTAGACAAACCGGTGAATATTCTGAGCTTAATACAAGGTCTACTTTAAACAGCCGATGGCATTAGAAATTATGAAAAGCCAGGAAAGGATGAAATAGGTTTTTTTAAAAAGATAAATAAATCACTTTTTTTGTTTTATGGGAGGTGTGTGTGTGTAAATGCACCCCAGCCTCGCCCACCCAAGGGAGAAATAAAGGGCGCTTTCAAGGATGCAAAAGGCGAGCATCCATCTCTCTCTCTCTCTTCCCGGTACTCACCTTGGGCATTCGGATGTGCTCCATGGCGACAGGCTCCCTGGGGTTTCTCTCTCACACAACACGCCTCGCAACAGCCGAGGGGGTCACAGGGCCCTATGAAGACTTAAGCGTCGTTACCTCAACACAGAGGGAAACTGGGAGGGGGGAAGGGATGGCTGGAAAGCGGTTCCCAGAGAAGGTGCCTCTGTTTCCGATGCCGCCAGGTCAGCGCTTGGCTCCGCCTCCTGCAGCGGCTGCCATGCCGCTCGTTTCGGCTTCCGAGGCGCACAGGAGCCCGAGGCTTTCCGGCTGGAGGGAGGCCACCAGGCCCTAGAGGCTGCCGGGTTCCCGTTGGCCCCCATCTCCAACCAATGCACAAGCGCCTCCCGTCAGGTACTGCCCTCGTTGTTCTCAGAAGGCCGTGAAGGAAAGGCCTCCGTTTGGTGACACCTTTTCCCATAACTCATTGTGGCCTGTTTCTTCTTCAGAAACAAGAGCGGCTGTATCTTCTTCTTCTTATTATTATTATTATTATTTTGATAAAGTAATAATGATAAGTAAATAAATAATGCGCGCGCCTCGACCTCTTCCACGAAATCCTTCCATCGTAACTATTCAACCTGCCAAAAATTCCAACGCCTTTTTTGCCATGGTTTGACCCCTTTCCGTTTTGACAAAGCCTGCAACTACATTTGGTCGTTTGACAATTGTCAATTTCAAAATCTGAAAAACTAAATAATTTTTTTTTAAAGTATTCTACAAATACTTTCCATGTCTCCTCAAAATCACCTCTCCTGCACATTCCCCATCTTAACAGCATGTCAGTTTATCATCAATAGCTATATCCCACACCTCTTTGTATCAGTCTTCCATTTTATGTTTGGCGACTACATCTTAAATCTGCTCTCTCTCGAAGGAAGAGCTCCACCTGTTAAGTTGCAGCCTGCCAAACAGTTGTGAAAACGTGGCACCCAAACCCAGGCCATGAGCGTAACCAGGATTTTTGTTTGGAGGGAGGGCAGAACCTCAGGTTTTTATTGATTTTTGCCGATTTTTTTTCTGCCCCCCCATAACCCAGGCTGGAGCAAAAGTTAAGAATCCTGCTGCTTTTAGGGTGACCAAATGCAAAAGGGGCAGCTTTTCTCTTGCCTGCATGTTAACAAGCTGCCCCTGTGAAAACCACCTCCTCTTCTGTGTTACCGATAGTTGTTACAAATAAATTCCTAAGATTGCTGTCTATGTGTTATTTCAGATCTCTCAAAGCGCAACTGCAGGTGTCTGAAGTGTACAAAGGGAAAAGAATGGTGCATATGTGTTAAAGTTCGCTACATGCAGCAGTTTCAATACATCTCAGTATCTCATGTTGTTTTTATGTAATGAACTAGTCAGGAGGTTTTTTCTGCAGGGGGTAGGGTAATCTAAAGGCACGAAAACAATACAGAAAACATTCCCTCTGTCATTGGAAGTGGTGCTCTTTCGTTTGCGATTTCACTACAGTTAACCATAACCAATGCGAACATGACTATCAATATAGCTGGTTGATAATATGACATTTTCAGTTCTCATAGTTCTGCAGTTCAACACATTTTTTATGTTTTTCAGTTAGTTCAAATAAAAAACTTTTCAGCAGAATCCCCTTTGATTTAAATGGAAGCACAATTAATCTAGCTGCATTTTTTATAAAAAGCCATGGCAATTCTAAGAACTGCAGCTACATAGGATTGTTGACATAGCAGTTTCTGCCTATGAAGCAAGGATTTCTTGCAACCACAAAGTGGTTTATTCTAACACTAGAATTTATACTTCGGTGGTATTAGTATGAAACTACGTACTGTAGCTAATCCCTCCTCAAAACCCAAAGATTCCATGTTGTTTATGGTTTATCCCTTTAAATCCTAATCTACAAGTGTAACCAAACTATAAGCACATGGAGCTGAATTTGCTTTCACTCTTCTATAAAACATAACTTTAATCTGCAATCAACAGTTCAAAAAGTGGTCTGAGACTACATGTTTTAAGACCTTTCCCAAAATTACTAACTTTTAATAAATTGTTCAATAGTGCTCCAAATGAGATTTTTCTATATTATGAATTATACCGGTAATTACACTCTCGTCTCTCTCTCCTCCCTCTGCTGCTTTCCTGTTGTTGTCGTTATATTGTAATGGTAAACTCATTGGAGACAGGGAGCTTGCATATGGAACTTTAAGTCACACTGCTGGCAGTGAATAAATATTAACAACAACAATTTAATCCTTTAGTTTAATTTAACCCTGATTCTCCTGGAAAATGTTTGAATTCATAAAAAAGCAAGGTAATGAAAAGTTGCCCTTTTAATTATTTCCAAACCTTATAACTGCTGAACAATTGTTGCACAAATTGCAACGTGACAACGCTGAACGCATGACACTTGTTTAATAGTAAAAGGAGTTAACTGGCTTTCAGTTCAACATGACTACTGGCCTGGCTCCCCCCCCATATTCCTCAGAGCTGCCAAGTGTTCCAGAGGACTAAAAGGCAACATGCCAGAGCTCTGCAGGGGAAGTGTGCAAGAGGACACGTACAGGACACAAACATCTAGGTACAAAGCATTCATCCTGACTGCTCTGCTACCAGAAACTGCGGCTTTCCAGATGTTGTTGGACTAACTCCTATAATCACGTACCATTGGCTATGTTGAGGGGAGCTGATGGTAGCTGGAAACCAACAGCATCTGGAAGGCCACAGGTTTCCTAACCCATATTTTAAGACCTAAACATCTGGAACCCATGGTACTTGAGGCCTCTCATATTTGCCTGCCCAGCAATTCAGATCTTCTTTAGAAACCCTTCTCAGGGTGCCCACAAATAATGTGCCACTGTCGACCTGTAATACTTTGGATTTAAATTGGTTCTAATATTTATGTCTTTTTTAAAATCTGGTTGTTGTTTGCCAGTTAGTGGCTCAGTCAGTACAGCATGAGACTCTTAATCTCAGGGTTGTGGGTTCAAGCCCTAGAATGCAAAAGATTCCTGCATTCCAGTTCTGTAATTCTATGAAAGAGACCCTTGGATCGTAAGGGATGAAGAGCGGTCTAGAAATACAATCAGTCAGTCAATCAAAATAAATAAAAAAGCAGCATCTTAGTTGTGAAGTTTCAGCTTTAGACCTCTCTTCGCTTTTCAGTTAAGCAGGCCCACATCCTCATTACTTTTAGGTGACCTTTTAAACTCTCTCTAGCATTTAATGAAAATTGATTTTGCTGTTGTTGCAGACTGAGGCTGTGGTTCTAAACACATTTAGTAGGGAATAATGAGCCCCACTGATCACAGCAGGACTCACTTCTGAATAAACACAGATGTATCTAGCAAGCATTGTCCCACACTTTCCAGTGCACTTTCCTTATTGGAAGGAGTCTGAGCTTTTGGGGGAAGCAGTTACAAATCAGCTTTAAAGAGTTATAAATCAGCTTTAATTGTGCAGCCTTAATTTGCCAATATGGAATTGACTCCCACTCGAAAATAGTGACAGTCTGGGATCCCTCTTTGACTGAAAGGCAAACTTGAACTATTTTAATAAATAATGGATAGATAATTACCCAACTGAGACTTAATCTGTCCTTTGAGGGAGCCCTGGGGATTGGTTCTATGAGGAGGTCTAAGGATTTCTGACAAAATTCTCAGAGCTTCTAACCAAACTGAACTTTTTCAAGATACTTCTCGGGAAGCTATGGCAGTTCCACCAATGCAAAAATAATATGGAGCAGTAGTCAATTAAGTTTTACTCGAAGTAGATCCATTGAAATTAATGGGCCTAACTTAGTCATGTTCATTAACTTCAGTAGGCCTTTGCTGAGTAAAACTTAGTTGAATACTAACCATAGATTTTTAGTGTAGGCATTCTTTAAGATGAAGGCCATAAGGTGGATCTAAGATTTATTTATATGTTTATCCTGTCCTTTCTTTAAGGCATCATAGATGGTTTACTCACACACACACATTTTGTCCACAGCAGCCCTGTAATGTGGCTGAAAGGTAGCGACTAGCCTAAGAGTCAAATGACTGATATGCTTGCTTTATTGGATCTGTTTCCAGGCTCAAGCTCAGCAGCTTCCAAGAAATGTGACTTTGTAGATCACGTTTCTATGATGTTTCTTCGTCATGGTGCACTTGACTTGAGTACAAAAACTTTTCCCCTAGTTGGGTCTATCTAGAAGTGGCACATGGTACGTTGATCCCGAGGTAAGGTGTTTTTGTTTTGTTTTTCATTTCATGTAGGTCAGTTTTTCTCAAAATGTGCAACCTTTAACTCTGCTACACGGTGTTTAGTTTAACATTTAACATGCACTTTCAGAATTATTCATTGCTGTTTTCACCATGGTTAAAAGAAAAAGAAAGTGAAATGAAGGAAACCAGTTGACACCAAAATGGAAAGCTGTTCCTATCTCTGTGACAGAAAACTGTCATTATGTTTGGCTAAATTAATAATATTGTTGCATTCGACAAGATTCCAGAGCAAATGGGAATTTTTATGGCAATAATTGATTCTTAATTGTTTGTGCTAGGTGTACGTGGCCCTTTAGCAAATTACTCTGTAGTTGTATTCTGCAGTATTTTATTATACTGGAATAATATTTATTTCTGACATATTTTAGATTATTGTTTTAATGATTGATTGCCACCCTGTGCTCTAGTCTAGAAGAAAGGATGGGGTAAAAAAGAAAAAGAGCCTTCCCAACTTTAAATATGATTGGCAAAGTGCTAGAGAGTGATAACTATTTCTCAATATTTATCTACTTATTGCATTTATAGCCCACCTTTTTCTGCAAGGAGCTCAAGGTGGTGTACATTGTTCGTGCCCTCCTCATTTAATTCCCACAACAGCACTGTGAGGTAGATAATAATAATAATAATAATAATAATAATAATAATAATAAATATTTATACCCTGCCCACAGAGGCAGTGACTGGTCCAGGATCACCCAGAGATTTGAAGCCTGGGCTTCCAGGTCCTAGTCCGAAACTCTAACCACTATGCCACACTGGTATTAAATAAGTTAATTCACTACCAGTTAGTTTCCTGGCCCAATTTAGAGTGCTGTTTTTGACCAATAAAGACTTAGGCATCTCATGACCCCAGTACCTCAAGGACTTCTTCTCCTCATAGGAATTGAAGCGGACCCTGCAATCAAGCCTTTCTTCATGTGCCTCATCCCCAGGAATCCCGGTGAGTGGCAACACAAAAACAGGCCTTTTCAGTGGTAGCTCCCCATTTGTGGAATGCTCTCCCTGGGGAGGCTTACTTGGCACCATTGTTTGATATCTTCAGGCACCAGATGTAAGCAGATTGAAATGCTACATTAAAAAACATGTTGTTTAGGGTCGCCATATTTCAAACAGTGAAAATCGGGACAGAAAAGTTTTTTGGGCAAAGTTTTTGAGCTTTTTTTAGTTTTTCCAAAAGTTGTTACTGTTTTTGAACTGTTTTAATGAAACGGCACTGCCAACATGGACTGCCAAATTTTTCCAGACATTTGACCGATTTCCGCTCAGACGCTGCTGCCAAATTCTGTATTCAGGATATATGGCAACCCATTGTTAATAGTAGGGTTATAGAAATTAATAAATGCTAGGATTTTGGTTATTTGTAGTATGAAGGGAGAATGCAAGCTGCAAAGGAATTCCTGGGCTGGCTTATGCCAACCAGCCTGGCTGGCTGGGGGAAGAGCAGGCTTGGTTGTTGTTGTTGTTTAGTCATGTCCGACTCTTCCTGACCCCATGGACCAGAGCCCACAGGCATTCCTGTCTTCCACTGCCTCCTGCAGTTTGGTCAAACTCATGTTAGTAGCTTCAAGAACAGGCCTGTTAACAGCAGGCCTGTTAGCATTACAAAAAGGTCTTGATGAGCCACAGAAGGATCCTTTGGCCTGGCGAGTCAGAAGTCACAAAGGTTGCTGGGGTAACTATGTTTGAGGGGACAGGAAAAGGGGAGTGTTGAAGCAGGGGCTTCCGGGCAGAAGGAGGAGGAAGTAAGGTTGAGATCCATCTTGGCAGGGAAAGAGAAAAGGTTACCTGCAATGCTATGGGCCATGCTGTAAGATCTGGACTCCCTCCATGCAGAACTGAAGATTTAAATAGGTGAAGAAACCATATTTCTTAAAGCATGACCGTCTCTGCCATGTCTTCTATTATCCAAAGGGATACAGACCCTGTATATGTATGCCTGTTACCCCTCATGCTCTTGCCACTGCTTGGCAGAGAGAGGGGCAGGCACTGGGCTTTTGTAACAGTATTATGAACAGGACATTTAAAAATGAAATAAAATTACTTCAGTGGCAGGAATCCTAAGTAAATGGAATTATTTTAGAAACCCCTGGGGGAAAGAGGTAAAATCAGGCCCCACATGTCACATTTTTGGAATTAAAATTGACTGTCATTGTAAGAGGGTTAGAATAATTCTTGGCTGACCCCAGCAAGGCTTGTGATTCTCCTAGACGGTTTGGGACTGCTTATCTTGGCATCACCCACTGGTGTTAAGAGCGCCATGCTAACTTCTTAAAAGTTCTGTCAGCCACATCTACTCAAATGGGCTGATGAAGGAGTGTTAATCTTCTAAATACAGGGAAGCACTTGAGATTTCCAAGAATACAGCTGATTAATCAAAGATCATAGGCAAAAGAAAGAGAGAACCTTACACAGAACAAGTGAGAAAATTTCAATCTTTACTCCCAAAAGTACTCCACTTCTTCAGCCTATAAGAGAAGGAAGTTGAAGATGAATGGGGGGGAATCACATAACTAATCATTCCATGCATGTTTGAATGCAAAGAAACAATTAATTTTCCTTTAATGTTAACCAAAATTTTAGAGATATAGTGGGAAGGAGACAGCTACTGAAATTAGGATAGTTTGATCTAGGTGCAAAGCTCACTCCCAACATAGATTTGCTGAGCAGCAATGCCTCACAGCATCATGGCTTCGCTATGAAGGAAAATGAAGTGCTGAAAAATACATGTCAAACCAAAGGTGTTAGCAAATACTATTTCTAATTTAGAGCACTGGTATGCAGCTTAGACAATCCACATCCCTTCAGAAATGCAGAGCCCTTTATTAGATGTTTCAAACTTCTGTATTATCTCCTTGATGTGTACCAGTCTTGATGTGTAATTTCATCAGTGAAAAGTGGTATCAAGAGTACCTGGCAGAATAAATTTTAAAATGGTGGATTGTAACATATCTGCACTATACTTTCAAAAAAGGATCTTGCCACTTTAAACAGCCATGGCTCCCACCAAGGAATCCTGGGAACTGTAGTTTGTCAAGGATGCTGAGAGTTGTTAGGGGATCCCCTATTCCAGTCACAGAATTACAGTTCCCAGAGTGTTTTTCTAATCAAGCCTTCTTCCCAGGAACTCTGGGAATTGTAGCTTTTTGAGGGAAATAGGGGTCTCCCAGCAATTCTAAGCACCTTTAACAAACTACAATTCCCATTATTCTTAGGGGGAAGCCATGGCTGCTTAAAGTATGATACTGCTTTAAACCTTTTAGTACAGATGTGGTCTTGATCTCCCTGTCCCTGTCACACAACCTGAATAATGATGGAACCTGTATCAAGGAAGGAAAACAAAGCATGCACATATGATTCCTCCCTTTTTCTGAGCACAGCCATGTTTCTGGCAATTTACTGCTGGAGACATCAGTGTTTGTTTATTGCATTTATCAATCAGCCTTCCTACAAACGGAGCCCAGGGCAATATACAACAAAAGATAAAATATCAAAATACATCAGTAGATAAAATGAATGAATGCATGAATGAAATGAATCTAACTTAGTGAGTTAGAGGTCATAATCCTGGGATTTGGGGGGATGTGACAGGTTATGTGGAGTAGCCCGCAGCTCAGAACCATAATCTCCCCTGCTCTGTTGGACTCAGCTGCTAAAGCAGGTTGGGCCCCTTTAATGGACGAGGCTGCTCCCATGGAAGGCAGAGCTAGAGCTGTACCAACTCTTTAAGGCTCAGTCTGCCGTTGACCTCTGTCAAAACAAAATTCAAGCTTTGCTCTTCTTGAGTTGCTAAGCTGATCATTGCCTGGAGCTGTCCAGGGTGCCAAGCCTCACCTCAGACCTTTATCTCATCTTGCTGTTTGTCCAAATCTGAAGTTTCACCTCGGGTCAGAAACTGTACTGCCAAGGCCATTGCTTGAGACAGATCCCTGCTTGAGCAGTCAGGTATCAGAGCATACACAGAGTTCATTGAAGAAGAAAGGTTCTGAGAGAAACCATATTGGGGCTCATAACTGGATGTTTCCAAGAAGACAACACTGAAAGTGAAGTTTCACATATTTGTGGGAAACTAAGACATTTACACGTGTGTGTGTGTGATTGTGTATTGCCCAAGAGATGTATGTATTCGACATACGTACATAGGCATGTGGAAGTATCACATGTATGCAACACTCCAAAAGTTATTTTCCTCAGTATCACTCAGAAGTAAAGAGGGCAACACAAAGCAAAAATTAGTTATGAGTTAAAATTATACAAGCATGCACTCTGAGGCTTCCTATTTTTATCCTGACTCTATATGAAGGGTTTTCCCATGTACTTTTAATGAAACATTGTGACATGACACATTTCTTCCCTTGTGATGTGCTGTTTGGCCTGCCAACTTCCATGACAGAAAAGATTAGCGAGAATGCTGTGGAATTTATTTATTTTTAACTTTGCCTGAACATTCTTGCTGGTTTATAATTGGAAGGGGGGGAAAACCCTTTCTTCTAAGAGTTGAAACTCAGGAAGTATGTGCAATTGAACAATGATAATACTTCCTCCATAAGCAGGACCTGAGCACAATAGGAAGCTATCGTATTCTGAGACAGACCATTGGGTACATCTTGCTCAGCATTGTCTACACCAGGTTTCCCAAACTTGGGTCTCCAGCTGTTTTTGGACTACAACGCACATCATCCTTAGCTATCAGGACAAGTGGTCAAGGATGATGGGAACTGTAGTCCAAAAACAGCTGGAGACTCAAGTCTGGGAGAAATCCTGGTCTACACTAACTGGCAAAAGTTCTTCAGGGTTTCAGGCAAAAGTCTCTCTGGACATCTGGAGATGTCAGGGACTCAACCTGGGACCTTCTGTGTGAAAACCAGGTGCTCGTGCCAATGAGCTACAGTCCTTCTAGATAGCAATGGCAGTATCCTGCTCATGTTTCTCTGCAACTGGCAACCAGAAGCATAACACCTCCACTATTGACGTCAGGACACAGACTTCAAAACTAAAAGTAGCCTTCTTTTCCACATGAGTTACCTCACCACAGGCAGGAAGACACATACATGACTTTGATCAACAGCCCTGAAAAACTATACTTAGTGTCTTGAGATTGTTGTATGAGGGTCTTCACCCTAAGCAGTTCTTACAGTTCTTGAATTTTTGTTGTTCTTTGAAGCTTTGCCTTCCAAACCCCGCAAAGAAGTTCCTGTGGGTCATTCCCCATGAAAAAATTATGATATATTGTATCTTACCTGTGTTTTTATTATCTACATTTAAAACAATAAATTAAAACAAACTCAAAACAACAGCAGAAGCATCAGTGAAAGAAAGACCAAGGCTAAACCTAGCATGAAATAGGCACATTACTCTTCCCAAGTAATTTCTCCCCCAATATGGACATCACTGTTGCTCAATTTACCATCTCTGGGATGGTACAGCTGCTGCATCACCACAAAAACTCTGGGAAAGGCAATAACTTAAACAATGGTTTTAAAGAAAAGAGGAGGGAAATGCTTCTTTTGGGAGGAATAAAGAATAACAGAATGAGGCGGGGAGGGGAGGAGGAAGAGCACACTCAATTTAAGATTGGAAAAATAGCAAATGTGTCTGTTCTTTTGCTCTTCAAAATATGGCAATCTTACCTTGAGGCATGATCACAGCATGTGGCTAGCAGCTGGCGCAGAAGATAGGAGAGTTGAAATCCCCCTAGCAATTCACTTCACGGCATGGACCTCATTGGTTTTGGTTATTTTGGTTGAATTATTCTGACTGCAGGAGGTGCGCTCTAGGAGGCTAAGGAAGGCAAGGATCCACATCCCAGGTGTAGCTCACTAGCTTGGGAAGAAGGTATGTGATTCCTCAGTTGGAGTAGGCTCAGGACGGGTCACATGCCTCATCAAGCCTAGATGCTGCAATGAACATTGAAGATATAAAAGGAAAGGTGTCCTGGCCAGGCCGGCCAGATTGATTATATACTGTATCTTGATAACTGATGTTGCCATTTTCCCACTGCCATTAGAAACCTTAAGCATTCAGATGACTTGCCTCAGGGATAATTCTTAAAGAACATGTTCTTCATTTTTAGTGCAGTGAGTTTCTCACTCTGACCTTCTGTTGGCTGGAATAGACCTTCGGGACTTGGCCAACTCGCTTCCCAATATTCTTAACAAATGTCAAACTTTGTTTGAAAAGAGTATTTTTTTAAAAAAGCATTAAACTATATATTTATACACTCTTCTCTAAGGGCACCAAGGCTGCTTGGCCTTCACAACTGATACGGGTATCTTTTCCTGTGGGAATCGCTCGTTCAAATCTCAGCTTTTCTTTGCAATAGTTTAAAAAAAAAAAGCCCAACAACAACAAAACTGTCATGATCTGATCTTGCTAATCCCTCATGACTTCTCCAACACAGATGTGCTCAATTGTCAGCTAGGATAAATGTTTGACATGGACAATGACTGTCACATTAATTTCCCACCAAAGATAAGAGGCACAAGATGGGAGAGATGGGAAGATTCTGCAAAGATGGCCTCTGTATCTATGTGCTCCTCCATCTTTTTTTTTTTCAAGGCAACCTATCTAATATATGTACACATTGAATGTAAAGAAACAATAAGTTAAATAGAACAGTGGTGGCCAATCTTTTTGGCAAGGATAACAGTTGCTCTTGGCATCCATCTGTCTTGAGAGACAATGGAGCGCACCTCTGTGGGTGAAGTCAAACTGCTGTGTTAGCAGTGACAAAGTGACCTCCCTGGGGTGCTAGCCTGGGCAGTGTGTATGGAGGTCCTGGGCTGCCCAAACTACAAGACCTGCCACCGCCAGCCCCAACCTCACTGATGTGGTCCAAAGGAAAGCAGAATAATACATTTTGCACCAGCTTGGCTGCATGACTAGCTGAAAGGAGGCATACAAGACCAGCCATCCAACCAACTTAGGTCCCATCCCTGACCTAGGCAATCCAGGCCATATAGTGTCACAAATAGAGAGATGTTGCACAAGAGATGGATTCAAATGACTCATTTAAACAAGAGACACACTCAGGTGAAAGCATGCATCTATTGATATCTAACCTCATGTTTTAGACCAGCCATCTCCAATCTGAAGTCCTTCATTTGCTCCAGACTACAGCTTCCATCAGCCCTAGCCAGCACAGCTAAAATATCTGATGGGCACAAGTTTGAGGGAGGCTGAACTAAACTATTGCGGGAGAGAGGGCAAATATGAGTACATCATCATCTGTTTTTGACCTATCATCACTTCTTGCTTCATCATCTCAGCACACATTTGCCCTCTACACAGAAGCATTCATTCAGACAGCATTGCTATTTGGATCAAATGAAAAGCTCCTGCTTAAACACTGTTCTAAACCAGCAGAAAGCTAGCAGAGTTTGATTGCAGGAAGCAGATGCAGCAACAAAGCCATTGATTGAAACCCACAAATACACAAAATTATACCTTCTACCTAGATGGGTCTGTGCAGCTTCACTGGCAATGACATTGCATCGAGCTATGTTTAAAAATACCTAATTGCTCAATGTTCTACATATGTGTTGCTACTGTTTGCTCTGTCACTGGCAAGATGATTGCCCCTTTCCTGTTACCCCACCCCCCTCATAAACCTCCTTTTTTCATTCCCAAGGGTATGGTACTTTAAATTGCAAAACACGCAGTCGATTGCAAGCCTATCTGCAATAACCATGCATTTCTTGTTCTCTTTCTCTGGGAAGGAGTGGTTTGTACATTTTGAATAGGAAAAAAATAAACACCTACATCAGGGTGGGCTCAAGGGAGGGATCCAAATTTCAGATACATCAACACTTGATACTGTGGGGAAATTATTAGGGTGGTCTACAACTAAGTTTTACTGACAGCAAGCCCATTGAAATTAATAAACGTAACTAAGTTACACTCATTAATTTCAGTGTGTCTACTCTAAGTAAAACTCAGTTGACTACTACCCTTGATTATTAATGGCAAATATACACATTTGTTAATTTCTTATAATTAGTTTCAATGGCTTGTGATATTTACAGTCTAGGTCTATGCATGTTTACATAGAAATAACTCCTGTTGCATGCCCAAGTCTGTGTAGACTAGACGTAGCAGTCATAGGTGACTATTTATAAAATCTAGTGCAAACTGATTTCTCCTTCCACAGCTTGCAATCTGAAACCTGCTTACTCAGGAGTAACCCTAGCAGAAACAGCAGAACTTCTTCAAAGTATATGGACATACCAGTAGGTTGCAGCTACAATTTATTTTATGTGCTTATTTGGTTTTTTGAACCGACCGCATACAAGCCGTAAGCAGATCTTTTCACGAATAATTTATTTCACACTACTTGGTTTTTGTCTCTGTTCAGTTGTTGGGTTTTTTTGCCACAGTATGTGTGTATATTCAGTAAAGGTTAAAGGACACACTGTCCTGGATAATAAAATCTTGTATTTATCTAGTGGGTAGCTATGATTCAGTCAGCCCAGTTTAAAATTGCTCTTGTTGTCCTGCCAAATAAATTTGTAGCATGCCCCAAAGGGCATTGCCTTCTTATCCAAAAGAGATGTACTGGTTGACATTATTTTCTCCTTGCAGACATTATTGATTCTGAATAACATTTCCCTCAAGGGGTGGAGAAGTGGGTGGAGGAGGCCCAGCTAAACAGCTGGCGTTAAGACACACTTTACCCTGCAGAGGGATGTTTTCCGTGGTTATCTGCTGCGTCATTCCGGTTCAACATATCACCCTCTACTTAGGGATGTGGATAAGTGCCACAAATTAGCTTACGTTGTGCAATGTCTAGGAGACAGAGAGAGTACCATGAACTCACTGGATGGCCTTAAGCAAGCCACCAACTCTCATCCTCAGTTACCCTCACCTGCGGTGCACTGGCATGATTGAGTTTAGCAAGGGGGAGTAGGCTGTATGCCAGCGTCCCTTACAATTCCTGGATCCAACAAGGATCCAATTGCTGAAATAGCCATGCTATTGGTTATGACCCCTACATACGGACCATTAGGGTAACAAAGGAAGTGGTTCTGTGCTAGAGCAAATGAGTGGAACCCCCCTCCCTCTCCTTGGCTGTTAGCATGAAGGACAAAGGCCAGAGTTCAAATAGTATAGTGATGTTAGAAACTGCACATATTCTCTCACGGTCAAAATGTACTGATGACCACTTTAGCAGGGAGATTCAAATGGGATGGAGAAATAGGGTACTGCAGCAGTGGGGTGTAAGTGAGGGTTTGCAGGCTGACTTGTGAAAGGTAAATCATATAATTTATTATCAGCAAAATGGTTTTCCTGCATTCTTGTTTGGATGCGTAAACCAATCAGCCTGTCTGCTGGCAACTGTATGTTTATCATTACAGACAAAAATCAAGGGGAAATGTGGGCAGAGTTTAGTGACAGGATTACAAGTCATTTAAAGGAATAAAAATATTTAGGTAGAGTAACACGGCATATTTTGTTTTAACAGTTGGGTGCTGCATAGAATGCATGAGAAAGAAACCTCATGTTAACTCTGAAGTACATCAAAGCATTTCACTATGCAGTATAACATTTATCAGAGGGATTATAATAGTATGGATAAAGTCAGTCTAGGCTAAACCTGAGAGCTTCTAGTGTCTGATCTTTCGTGACAATAAGAATTTTAACTGAAAGGGTAAGCACTGTAATCCTTCTAAGTTGCTGTGCACAGTCAAAAGGACTCTTTGAAGTATGTTAGAGCAATGCTTTTTAGACCAATTAGATCTGACAGTGTGTTTTTAGCTAACCCTTCTATGCACAGATATAGTGTATGTGGCAGACTGGGGGACAAATGGGCTTCATTAACTATGAACCCCAAAATCTGGGATCCCCTCGAAGCTGGTGCCAAAATGTGCAGTTGTTTTGTAGCGATTTGCAGCAAAAAAACCCATGTTTTGCAGTGCTCCACAAATGGAGCAATAGCCACTCAAACTTGGGAGTCAAAGGGGAACCAAAAATCCAGCATTGTCCAATTCACTCCAAAGTGGCATCAAACTTTGGCAAAGATTTTGCGGCATTTTGCAGCGAAACCCTCACATTTTGCAATGTCCCACAAATGGAGCAATAGCCACTCAAACCTGGGGTCAAAGGGTAACTAAAATGCTACAAAACTTTTGCCAAAGTTTTTCGCCATTTTAGAGTGAATCGGACAAAGTTGCATTTTGGGACATTAACTATGAACCAAGGTTTGCTGTATCAATTACGCCATTAGTGGGGCACTGCAAAACGCGGGGTTTTCACTGCAAAGCGCTGCAAAACAACTTCAAAACTTTGGCACCCGTTTCGAAGGGATCCCAGATTTTGGGGTTCGTAGTGAATGAAGCCGGACAAATGCTTGAGTTAAAGCTCTCCAAGCAGCTGCATAATTAACCTGGTTTCTCTACAAGACTGGATTTACCTTTGCAAGGTTGCTCAATCAAGACTATATCTTGCAAACCTTCTAATACATAGCCCTTCTTCTCTCCTTAGGGCTGCCCCCCCTCCATACAAATAACACTATATCATATATAAATGTGAAAAGAAATACTGCTTGTTTGTAATCTAGTTTTCATTTTTAAATAGGGTCAGTCTCTGATTTACTTTACAGTAAAATAATCAGATAAGCAAAACTTCAGCCATTCTGGAAGGATGTGTGGTATAGTAGTTAGAATGTCAGACTATGACCTGGGAGCCCAGGGTTCAAAATACAATTAAGAAGAAGTATATTAATAGTGAAATAATTATTAAGCTCTAACTTGTTTTTTATCTTATATTTTTTGGGGGGAAATTCCTTTAAATTTTTTGGGGAGATCCCCAAGAGAGTGGGGCCCTAAGCTATAGCTTGTTTAGCTTATACGTAAATCCGGCACTGATAGGACTTTCTTCTGAGGAGATACGGTGAGATCTGAAGCATCTAATCGCGCATCTGGATCGCAACCGCGCAGACCCAGCCTTTGCACCTAGCTTCAAGCAAGATGTCCGTAGGACTGATCCAACGCTATTAATCTCCAGGCTTTCAACAAATCAATTCATTTTAATTGTGTGTCCGTCCGTCCCCCTGCTTTTTTTCCTCCCGATGTGCGCGCATGACGCGTGCGGACTCCAAAGCGCCCCTCTCCAAAGAAATGCACGGCGCATCCCTCCGCCGGCACCTTGGCTGCCTGCCGCCCATTCCCCAGGCTCCAGAGGTCTGCAAGCAGCGGCCATGGGCTGCCCACAGCCGCCGCCGCCTCCTCTACCCATTGGCTGGGAGAGCTGGGCGGGCCCGAGCGCAGACCGAGCTCCCAGGGGGAAGGGGAGGGAGGGGCGGGGCTTCGGCGGTTCTAAGTGGGGAGGGGGCTGGCCGCGGGGTACGGGGGGGGGGCTATTTCTCTGGGAAACTCCCGCTCGCGAGGCGGCTTGTCGGGGAGCAGCAAGCGAGCAACAGGCTCCTCTCCAGATACTTCGCCCTCCCGCTCGCCCTCTTCTTCCTTGGCCGCCCGGCTCCAGTGAGTGGAAGTCCCCTTCCCCGCCCTCTCGGTCCTCTTCCTTCCCCCGCCACCGCCTCCTTCTATGGGCGTCTTTTCTGGAACTGGCGGGAAGCTGGAGCTGTTGTGAGGTGCGCTTCACACGGCCAGCAGATTGTGAAGCGAACTATTGTTGGGTTTTTTTGCGGGGTGTGTGTGTGTGTGTTTTCTGTCAAGGGTACGTGTGTATGTGTGGGATACCTTTTTGCAAAGCCACGCGTCTGTTTGGCCAGTGCACGTGGGAACGGGTTGCTTTTCCTCGCGAGGGGACGGGACGGGAGGATCTCCTTTTGGGCGCGTGACGCTTCCTCGACACATCGCTGCCCCTGCAGAAGTCGCGATATGGAAGGGTGGGTGGTGTCGACGCCGTGTTGGGCCTGTGTGCATTAGCTGCCACTTTGGGCATGCGGGCAGCTTGCTAAGTTTCCTTAATTATCGCATTCTGCCGTAACAGAATGGGAGAGTTGGAAGGGACCCCAAGGACCAGCTATCCCAGCGGTTCTCAACCAGTGGGTCTCCAGATGTTGGACTAAAACTCCCATCCCTGAGCTCTGGGCCCTGCTAGCTAGGGGTGATGGGAGTTGTAGTTCAGCAACATCTGCAGGGATGAATTTGCAGCTGCCCCATACAGGGATCGAACCTGCAGCGTGGGCATTGTCAGCACTATGCTCTATCCCACTGTTGGTACATTAGAATCCTAGGATTGTAGAGTCAGAAGGGACCCCTGAGGACTATCTAGTCCAACCCCCTGCCATGCAGGGATGAATTTGCAACTGTCCCATACGGGGATCGAACCTGCAACCTGGCCGTTGTCAGCACCATGCTCTAACCAACTGAGCTGTCCATGCTGGACTGTTGTGTGTGGGAGAGAGATGCCTGCAAGGATAACACGTGCTCTTCTCCCACCCACCCCCAGTTCAGAACAACCCCTGTGCCATTAATAGCCTCAGGACAGGCAGGACTTCAGTGAAGGCCTCTTCTCCCGCCAGTGAAATTTTGCGCCTGTGCTTGTTGAGTCTCTGCCCGTCCTGACGCATGCAGAAGATTCAGGAATCTTGCCAGGAGGAAAGGTGGTGACCTTAGTAGTAGTACCTTCTCCTTTTGCAAGGTCCGTATCAATTACACTTTCTACCGATTTTGAAGCACTTACTACCTGGGTGCGTGTCCCTAAGCCACTTGTCTGGAAGAAGCTGCAGTGGAGCCCCTAGAGTACTCCAGGCAAAGTGGCTTGAAACCTGAATCGGGGCTGCTGGGAGCCCAAAAAGGAAGATGTGTGTTAGTAGGATGCAAACTAAAAATAAGCTAGCAAGCTCCCTCGTTCTCTCTCTTTTTCCTTTCCCTGGTTGTTTATGTTTGCTATCCCTGGTTAGTGTTATTGATGTTGTAAAGGACAGCTTGGGACTGGGGGGTGGGGGCTGATTCTGTCACATTTTCTGGGTTGAGCTGGTTCAGGCTGGTAGCAATGTATATTTATAGTTTTACCTCATGACAGTATGTGCCATTCATGCAAAGACCGTGACAGGAATGCACTGCCGTACTCACTGCAAAATTAAACCTCTCAGGCTTTGCCTCAGCTAAGCAAGGTAAAGCACCAAAACATCCAGTTTTAACTGAAAGTGTGATTTAAAGGAGGCTGAGGCTTTGTTTTTTTTCTTGCCAGGATTGTTGTAAAGAAAGTGTGGAATTGGCGGGTTTTCTGTTCTCTGTCTATCCCTTCTCCTTTCCACCTCTAGACCAAGCTTTGTGCATTTGGGGAGGGGGGAAGAACTCACATATGCCATTGTCAAAACCCGCTGTGCTACATTCAGCTGAGGAAACCTACAGGATCTCCAGATTGCACTGGTCCTTGGAGGTACTCTGTTATGCAGGCATAGGCAAACTCGGCCCTCCAGATGTTTTGGGACTACAACTCCCATCATCCCTAGCTAACAGGACCAGTGGTAAGGGATGATGGGAATTGTAGTCTCAAAAAACATCTGGAGGGCCGAGTTTGCCCATGCCTGCTGTTATGCCTCCGAAGCTCAGTGTGGTGGTGGGTCTTTGGCAAGCATCAATTTGGCCACCAAAAATTTATGGAGCCCTGATTTATCCCCAGACCAGATAAGCTGCACGGCTTGTGAAAATGAGTGGAAATCCTTCCAGGCTTCAAGCATGAAGCTCAAGTAAGCTGACCTAGGCCAGTTTTGTAAGTGTCTGACGGTGAAATTGGACGAAGAAAAGGGGACTGTGCTAAAAACGAAAACCCCATAATATGAGGGAATGAAAACACTTGACGTTGTACCATGTACGTGTTTGCCGCCCTTGGTTGCAAACACATCCTTTGTTTCTGCTGTGGTATGTATGTAAGGGGAAACTAACAATGAGATCTGATATGTCACATGTGTCCATTGTTACACACTGCAAGGAGAATTTGATACAGGGCTGCCATTTACTGTGGTAGCCCTGTGTTATTCACAATTTCTAGTAATGCTCTAGTATAGTTTATTCCTTGACAGGCAATGATGAGCTATGCATGGGCTGCTCTAGATCATTAGAGATCCACAACAACTTAGGACTATACAAGGGTGCTCTTTGACTTCATGGAATATATGACGGCTGTTTCTTGGTTGTCCATCTTCCCAAACTTAGAAATGCCTTCTGACATTGCGCAATTGGCATAGAACTGCGCTCGGTTTGGCACAACTTCATCTTGTGCTATGTAGATGCGACCTTAGATGGGAGAAAGCTGAGGCCATGTCTGCATTGCTAGGTTGCTGAAAGGAAGAATAATAGTAAGGAAAACAATTCAGATAGGATGGTAACAGCCCCTGACAGTGCTTCATTACCGGCCCTTGTTGTGGAGCTACCACGCAGTGTCTACAGAGAAACGGTTGTACTGTATTGAAAGATTCTCAGAGATAAGATCTTCGCAGTGTTTTCCGTGCTCAGTCTTCTCCTTCTGGGGGAGGGCAAACAAATGGATCAGTTCTGCAGCATAATGTAGCCCTTGCATCAAACCTTGGGCCATCATATTCTGTTAGGTATACTGCAACATGCATTTTAACGCTCGCATGAAGTGAACAGAGTAGCGTAATTAGCATGCGCATAACTAACGCCCACTTTGTGCATGTGTGTGTTTGTTTACACGTGCTTGCGTTTTGCTTTATTTCTGCAGCAAGCAGTAGGGTGTTAAATAATGACCACTTGTGTACCCAAAGAACATTTCTTCAGGCCACAATCAGTGTCGTATACCCCTGCTGGGGCCCTTCTTTCCTACGTTTGCACTTTTTGGTCAGTTGACAAGAAATTTTGAGCAGAATCTGAAAGCTGTGCTAAATTGGCCGTGCTTCAACAAAGCAAGCAGCTGGTGCAGCTTTCTTGAACAGCTTGTATTCAGTGGAAACCGTGGGCTGAAAAAGGCAAGCATTCACTCTTAGCAGGGCCTCTTTGCACATTTTGTTTTTTAGGTAAGTATCTATTTACAGGCCAGGAGAAAGTGCTTTGCATCTTTCAGAACTGGCAACAATAGTGTTTCTGTCTAGTTAAACAAACTGATAATGGAATTGGGCTTTTGTCTTATCACCCCATTGTGATGAAAAAACCAAAATACTTGAAAATGTTGCAGTAGTTAAAAGTTCCTTAACCATGTTATGCAAGATGCTTACAGTGGATATATTCCAGATCTGTTAAGAGTATAAGGGAGTCATGCCATTGATTTTACTGAGTTGTATACCCTGTTGCTTTGGTTATAATTGATGAGCGCTTGGAAGCAAATTCTGTTTAAAACTGTTGCTACTTGCTTTTGGGGAAGGTTGCCAACTTTATTTCGGGCAGTGTTGTGGTGCTTAAACAGCTGCATCAGAAGCAGAAATTCAACAGGTGAAGCTTTCCCTTGACTGCATATGCATGTTGGAGAAAATGCTTCATTGCCTACATTTCAGTTTTTTGCATAGCTGTTAACACATATGAACCTTGTAAGGAAAAAGTTGGCAACCGTGTTTGTAAAATATTATCTCTTCTTACACTTGGCAAAGTTATTTCTTTTTTGGTATGTTAAGACAGGGATAGGCAGACTTCAGGTATAAATTATTAGAGATCCACCAACAGAGCTTGGTGCAAAAGACATATAGGTAGAATTCATAGTTCATAGGCCATAAATTTATTTTGATTACCCAAACTTAACTGGCAAGTCTTCCAATCCAGTCCAGTTCCTCAACACTATGTTTTCTTAATTTCACCAGTATAATTTTTTGAGGGAGGGAAGGAGACTAATTTTATTCCTGTTGTTAGCCAGTTTTGAGTCACCCATCTTTGTTGATCTACTGGAAATCACCCAGTGATCTACCAAAGAGTTCTGCCAGCAGATCCTGAGCTATCTTTTGCCCACCTCTGTATCAAGGTGTTCTTCTGGAGATGCGTGGCAGATGTGCAAAACATCTAATAAGAGCAGCTGCAATAACATGAAAGTACCAGATACAACAAAGAGTCTTGTGGTACCTTAAATAACAAATTTATTATGGCATAAGCTTTAATGGACTACTGTGCTTTATATCAGCGCACGTATACATGATTAGGTGGGGGATTGTAAAAAGTGAAATCAGGAAAATAAAATGCAGAAAAAGTTCAGACGGTGTTAATTCACAAAATAGTTTTTTTTTAAAAAAATAGTTTTTATTAAAGATTTTCTTGGGTTACAGAAGTGCACGCATCACCTCTATACAGTTTTTGATAACATAGATATCCAGGCATTGGGAGACTGTTTAACACATGTGCCAAAGCACCCTTTGACTTGGTTCAGTCAACAAATGATAGCTTTGAAAATCCTGATGTATTGTAATTCAGAATCTTCAAACCATGCCAAACCATGCTAGAGGCAGGTAAAACTTTTCAACAAAGCTGGTGCAGCAGCAGGGACATTCTAACAAGTTGGTCTCTTCCATCAACCACTTTGTGCTGATCTGAAGCTTCTTTTCTTGCTTCTCTTGTGCTGCCACCTTCTTCCTAGTTTGGCCATGGCAGCTACGGGTACTGAATAGAGAAGGCCCATCCATCTCTTTTTGTTAAAGAAATGTTAATCACAGGGAACATTTTATTAAGGAGAAAAGGTAAATGGATTTTTTTTAGTTCAAATCATATTCCTGTATTTCAGTGGGAACATCATAATGCAATTGATGCACTGAATGCTGCTGGAGCACTGTTGCTTTAGCTGTTAAGCCCCTGTAGCAAAAGGAATACCTAACATGGAATGTACCATGTCTACAGACATTGCAGGTTTAATGGTTGCTGGCTTCAAGGCTCTTCTTTCAGAACGGCAGAGGAGCGTATTTTGTATGCAGCCTAATAATGGATAGTGCACGAAGATCGGCTGCAGCTAAGTTGAATTTGAAAGCAATGGAAGGGGACTTGAATAATGGTAAGCTTAAGTCACATTGATTTCAATAGAAGTTAGCTGTGGTTAACTTGTAGAGATTTCACATGTGACATGGATGCTTCCAATGGATAATAACACTTCACAAAATATTACCCCCTGCTCTTTTGCCATTGCTTTGCACCTGGAAAGAATGGAGCCTCATTAAAAGATAGCATCAAGCCATAGTTAACACGTATGAACAGAGCAAAACACTGCACAACTTGGGATAGGGATTGTTTTGTATATTCCTGCAAAGGGGAATCCTTTTGTAAAATGTATCCCAAGAACACTCCTATGGTGTGTTCTGTCGTATGACCCCTGAGCAATTCTGTAGAAGCAAGTAGCAAGAAAATGTGAAGGGTGTTTTTATTGATTGTGATTCAATATCTCAAAATCAAGACACGAAGTGAGGTTTCTTGGTTTAGAATGTAAAGCAGAGATCTGTCATTTCGTTCTCTTGGATTCACACATGGTCTAGGACAGGTGAAGTTGTTGGAACTCTGAAACTTTTGAGACCATACTGTTCAGTACAGTGGTACCTCGGTTTACGAACTTAATCCATTCCGGAAGTCCATTCTTAAACCGAAACTGTTCTTAAACCGAGGTGTGTTCCCTAATGAGGCCTCCTGCTGCCGGTGCCCTTCCACCGTTTGGCTTCCATTTTTAGACCGAGGTAAAGTTTGTAAACCGAGACACTACTTCCGGTTTTGCGGAGTTCATAAACCAAATAGTTCGTAAACAGATACCACGGTATATACAGTAATTAGATAGTTTTATTTCCCACAAAAACAATTCTAAGTGTAAATATAATTTGGATAAATGTTAATTTTATATAGTTTTATATTTTTCTTGATGAACATCTGAAATCCAGATATAGAACTGGCTTTAGTGCTATGGTGAATGGTTGTTTATTTAGGTGCTAAAGAACACGATTTCAGCAATGTTGAAGTGAGATTTCTATCAGTTTGGCTGTTTTTCTTACCCTATGTAGTGACAGATGGGGTTGCACTTAGTTCAGTGAACCATACAAAAGAAGAACAAAACTTGCATTAAATTACTGTTGACGATGCACTTTCTTGTCCACGGATGAGTGATGCAGAACTAACCTGCTGGAAACTGAGGCTTCATACTTGCTTCCTTTTGTTATGTGTCTCCCACCTAATTAAATCAGATTTGAAAATTATATCTGATAATTTCCCGTTATCCCTTGTAGCTAGTGGGAAAACCTTTCTGGATTATTGTGGACTGGTGTAGAAAGCATGGCATGAAAATTGGGGGTTCTTGCTGCTCTTAGTGCATTGTTTTAGTATAATTTCCATGCAACTGGCATAGAAAGTATTTTGAGTTGCTTTGGTAGTCTCCAGTATTATATTTGATTTTTTTCAACCACAATTGATTAAAGTTTCATCTGTGTGAGCAAGAACGTCACTTTTCTAGTGTGTCACTATTGCTTTTAGCTTTGATTGCCACAACAGCAGTCTCTCCAGTTAAGCTGGACAGTTCCAACCATGCTGCTGTTCCCTTCTATATATTTAGAACTTCAACAGGACTTAGGATTAATGGCTGGGATCCAAAGAGCCTACTTCAATCATGGTGAAGTGCTAGTACTAACCTAGGGGGTAGCCAATGTGGATGCCTTCATCTGCTCTACCTGCAATAAAAACATTTCTCTCCCATATCATTCTCTACAGCCACAGCAGGCACTGTAACTCTCTAGCAGTTTGACTTTAACTCTGAAGGTGCACTCTTCCATAGTCTCCTGAGACAGACGGATGCCAACAAGAAGGTGTGACTGAATCAAACAGCAATTTTATGCACTCTTTTTTGACCTAGTTTGAACTTTATAGACCTAGTTTGAACAATGGTTTAAATGAACATTACTGTAGTTAATAAGCCATGGCTTAGTGTTGTGTCTGAATACAGTGCAGTGCTTAAGTATGGTTTGTTAACAAAAATAAGTCATAGTTTGTTGTCTGCTTAGTGACTTTGACTATGGCTTAGGGTTGCGTGCAGATGTGGGCATTGTTTGTACATGGAGTGTAAAATATCAAGGATGGTTAAATAACAAAAGACCAGAGTAATGAAAACCTAGAAGGCTTGATAGTCAAATTGCACCAGACAACCTTTAAACTTCCTGAAGTAACAGGAGTGTAAGTCTGTACAATTAATTTGGTCCACTCTGAGTTTGGGGTATAGGAGATCTTTTTCAGAATCTCTTGGCAGATGTCCAAAGTCATCCTCTGCTGGATTTTATCAGGATTTTGCCTGGGTCACACAGTACCAAAACTTTGCGACACATTGGACTTTGCACTTGTGATATAAAGTTCTTACCATACTGGTTTCTGAGACTGTTCACCATTTTTCCTGCTGTACAGTAGAATAAAAAAACATTCATTCTAATTAGTATCTTGTTCATGTTTAAAATGGTATAAAAACCATTTTTATATTAACAACATATATTATGTATATTAAACATTAATTCTTTCAGGTAAAGCAAGGCTTAAGATGAAATGCTGAAAAATCAAGGTTTTAATCTGGGTTCTAGTGTATCAAATTTGTGTACTTTTTGCTTTGACAAGGAGTACAATTTAAACATGGGGCATGGTGTTACTAACTTATTTAAGATGTTTTCAGTATTTATTTTATGAAAACTTAGCGTTTTCCAATTCAGGACAATTAAGGAATAAAATTTCTTCCCTTCCCTTTTTGGAGATTGGAATTTTTACAATTTTGCCCTGCAATATAAAGTTTTGTTGTATCAGTAAAATGTGATCTATTTTGTGTTTATTTGTAGGACATATGTCGGGGTTTATATTAAACCAACCTGCAACCGGATTTTTGCACTGCTCCTGCTGCTATGAGAAGCTAAGTCATGGTTTGACTTACCATTATATGTGCAAACCCAGGCTTATGGTTTGTCTTGTTCCAAACAATCCAAACAGTAGCCAAGTTTTGTTTCCTTCTCTTGGTTTGTTGGGAGATACAGTGGTGCCTCGCAAGACGAAATTAATCCATTCCATGAGTCTCTTCGTATTGCGTTTTTTTCGTCTTGCGAAGCACGGCTATTAGCGGCTTAGCAGCTGTTAACGGCTTAGCGGCTTTAAGAAAAAGGAAACAAACTCGCAAGAACTCGCAAGACGTTTCGTCTTGCAAAGCAAGCCCATAGGGAAATTCGTCTTGCGGAACGACTCAAAAAACGGAAAACTCTTTCGTCTAGCGAGTTTTTCATCTTGCGAGGCATTCGTCTTGCGGGGCACCACTGTACAAACCAAAAGTCCAGGTTCACATGTAAAACGTTTTTAGTAGTGCTGCACCAGCAGGACCAAGGAAGGAGCAAAGTGGTCACAATTTTCTAAATGTGGCCTATCAGGCTTGCTAAATCATTGTTTGGCTTATAGTTATGTGTGAGCTCAGTAAAGATCTTGTTACTTTATTAAAAAGCAACCAACCTAGGAACAGGTATTTGGACTCAAATTTTGTAAAAGGGGAAAATGCAGGTTGCTTCAGTTTCAAGGAACAAAAGAGTCTTACTGTTATGTTCAGTAACACATCTGAAAGTATTTGCAGATGAAGACTTGCTCAGATTCTTATGTCAACTAAGATGTTGGCCAAGTGTTGCAAAGAATCTGAAAGAAAATATTATCCTAATCACTATAGTGACCCTGCTGATATTGCATTTCAGATATTGTCAAACCTCTCGCATTGTTCACTGATACCACAATGGGCCGGTTCCCCCACCCAAGGGAGTTCCTTTCGATCAAGTTATTTAAAACTTGAATTAAAATACAGCGGTCAGTTACTGCAGTGCTTGAAAGCAAAGGTTGATTGTGGCTTTAACATTTAGTGTGGTCCTGGTGGGGAGCTGTTTCAGCCTGAAGGCTGGATTCCCTTCTGGGCATCCTTCCAGGGGCCACATACTGTTGGTGGGGGCCCAGAGGGAAAAGTGCTTGTCCGGATGGAGGGTAGAGGGGGGGTGAGTGCATGTGGAAACTAGCTTGCTGTACAAAGGTAAAATATACATTGGTTGCTCTGTTCACCACTGGAATGTGATATTCAGTAGGTTGTCCAAAAAGGAATGTGACTCTTGGGTTGAAATAGGTTTTGCACCCCTGTCTTATGCTCTCCTTGTGGCCATGCTAGAGGAGGAAAGGGAAGTGCTTGAGCCCAAGGCTTCTCCACGTAATGATAAATCATAGTTGAGTGTTAAGTCTGAATAGCACCAATGTGTGTGAGAAGGCAGGTGTGCAATCTCTCTGCTGTTATGATTCTTAACTGCAACTGCTCTTTTTAGTAAAGTAGATTTTTTTAAAAAATGCTGTTTTGGATTCCGTTAGGTTCATTGTTGCATTTCTCATTCTTACAAAGCAGTTTTTCATTTTTTTTAAACATGTCCAAACCATAGCCTCTTTGGAAGGTCTTAACATTGCTAGGTTGGATGAGATTGAGATAAGTAGCTTTGTGCTACTTCAGTCATTCATAGAATCATAGAATTGCAGAGTTGGAAGGGACCATCTAGTCCAGCCACCTGCAATGCAGGAATCTTTTTGCCAACATGGGACTCGAACCCATGATCCTGAGATTAAGAGTCTCATGCTCTACTGACTGAGCTATCCCAGTGGTCACTCATGATTTTACCACACTCCAGTATCATCCGCTCCACTTATTTATAAAATTATAGTTTAAATATTTTTTCCCCAGCTTTGCTCTTGTTCCTTGTATGATAGGACAACAGTGACAGCTAACCATCAACTCAATTAGTACATCTCAGTTAGAACCTCCTCTCCTCCTTCAGTACAAGGTCCCCGGGTGGGTTACATACAATATTAAAATAAGTTGAAAACAAATTATGATCAGGAAAATAAGATGGTGTGTGTATGTATATATGTACAGTGGTACCTCAGATTAAGTACTTAATTCATTCCGGAGGTCCGTTCTTAACCTGAAACTGTTCTTAACCTGAAGCACCACTTTAGCTAATGGGGCCTCCCGCTGCTTCCGCGCCACCAGAGCACGATTTCTGTTCTCATCCTGAAGCAAAGTTCTTAACCTGAAGCACTATTTCTGGGTTAGCGGAGTCTGTAACCTGAAGCGTATGTAATCTAAGGTACCACTGTATATGTATACGTGTGTGTGTGTGTGTGTGCGCGCACACACACACACACACACACACACATATATACACACACACACACACACACAGTGGTACCTCGGGTTACATACGCTTCAGGTTACATACTCTGCTAACCCAGAAATAGTACCTCGGGTTAAGAACTTTGCTTCAGGATTAGAACAGAAATCGTGCTCCAGCGGCGCAAAGTTGGAGGCCCCATTAGCTAAAATGGTGCTTCAGGTTAAGAACAGTTTCAGGTTAAGAACGGACCTCCGGAACAAATTAAGTACTTAACCTGAGGTACCACTGTATACATACACACACACACACACACATATATATATATATATATATATACACACACACACACACACACACACACACACACACACATATATATGCTGTTAAATACCCTGGAAACTATTGAAGGTGCCAAATGCATTTCTGGGGTGGGTAAACCAAAACTTAAGAGATTGCTACAGAGAATGCCCTCTCCTCTGTCGCCACCACCCAACCTTCTGAGCCAGTGGAACTGCCAAGAGGGCTTCTCTGTTGAGCTTAACATCCAAGAGGGTCTGTATGGAAGGAGGCAGTTTTTCAGATATTTGGGACCAAGTCGCTTAGAACTTCAAACGTCAATGTGTCCATCTTAAACTGGGCCCAGAAATGAAACGGCAACCAGTGCAGCTTTTATTTTAATATGAATTCTAAGTGGAACCCCAGCCAGTATATCTCCTGCTGCATTTTGGTCCAGCTGAAGTTTCTTGCTATGATCTGTCCAGCAGCAGCAGCAGCCAAGAGGAACAACAGCATTTCTTTGTAGGCAACGGGAATGTTCTGTCCCATCATATATGGTGAAGTGGGTTACACCAAGAGGAACTTGGCAGCTCTGTGAGGCCAGCACCCTTCGCAAACTACAGCCCCCAGCATTCTTTGGGAGAAGCCATGGCTGTTAAAAGTGGTACAAAGTGCTTCAAGTGAATGCCAAGAATGTGAGTTCGAGAGGACTTCCCTAAACTGGTAGGAGGGTCCTGATGTAAAACGGGCACAATCTCCGCTTGCTCTTACCCAAAGCCCAACTTTGCATTCACATTTGATTCAATTACATTTGTACTTGATATTCTTCTTAAAATAAACCTTTTGACAGAAAAAACCATTGTTTGGCAGCTAACTTGGCTGAGACGTAGCGCTAGGGAACGGAAGCTCCAGCCTTCATTATTTTTTTCCAGAAAACTGCATATAGTTTGCAGAATGTTTCCCAACTGCGCCTCAAAAAAGGAGAGAAGAAGAAAACTACTGTGCTCGACTGTAGTGTTGAATGCAAAGCACATGTCACTGTCCTGGCTGCCCCGCTGTATGTACTCTGCACAGCGAATACTTCAAGTGGTGGAGAAAATTGCAACATATGCTTGGGTTAACCAGAAGGTCATTTGACGCAGCCATCGCATGGTCGGTTCCAAAATCTCTGATCAAGTTCCCAGTGTGTTTCACAAGGGGGTAACAGTTGTGGCAGGGGAAGCATAGTCACAAATGCACCAATTGCTTGCAGCAGTTAAAATGAATGAGTTTCATCCACCTTCATTCCCATCCTTTCTTAGCCTTGTCCAGAAAATTGGATGTTCAAGTAACATTGCTTTCGTGATGGGGAGGGGAGTAAAAGGGGAAGGTAGGGGAGAGAGTATTTCAAACCCTGTTACTGATACATTAAGTGCTATTTAAAGTAAAGAATGCGTCTTGAAAATGGAACTCTCTGGCTTTAGTTGCCTCGGTTATAAATAAGTGTTTCTTCGACTTCAGAATAGATATTTTATATTATTTTGACAAGGCATCTTATGTATTAAATGTGCAGAAATGGATTAGATGTCTGCTAGTGCGCAAATGGGTCAGGTGTCTAATTCTTAATGTTAAAGGTTATCGTTCTCCTGGAGAATTGAATCACCCTGTATATTATAGGCTTAGAAATAATCGCAGTCTCACGCTAAATGCAGCAAGTAGAACAAATCCCGGAAAATGTCTTTGTTTAGCAGTTCTCCCTCTTACTAGGGGCTGTGGGAGTCTGGTTTGAATAGAAGTTATACCTGCAGGAGCTGTGAGGCATATAAATGCTTTAAAGAGAAGATATACACTTTATTCATTTGCTTCTTTGTTTTTACTTAATTGTATTTTTAAGCGGTTTTGCTAGGCAAGCCCATCCAAAGAGGCTTACAACATTTAAAGCACAGTGAGTGAATAATAGACTAATTTTAATAAAATAAAAAAATCCCATAAAGATGAAATAAAACATTACCAACTATTTTAACTGGATGGTTAATATAAAGAGACGACATTTTCAGAGCCTTCTGAGATCCCTGTAGCAGATCAATATGACTCAGTTCTGAAGGGAGAGAGTTCCTAAACTGTGGGGCCACCATGGAGAAAGCCCATTCTCTCATAGGCACCTCCTTCACTTACCTAGGAGGATGGCTACTTGAGGATGGTCTCTGAAGCCGGTACCAATGCATGGGGCAGGATTATGCCGGCACAGGCAATCCAACAGATAACTTGGGCCCAAACCGTTTTAAGACTTTGAAGGTTAAATGCAGTGCTTTAAAATGGACCCAGTTAGCAGCATTTTACATTGGACCTGGACATGAAACTTGCATAAGAACGGTGTCACCGTGTCTCCCTTGGGATTCCATTTTCTAGCCCCTTGAAGTTTCTGAACCCTCATCAAAGGCAGCCCCCATAAAGTGTAATACAGTCATCTAATATAAGGTTACCAGATTTTTTTTTTCCAATGAATCCGGGGACACTTTTCAACTTCAATGGATTTTGTATGGGGACTGATTTGTAAATCCAGGGACTGTCCCTGGGAAACGGGGACACCTGGTAACCTTAATCTAATATAGATGTGGCCAGGGCAAGGATCAGTGTGGTCAGGTCAGACCTCCTCGGATGGAATCGCATCTGACATACCAGCCCAAGCTGTTAAAAAGGCATTCTTGGCAGCTGATGCTACCTGGACTTTCCCAGTTGGTACTGAATCCTAGAGCCCTCCTAAAATACATCCATGTTCTTTTATAGGGGGGCGAGGTGTCCCACACAATACAAACTGCAAACCTTCACAAGGCACACAACCTAACTAATCTTGGCTAAACGCCTAATTAAACAGCTTAAACTTAGTCGCAACATGGGCTGTGCAATGCTAAGCACACTCACTTTAAAAAACACCTAAGTCTGCTGAATTCAGCACAGCTAATGAGGTTTCTTGCAACATATTTTGTCAGATGTTGCTCTCTTTGGAGTTCAGAGTGGCCTCTTGCCTAATAATAATAATAATAATAATAATAATAATTTATTTATACCCCACCCATCTGGCTGGGTTTCCCCAGCCACTCTGGGCAGCTTTCATCAGAATATTAGAATACAATAATCTATTAAACATTAAAAGCTTCCCTAAACAGGGCTGCCTTCAGATGTCTTCTAAAAGTCTGGTAGTTGTTTTTCTCTTTGACATCTGGTGGGAGGGTGTTCCACAGGGCGCGTGCCGCTAATGAGAAGGCCCTCTACCTGGTTCCCTGTAACTTGGCTTCTCGCAGCGAGGGAACCACCAGAAGGCCCTCGGCGCTGGACCTCAGTGTCCGGGCAGAACGATTGGGGTGGAGACACTTCTTCAGGTATACTGGACCGAGGCTTGGGCCATAATAAATCTGTTGGCATTTAAGATGTGCTTGTATGTGTGCTTGCTAGAGAGTTTGACAGAGGGCACTGCACCTGTCTCCAGTGGCAGTGAAGGGTGTAGAGGAAAATTAGGAAGTAGTTCAAAGTGGAAAGCCACCAAATGTGGGTAAAGGCGAAGTCCCCGGGTCCCTCTCACCTTTAGCACTCAAAGGAAACATAAAAATAGACTTGCCGGTCAGGTGGATGGCTGCCTCGTGATTAGGAAAACTCTGTGTAAAGGGTTCATAAGAATTAATCACACCCTTCTAACCTGTCAGCGATTTCTTCACAGAGGTAACAAAGTGGCACCAAACTAGAAATAGAAAGTTTGGTAGAATCTTGCCCAAGGGAAACTTGGTAACCTCTAGGGGAGAGGTAAAACACTGTTATTTATTAAAAGCAATTTAAGACACAGTAAAAAAGTAGAAGTGCTTTCTTTTCGATTGCAGAATGAGGTGGGTGCCAAACAGCTGATTTTAGGTGTCATGAAAGGACAGCAAACTTTTAGTAACTTCTGCCGCTTTGGGGGTTTTTTTCTACCATCAAGCATTATATAAAAATTTTAAATAAATTGATAAATTAGTAAGACATTTTTTCTCTTCCACTGAAAGGCACTTATGTGGTCTCATGTCTGAGATGCCAGAATAGCTTAGCCAGACTGGGGTAGAATACATCGTGACTTGAAAAGAAGGGCGCCATTTTCTTTTTCACCTCAGGCAACAAAATGTATTGGGCCATCCATGTCACTTGCTTTCTAACACATATTGATGTGGGACTACTCAGGGATCCAGATTTTTTAATGGGTGGGGGGGAGTTGTCTATAGCATTTGTTAACAACTCATCTACGTTTTGATGCTATTAGTAGTAACAATCTCTAAAGCAGTATATTTCCAACATAACAAGAAATATTTGCACATATTTGCCTTGCACATGAAATATTTGTATTTTTAACATCAACCTGAAAGTTAGAATGAGGCTGAATGACCTTCTCCCTGGTCTTAATACCACCAGTCAGGATATGTAGCAAGGTCCCTCAGGCATCCATCTGTCTGTCTGCAGCTTCAGGTGATGGAGACATAATATAACAGAAATTTCTGGAAGAACAAAGACTAAAAACATTGCATTAGCCCTAGGTGAATACATTCTTGGGAGGTTGGAGGCAGTGGGTACAACAGGTGAATGTGTGTCTGTGAATGCCCTTTTTTGGGGTCAAAATTGCTTATAGAGCCAATTTGCCATTTTAGTTTTTAAATTGGGTTACAAATAGCACTACGGTTTAGGTGGCTTAATACAAGTGTGGTCCTGTCGTTTGGCAATGACATATGTGACTGGCTTTCTCTGCAATAAATCCAGAACTGTCAGTTTGGTCCCCAGTCATTGGTTTGGAACGGGGAACTACAACTATTTTAAATGCACTTACTTCACATACGGACACGGGTGGCGCTGTGGGTTAAACCACATCAGAAGGTTGGCGGTTCGAATCCCCGCGACGGGGTGAGCTCCCGTTGCTCGGTCCCTGCTCCTGCCAACCTAGCAGTTCGAAAGCACGTCAAAGTGCAAGTAGATAAATAGGTACCGCTCCGGCAGGAAGGTAAACAGCGTTTCCATGCGCTGCTCTGGTTTGCCAGAAGCGGCTTAGTCATGCTGGCCACATGACCCGGAAGCTGTATGCCAGCTCCCTCGGCCATTAAAGCGAGATGAGCGCCGCAACCCCAGAGTCAGTCACGATTGGACCTAATGGTCAGGGTCCCTTTACCTTTACCTTACTTCATATACATAGTTCATAGCATTGCATGTGCTTGGTTTTCTTGTTCTTTTTTGTCTAAGTTCAAGAAGCTTGAATGGCTCTTGCTTGGGATGCAATCCTGCCCTGAGTTACATTTGACGTCGGTCGGTTTTGTTGATGGGGAAGGACTGTAGCGCTTGTTCCTAAGCCATAGATTTCCAAAGGGTGAAAATGGAAGGAAATGCAGAAAAGTAGTGATCTAAATCCATCTATAACTATTGCTCTCCATGGAGCTAGGACACAAAGTGCAAACCTGTCCTCTTCATGAAAGCACAGGCAATTATGTGGGCACATTTGCAGCAACTGAATCCCTTCCCTTCCCTAGCATGTTCCTGTGGACATGTTGAGAGTGTAAGGCTGCAGAAAGCAGACTTTCTGCCAAATCTTGTTCCCTTGGGTTTAGAAGGAAACAACCTGCAATTGCTGTGTGGAAGGGAAGTGGCGTTTCACAAGAGGAGGCTTGAATGTTCTGGATACTGGTTATTTCTCTGTGACAGAAGACCCCTGGCATAGAATTCTGGTTTGTTCTGCTCTGAAAACACATCCCCTGGTTCCCAATTCATTGTAAATGGAAATAAGTATATTTCTAGAGAGGCGCAAACAACGCAAGGATGTTCGCAATGTAACTGCAAATTTTAGCATTTACTTTCTAGTTTTGTTTAAATGGGGCAATATACAACAGCGCTTGAGAGAAGATGTCTCTGGTCTGAGCCCTTTTGTGCAAAAAATATTGGCATCCTATGGCTCTTCCCACATTGAGGTCCCAATGGTAGCTTCATCATGTGTAGTAGTGGCAAGTTCGTAGACTTAACTACCCAGTTGCCTTCTTGCACCATGTTACTATGTTTACCAGTTGTGAAATTTGTCTTCATGAACCCTCTTGTTGGGGCAATCTGGATCCAGTTTCATGGAACGGGAAAGTAGTTGCAAAAATAATCCTTACTTGACTAAATCAAAGCTATATACAAAGGTAAGAACATAGCTGACTCAGGAAGGTGTGTGTGTGTGTGTGTGTGTGTGTGTGTATGTGTGTATGTGTGCTGGTCCCCAAGCCTCTGGCTAGGATATTTTGATGCATTTGCTTGCTACCATTTTATGTTGCTTAAATCTGCCAGCTCTCTGTTACCTCTGAATAAGGATGAGTTTGCTTTAACTTTAAGCTTTTCTCACTCCCTGCTGCCTTTGACACAATCCTCACTACAAATAGGGTGTTTTTTGTTTTGTTTTGTTTTGTTTGCTCGCAGGCAGATTTATTGCACTTTGACTTCAAGAGTTTATTTAAGGCCTATGCCTTTAAAATGGTAGTTCCACCCACAGGCTGCCTTTAAAAAGGAAAATCACTGTTGTGAGGTGGAGCTGAGGACCGCACTGCCAACAAAATTATAAGTAGTTGCTTCAGCTTGCTTGGGAACATCTGGAGTTTGGAGGATGATATATAGTAGTAGGTCTCTGTAGCAATTTTAGAGACGTTGAAAGCCAGATTGAGTTACTGGTCTTAGCAGTTATATAGCTCCTAGGATCTTATGTCTATGGAAAGGGAATAATCCTTCCTTTCTGCAGACTTGACGCTGCCACCCAGTGAAATATTTTTGTGAGCTTGTCTGTAATTTGGTGAATCTTTACTTATCACCAGAGATAAGTAAGCGGTTGTGACTATTTTTTGAAATCTAGCATAGCACTAGGCAGCAACTTGCAAGATATCTTTTCCTGCATAAAACCACAGAGAATTGGAATTCTTAAAGACGACTTGAGAAAAGTTGGTGAGTTGGAGCTGCTTGGGATTTTATATCATGTGTATCTCAAACTGCATACTTAAATTGAGGTAGTATATCAACCCATGATTTGGATAAAAAAATTTAAAAGTAAGGTAATGATACTATTTTATTCATTCTGCTTGCCCTGATAATTCATACGGCAGTGCTGTTTATATCCTGTCATGAAAGCATAGCTATCTCTTTGCAGGTGTTAAATCTTTTCTGAAGTCCTATCAAATGCAACAGTTCTGTATAACATTAAGATTATAATCTACCTTTTCTTGAAATTCATAGCTAGCCATCACTAATTTCACTAACTTCTGCTTATTTTAATATTCTTAATCTTAAACACATTTAAGGCATTTTGCATTTGGGTATGTTCTCTGAGAAAGAGCTTTATAAACTGTGTGTTTCCATGTATCCATCAGAAAAACTGAATTGTATTATGAATTGGTATTTTAAGCTTCCAAGGACATTTTGGTGAAAGTAAGATTTTGTGCAGAAAAAATACCTTCATGTTTGACATGGTAACCACATCAGTCTGTTTCATTATATTGTCGCATGGAGCACTAAAGAGTACTTCTGAACTTTGAAGTGTGTACTCAACATGAGAATAGGATTTAGATCCAAGGTGTTCTGAATCTGAGTAATCTTGAGCTTATCACCATGTCTTAAAGCAAATGTGGAAAACCTGGGTACCTTACAGATGTTGGTACACTCTCATGGGGGGTAGGACCATAGTTCAGGAACCACTTTGTATACAGAAAGTCCCATATCCAATCCCTGGCATCTCTAGATAGAGCAGGGAAAGACTGTTGTCTGAAACCTGGAGAGCTACTGCGAGTCACTGTAGAGCCAGTTCTAAGCTAGAAGGACACAATAGTCTGACTTAAGAACATAAGAGTTGATATAAAAATCTTCCTATCAGCCTCAGCCACTGTGTCTGGGGATGAGATGGTGGGAGTTGTGGTCCAACAGCATCTGGGGGCCACCACATTTGTATAAATGTGAATAAGACAAGTATTGCAAAAGGACACCATGAATTTGCAGTGTGGAGGAGGTCCAAGCTAACCACTTCAGCGTTTGTCCCTGGACTTCCCACCCCATAGAAAAGAGGGGGGGGGAATATCTAACTCTGGTTTTAGAAGTGAGGTAGTTGTTTTCTTGGAGATAAACTCTGAACTGGTGAGTGAGACAAGATGGGGCTTCCTGAAAGAAATCGTTGGAAGAAATCAGAACATCCCAACACCAAAAGAAGGACCTGTAAGTAAACCTATGCAGCATGGAGTTGTTTCTTAAAGGAAGCCTAAGCAGCCTTCAGCTCTCCCAGATGCAGCAGGTGCAGAATTTAGAGACTTGATGTAAAGAAGGCTTGCTGGAGGATTAGCTGGAACTAGCCAAAGAGGCAGATGATTTTTTGAGATTGGATAGTTAAGCAATAAGTTAACCCAATAGGTTTTCAGTGTCTGGGATCAGGTTCTTATTATTGGTATATCTCTAAGAAGGATTAATGTCAAAACCCCCATGAGTTATGGGGTCAAAGTCAACTTGAAAGTTTAAGTTACAAAGATGCCGTGAAGAAAGAGGGATTACTGACAGTTTGTCTAGCAGATCAGTCCTGCTGGTGTGGCATAATATACCTCAGTAAGTGACTTATTCAAGGTTTAAAGTTTAGATCTATAGTTTTGCATAGGGCACATTATATTGGCCTGGGGCAATTGGAGGAATAAAGAAGAGTTCCCTGCAGAATTGACTGTAGATATGAGGAGTTTTGTAGGTTTGGCATATATAGAGATGATTGCAATGAAAGACAGGAGACCCTAGGAACCTGTTCACTGAGAGAAGCTTCCTGTGATCTTCGTGGAAATATGCCTAGAGAACTTTTGAGAAGCAGTAGAAATTGCTACACAAATTGAGTCTTTCTACATAGCATCTGGACCAAGAAAAATACTGTTGAGTAATATCCAAAGTGCTGCCAATTTGGTACGCTGGAATTAGTTCACAGGTTAAAATTACCGTATTGGCCTGAATATAAGCCTCACTTTTCCCCCAAATTCTGACCGTGAAAAGTTAAAGTGCGGCTTAAATTCGTGACCTTACAAAAATTGGCTTTTACGATATCGCTGCTGAAACAGACATATGGTAAAACAGAACGGGTGTGAATGTCTGCGGAATTTTAAGGGAGCGGCTTATATTCAGGTATTGTCTTTTTTCCTCTCCCCCCCCCTTGAATTCTAAAGGTGCAGCTCATATTAGGTGTGGCTTATATTTGGGCCAATACGGTAGCTATTGGTACTTTCTGACTTCAGTGAACTAATTTGTAAGGAATCAGGAATACTAATTTCGAAAAGGAGATACACAACTGAAAGTTCATCCAGAAACCACAAACTCCACCACTGTCAGGAGCTACTGCATTCTGCCCTAGGTGGTGAACCACTGCAACCTTTTTCGTTAAATGCCTTTTGGGCTCATTACACGTACCCGATCTTACCATTGGAGCTTTCTGGGCAGGCTTCCTTTTCCAGTTGACCCTGCCTTGAGCTACATGGTTTACCTGAGCTGTAACGTTTCTGTTCTTTCTCTTTGGTCCTGATTCTTGCGGTGTTCTGCAATTCTTGCCTTCTGATCATCTTGACTCCTGGCACATATTCCAGATCCTGCTTCTATAATAGCCTCTAAGCTATTATAGTTCATATAAAAAGACATCTGAACGTGAAACATGGGCTGTGAACATTTTACTCTGAATCCAGAGTCTCCAACCGCTGACTATTAGCCAAAATCCATATTGATCTCTGTCCTATCACTTCTTTTGAAATACTGCATTTTGATGTGTCCCCCTCCCCACCTAGCTTCAATCTGAATTGAGAAAATGAATGGCCTAGCTGCATTTTAAGCTTGCAGTATCCACGCCACTTGAGAATACATGATCTGATGGTGTCCACAAATGTGCCAGATTTTAAACATCTGATAAAAAAATGCCACAAGTACAGGAAGTTAGCTCTTTGAAGCATGTGCCATTTAGTGGTTTTAAACCACTGTGGTTTGTGTGGGCACTGCTGCAATTCACTGAACATAGGACCTTTCTCCTTTGAACCAATATGGAAATAATTGTCTTTAAGAGCTTCCAAGAGACTCTGGCATGCTTTCAGCTGCAGTTACATAACTATCCAGTATTGTAACAGGCTTCAGCATAACACAGGGACCGAGCAGTCTGGCCTTCTGTACCAATTCTGATAACCACTATCATATGGTGATTAAAATGCTGAGCTTAAACCAGGGGAAAGTAGGTGCAGGCACCTATTTGCACCATGTTTGCTGCACAGTTAGCTTTCCCCCAGTTGCTTCTCTCAGCCTAGCAACGGGGGTTGTGATAAAATGGGGAGCAACTCTCATATATAAGTTGCATTGAGCTCCTTGGAAGCAGGGTGGGATATAAATTTGGGGGTGGGGGGGAATGAATTACTTCCAAGGCCTTGGTATCATTCTTTCTACAATGCCTCATGGCGGTTGCTGTTCGAGCAATTCAGTCTTGCTGTGGCTAACCTCTTTAATCATTTATGTAAAGCAGGCCCTGCGTTTCTTTCTCCTTTTCATCTTCCCTTACACCTTTTGAAGGATATTTTTGAAATGAGATTGCCTACACTGAGGGGCTCTCCTGCAAGTGCCTGTCACCCTTTATCACTTTTAATATGTAGAAATTGCTCAGAGGAATTTCCATCCAGCCTTCTCACGGTCCATAGCATTGTTGGTATTATTGCAAACATCTGCTCAGAAGTAGGAGCTTTGATCTGGGGCTGTTTGCTGAATTCAAGCACGGCGAGGGACAAAGCTGAGTCGCTCACTTGGCCATGTGTGGCATGTTAGGAAAGTTGTGGTGTGTGCTGCCTAATTCCAGGTCCGCTAAAGTCAGTGGCTGCTTGTGAATGTCTGGATTGCAGCCTACGACTGCCATCAAAAGGACATTTGTTCTATTGAAATCAATGATGTTTAATTCCAGGTAAGAGCCTCTGGAGGCCACCTTGGTCATACCTGTGCATATCAATCATAGTGGTGCTACTGTGTCTTTGCAACATTTTTTCTTCTATACAGTGGTACCTCGGGTTAAGTACTCAATTCGTTCCGGAGGTCCGTTCTTAACTTGAAACTGTTCTTAACCTGAAGCACCACTTTAGCTAAACGGGGCCTCCCACTGCCGCCACGCCGCTACTGCACGATTTCTGTTCTTATCCTGAAGCAAAGTTCTTAACCTGAGGTACTATTTCTGGGTTAGCGGAGTCTGTAACCTGAAGCATATGTAACCCGAGGTACCACTGTATTTATTACAGTAATTTATATCCCACAGAAAACTACAGTGGTACCTCAGGTTACATACGCTTCAGGTTACAGATGCTTCAGGTTACAGACTCCGATAACCCAGAAATAGTACCTCGGGTTAAGAACTTTGCTTCAGGATGAGAACAGAAATTGTGTTCCGGTGGCGCTGCGGCAGCGGGAGGCCCCATAAGCTAAAGTGGTGCTTCAGGTTAAGAACAGACCTCCAGAACGAATTAAGTTCTTAACCCGAGGTACCACTGTACTCAAGGCAGGTCTCAATTTTAAAATATGTACTGAAAAAATGAAAATAAAACATTGTTAAATATATTAAAATTACAGGAATTTAAAGACATTATGGAAGAGGTGGTATTTAGTTTTTTAAAAAGCACGTTGGAATAAAACTGTTGCTTTTGCAAATTATTATACAGCAATGCAATCTTGATGCATGTGCCTCTCTTGCTCCTCACAAGGTCTTTGCAATACCACACACTCAGGGTTTTTGTGCAGTGGCTGGATTGTTTTGCGAGCTGCAGTGCCATGCAGCAACTTTAAGCACTGCACCAACTGTTTGCCTTGTACTGCGTAAAAGCAAACACATAGTTAAGAGATCATTTGCTTGGGTAAACTTCAGTTATCACTGCAGCTTGTGGGGAAATAATGTCTAAAGTTTGGCTTCCTGTGGCTGCATCCAGTACCCACTTGCTGCATTGAACTCAATGGAAGTTACTTCCAAGAAGGCATGTATAGCATTGCATAAGTTAGGAGAGCGTCCATTAGACCATAGAATCATAGAGTTGGAAGGGACTTTGAGGGCCATCTCATCCAACCTGCTTCAATGCAGGAAAGTTTGGGGCTCAAACCCATGAACCTGAGACTAAGAGTCTCATGCTCTACCAACCGAGGATAGGATTTCTCTCCCCTCCCAACTTATAGTTATTCCTTGATTGCTCTAGAATTACTTCTTTATTAAAGCCAGCCTACTAATAACACAAATACTGGTCATCAGTACAACTGATCACAGCAATATCCTTGAACGATATGCAACTGATGCATTTGAGAGACACAGAGAGTGTTTCTTTTCTAGCTCTCTTTAACAATTCAGTTGATGGTATTGTGGCATTTGCCTCCTAGGTGGGTCATAAGGAAAGGGTTAAGTGAGTGTGAAGTGATTGGCCAGTGGGAACCCAAGGGGAGCAGTTAGAGTTGGAGTTGTGTGGAAGTCAGTTGAGAGTTGGGAGTTGGAGAAGGAAGAGGGAGGATAAGTCTGTGGGTTGGTCGAGTTGTGTTGTGAGTGAGTGAGAGGAACTGTTAGGTGGAGTCAGATAGATAGTTGGGATAATCAGTTTGAAGTTGTTAGGAACGAATAGGTCAGTAAAGAAACAGTAAAGAAACTAAGATTAAGAAACTGACAAGAAAAATTAACTGAAACCTTAAACTTGTTCACGCTTATAAAAATAAACTTGATTATTTGTTAATGTTAACAACTGTCTGGACTCCGTGTGTACCCAAGGGGAACGGGTTGGTGGCAGCGAAGAGGCAATCACAGTGGTGGCACAGGGATCAATAGACCGTCAAACGTCCGGGGACCCTGTGTGATCGCCACAGGTATTAACTGGTGCAGGGCTTCACGGGCTATACTAACGGATGGAAGTATCAACCTATTCTAGACCTACTTTCCCCTCTAAGCAACTCTCTGGAAGTTGAGCAGGTGATGTGCCTACACAAGAAGCCACCTGGAAACTCCTCAGCTCATGTCTTGAGGTTCATGATGGAAGAAAGATGGGATGTAAATTAAAGTGTCTGGAGCACTGGGCTGAGGAGAAGTAAGGCAGGGATGTGGGAGAAATGTGCTGTTTCTTTTTAACCCACTCCCCACATCACATTCCTGCTTCGTATGTGAACTCATGTCTACCATTGTTCTACCATGGTGTGTTTGTGACTTGGAGCCTCATTTCTGAAGCTTTGCTATTCATCACTGCTTTTCGCTGTGGATACTATCCAAAGACAGTCATGTACATACTTGCTGCAGACATTCAGGGCACACACAGCTGAAAACTAGTTCCAGCTTTTCTTATGTAGCACTTGCTGGTTAAAACTTGACGCTCTCAGTTCATAGAATCATAAAATTGTAGAGTTGGAAGGGACCCTGAGGAACATCTAGTCCAGCCCCCTGCAGTGCAGGAATATGCAGCTGTCCCATACGGGGATCAAACCTGCAACCATGTTGTAACCAAGTGGGCCATCCAGAGGAATGTCAATAAAATGCCCTAATCCAGATACGGAGATCTGTACATGGCGGTAGGCTTCTGTGTAATGCTTCCTGGAGCAGGAACTGCGTTGTGCATCGGGATGTGAACGCTGTCTGTCAGAACAGCTTTTGTTACCAGTGGATACATTATCCTTGTCTTCGGACCAGGTGTAAACAACATTTTCCTGTGTATCTATAAGCTTGAAATGCATAGCTCTAGTTGATTGAACCGATTAAACTAATCAAAACTTGCTTGTTAGATATGCCAAGTCACCAAACTGGCTTTGTGGGTATGTATATAACATATGCCCAGTTTCCACAGGGAAAGAAGCCAAAGTGACTTCGCCTTTCGTGTATAATGGGAATGACTTATACGAATAGCAAAGCTCCCCCCCCCTTGTTTGGCAAATAGGTGGGCACGCTCAGTGTCATCCAATCACCTGTGGCTGCTTTTCCTCCACCCCCTATGAGCAAGCAGCTCCACACCACCTCCCTGTTTCTACTTTTAAGGCAGATGTTTAAGTAAAACCAGTCTGAACCGTTTGCTGCCTACACTTACAGATACAGAAATCCATATAATCTGAACATTATTGTTGGGTGAGTAAAGCTTGGGCTGAAAGTAAACCTGTATCGAAGTAGAAGCTTTGCAGCTTGGAAAACATTCGCTGAAATGGTTTGTTGGCAGGAATTAGCAGTTAAGCGTACAAACTATATTGGAAACTATATTGAATGCATAAAAGAAAGATAGAAACGGGGTGTGGGGAGGAGGATTTTATTCCTCGGGGGAATGTCTGAAACTCTGATGGTGCTCTGCTTTTCTCAGTAAACACCTTAAGGATTCCACTGCTGGAAGTTTGCAAAGATACTTATGTGCAGCATAAATGAAAACTGACAAATATTCTTGAAAATGTTTTAGCATAATTGGGCATCTGGGGCTGTCTTTTCTCCTTCTGCTGTAGCTTAATGGGCAGCTGTTCTAGAGTGATAAGGCTGGATGGTGCAGGGAGGGGAACGCTTTGCTCTGGGATTCCCAGTGTGGCACCTGAGGACACCAGGACAGCCTCTGGCACACACCCCACTCCCCTTGTGCCTGCCAAGGCCTGCTACTTCTCTCAATTTTGCATTTTAAAAATTTAGGGGGGTTGGGCTTTTCTTTTGGGAGGTGGCCTGCTTTTTTGCCTGTGTTCCGTTTGTTTTCAGTGCGTGTTTTGTCTGGCAGGATTCTGACAATCACCAGTTTTTCTTCTGTGAAATGGGTATTTTGGGGTACCAATGACAGTTTCTTAGATTTCCTAATGTGTCTCCAGAGCCCAAAAGGCTGGGATCTCCAGGCTTAAGTTTCTAAAAACTTTTTTACAAGTTGCAACATGCATGCCGTTGCTATCTTCCCTTCTTTTTCTTTTTTTAAAGTTAGAGGACAAGCCCTGGTGGCAAGTTTTTTACGAGTTGGTATATCAGAAATGGCAATCGTATTATCAGCAGAAGCTTGCAATAGCAATTGTATTTACCTGCAAAAGTACTGCCTTTCAAAAGCTGCAAAATGTGATACCCTTCCACACCTGCTGTGTTCAGAACAGATGTTCGAGTACCAGGCATCAGAAATAACTGAATATTTATTGTGACTGTTGTCGTACTTTCATAGGACGAGAGAGAATTGCAGCTGCAGCCCTATAAGAGAGGGCAACTCTGCTATGAGCTAGGAATATCCTACTCTAGATAGCTGAATTAGCTAGAGCATGGTGTTGATAACACCAAGTTTGCAGGTTCAATCCCCACAAGGTTTTCAACCTTTTGAGTCCACTGCTCCCTTAATCAACTACATTCCTTTTGCGGCACCCCTGTGGGGCTTAGGAGCCCAGTTATGTCACCCCTTTCCGGCAGAGCTGGCAGCCCCTCACCCTTTTTTGAACACCCTCCCTTGCAGAGTCTTCCCTCTGCCTCCTCTCCTCTCCCCTCTCCTTGGGAGTCCTCTGTGCAGCTGCTGCTGCCCCCCTGGTCTCTGAGCTGTCCCCAAAAGAGGTGCCTCATCGCACTGCCCCACAGGGGCCTGGGACTGTCCATTCCCAACAGGAAGGGCTGGTGGAGTGGCTGGCTGGACTCCCTCGCCCGCTTGCTTGCTTACTCCAAGGCCACCTTAGCTCCTGGCAACCAGCAGCCCCCTGGCCAGCCTAGAGTCACCATTCGCCTGGGGAGCCTGTAGCCAGGGCTGCTGCAACAGCTTTGCAATCCTTTGGGAGGCAGAGACGCAAGAGGGCATGGGGCAGGGGGAGAAAAAGGGACAGAGGCCAATGTTGCCCACAGCACCCCTGACCATCATTCAAGGTGCCGGAGGGTGCTACCCACACTGGTTGAAAACCACTGCCATTTGGGATAGCTGCATATTCCTGCAATGCAGGGGTTGGACTTGATAATCCTCAGGGTCCCTTCCAACAAGCCTATGATTCTATGGTTGCAAGGGCTCTGTGGATTATGGAACATAAATTGTGTTTTTTAAAAACTTTTTAAATTCAAAATTAAAACAAAACATATTATCCAGAAACATATCCTTATTTCCCCCCACCCTCCCACACAAAACCCACCCACCCCCACCCCTGACTTCCCTCAGTTCCAGTCTTTGATTTCTCTAAGAATGCTGTTTTCTGCATGTTACACAGTTGTATAGATCCTCAAACTATTTAGCTGATTATTATCAATAAAAAGTTGGTGAATGCTTATTCAAAGCCAGCCAAGGAGTCCAGTTCGCTTTGTTGCGTCTTCACATACTTTGTAAAGTACATCTTTAAAGTCACAGTTATCCTTGTCCCGCAGCTTATATGTCCCGTAGCTTATACTTACCTGGCAGGGGAGACACCTTGATCATGGAACATAAATTGAAGGACGTTCGAGGGTAGAGCTGGTTTGGTTTTTTTAGTTTAGATTGTGAAGGTTAGAGTAGAAACTCCTCTATCAAGATACATTAGCAGGGGTGGGAATGCATAGACTGGTGAGATTAAATTTATTGCAAGAGCAGAGGGAGCTCTCATGTGGCAGAGGCTAGTGGGTGTTGCGAGCTTTGTGTAATTTAGATTGGGTGCCTTTGGAACAGCAAAGTAAATGGTGCAATAAAACCTGTCCACAGAAAGCAGGAATAATTATCTGTTTAAATGAATGAGTAACTACTGACATCCTAATTTTTGTGCAATATGGTATACTTTGGAAAAGAGGTAACAACTTGGATTTTAAGTTGTTGGTATTTAGTAATAGTACAAGAATGTGGTGAACAACATCAGAGTATACCACAGACATAGGCAATAGAAGGATGTTCTTCTATCATCAAACCAGTTCAATGGTTTTTAATTTCAGTTCATAATGCTTTGCAACAGATGTGGTTTGCTAATATATATAAATTTACTGATAGCACTTACATATTATTTGGATGGCTTTCAAACCATAGAATATTAAAACAAAATAAAAAAAATTCCTTCCAGTAGCACCTTAGAGACTAACTAAGTTTGTTATTTTGTTTCGACTTTGGCAGACCAACACGGCTACCTACCTGTAACATAGAATGTTAAAATACAATAATGATAACAGAATAAAAAGAGTAAACAGATAATGGATTAAAAATTGAATGTTGTTGCTTTTATATAAAAAATCAACAGAAAGTTAAATAGCATAGTGACCTAGACAGTATTACTGATATAAAATTCAGAGTATTCATGATTTCACAATTTAAAAGTTTGAATTGGTTTGGTTTTTTTTAAGTCTGTACCTGGTGCCTAAAATGAAATAAAGTTTATTCTACACCTTGGGACAGGAGCGTATTTTAGCAGCAATTTGTGCAAAATGAATAGGTCTGTAGTCAGTGACTCTCTGCTGCAATGTCATGTCGGTGAGCATTGCTGTGCTATGCAGCTTTTTATCTGGTGGATGAAACTGTGTAATTTTCATGACATATAAACGGTGGGTGGCATCTGAACAAGTCATACATTGACTAGACCTATTGGAAATGGGACTTCTACCATCATTGATCTCATTGGATCTACTTTTGAGTTAGTCAGATGCCACTCTATGGCAAATTTGGAGGATTGCAAAATGCAGTAATCTCTCTCATTTTTCAGGCTCCTTCATCCAGAATGATAACCTGTGGACCAGCCTTCTCGTTCGCCCGGTGCCTCTTGCGGAGAAAAATCGTCACTGTGGACAGCCTTGAAGATAGCAAATTATGCCGCTGTTTATCCACCATGGACCTTATTGCCCTGGGAGTAGGAAGCACCCTCGGTGCTGGCGTTTACGTCCTCGCTGGAGAAGTTGCAAAAGCAAATTCCGGACCTAGCATTGTAGTTTCTTTCCTCATAGCAGCCTTGGCTTCTGTGATGGCAGGGCTTTGTTACGCAGAATTTGGTGCTCGTGTTCCAAAGACTGGCTCTGCCTATCTGTATACTTACGTCACTGTTGGCGAACTCTGGGCTTTTATCACAGGCTGGAATCTCATTTTGTCTTATGTCATAGGTGAGTTTGGAAGATCTCGGAGGCTCTTAAGAAAATGCCAACCACAGCCTACTTGGCTTTTGTCTCCTGGCTGCTGTTCATAACTGGAGTAATCTTTTGCTTTCATGCATAAATGTGCACAGAGAGAGAGGGAGAACACTTTTGGGGGGACATGCTCTCAATGTTCCTGACCTTTTGGTGGCTATGGCAGCAGTGTGAATGGGACAATATCCAGCAGCCAGCAATATGAGAAGGGGATAGAATTGCAATGCATAGAAATGATGAGAGGTGAATGGCATATGGGCTAGGAAAAAGGTTTTTCAAGCACAAGAATAGGGTGTGGATCCCTGTAGTGGTTATGGAAACCAAAGGAAATGAACAGTAGTCATATTAGTTATTCTCTTGGTGTATGCGACTAAATTAAATATACCACTACATTACGTGATGATTTGACTTTTCAGGCATTAATGAGCTCAGGGCAGTGTACGTTCTCACCTTCAGCATTTACCCTATAAAGTTGGTTGGGCTGATGTGACTTGCCCATTGTCGACCTGTAAACAAAATTGCTAGTGGAGAATTGACCTCTGGCCTCCCATGTCCCACTCCAACACTTTTTCTACTATGCCACACTTGTGCACAAGCCACGTGTAGATTCCAGAGATAAAATTATGCTCTCTGAGAGCAACATCAGACAATCCCCAAATTGCTTTTGATGACATGCCTCTCTTGACAAAGAGGACAAAGCCTTTGATGTCACTGCAACCATCCAGCATATTTTCTAAATAGTGGTAGAGATAATTATTTAATTTTCTTTTTGCAAATAAATAATTTTTGCTAATATAATTCTTAGAACAAATACTTGGTTTCTCTTGTCTTCAACCGTTGTGTAAATAATGTTGGGTGTGTGGTGCAGCATTCATCTTCCTTTTGAAGACAGAGCAGCAAGAGTTTCTCAGATTGTCATTGAACATGAGGCCCCCGTGCTTATTCCTGAAATTCTCACCGCACAGAGCAATCAGTGTGGTCCTGGGAATGTGCACGTATGGAAGAGGCAATTTCTGACTCTGTGTTAATGTGAATAACTGCTGGGAATTTTCAGCCAGGACTAGGCAAACGCAGAGACCCATTTCTCAGTCACTGCCAGAAAGCAACAGCTGGGACTGAGGGACATGATTGGTTAGGCATTGCTTCTCCCACATGGCTGTATCCCTTGGGATGCTCTGCATGGAAAACGCTTCACGGTTCCACCCAGTTGGTTGCTGTAAATATTAAATAAATTAACTGTGCTGTCAGTTGGTACAATGTTGTTGCTAGAAATAACAATACAATGCATTGCAGCAACAGGGCACCCTTGAAATACAGTCATAGCATGTAGAAAAATGAACTCGCGCTGTAGCAAAAAAAAAGGAAGAAGCACTAAATAGACTGAAAATGCACATTTCCTTGTGAAGTGTGTATTCTAAGAAGAACGTAGAGTTTTTGGCAAGATTTCCAGAAAATGGGGTGAGGCCAATGCTATTCCCACTCAAAGTAGATCCACTGAACTTACTGGAAATAGCTGGCTTAAGTTCATTAATTTCAGTGTGTCAACTTTGAGTAGAATTAGCACTGGGTACAACTTACTATCTCATTTCATTGCTTCATCAAAACCAACTTAGAAATGAGGGATTTCTCATGGTAGCAGCTGAAAATAACCTTCTGGCCTGTATCTGGTCTCTTCCAAAAAACTGTATTATCCGATGTGAGTCATCTGCAGTTTCCCGAATGGGGATTTATTGTTTCCAAAATAGAAATTTATTCCCAACATTAGGAAGGGGCACAAGGCTGCAACATAACACGAAACCACATCCAGAATAGAGAAGAGCACAGATATGGGCCTCAATAGCCCAATATGTCTCAATAACAGCGAAAGATTCCACAATATTAAATATATAATAATGCCTAGTAAATATATGTAGGTTTTGTCTTTTACAATTCTAATAATTGCATTTTGATGTCAATTTGTTCCATTTCATTAAGGTACATCAAGTGTAGCAAGAGCGTGGAGTGGTACCTTTGATGAACTCCTTGGGAAACAAATTGGTTACTTTTTCAGGACCTACTTCAGAATGAATTATTCAGGTCTAGCAGAGTACCCAGATTTTTTTGCTGTCTGCCTTATATTGCTCCTAGCAGGTAAAAAATATATATACTTAATATTCATTTTTCTTATTGTAATTTTGCTACCCAGAGGGCAGGGTATGTTTAGCCTCAAGCATGACATATCTGCAAGTTTAGGAATCCTATCAACCTGTGGGCCCAAAAATTTGGTTCTAGTTTTTATTCTGTCACTTTTGTTTCCTTTTGAACAATATCTTCATACCTCAGTTTAGGATATTCTAATTTCAAGTGGAGATCACACATGCATATCATTGCAATTCTAGATTATAATTTCTTTAACTACTTGTGGAAATGTTTGTGTGTATACTGGATATATGTATCATACAAGGGTACAAACTTTAGGAAATTAAAATGAAAATTCTAATCCAGTGCAGCCCATTTTTGGAGAAATGTTTATTTTAAACATATTTATTATCTGCTCCAGTAAAAGTTAGCAAGAGTAGTTAGATAACTTTGTTCTTCATATCATTTATATTTGTAATAATAATATAATAATAATAGTTGTTGTTGTTGTTGTTGTTTTATTTATACCCCACCCATCTGGCTGGGTTTCCCCAGCCACTCTGAGCAATTTACAGCATATCTAAAAGCATAATAAAAACATCAAGTGTTAAAAACCTCCCAAACAGGGCTGCCTTCAAATGTCTTCTAAAAAATAATATTAATTGTATTGCTTTTGGTCAGAAAAATAGACTTAATGTTAGAGATATAAGTTTGAGCTCTCGACTATTGCCTCTTCTTCTCAAGCCAGGGCTGGTCCACACATTCACTAGTCTAGCAATCTCATATGCATAATGAGTAAGAAGCTGATGTCTGTGTTGCCTGTTGCCTGTACAATGTAATGCCCTTCACGGGTATATGCATATGTACAATTCCAACAATCTCCCTAGCTCAAAGGCCATGTGGAATTAAAAAATAATCATCATCATGTAGAGTTGTGTTGTGCTTGTGCTGGTGGATATAAGGCCATTTGCTTCTGACCTGTGAAAGGGATTTCTAGGTGGAGCTTATCTCCTATTCTGAAGTCATGTTTACATTCCCAGAGAAAAATATGGACTTGAATGCTTTCTGTGTGTACAGAATTTCCAGCTTGGTGAGTCTGTGAACCAGCCTTATGAGATAGCTCATGTAAACAAAACATTGTCAAATTGTAATAAGCATAATATTAGAAATGCTAACATGTAGACCTTAATTATGTTACTTAATTTAAAAAATATTGTTTTATAGGCCTATTATCATTTGGAGTCAAAGAATCTGCATGGGTGAATAAAATCTTCACTGCTGTTAACATCTTGGTCCTCCTCTTCGTGATGACTTCTGGTTTTGTGAAAGGCGATCTTCATAACTGGAGGAAAACAGAAGAATTTCTTATAAACTACACAGTATACATAGAGTAATACAGGGGTTTTTTGTTTGCTTTACTGCTTTGGTTGCTTAGAATGGAGACTTTGGAGCATAATGATCTATAAACTATGTGATGGGATTTAATAATGTTTTAATAAAAATAAATGTAACATTTTAGATTTGATGCCCAACTAACTGTTGAATCGTCAACTGAGAATGAGGAAAGCATTTTATTTTATTTTTGGTCAGAAGTGAGACATTTTCAATGACACGTTTTGGTTGTAATATCCTGGCTTGATCCAAAGCTGGAAACCATAATTTCCAGCTTTTGGTGAAAAAGGAAAGTTGTAAATTACAGGCTTCCTGATTTAATCACCTCAAAAGGGAAAACGGAAAAGCAAAACAGCTGCTTATACAGGCAAAGGGTTTGTGCATTTCTCATCTTATTAGGCCAACATCATCATCCAAGCTAGTTCATTATGGTCCTCATAGGCAGTTCATTTTTCATGCAGTGAATACTGCTAAATACCACATCCGTACGTGGGGAAACCTGTCACAGAGCTGCAAAATCCCTCTGATAGCAATAAGTAGGTAAAAGTGAGTTTAAACATCCTGACATTTTCAGTGCTTAAGTCCAAACCTGCAATTTCAGTGTGCATTGGGCTTTGAACCCTGCACTGTTTCCATGCTCAGCTCATATCTTTCTATGCTACGTATGGGAACAGCCATGGCATCGAGACTTTAAATGTACTTGGGGGGCCGTTCTGACACTTCAGGACAAAGGGCAACAAAGCAAAGAAGAAAAAGCACCTGTGCACAATTAACCTTTGATTTGTGTGTGTGAATGTTGAGAGCCACTGTTGTGCACCCCCAACCACTCAAGTTATGATGTGGGGTTTGTAAGTCCCATGCCTACACAGGATACGATGTAATTATTATTATTTGGTTTTTTTTTAAGAAACCTGTCATCTTCTGAAAATGTGACAAGTGCATTTGGAGTTGGTGGCTTCATGCCATATGGCTTTACAGGAACACTGGCTGGTGCTGCAACCTGCTTTTATGCTTTTATAGGATTTGATTGCATCGCAACAACTGGTAAGCTGCCTTAAAAAAAAGGGGTCATGCAGTTGAAGTTGTGATTTACATGTGCTGGAGCTGTAGTGTAAAACCACTGTGTTCCTATAGCATGATCCTATACATTTTAGAGAAAGACCTGCATATGCAATGCTAGAGTGCATGCTTTGCATTCAAAAGGATCTTGGTTCTCAGGGTTGCCATATTTCAAAAAGTTAAAGTCCGGACACAAAAGTTGTTGACCTTTTTTAATAGTTATTTTAGTCGACAGTCGACACTGCTGACATGAGTTGCCATACGTCCAGATTTTCCAGGACATTTTGACAATTTCCACCCAGACACTTTTCCCAAATGCAGCATTCCAGATATGTCCGGGGAATTCTGGACTATGGCAACCCTATTGGTTCTTCACTTGATGGCGTTTCCAGTTAAAAGGATTTCCAGTAGCGGGGCTGAAAGAGACCTTTGCTTGAGTCTGTAGGCAGGTTGCTAAGCTTTTTGGACCTGTGAGCACTTTTGCAAACTGTACACACAGAGATGCGCAGTCACACTGCAGCCTATTCCACTGGCTACAACAGAATGCTTCTTTCAAGCCTGATTTTCAGCATGGGAAAGGTGGATGTAACCCTGTAACCGTTGTGGAGGGTCTCTGTGGGTGCATGTGTGCCCACAGGCACTATGTTGGCAACCTCTGTTATTACTCCAGGTAAGCATGCGTAGGAGTTGCAGAGCAGAAGCCACCAAACGCTCTGATGCAATCCTTGTTCATTTCTCTCTTGGCCTGAAAATCTTACCAACTCTGCCCCATTCATTCTGGATCACAAACAGAATGGCAAGATCTGTTTCTTGCCGCACTTTAAAATCCATTCAGCATGATAATGTGTAATTGACATAAATTACATAGGCCAAAAGAGAGACATCTTGTCCTTCTTTTTAATTTGTTGCATGTTCTAAAAAGGCGTTAAATTGGTTTTAAGAACCATGTTATCTGTCTCTCCAGGGCATATATATTAAGTTCTACTTTGTGACTTCATGCTCAGTCACCCCTAATAATTGGAAATATCATGCGTAGGCTCAGTACACTGAGAATCTCTAAAACCTGCTTTATCAGCCAGAGGTAGCATACAGTGTTTCTATGGTAGCTTTTTTTCACTCCTACATTACACCATTTGCTCCCTCACTTGGCTTAGAGAATTCACAAGTTTCTATCAAAGAGCTATGTTTTCATTTCCTCTTCCTCACTCCCTGTATCATCCAGGTTGGTTGGTTGGTTTTTGGCCTGTAGCAATTTTTTGAACTTTCATTGCAATCACAGGCCAGTCCTATCAGACAAAGCACTTTTATCTTATCTAATTTGAAGGTGTTATTGGTGACCCTGTAGTAGTGCCTCTGTGCTTTGCTTAAAGGTAAAGGGACCCCTGACCATTAGGTCCAGTCGTGACCGACTCTGGGGTTGCGGCGCTCATCTCGCTTTATTGGCCGAGGGAGCCGGCGTACAGCTTCTGGGTCATGTGGCCAACATGACTAAGCCGCTTCTGGCGAACCAGAGCAGCGCACAGAAACGCTGTTTACCTTCCTGCTGGAGCGGTATCTATTTATCTACTTGCACTTTGACGTGCTTTTGAACTGCTAGGTTGGCAGGAGCTGGGACCGAGCAACAGGAGCTCACCCCGTCGCGGGGATTCGAACCGCCGACCTTCTGATCGGCAAGTCCTGGGCTCTGTGGTTTAACCCACAGCGCCACCCACGTCCCACGTGCTTTGCTTACCTGCCCACTATCCCATTTCCACTACCTGTTTGACAACACCACCCATTTCTCTCTCTCTCTCTCTCAGCACAATAGCAGTTATTTCTGAATCAGCATATGTAGTACTGTGCTGCTGTGTTATATAAATTGGTGTATTTTAAAATCTTCCCCCCAGGCCAATAATACTTGTTTTTATCTTCACAAATCACACAGAATTCAATTTAGACCAATAACATGATCCCATCTGGAGTCTCTGTATTTTTCAGTATTCCTGCTAGATAAAAAGTAACGTATTTTGTATAAAAAATAAATCTCATGGATGCACTTTGCCCAGCTGGACACACAATCTCACTGTTTGCCATCTTCCGTACTCTTATTCACACTAAGAATAAAATGTCGTTTTTCTCCATAGGGGAAGAAGTCAAGAATCCCCAGAAAGCCATACCTATTGGGATTGTAACTTCCTTGCTTGTCTGCTTCTTGGCCTACTTTGGTGTTTCAGCTGCTTTAACTCTGATGATGCCGTACTATTTAATTGATGAGAAAAGTCCTCTCCCTGTAGCCTTTGAGTATGTCGGATGGGGCCCAGCGAAATATGTTGTAGCAGTGGGATCTCTCTGTGCTTTATCGACAAGGTAAAAATAAGGAAAACCTAAGTCATTGCCAGGAAAATGGAGCTATTTTAAAAAGTTTTGATTTATTAGGTTTGCTAAACAGAGATATTTAGAATAATTATGTAGTTTGTTACAACTCAAATGTAGCTCAGCTGTGTAAGTCAACTATTTAAGTTCTTATTTTGTGAACTTTTTCCTTGTGAAAGGAAAAATTACGTTCACAAGTTCATCTCTTTCTACCTGTGCTAATTTATTGACCATCATATTTGTTGAATATTGTTAAGAATGCACTGGAGTGATATTAAAATACATGTAGTAGTGTGGGTAATGAAAGTATATTTAAGTACTTTTTCCAGGCTCGGGTTCTTGTTTTTTTGTTTTTAAAAAGCATATATTGAAAATGCACGTTTTAACATAATTTTGGTGTCAAATCAGGGGGAGTGTAATTTTGCAGAAACCTTATGTTCAAATTTGTCTGAACTATCCAAAATCCATCATGAAAGTGTCTGCATTTCTAAATATAAGCATGTACTAAAGAAGCTGCATCTAATTTGGGCTTCATAAATCACTTACACTGGCTGCGTTTCCACTTGAAGTGACTTTACCATAGGTTGGAAAACACACCCACAATTATTAGGAACACCCTTCCTGTCCTACTCATTACGAAGTAAATGTGGCTTAATTGCAAATTGCTCAAGCAAGCATTTAGTGCAGGGATTCAGTGTTTCTAAAACTTATCAGGGCTGTACAAGCTTCCTAACATTTGCATATGCTTATTTTATTAACAGTGCCAAGGCTGCTTAGCTGATATGGCATTTAAAATCATACAGTTTAGCATACACAGTGACCTGTTTAGCATCCTGCAGTGAATTAAGTAAGATGTCACGTTTACTTCACTTTTGTCAAATGCAGACATATGACTCCTAGTCGCCTGATCATGTCCCGGTGCCTCCATATAGGCTTGTTGCAGCAGGGACACTGCATACAAGCTGACTGGGATTAATGTTTACAAGAGAGCAGGCAGGACCACAGACCTTGGGCCACCTTGTAAAAGACCCATAAGATATCTGGGAATCTGGCAATGTGCAGATTCTGAAACAGACCCCAATCCAGTCCAAGTCCAGGAGGATTGGATCACTGGGTCTGTCAGATTGTTTCCTGGATCCTATTTGGCATGAGGGTTCCGTTAGAACACAGATTGGGCAAAGAGGTACTTAACAAGAATGAAGTTTTAGCCTTAAATGACTTAATACACGATATAATGGGTTTTTGGCATTTTTAAAAAGTGTTTTCTGATATTGCCTGTTTCAATCCTGCTGCCTGGTGCAATCATTCAAGGTGCTGGTGACGCTTAATTGCATTGCAAGTATTACTACATGTTTTCTACTGGTATACCGTTTTGGGGAAAAACTGCAGTGAAGGCTCAAGTTTCTTCAGTTTTGAGTATTTTACTCCAACTGTTACAGGCATTCTAAAAATCATAAATAAAACAAATCACATGATCACAAGTGACTAATGGTGTAATATATAGCATTAAGATAGTAATAATTAAATTGATAGATTTTTCAGTCAATTAAAAAAAAGTAAACCACAAGAGTTACCATTACAATTCACCAGGTTAATCTAACATTTTGGGGCCTTCCTCTGCAAACCTGGAGGTTTTGTGTCAGCAGCTTATCTTTGAAATATGGGTAGGAATATTACCGTAATTCTGTCTCAATCATTGGTATAGGACAGATCACTTAATTAGGTTTGAAACAAACCTTTCTTCAGAAGATATAGGAAATAACGACACAAGAATTTTACTGTGAGGACCTTGTAAAGCCCAAGTAGAAAAGTGTAGTTGAGGTTCCACCCCTCCAAATATTGTGAGGAAATCTTCGTGCCTGTGACAGATGCAGTGTGATCTCTGTGGTGAAGAAGGTGAGGGTGTTGCCCCATACAGAGAAATACATTCTGTGATCCCTGAAAGTGTATGAAATAGACCATAAAGGCTGCAAAGTACTCTGTGCATTAAAAAAGAACCCTGCACACAATATATAAAAATTAATTGAATAGTTGAAGAAACTTGTGTCTTAACTGCAGTGTGTCTCATGTACAATTTATCTCCATCCCATCCCACGTTCCTGGTATCGTATGCTGTTAATTGGCCTTGTTTCTTTTTTGCTCTAATGCATTGCATGACTTTGTGTTGGCCATGTTGCATGTTCTTTTGCTTTTTATCCAGTCTCCTTGGATCCATTTTCCCAATGCCGCGTGTAATCTATGCTATGGCGGAGGATGGGTTGCTTTTCAAATGTCTAGCTCGTATCAATCCCAAAACGAAGACTCCTCTTGTTGCTACTTTGTCATCAGGTGCTGTAGCAGGTGAGGCTCTAAGCGAATTTATTATCAGGAAAAGGGACATCTTCACCCATGATCAAATGTAGATTCTGAAGCAGTTGCAGCTCAAATGATAAAATGTGAATCTCAAGAGTTCAACTATTAAACCTTTGGTGTTTGTTTCCAGCCTCGTTTTTGGTTATTAGAAGTGCATTTTACACATACAGTTTCCCTTTTCCTCCCATGTCTGTGTTTTGGATTGTCTGTTAGTGCATAATATTCTTACTGTGGCATTTGAACAATTAAATTTTTTTGTTCTAGTCTTCTGGGCTCTATGTTCCCTTTGCCCCGCATTCTGTTTGCCATGGCACGAGATGGTTTACTCTTTAGATTTCTTGCCAAAGTGAGCAAGAGGCAGTCTCCAGTTGCTGCCACAATGACAGCAGGGCTCATCTCCGGTAAGCTCTTAAAGCAGGTCTTGCCTAACTGGGACCTCAACCCCGTTTTCACGTGCAAAATTTATGTTAATAAGATGGGCCTGCTTGCTAACTTTCTGTGCATGCAAATTGGGGACAAAACTGCTGACTAATCAGAAGAAGCAACAATTCTGAATTGTGGTGGCGGTGTTGGCGCTGGTTGTGCAGGAGCAAGCTCGTTGGAGGACTTCTCCAAAGCTTTCCTCTGCTGTGACCAATGGTACCTTTTAATGCATATGCAAAGAAGGAAGTGTGGGTGAATAGCTATAAAACATCCTTGCTTTCTCATTGAATTTTGCCATTTGGGCTATTTTCATCCCAGCCTTTCATACACTTCCACTGTAGTTAATATGTTGTTTAAAGTATATTTGACAATTTAATAACTGCAAATGTAGCATGAAAAGTATTCCCCTCCCCTGCCAATATGACATTAATATCTAAAGCTCAACATAGATAGTCCCTTCATTTTAAACGGTGTTAAGATTAAATGTCTGGTTTTTTTAAAAGATTAAATATTTAATACATGTCAATACCAACATATAAGTGCTAATTATATTTTGCTTATACAATAACTGGGGAGCCTGTGTGGTGTAGTGGTTAAGAGCGGTAGACTTGTAATCTGGGGAACCGGGTTCGGGTCCCCGCTCCTCCACATGCAGCTGCTGGGTGACCTTGGGCCAGTCACACTTCTTTGAAGTCTGTCAGCCCCACTCACCTCACAGAGTGTTTGTTGTGGGGGAGGAAGGGAAAGGAGAATGTTAGTCGCTTTGAGACTCCTTCGGGTAGTGATAAAGCGGGATATCAAATCCAAACTCTTCTTCTTCTTCTTCTTCTTGATGGCTAAAGTTTGCAAAAAAGAAAGCAGATAAACAGAAGTGTCAGGATAGGTAATTTAGAGAATAACCATTTTCTTAAATTGTGGATTTAGTGCCGTCTTCCAAATCTTGGTTGCAGTTTTATGTGACTTCAAAGGAAAATGCAATGATACCTCTTTGCTAGCTTCTAACTTTCAATATGTTAAAGCTAGACTTTGTTTATTCATAGTGATATAATTGTATGAAGGTTAAACAGTTTTAAGTTAAAAGTGTGATACAACTGAACCAATAGCAAGTTGCCCCTCTGAAATAAACAGTGTAATGACATCTCTGTGTCCCTCAAAATCATGACTTTCTAGCATTAAGCATAGTTACACATTGAATGTACACCAGTGCATAGTTCCCTTGTAAACTATGATCTGAAGCAGGATTGCAGACCATTTTTTGGAGGGACATAAGCCATGGTTTGCTTTGATGCACATTCCATACCATGGATAATTGTAGCCTGGGAAGGGAAAATAGTTTTGTTAGAGACTGGCTACTGATTTTAAACCCTTGGTTGCAGGCAGCTAGCATGACCTCTGCAGAATACAACAGTACTGGGTTTTGTTTTGTTTTTCAAAAACTTTTTTCATCTGTGCCTTGCATAAGCCCTCAAATACTTTTGCTTAGTTTTAACACTGTTTTAAAGAGGGATTATCTTTTATGAGTGCTTGAAAGCTCAACACTTTTAATTCATTGCATGAGCTTTGTGTAGTAAAAGAAAAGAAGCAAGATTTGATATGGGCACAGCGTACCAGGAACATTTCCTATTTGTGCCACATTAAAATGAGCCAGAAACAGCTTGCCTAACTCCCATTTTTTAGCACGGGAGATGCTCACAGTGTATTTTGCCTATTATGTCTATGCATGTATTTAAATTAATGGTGTCTGTTATGCAAAATGAGTTTATACCATTTTCTCATGTGAAAGCCAAGTATTGAAACTACTGTGTAATGCCCTGATTGTACCAAATTTCAGAGGGGAATTAACTCAGTTCCCCTGAAGGTTATAAAATGCTACTGCATTACTAAAATCTTAATTTTGGCCATAAAACGTTTAGAAAACAATGGTTTGCTTCAAATTGTATGAACATTTTAAAGACCCTTAAGGGCAAGCGTTAAACGTTAATGGAGATGGTAGCAAATATTCATTTTCAGCTTAATACAGACATGTTTTTAATACTAGCTCTGCTTTGTCTTGTTTTTCTAGCTCTGATGGCTTTTCTCTTTGACCTAAAAGCATTAGTAGATATGATGTCCATTGGTACGCTTCTTGCATATTCACTAGTAGCAGCTTGTGTCCTCATTCTTAGGTGAGTTCCAATTTTGGGTTATTAACTAATTTGTTAGGCAATGTTGTCTAAATCCTTAAATGTTTTTGTTTCTGCCATAAAGTTATGTAAACATGAAGTTACACAGACAGGATACCCTTCAAATGCAGATTGTTCATGAGAGCAACTACCTTAGTATTTTGTAGAAGTTCACATTCCGCTGCTGTACAAGTTTAGGTACTGCTGTAAACAGAGGAATGGGAGAATAAAAGTTGTTTGGCATCTAGGGCAACTTGTATGAAATAAAGCTCTGTTGCATAGTGGTTCTCACCTTTAAGTGCTTCTTTAATGCTTTCCATATGAAGTTAGACTCCAAATCCCATCCTCCCTCACTGGCTGGGGATGGTAGCAGTTGTCATTGAGCAACCACACTGGATATCTCTGTTTTATTATGTGTACCTTTTTTGGTGCTGTATATGAAATAAGTGACCTGCAGAGCGTAATAGTTCCCTTTTCAGAGCTAGAGACAGAGAAATGCTCAACACTAAGGCACCTCTAAGGTAGAAAGATATGCTTTCTTAAAATAGCCTAATAAATATTGCATGCAAATTCTGTCTTCCATGTATCTTCGGTTCGGTAAAGCAGACCTGTCTCTTGTGGTCTAATCCCAGCTCTGGTTCCTTATAAATATCCTGTGGACAAGGAGTTCGCCCCTTTGGTTGTGCTCTGCTCCCGGGGCTGATGGGTTTACCATATTGAGGGATTTCTGGGGCCAGTGGTGCAGTTATTGAGAGTTAGATCACTTATAATACATATGAAGGGATTCACCATATATTGGCCTTTCTGGTTAGGCCAGAAATGGTCATTATCAGTCCCCATACATGTCAGGCAACCCTCCTGCAATTTCCCAAGGAAAACACTTGAGTGTTTATGTAGGGGTGTGCTGCTGGCCAATGCTGCCTTCGGACACATGGGCTGCCTTCAGTCAGTGGTGCCCAATGCTCATCTGGTCTTTCCTGGGGGATGGGGAGGGAGGCTAGGCAGTGTAATAGCCAGCATTGTTGGGTGCCACTGCCCAAAGGCATGCAGGACTCCTTCAGGCAGTGATGCCCAATACTTCCCCAGGTGTGACTAATGCTGGCTTCTTTCCCTACCCTACTTGCTGTGCATCTTTGAAACATTAAGAGAATGTGGACCTGAATGTCCTTCCTGTAATATGCAGATTTCAGTGACTGTAGGACTGCGTATTGGTGGCAACTCTAGCTTCTATTGCCTGAATTAAATATCAATAACTAAACAAATGGTGCAATAATGTCACCCAAAATATAGTCATGTCTTTTGCTTGCTGTAGGCCTTGTAGCTTATAATACATTGTGCCTTTAATTTTTATTTTCTGTGAACCTCACCATACACAAATGTATTTGTGTGTGTATGTGCACAAACAGGTACCAACCCAGTTTAAACTATGAACAGCCAAAATATTCAGCAGAAAAAGAGGCTCTTGCGGGATCAGAGAGAGAAAGTACGAATGAATCTCAAATGAGTATGGTACCAGGACACAGTTTCAGCTTACAAACACTGATTAATCCATCAAGTTTGCCCACGGAACAGTCTGCCACCATGGTTAGCTTTCTTGTGTGTCTGTTGGGTAAGTCAAAAGCTATCTAAATACTTGGACTATCTCGGAAATGTCAGCTGATAAGCAAAATGCATTTAAACAAAATGACGGATCAGATTCACTTATTATTTTGAACTTGTCCAAAATTTCAAGTATGGAAAAAGAGGGAGAGGGGCCTATGAATCCCGTATTAATTGGTGTAGACGTGACATCAAGTCTAATTTTGTTCTGACAGCCTAATTCAAAACAAAGGAATGTACAGTATTGGTTTTTACCTGTCAATATTGCTGAAGCTTTATGTCACTTAAACATTTGAGATTTTGAAATGCTCTCTTTGTTGTGTGTGTGTCCCCCCCCCCCCAATTTTGATTGCCTCTATTTAGCTTTCCTGATTTGTGGCTTAAGCATTCTGGCCACCAACGGGATTCATCTTCTTGCTAATCTGGAGCCTTGGAGTATTTGTCTCCTTGCAGTACTTTCAGTGCTGTTTATCACCATTGTACTTGTCATCTGGAGGCAACCTCAGAGTCAGCAGAAAGTAGCATTTATGGTAAGCAGTGGTGATGGTAGTGGCATCAGGTGCAAAACCTCACAAACAGGTTTTTTTGGGGGGGGGGTGCTGTGTAACTAGCTGCCCTTCTGGAGATTACCACCCTGTCGCTTTAGTAGCTACCTTTCAGTTGAATTAATAAGTTAGCTGTTGCCTTAAAAAGAGCTTGACTGATATGGTACTAAAGTTGCTTTTTGTGGTAAGCCAAAATAGTGGTTCTTGTGCAAATTTGGCCTTGACTGTAGAAAGAGTTGAGAATTCATTTTTACTACAACTGAAACGTGTAAGGTTAGATGAATATTTTTTTTAACAATCTTTTGATTGATTGAAGATTAATTGGGCAGCAGATCTTTTAAAAGTTTGTTTGTTTTTAAGGCAAAAGCTGTGGGCCACAGGATCCGTTTTCCTTATTTTATCCTTCCCTATTTTCCCTTGTGCATATATAAAATCTTGTGTAGCCCATGTGTGTACTACCACTAAATTGTGGTCCTCGCCTTCCCATTGCAGGCCTATCAAAATTTAATTCATTAGTTCTGCATTTAAAATGCATTATAAGTAGGTAATGTGTTCATTGCAACTGGACTTAAGACACTTTGCCCTATAACTTTTATTTTATTTTCAAAATATGGATGTATCAGTTCAGTAGAGCCCCTTTACAAATTTAATTAAAAGTATGACACACAGAATGTTTGTCAAAAATACTGAATTGTAAAAAATTGTCCTTAGGTTCCACTCCTGCCATTTTTGCCATCTTTGAGTATCTTGGTGAATATTTACTTAATGGTACAACTAAGTGGAGAGACTTGGATCCGGTTTAGCATCTGGATGGCGATTGGTACGTATTATGTAGCTGAATGTTGTTGTGAACTTTTTCTTGCCTCCCCCCTAAGCAGGGGCAAAAGCTTAAAAGCTATTTTCATACTGGGTGACCCAAGTGGACATGGTGCAAAAAGAGCATTTAGACACTTAACCTTGCTTGCTGAGCAAAGCCTGCTCAGCTTGCAGGTTCTAGAAGCAGCTCCAAAGGACACAATTTTTGCACATCCGCATACGTCTTGGAACTGAAACCCCACATAAGATGAGGGATTTCTGTATATAATTTTTGAGAGTAGTACAGTGATACCTTGGTTCTCAAACTTAATCCATTCCAGAAGTCTGTTCCAAAACCAAGGTGTGCTTTCTCATAGACGGTAAGGCAAAATGGATTAATCTGTTCCAGACTTTTAAAAACTACCCCTAAAACAGCAATTTAACATGTTTTTTACTATCTAACAAGACCATTGGTCCATTAAATTAAAGCAATAATCAATGTACTGTACTATAAAATAAGACAGTATTGTAGATGATGAAAAATAAAAAATAAAAATTTCTTACCTGCACTGATGATTGTCATTGTTTGGATGGGGGGCTTTTATCCATTTCCGCAGTCACACAATCAATCAATCAATCAATCAATCAGTAGCTGAACCGGGTTCCACACAGTCACAAAAACAAATTAACCGAAAAAGTCTCAAAAACAAAAACGCAAAATAAATGGCAAAAACAAAAGCACTAAACTTAATCCGTCCTGGAAGTCTGTTTGACTTCCGAAATGTTCGAAAACCAAGGCGCAGCTTCTGATTGGTGCAGGTGCCCCGGAAACAATAGCTGACAGCTGCATCGGACGTTCGGCTTCCGAAAAATGCTCAAAAACAGGAACACTTACTTTTGGGTTTTTGGCATTTGGGAACCAAGGCGTTTGAGTACCAAGGCGTTTGAGAACCAAGGTACCACTGTACTAGAATGGAAGCTTAGTGTGGATTAAAGAAACCTATGACCACAAGTGATACCAAGATCTGAACAAGTGTTCTGTTTTTGTAATCTTGGGTAGAGCTACAGAAATATGACAAAACAGAGAAAACTTACATCCCTTTCTTTTTCTCCTCTGGAAGGTTTCTTTATTTACTTTGCTTATGGCATCCGACATAGTGTGGAAGGCCGTCCTAGGGTGGAAGATGAAGATGACGAGGACGACAGCTGCTCCGAAAAAAGCGCAGCTGCAGAAAAGAACTATGTAAAAGAAGCAAACGAGATTGAAAATGCAAGTGAAAGTGCTCAGTTTATTACACATGAAAGGACAAGTGAATGTTAACGGTTGCTAACTACCATGCTGTGTATGTCTTTTGAGTAGTGTAACGGAATGTAGTTGGGGGATTTTGGGGGGGTGGAATGCCAAAACACTTGCTCCCGAAAGATTAGCAGTAACCTACTTGTGCTTTGTGAAAACATCAATAATGGTCTAAACCGATTGCTAGATATTTCATCCAGTGGAGATTTACCTCAAATTGTGGTTGCCTGAAGTAAAAACTGCCAAGGAAGTGGAGGGAAACAAACTCCCATCAGCTGATTTTGCCTGTTGTGCTAAAAATGTTGGGATATTTTTTAGCGCACCATCCTACAACTTGAACTGGCATAATGTTATATAATTAGGAATGTTTAAAGATGGGAAGCTGAACCATTTTAGGTTGTGTTATTGGGGACACATTTTCTTGTTTCTGTCTTTTAAAAATGTGCGTAGCAGTGGTCAGTAACTAGGTAGCTAAACTGTTTAGCCTCTCAAACTTTAAAAAAGGGAAGGGAAAAAAACCTATTTTAAAAAGCCAGTTACCCAGATGAATACATAGAGCAGAAACTTGGCAGGCTTTTGCATTGCGATGTAGTGCTTCTCTGTTTTAAAAAGTGTTAAATTTTTGCTACCACTGTATATGCAAATAATGTATGCCGCAAACATCCTTTTGAAAAGCAGTGTTTGTAATGCCTAACATATGGATGGGCTCCGTATAGAATGTTTTGAAATTACCTTTTACCAGTCATCTTCCAAATTTTCCTTCTCGATGGTGACAATCAAAAAGTCACACTACATGGTTCCTAAGATGTAAGAAACTTCAGAACAGTGGCAAACAGCATGTGCCTATGGAACTGGGAATTTTTCAAGTCCAGGTGCACCTATGGAATTGCCCTGTGTTAGTGCTGAATGTGTAAACCCTCTGAGGTTGTAAGTAGCTGCCCTAGGTCCATTGACTGATGAACTGTGCACCTTCCGAGTCTCTGGCCCACCAAGTATATTCATTAATTTCTGTAACTAAGGAAAATGAAACTGTCAGACATAAATTGGCTGCATTCAGATGTCACAGTAAACCATGGCTGCTTATGATGCGAACAAGCTGTAGTGAACCTCAGGCTTGCATGCTTCTCCCCTTTCATCCTCTCCTCTGGCGTGGCTACAAGATGGGATTTGGAAGTTTGAACTTCTTTTGAGTAACTGCAGCAGGGCATTTTTGCCCCAAACCAACGAATTGTCAGTAATCTTAATTGTGGCTTGTTTGAAATAGACTAAATTTAAATCATGAGCTGTTAAGCTGGCTTGTTTTAACAAACCATAATTAAGATTAACCACAGTTTAGGGTTCAGCTGCAGCTCTAAACAACAGTTAATAATAATAAACATAGCTGTGAAAGCTTCCAGCCTGCAAGGATGCACTTAATAAATCTAACATGGATTATGATGAGGATTGAATTCAGCCACTATGTATTTTTTTGCCCTTGCAGGAGGTATTACGTCTTTCAGTGGATTCTGCTGTAGTCATAACTTATCTAACATTTTTGTATAAATCATGAACAGAAATTCAGATTTTTCAGGGAATATGTTCCATCTCCTTAAAAGAGATGGGTATTTGGAGGGGAGAGAGGAGTAAAAAAAGAAAAGAAAGAAATATAATTCAAATAACATATAAGAATACAGAGTTATGTTTAACAGGTGGCAGGTCTTTTTAGCTTTGAAGTAACATTTTATAAATAAAATTTGAGGCAGGCATAGGCACCAAAGGATCACTCTTGGTTACATTATTATCACTCATGTATACAGTCATAACTTGGCTTTGTGGCTGATGGGCAAGTTGTATTTCTGGCACATGTGTGTCTGCTCCACACATTAATTTGTGTATGAAGCAACATATGTATGTGTGTGAGAACAAGCCAAAGAGAAAAACAAAGCAAAACTGTCCTGCAGCATTAATTTACTTATTTTCTTAAGAAAAAGAATAGGGGCTGTGAGCAGCTGTGGCTGTTTCTTCTCCTGGAGACAGAGGAAGGATAACCTTACAATATACCTAATGCCGTTTAGTTTATTAATGTTGGGACCATGTTGCAAACGTTTCGGTCAAACCATCTGTCAAACGTTTCATCGCAACTGTTGGGTTAGAAACCCATGTTTTAAAAAGATGAAAATTTCAGGATTCAGAGAGGGGGTTGGGAACAAAAATTGTTTTTAGAAGTGCCTTAGAAAAGCACGCAATCCAAGACTGTGGATTTAATGTTTTTTCTGTCAACAGTTTTCGCATCCCTACACAAGTAAAGGTAAAAGGTAAAGGACCCCTGGATGGTCCAGTCAAAGGCGACTATGGGGTTGCAGCACTCATCTTGCTTTTCAGGCCGAGGGAGCTGGCGTTTGGTAGTTCAAATTCACACAATGGGGTGAGCTCCCATTGCTGTCCCAGCTTCTGCCAACCTAGCAGTTCAAAAGCATACCAGCACAAGTAGATATATAGGTACTGCTGCAGCGGGAAGGTAAACAGTGTTTCCGTGCGCTCTGGCTTCCGTCCCGTTGCACCAAAAACGGTTTAGTCATGCTGGCCACATGATCTGGAAAGCTGTCCTGCACAAGTATTAAAATACTAATGAGATGATTATTCGCAAATAAGTACATCTTAAGCACACTGGGTGGGTTTTTTTAAAGTTTGATAAGGAAAGTAAGGCTGGCTTTCAATGTTACGGAAGGGTGACCAGGTGGGAATGCTGTGTGTGTGTGATGTCCAAAGTCTACAGTGAGGGGTGGAAAATCCAGATGCAGATACAAATTCCCACACACAGTGAGAGAGAGAGAGCTGTTTAGGTTCTTAGTTATGATTCTTGCAGAATAAGTATATAAGGAGGAAACACAAATCAGTTACATTGCTCGCCCCTATCTGACTTGGCTTACGTGTAATTTTTTGATGTCAGCCTAACAATACTGAGTTTGATAGGAACTGTAGATATGGCAGCACTGTTCTTTGACTTAAAAATGTAAAGGAGGTATATTTTATCTTGGCTTTTTGTATAATCTTATATTAATAGCTGAAAGAACACTTTTATGAAAAATTATGAACTATATGGAATGTGAGAAATTGTGTTAAGATGAGAGAGGGTGCCCTGATTGCCGCCATTACTGAATGTAGATAGTATTGCAGCAGTTTTTAGCATATTGCTCTGATTGACTGATCTGTTTGCAATGTCCCCAAAACAAAAGATATATATGATTATGATAATTTCTTAAAACAAATGTATTATCGAAAAAAGTCACATTTTAGTAAATAACTGAGATCACAAAGTTCAAAAATCACAGTGGGGAAAATGCAGATCTTTTTAGTAGACAACAAACTTCCACAGGTCAGGTTTGTAGCTAATCAATATCTCTTTAGGCATCATTATATTATAGATGTCCTTAAAAGTTGTTAAGTGATGAATAGCAATCACCTTTGTTACGACTTGAAAAACTTTACTACTGTGTGTACTAAAAAACAAAACAGAAACTCAGAAGAGACAATCAATACTGTTTTCATAACTATTTTAAGGTTTTCTACGTTTTGTCAGTTTTTGTCGTATCTTATTTAATTTTAATAAAAATGTTGGAGGCTCGGTTACTTATCCAAGCCTTACACGAGACAGAACAGAATGTTAGATTTTCAAAAAGAGGGTTCAGGATTTATGTATACTGTAGGTTGGGCCCAAAGGTTCCATTCCATGAAGGGAAAAGACTCCTTCCATCAAAAGAACTTCCACGGGAGAAAGGGAATATTTGTACCCAACCATATGCATATATATAAACATCTGGTAGAAATACAGGTGGTGCATAAACATTGCAAGAATTATAGCAGTTTTTAGTGTCTACAGAAGCATTGGATTATCACTTAACTCTGTAAAATGGGGTGGGGAATATCAGGCCTGGTGTCTAATTGTGGCCCTCCAGACCATTTTATCTGGCCCTCAGGACTCTCCAGGGCACAACGCTTACTTGGTCTGCTTTGAACTCAACTTGAGGGCATTTGCCTTGGCTGGAATGTGTCTCTGAACTCTGATAACTAGCCTACTGTACTAAGCTAATATTTACGTTTATTGGTCCACCCACTTATGTCTCTGATTATCAATACAACTGGTATATGGCCTCTGGACTGTTAGCTGGAACAGAATTTATCCCTTGGCCTGAAAAAATCCCCCACCCCTGCTGTATGTCGTATTTTGTATGTTGTGTAGCAGATAAGTGTTTTCGTTCTTTTTGATAAATAGAATTAAATTTAAGGCTTTAAGGACATTTATTTTCTCAAACCCTCTTACAGCAGGTTTTGTTTTTTTAATGGGCTCAGGATTTCTATGTGGATTTCATTGAGTTGAGTGCTTGACAATACAGTGGCTTTCTCATTCATTCCAATGGAGGGAGCAACTTCACATGCCTTCAATGCAGACAAGTCATGGGTGGTCTAAGGATACTTGGGCTGGTGGGGGACAGAACAAAATTTAAACACACATGTTCAGATACGTTTAGAGCTATAAAAATTATTAAGCTAGATACTACCTATATGTCTGTTTTTGCAACTGGAGATATACAGAAAGACCATCACCAACTCCTGTGTCATGGTCCTATAGATCTGCTTTTTCCATGGGAATGATGGGCAGTCAGTGTGGAGAAGAGATTTGTATATGCATCTGAACACATGTGAAGTTCTAGATTGGGTTCATTCTCTACAGTTCTACTTCTTTCTCTCGCACTTCTAATTGGTGATGCTTTTTCTGTTCTGTCTTTCCTCCAAAGATTTCAGAGCAAGGGTTTTTTTATTATTATTATTCAACCTCAAAAGCCCTGTAATGTAGGCTGGGCCAAGCCCACCCACTGAGCTCTAGGACTGAGCACTGAAATAGTTTTGCTCCACTATATAACCAAAGGCAATTTTTAATTTCCCCCAAACCCTGAAGCTTTGCAGTTGTGACAGTTCTATTACTAACCTATGTCCAAAGATAAGCAAAATAAATAGTTGTTTCCCCCATTCTTCCTCGCATCCCTAAACGTTTTAATTAGTAGCTTCTATTACTGCTTACTTTAATTGTACCTGGTTTCACAGACAATGCCCTTTTCAGGTCCAAAGAGCTATGAATGCAAGAGGGATTTGAAAATACAATGTACAACCAAATACTGGGTCTAAATAAACTTACTGAATATAAGTTTTTGGTTGCAAGTTTGTAGATTAGTTCACACCTTCCTCTTTGGGCAGAATGGTCTCCCTGCAAACCCTCCTCTCAAACAAGCAATTGCAAGGAGAAAGTACTGACTGAAACAAAAGCACAGATAAATTTTGCAGCTATATTGCACAGCACATTGCTGTCCCTTCACTTTTCTAGTTTTTTGTTCTGCTGATGCTTTTCTTAATTTGTCCCTAACTTCAGTGGCCATTTATGTAGGTCTCCCACACTTTTGGTAGACGCAAACATTTTTTATGGTTCAAAAACATTTTCATAAAAAAGATCATTCTAGAAATACAAAGTTCTTTTAACTGTGTGACAAAGGCTGAAATCCCACAGCCATTCACTTGGAAGTAAGCTCCACTCAATGCAGTGGGACTAATTCTGATAAATGATGCATAAGATTGGACAGTAGATCAGTTTCTTCCTTAAAGATCCCTCCCTTTTTATTTCTGTCTCTGGCAAATTCCCTGGGAGCTCAATGGGAAACTTGGGTCAGGTCTGTAGAACTCCCACAGAAAGTCTCTACATGTAAAAACACATTTTGGGTGTTTTAAGATTTTATAAAAACAGTGCTTTGTATATATTTGTATATTTTAGTCATTATTACCATGTATTACGTTTGCTGCTGCCTGTGCACATAAATGGGGATAGATCATTTTAGCTTCAGTCAAGATAATGTTTAATAATCTGCTAGATTTTTTAAATTAATGTAAAAATGTGTTCAGAATGTGTGACAGATAAAATACTTTTTGGTGCTTTTGTTTTTTGATGTTCATAAGTTGCAGTTACTGTAGACTAAGAAATTTATACTGCTGCTGTTCACTGTAAAAAAAAAAGCTACTTTTGACAGTAATTGTGCATTTGTTCTACATTTTTTAAAATAAAGTTGTACATGTTCTACAGGTTTCTTTTTTCATTTTCCAAAGTGCTGGAGACAACTATGATATAACATAGTTTTAAAAATCTATAGGAATATCATATTCAAAAAATATACTGATAGCCATTTATACTCTTTGCCACCTTGTTTCCTTCCATAAAAGTTTGTATTTACATTTATTTCATGAGGTGATAAATAATCCTGTAACATCTTTTCAGCTGTACACTTCAGATAAAAATATCAATTTCAGAAATGACATTAGCACTGTAATTCCTATTTTGAGAAGATAGAAACATGAGTGCCAACCCATTTAGCCAATTTGATAGTTTAGCACCCACCCATTTGACTCTTTCACATCATGTATGCCCACCAATGCATCTTGGACCTTGATAATGAGTTAGGCTTGCCATATGTCAGAAAAATTCCTGGAAACAGCTCTAGTAAATTTGGGGTCTTCCTAAAAAAACTCAACAACTTTGCGGGTATCAGGAATTATACACCTACGAGAGGTGCAGATTATATTCCCACTCCACTGTCTGGATGTTATCTATATATAAAGTGACCTGTTTAACAAGTTTGGTGCAGTTTATTCACGCTACAGTTCCTAGGAATACTGCAGTGCAGTTCACCTGTCACGGAGTCATGCTTTGCTGAAACAAATGAACCTACCAATTTGTGTGGTGGCTTCCTATACTTTCAAACCCAACTACCATTTCCATGTTCTCCGAAGCATCTATTATCCTATGACCATTTGGGCAACAAATCATATTCTAGTATATTCATTAACTGACATCAGTATTTCCCAAAGTTGGGTCTCCAGTTGTTTTCAGACTACAACTCCCATCATCCCCAGCTAGCAAAGGATGATGGGAATTTACTCTCCAGCTGTTTTCGGGCTACAACTCCCCTAGTTAGTGAGGGATGATGGGAATTGGGTCCAGCTGTTTTCAGACTACAACTCCCATCATCAAAGTTCTTAAGGCAAATTTTTCCTATACCACCCTGTGTCCCAAACACATCATTGCGCTTAGAGGCCAATATCCCCTTGGTAGAATTACGGATCTGCGCAGGACATTTAACTGCTTGCTTCGCCAAAACTCTAATCCCCCCCGGTCTAATATCCCTAGTGCTACAAGACTGTCACAAGAGTGCCTGCTCTAAAATTGTCAATCAAAAACATCACTCTTGTGGTTTATCCCCACAACAGTTACTCACCGTGGGTTATAGTAAAACAGTCTAATTTGTCAATGCCTAAATGATATCGAGCGTCAGAATAACTTGGCCACGAGAAGGGAATTTTGTTCATGGTATGACCATTTTCCATCCTCCCACTTTGATTCTCTGGCACCCTATCTGCACAACCTAGCAATTCCAAAATATAGACGCACTTTTAACCTCGCAAGACTGAATGTACTGCCCTCAACTGTACCTGAGGTACGATTCCAACAGATTCCACACGAAAAACGCTTATGTGCCTGTGGAGATGGCAGCATCGAATCAGTGGCACACACCCTCCTGGTGTGCACTCTTTACAAAGACCTGAGGAACGAGATTATCACCTCTCTGTTATTGTCCATTCCGGGTCATCCAACCACTGCCAGAGTGTCTTTTCTCCTGGCGGATCAAGAGGAGCATGTGACAGCAAAGGCTGCAAGATTTTTAGCTGGGACAATCAGAATAAGGTCCACTGTTTGACAGCTGATTCAGGATCCTAAACTGTGTTTTATTATACTCAACTTTTATTTTGTTCTCTTTTGTTGCTATGGCCAATGGCTAAGGCAAATAAAGTTCTTATTCATTCATCCCATCATCCCTAGCTAGGGAGGGGTGATGGGAATTTAGTCCCCAGCCGTTTTCAGGCTACAACTCCCACCACCCCTAGCTAGTGAGGGATGATGGGAATTGGGTCTCCAGCTGTTTTCATACTACAACTCCCATCCCTAGCTAGCGAAGGATGATGGGAGTTGTAGTCCCCAAAACAGCTGGAGACCCAAGTTTGGGAAACACTGGTTTACCCGCCAAACTGTGCAATAACCATTCCTGCGGGAGCACTAAAACACCCTTCATTAATGTAGTCCATAAAAAGCACCTGCCAGCACCAGAAATTCAACGACTACTTAAAAAACAGGTGTTGTCCAGGAGCCGGTGCCATGCGGACGCCTCTCCTAGTCCAGCTCAGCTGGGGCCAATGTGGATGGGATTAACGCAGGCTTGGTGGGAATAAAGATATTGAGAACAACCACCACCACCCTGTTTTCATGCGCCTGAGGAGAGACAGCTGGAGGGCAAGCCTCGCGCGTGTGGAGAGGTGGGCGAGAGTCTCTCACTAACAAAAAATGGGGCGTCCTCCACCCCACTTAACTCCAGAACTCGCGGAGGCGTCGCCGCTGCCACGAGCGCTATTAATGACTGACAGCACCGCGGGGGGCCTGAGGGCGGGAAAGGAAAAGGCCGCTTTCCCCCACAACCGCCTCAGTCGAGCCGGGCCGCCTGCCTCGGCCTCCTCCCGCCGACGCTTTCCCGCCCTCCCGAGTTGACGACGGGCCCTTTTCCCGGCCAACTTCTCCTCTCCTTCCCGCTATGAAGCCGTGGCTGCTGCTCCTCGGGCTCCTGCTGTTCCACCAAACGCTGCAAAATGGTGAGTCCGCCCGGGTGGTCGCTGTGCGTCTTGCGCGCCCCACCGCCTTCCAACCCTCAGCATCCCTTTCAAAAAACACCCTTTAAGCCCCCCACCCCACCCCATGGCGTGTATCCCGTGCCACGCCGCACTTATAAAACTTTTGGGGGGCGAGGGAGAACTGCCGCCTCCCAGTTTCTGCCGCCTTTCCCGCCACTTGGCAGAGCGCCTCCTTCTCCTTCTGGCTAAGCAAGTGTGCCTCAGATTAATGGAGTCCGTTAGCTGCTGCCACCCCTCCTCGCCCCGGGAAAGAATGCTGAGAATTTGGACGTGGGGTTTTTTATTTTTCTCCACACCCCGTTTAGTTACCACAGGACTGTGCTGCTCAGAATGGCTCACATGCATAGCTTTGAAAGCAAACCAACAAACCCCAAAACTTGTTTTTTTAAATTAAGGTTTTAATATCATGCTATGGGATATTGCATGGTGTTACTTTAATATAATAATGTATTAAGGTTTGAACGAAACTTCTATTCAAATTAGATTTAAAACAGGGTAATGGCGTAAAGCATCCCAGTAAAATTTACTCCCACCCTGCTCTGTGGCCCTTGTTCTTAAGTAGATTGTCAAATAGGCATATTTATCCCAGTACAGTATCAAGTGACCAGCAATACATGAATGAGCTTGCTTAGATCAGTCACTGCAGGTGTAATTTGTGTTTCTGTTCCAAAACACAGCATTTCCCAGTATTTCCCCATGGAATCTGTTTATAGGCGCTGGCACAAGGATAATACAATACTAATTAAAAGGGGAATATATCTCTTGGAAAAACATTAGAATTAAGGATTACAAGCAGTTTTACATGAACAAACCATGTTTAGTTTTCTAGAATTCTAATCCAACTTCCAAACCTATAATCTCAGCTGTTCTTTCTACAACTGCGTGTTCGTATGAATGTTAACTAAGAGTAGTAGCTTCTGGCAAAGATAATTGATTTTACACAGAAGTGTCATCTTATCCCATGGGAAGACCTAGTAATTGCTTATTTGCATGTGTTAATTTAAATCCATGCAGATTTAAAATTGCCTGTTGGTGAGCATCCTGAACTAACAAAAAATGAACAGGATGTATATACACACAAAAGCCCTCCGTGCTGTCTTGGCCTATTTATAATAAATTGGTTACAAATGCTAATCCTATGTCAATATTCTGGGTTCCTTTCCATATGTGAGGTGAAAAACCCCTTTCAGGAAATTTCTTTGTACCCAAAATAGAGCATGATATTTTCTCCTATCTCTCGTGATAGCTATTGGTCAGCCTGCAAAGAACAAGCGTCCGAAGGAACCGGGAGAGAACAGGATTAAACCCGCTAACAAAAAAGTAAAACCCAAAACTCCCAAACTAAAGGAGAGAGAATCCACAGATGCGTCTCCAAAAATCCATTCCATAATGACACAGGTGATGGATAAGGGGCGTTTTCAGAAACCTGCTGCTACTCTGAGCCTCTCTGCAGGACAGAATTTAGAACTGCGGTGTAAAGGAAATAAAATTGAATGGAGCCATCCTTCAGATCACAACAGGGTCAGGTAAGACTTTGAAAGGTGGAAATGAATAAAGTTATGCCCAAACTTTACTGTTGTTGTTTTTTAAATCCATGCAAATGTTGATGTTCCTTTGGTAAAATATATTGGACTGTATAGAGAAGGGGAAAAGATTTCAGACCAGAGGGATTTATGACAGACCATTGCCAATGTTGTTTCCATAGAATTTAATCTAAAACAGAACTCAAGCTAAATAGAGGGGACAGGGGCTTTTGCTCAGATGAAATATCTGGAAACTTCTTTGTTGAAAGAATTGTAGCTGTAGTGTTATCGTGTGCGTATTTATCTGGAAGTAAGTCCAAATAATTCATTAGGACTTCTGAATGGATTTAGGAGTGCAGCGGTAGTCTTGTTTCACACGTGTGGTTTATAGAAATTAGTTTTCTAACTCAGATGTAAGTTTCCTATTGGGTGTGCAGTGCTACCTCGGGTTACAAACACTTTGGTTAAAGACTCCGCTAACCCAGAAGTAGTACCTTGGGTTAAGAACTTTACCTCAGGATGAGAACAGAAATCGTGTGGCAGTGGCAGCGGGAGGCCCCATTAGCTAAAGTGGTACCTCAGGTTAAGAACGGACCTCCAGAATGAATTAAGTTCGTAATTGTATTCCCATCTGCCCAAGAAATACATAGCAATAAAAGGTAGATGTTATCACAAGAGGAGAATGTTTTGTCAACATTCTAGACTAGATTAGGAAAGTAGTATTTATTTGTAATTACTTTTAGCTTGCCATATTGCAAACTGTGTGAAGTAAGCTTTTTTCTAGATACATCCTGCACCTGCTGTTGCAAGATAGGGTTTTCTAACATGAATTATATTCTTAAGATAGAAGTGTAGATGAATTTTAGCTCCACGACAAGGGCCCCTATCTAAGTTTTGTTCCTCACCGTGAACATTTTCTTTGGGGGGGGGGGGGATTCCCTAGGAGAATCACCAATTTTTCTTACTATTAGAAATACAGTGGTGCCCCGCAAGACGAATGCCTCGCAAGACGAAAAACTCGCTAGACGAAAGGGTTTTGCGTTTTTTTAGTCGTTCCGCAAGACGAATTTCCTTATGGGCTTGCTTCGCAAGACGAAACGTCTTGCGAGTTCTTGCGAGTTTGTTTCCTTTTTCTTAAAGCCGCTAAGCCGTTAATAGCCGCTAGCCGCTAAGACAGACAAAACCGCAAGACGAAGAGACTCGCGGAACGGAGGCACCACTGTAAATGAATACACTGCTGAATAAAAAAATGTGTAAGTCAAACTTTGATATATATGGTTAGCGCTATTTGTGTTTATAGTGATTGGTATCTTACATTGGGATAATAATGATTTTTAAAGCTCATATACCGGTAATTCATTGCCATAGGATGTTGTGGCTTTTGCTGCAAGTACCAATTACTCTGAAATTTAGTTTAAATAATGTCATGGAAGAAGTGTTTGAGGTTTTACAGACCTTGGTAGCCAGAAAATGCAAACGCTTTCCGAGATACGACATCTCTCTAACTCTGATGAACTTCCATCATACTCAAGTTAGAAAATACATTAGTTGGCCAGATCCAGTATAGTATTGCAGTTATTCAAAATAGTCTTGTTTTTATTATGCAGTTAACTGAGCCGCAGCATATCTGACCACTAGATGGCAGATTTCACCAGAAATAATATTGTCACATAGCCTTGACCAGAGGGAGTTAATAAATAATTATGTAAAGGCAGAACTGACTGTACTTTTAATGTGTTTGTGGAGTATTAGACCGAAATGCCAAAATGCCTGACTGTAAAAGTAAGCGAGGTACTTTGACAAATGAAGACCTTTTTTTCCAAGGTGTGATGTCCTGAAAGGATATGGTAAATTTGAAATGAGGACTCTGTAGTATTTTTTAGTACTTCAGTAGTCTCAGCATCTGGCTACCCATTTTAAATACTGAACTTTTAAATGTAGTTTTCTAAGGGTGCTGAGAGTTGTAAGGAAACCCCTATTACCCTCCCAGAGCTACAGTTCCCAGAGTGGTTTAACAATCAATCCCTCTCCTCAGGGAACTATTGGAGGAGGAGGAGGAGGAGGAATAATAATAATAATAATAATAATTTATTTATACACCTCCCATCTTGCTGGGTTTCCCCATGTTAGTAACCATGTTAGTCTGCTGCAGCAAAACGTTTTGTGGCATCATATATGCTAACAAAGCTATAATTGTGAACTAGATATCCTGTATGTTTTTATTAACTTATAAATGCCAGGATCTTTATCTACGTTGCATTGTGAATGGTCACTGTAATTACTTTGCATACATCTAAGCTTCATTGTAATTATCTCCGTGTTTATTTCTGGTACTTCCCTCTGACACCGCTGCTCCTTTTCTCTCTCTGCACCCCTGTGTACCTTCCAACTCAAGAGGACATTCCATGTACATGATGAATTAGAATCTGGCCTGCCAAACTTACACCATAATAATACTATTGTGAGTTTGGGGGTGGAGGGGGAATCTTAACAGAATATCCCACTGTTCAAGAGCTATAATGGCCCTAGGTATGGGTTGAAGACAGGAGTGCCTGGTGTGCTCTGGTCCATGGGGTCACGAAGAGCCAGACACGACTAAACAACAAGGTATGGGTTGTTATTATAAGCAGGCTTTCTGTCACCCAGGGCAAAGACCCAGTTTGTCACCCCCCACGTGTGTTTGTGTACACACACACACACACACACACACACAACACATTTGTTCATAAAGGAAATAGAACATAGTTTGAAAGAGGCTGGAGAAGAAATAGTCTTTCCAAATAATAAAATTGTCTGTGTATGTATCTGGCTTTCATTCAACCTTAAGTAGATCTCCTCAGAGAGTAATTGATCATTTGAGGAATTCTAAGAAGTATTATGACTGTTTGATATTATTATTATTAATAGTAGTAGTAGTAGAAACTGATAATGATCAGGCACATAATAAAGAGTAATCCCTATCGAACTCAATGGGACTTACTTCTGAGTAGTAAATGCTTGCAGTTTAAGGCTCTAAATAATAAAATAAAAGGATAAATAATCCACAAGTTTCCTTAAAAAATTGTTGACGGCTGAACCATTGCAGTTAAATAAAGTGGATTGGCTACATTTTCCTTCCAAATTACAGGAAGGGATAAATACAAAAAGTTTCATATGTCAGCATCACATTTCTTTCATTGCAGGTATTTCATTTTCGGTATAAAAAGGACTCAGTTTTTGTAGCTGATTGTATGCAGCAGTGCCCTTTTTATGTATTCACATGATGTAAACATGTATGTTGTCCTTTAGATCCAAACACAAACGCACAGAGAGAGAGAGAGAGAACACACATAAGCAAGCAATACACCAAAGTGCATCTGTTCCCAAAAAGGGAAGGAAGTGGTGTTCTGATCTCTTCACCACTTTTAATTGATCTCTGAGACACTGAAGGAAGCAAAAGAAGAAAACAAGCTACAAAACTTCCCCTTTTCAACTTTGCTTGGAGAGGATTTCTCCAGGATTTCTGTTGCACACAGTTCCAAAAATGGAGAAAGGGGAAGGAGGATCATTTTCCAGGTCTTCCAGCTTCCCCTTGCAAATAAGCATCAGTCTGGGCCAGCCACAGTAAGAGGAAGCCCACCCACCCCCCAGCTGTGAGGGAGCCCCTCCATCATAGGCTCAAGTTGCATATACAGTGTCTGTTCTCCCTCATTCCAAGGAAACTAAACTCTGGGTAAGCAGCTAGAACCCCTGGAATCTTGCATGGCTCAGAGATTGGGATGGCGTGCAATAATACATTTCTAGCATGAGGAAAGTTGCATCACCAGTGTCTCTTCAATACCTCCACAATTTAATGCAAAATTAAATCTGTGTAAGACATAGTGAATTTTTATTGTAGAAGGGAGCATGTAGTTTCATAGCTATGAATCACATATTAATGTATATCCTTTGATTTCAAGTGCCATAAATGAAAAGGCGATGACTGAGGCAAAGTGAGTAATGCTTATAGCACTTCCCTGCTCCTCCACTGATGTGCCTAAAGCAACATAGTAAGTGAAAAATAAAGATGGAGGAGAGGAAACTGAGCCCAACAAACGTATAAAATGCCAAAGAGCTGACCATTGCAAGCCCATAAACATTTAATAGGACTGTAAGCATGTAGTTCATGTTGCTATTATATAACAGGACATATTCACCAAACACCTGAAGACACTACCAAGTATGGGAAATGAGTACCACGTTCTCCGTTATAGTTGGAAGTAGCAGTATATATTGAGATTCTGAAAGAATAGCTTTGCAATCCAACCAGGTGGGTGAATTTTCTCATGCAAGATGGAATCTGCTCCCACGTGAGGTGGTGATGGCCACAAACTCGGATGGCTTTAAAAAAGGATTAGACGAATTTATGGGGGTTAATGCAATGTTTTGCCTTCACTATTGGAGGCAGTATGCCTCTGAACAGTAGTTTCTGGGAATCAAGAGCAGGAAGAGTGCTATTGCACTCTGGTCTGTTGTGGGCCAGCAGTCAGCTTCACCTGCTGAACAGCCTGAAGAGGGAGAAGGCAGAGTGACCCAACCTTCAAGGATACAGAGAAGGTGCTGATGAGAACCATCTGGCTTCAGCCTTAAGCAGAGCTTCCAGCAGCAGTCAATTGCTGGTAATAATGCTTGTAACTCCTGGCCCTATCTTGCTGATTCCTGCTCTTGACCCCATGATCACCAGATTCCCTGACCCCTGGACCATCTGTCCACATGGATTGCCATTTGCACGATCCTAGGACTGGACCTGATTTTGGATGCTGACTGCCTCCAGGAAGTACACTTCAGAGGCTCTTCTGGTTGGCTGGCTGGATGTATTCTTGAGGATGACTCACATGGTACTCATGAAGGCCCATAGCCACTTGTTAAAACTAGTCCCCAAATACTACCTCATGAGGAGGCTGGTAATATGCCGCTACCTTTGATTCAGCTGGCTCAGCACATTCTGAAGGTCCATAAGTATGGCAAACAGTCTGTGACAGGATACAGAAGGACTGGGGGAAACCCAAGGTGCGTTGTTTTTTGAAAGCAAAGAACGGAAAGACAATGAAAGAGTATCTTCAAGCTTCCATCAATAACTAGCTGTACCATGGTGCACAGGTGATGAATTACTCTTGTACTGTCTTTTTTCAGCTAAATCTTCCTGTCATTTTCTTCATGAGATGCAGATCTCTGGGCACAGAGTATTCAGGTGGTGCTGCAGCCCTTGCAGATAGTTTAGGGAAAGTCTCCCTTGGATGATTTGGAACCATGAGAGACGACAGTTTGATACTTTGGGCTTTTTATATTTCAGCCTTTAGAATGTTCTTGATGATGATTAATATAACAACAATTGGTTCCATCTATACTTTGCAAAGAACCTGGTAGAAGGATATTGTTGTGATCCTGAACAGGTTTACCAAAGCTGGCATGCCACACTTGATTTTAATTGGCGCTCATCAAGATCACCATTACATTCATCATGAATGATTCCACCTTCAATTTCATCTTTCCCACAAAAGTGCTCTGAACAGAAGGCAGTCTCCCCCCAAAAAACCCAGAAGCAACACTTAGGATGACCATCTCTTACCATGCTGATGGTGTATATATGGTGTACGTATTTCCTGGCTGTGAGGCGTGAAGGCCGCACATTACAAGGCCCTTTCCACCTGACCTAGGGAGCAGGGCCCATACTCATCCAGCCCTACAAGAGAGACTCCTCATGAGGCTGGAGGAACATCGCCCAGCTGTGAGTGCTGAAGGCCGCTCCCTGCAAGGCTTTTTCCACCTGGACTAGGGGGCAGACTTACCCAGCCCTATACTATGTTATATGCATTCTGTAGTTGACCTTCTTTGTAATGTTTTATTTTGAAATATTTTAAGATAATATTTTAGTTTTCTGTTATTTTGCTTTGACTGTATACTCTATATTTGACTTTTTCAGATTGTTTTATTGATTTATTGATATAATAAAGCGGCCCATGGGGGTCGTTTAAACGGCCCACGAGACACCCCCAAACCGAGTCACCTGCTCGGTGAGTCCCTGCGCGCTGCGCTAAACCTGCGCAGAGCAGGGACTCGCTTCCCTGGCGCCGGAAGTCGTGTCGACGTAGGCGCTGGAAGTTGCGTCCGCACAGACGCAATACAGCCCACGGAGCGATCTCCGCAGGAGTGAACTGGCCCAGGCGAGGTAAACCTTGCCAACCCCTGATTTAATATGCTGTAAACCGCTGAGATTTTTCTTAAAAATATAAAGTGGTATAGAAAATAAATAAATAAATAGATAAATAAACAAATGTCTTTTCCACTGTTTCCCAAGTTATTCAGAGCTTGCTGTGGGTGTTGGGCAGCATTTTGCTGTTGCAAAGACGTATTAAGCTGATTTGACATCACTACTAGTTCTTCTGCAAGAACTGATGACATTAATAATATATCTGATCTGTTTGCTTCTTTCAGCACTAAGAAATCTCCAAGCTCCCGTATCAAGAATTTCATCACTCTTGCTTGTAATAGTACCTTTTCTCCCAGAGTCTGTGAGGGTGAAACCCTTCATCTCCTTGTAGTTTTGGCTTCATCTCAATCAAGATAGACCATCATGGGAAACTGCCCTTGACTCGTCGGCTTCTATTTCCTTAGTTATCCTTGTGTTCTTACTTCAGTAACTACTTGCACATACGTGATATTCAACCTGCAAACCAATCATTAGAATCTACCCTTGGCCTTTGCAGAACTGAGTAGCCCTCACAATCATAAATGCATGATGATACTCAACTATAGGGTGATTAATATATGTTCATCAAGGTTTAGCCCTTAAGCATATGATCTGTTAACCTACAAACTCCAAGTTACTGCAGCTACCCTCCTTTCAAGTTGGTATTTGTCAGCTTGTTTGAGTGGTGACTATGAGTCTTTGGTCACATCCACAAATCCATTAAAAACACATTTTTATCACTTTTAACAGTCTTGCCTTTCTTCAAGAATCCTGGGAATTGTAGTTTACTCCTCACAGAGCTACAGTTCACAGCACTTTAAACTACAGTTCCCAGAATTCTTAGGAGGGAAGCCGTGACTGCTAAAGTGGTATAAGAGTACTTTTCATGTGTGGTGCGGATGTGATCTTTATTCTGGTATATTCTCTTCCACATCTGTCTGTCTAAACTGCAGAGCTATTATTCCAATGGTCGGCTTCAATGTGTGCTACTTCTAACCACTGCTAAAGTGGTATTCAGATGCTATACTTGCCAGCATCTTTAGTTATTTGGTGCCCATTTCCTGTAAATAGTGACATTAGTAAAATGAATATGCAAGGGTGTAATATGAATTTGCTTTATGGCATATTTTATCGATATTGAGGATCAATTTTGTTTCCTCCATCTTTATTCTCCATATAAGTGCTACTTCTTTTCTTCTTATTAATGTTCTGTTCATTCAGTCAGTCTTTAGAAGATTAGGTATCATGGACTGCAACTGGAGCAGTTTCTGCCGATTGCCACATTTTGCATTTCTCTAGTGACATACTTCAAGTTGAGAAAGAAAGGGATGCGTCTGAAATTTGTGAACCTGTTTTTCAGGATCTACTGTACATATGATGCTTTGATAAGTTAAGTGCATCACCAATTAAGGCAATTTTCATGGGCATAGGAAACAGATTAAGGGATATCTCTTATTATTCCAACTTTCTTGGTAAACGTGCAAGCTTTTGACTTACAAAGCATTCATTACCAGGAAGCGAGCTTTAGTCAATGGTTTTAGCCAATGACAGAAATGTAAATGTTTGAGAAAGAACTCATAGATGGTTAATTCTCCATTGTGTATGGCTACACCTCACTTACTCATGCAAAAGAACAAATGTGTGTCTGGATACATGCTGCTGAGCTGCAGAAGGGGAGACTTGCACCCAACCTCATGCCTTCTCAAGGAGGGGCAAAGGGTAGTAAGTCCCAAGCAGACAGTATATCCATAATTCCAGCACAGCGGGACCATCTGGTCCTGTGCTGGCCTCGCAAGAAGTTCTGAATTGAGCAACTGTCATTTAAAGAGGAGAGCGGGCTAATCAGAAAACAGTTAGCATCCTAGACAGTTGCCGATACAACAGATTAATCAGCAGGGGGTTGCAGGCTGTTTTAATGACCTAAGGAACTAAGATCTCTATTGAAGCTGGCTGTTTGTGTTGATGGATACAAACAAACAAACAACTCAGATACCATTCTGTTTCTTCTTCTCGGACTGTTACAGTTCAAACCCTTTGCACCAGAAATTCGAACCATTTTCAGATTAACACTGAAGTCCAATGAACTGGTTTCAGAACGATCAACTTGCTGAGACCCTACTTCTAAGTAAATAAGCATAGGATTAGGCTGCACATAATTTAGATATAAGAAGCTGGTAGCTGCTGATAGAGTGCTTATAGTAGGGCTGAGGGTTTTTTATACTTCGCTTTTAAATGGAAATTTTATACCACAGTAATCTAAATTTTGGGGTGAGAAAACTGAATTCTGCAATGTGTCTAAATTGTGCATATTAAGTATATTTCCTTGTTTATTTTGCATAATATCTTAATGCTTCTGCTAATCGGTGGGAGAGACAACAAACTATGCAGAGGGGCTCTGAAACTCTGGTTTGAAGTGGTCGAAACTTTTCACGTACATTTGGCTTCTTTGCTTTCATCAAGCATGCCTTTCTAGCATCTTGAAACTTGCCTTTAAAAAGGGGTGGGGCTGAAATTTCTATGATTTTTTAAAGTTTCACCCAACATCAAACTGTGTGTTAGCGCAGTGTTTGCCTAAAATTAAAAAACACACCTAGGCTTTCTTGTACAGCACTGATACATCTACATACGAGTTTATCTTGTGCTACTTAATGGGTTCTTACTGGGAATTAACATTTCAAAAAGATATCCCAGGTTGTGTAGGGATTTGGACAATAGAATGTTGGCATTTCTGCAATAGAACTAGCTTTGCTTTGCATGAACTGAATCAGTGCATATGTGGGTGGGAAGGAAACTCTGGAAGAGATTGATTTCTTTCAAAGTCCTAATTATTTAGCTTCCTTGGGGATACAATATGGATTTCCTTGGAAAGTTATTTGGTTATTTTGATTGCTGGATGGCTTATATGTAGAGGGTTTGATGGATGGCTTATTGTGTAAAGAGTTGAGCCAATCAAACTGTATGGTTTGCTAATTAATTCTGACCTTAATTTGTCTCATTCAGTGGTGCTCTAACGATATTTAGCAGACTGTGATAACTGGGGGAGTCAAAATTGTTCAGGCACAACTGCTTCTCTGTATTAGAGATACTCAGTACAGTATTGAATATCTTACCATTTTCTCTGCAGGCATATATTCCTAAGCTACAATCACATTATTCACTTTTTGGTTAGCTCCCCAAAAGGGGCTCATGCAAAGTATTCGTCCCATGGCTGTTACCAGCCAAGCCCCTTCCTATGAGGTCCAAAGATAAGCAAGAAGCCAAGCAGGATTCACAAGTAAACAGCTGAGGGATTCCTACCCATTTTATTCTTCCTATGTGCTCAATATATAGAGTCACAACTGGGAAAGAGATCCTCTTCTCTTCAAATGACCATATCTAACCCCTCTGCCACCCTAAGCACCACACCCTCTCAATTAGCCTTTGGCTAATAAAACCATCTATATACCCTTTGAAATTGTGTATGTGTGTTGAGGGGCAGATTGTTGGTTTTGTTTGTTACTGTGTTGTGCATGGTTGTGTTTTTATACTGTAAACTGCCCTGTGATCCTCAGTTAAAGTGCAGTATAGAAATTTGATAAATAGCAGCAGCAGTAATAATAATAATAATAATAATAATAATAATAATAATAGGGTTTTTTAATAGTGCCCAGGGCATATGTCATAGGGCTGCCATATTTTGAAGAGGAAAAAAGAGAGAACACATTTGCCGACTTCTACTTTTAACAATGGATCTCTGTGACGACTCTACCCATGAAAAAGAGGACGTGTCCTGGAAAAAGAGGACATGAAAAACTGAATGCTGCCCTGTGCAATCTTACTGACATCGCCTTTGCTTTTTTATATCGAGTGCCAAGAAACAGAAATAAATTGTCTGGTGGTATTTGTTGCTTTGGTCATGCAAACACTTGCAGAGTATTTATGTTTTGATCAGTGTTAGAAATTAGCCAAGCACCAGACACGTTTTGCTACTGGCGTGGGTCCAGTTACAACTATGTGGAGATTTTTGGGTCACAGTTTAAAAACTCTGCCTTAGTCCATAGTTTGTACCATTACCACTGTGTGTGTGTTTCTCCTTCTTGCATCCTGGTACAAGTGAATTGTTGTAAGAGCAAGCTACAGTCAAACAATGTAGAATCGTAAAATTGGTCCAACTCCCTGGAAAATAGCCATTCCATTGTGGTGGCCGTAACCAAGATTTAAGGTGCACTTGGCATCTAGTTTATATATCTGAGTTTCTAACTGGTTTTGATCCCATAAATCAATATCATCAACAGTATTAACCAGTGACATTTAATTAGGAGCATCTGCGGTGCTGTGTCTCATTCTCTTTACCACACATGATGAGTAAGTGTGCTTGGTCCTTAAATTATGTCATTACTTTGTCATTATGTTATTCCATCCCATTCATTTCAGTGCAAAGAAAATGCAATACATATGACAGGGGAGGCGGGTAGTAATTATTTCATGTATGGGCCAAAAGCAATACCAACAGTGAATACAGTGATACCTCGGGTTAAGAACCTAATTTGTTCTGGAGGTGCTTTCTTAACCTGAAACTGTTCTTAACCTGAGGTACCACTTTAGCTAATGGGGCCTCCTGCTGCCGCTGCGCCACCATCATGCGATTTCTGTTCTCATCCTGAAGCAAAGTTCTTAACCCGAGGTACTATTTCTGGGTTAGCGGAGTCTGTAACCTGAAGCGCCTGTAACCTGAAGCATCTGTAACCTGAGGTACCACTGTATTGATTGTATTTGCTAGATTGATTTCAGTTCTGGACATGGGATGAATAAGTGAACAATGGCAGTTTCTGCTACCATTTCTGTTTCTGTTGGAATTCTCCAAAATCCTTGCCTGGGTGTTTTGTACGGTATATTGAAGTCCAGCAGCAGAGGTTGGCCTGTGTCCACTTCCCTCTGTTGCTGCCAGCATTCAAAACTCCCATTGTTCTCGGCGCATTTTGCGACAGGGAATTTCATTAATGTGAGCAGTTTCTGAGCCCTGAGAGCAGTACTGCGCCTAAGAATTCAGATTAAAACTGCCACTGCTGGAACGAAAGGAGGACGTTTTTCTGCCTCCCGACTTCTAGCTACTTTCTGAGGTCTGGAGAAGGGACCCTCATAAGAATATTAAGGGAGCGGGCAGGGGAAGTATGGCTTTGTTTTTTGCAGTCTTCAAATGAGGACTAGACCGTGTGAAAATTGAACATAAGATTTTAGTCGAAACAAAATAAAAAAATTCCTTCCAGTAGCACCTTAGAGAGCAACTAAGTTTGTATCTGAAGTTTGTATCTGACCAACCTAGTTGGTCTCTAAGGTGCTACTGGAAGGAATTTTTTTATTTTGTTTTGACTACAGCAGACCAACACAGCTACCTACCTGTATAAGATTTTAGCTGCAGTTCATTCATTTTCAGTTTCTTGTTATAAAAAAAGTGTGCCTAGACATTCCATTGTTGCGCCCATAACCTAGGTTTAAGGTGCCATTTTGCTCCTGGCTTTCATATCTCAGTTTCTAACACTGGCTGCTGATATCTTGAAGAGAAGGAACATGGGCTCCAAGTCCCCATCTCCACTTCCCCCTGCTGCAGCCTTGGTGGTGGCTCTTGCTCCTGGTGCACCTTTTGCACAGCGGGTAGAAGATCCCTGTCACTGGCGCCATTAGGCCATTAGGGCCGAGTTCAGACCATCATTCTGAACTATGGTTAACCAGACCTTGATTTATAAACCTTCACTTGGCATGTCATGTGAACCCGCCACTAGCATGTTGCCCCAATAAACTTTGCCATGAACTAATGCAGTTCTTGGACTGAAATGGTCCTCCATAACCTTTGACTTTGTGCTTTCTCTTTGTCCTTGCTAGCATCAGGCAACATGACAGATATGGGCAGCTGATTCTGGCAAATGCCACTGCAGCAGACACTGGTCAATACAGCTGCTGGCTCCTGCAATGCAGTGGCTACAATTGCAAGAAGGATGAGACCAAAACGGGCTCAACGTACATCTTTTTTGCAGGTAATGGAATGGCTCATTGCTTCCAGAGGTAGAAAGGTCCTTCCTTAATGCTATCTTTTTTTTCATCTTTGCACTTCACGGTATCCCTGTATCGAGTGGGCAGCAAGTGTTTCTGATAGTGCAGATTATACCCTCTTTTGTGCTCATTAGTTACATGCTCATTTTTCAAAGCAGTTCATTTTTTAGCACTGCTGTATTTGGGTTTGCGTATGCAATCAGTCATCGTCTTTTGGTGATACATTATCTTATTTAAGCTTCTTGTTTACACTGAAAATATTTTATTGGAGATCAAAGCAAGTTAAAAAAGAGGAATGGTTAATTAGTGCCTGCTGTCTGTTTTGTAGAGAAAATTTACAGTCAGCCACATTATGGTTATTTAAGGTGTGCAGTGGTGGATGAAGTTAAAAAGTCACTGCATGCACATCATCCCTTAATGCAGCCTTCCTCAAGCTGTAAGTTTTGGACTAATTTCCTCACCACTGGATGTGCTGCTTGGAGCTGATGAGACATCTGACAGGTACCAGGTTGGGGGGTAGGTGTCCCTAATGAATAAGCAAGATAAGGAGCAATAATGTGAGGTGAAAATGCACTGCGTAAAGAGCGGTGATTGAACTAGGATACCAGGTCTACAAATCATGATTGGTACAGATATGGGGCCATGGGTGGTGCTGCGGTCTAAACCACTGAGCCTCTTGGGCTTGCTGATCACAAGAATGGCAATTCGAATCTGCGGGATGGAGTGATCTCCCGTTGCTCTGTCAAAGCTCCTGCCAACCTAGCAGTTTAAAAGCATGCCAGTGCAAGTGGATAAATAGGTACCACAGCAGTGGGAAGGTAAACAACATTTCCGTGCACTCTGGCACTCATCATAGTGTCCCGCTGCACCAGAAGTGGTTTATTCATGCTGGCCATATGACCTGGAAAAGCAGTCTGCGGACAGACGCCAGCTCCCTCGGCCTGAAAGCAGAAATGAGCGCCGCACCCCATAGACTTAACCGTCCAGGGGTCCTTTACCTTTTACCAGTACGGATTCTGATCAGAAGTAGAGGATTCTAGGTGGTGAAGTTAGTACAACAGCTCAGTTTGAAAAGATCTGGTTATTTTAAAAATTCAGAAATGCAGTCACCATTCTGAGACTTATGCTGGAAGATCCAAATATGCTGTTAGGATTCTTTTAAAACTGCATGCAGTGTGTTATGGAGGCTGCTTTCACAGTCTGAGAGGCCCTGCTGAGCACATGGCCACATTCAATAAAGGCTTAGTGATTTGGGGCTTAGTGTTTAAATTCAATTGCTAAGTATTTGGAATCACAACTGAAAATGTAATTCTTGCAGAGGTACTATGGTTGCCTCTCTCACTAGGTCAGGCTTGGATAACTTGTTATCCACTTTTCATGCCAGTCTTCATGTGACTTTGGGGTGTGTGTTTCACAAGGCTCACTAGTCTCCCAAGAGTGGTTTGTTTACCCCTGAGATAGATCGGGCATTTGTTTACAGGGGACATGCAAATTAGAGATGCATTGAAGCCATTATATATTTAAATTAGTTCATTCATTTTCTTTTAGAAAACTACTCTTAAAGGTAATGTTATTGTTGGTAAAAATCAGATTTCTGCTAATAAACCATTTCTCCCATTATTGATGTTTTTGCTATGGTGCTGGTTAAAATGGTAATGACTGGTGCGTGATTAATATCCATTGCCTTGCTTCTTCCTACAGATAAAGGGGAGCTCTTCGTTCCTTCTGCCAGTTATTTTGAAGTTGTCTACCTCAACCCAGATAAGCCAGCGGTAGTTCCTTGCCGAGTGACCAGCCCATCAGTGAAAGTCTCATTGCACCAGGAGTTCCCAGCCGAAGAAATCCAAGTGGATGGAACCAACATTATTTATGACGTGAAGAAGGGTTTTATCTATAAGCATCCAACATCCGATCACAAGGGAGTGGTTTACTGCAGAGCAGAATCGTGGGGAGCACCTCAGATTTCCATCAAGTACCAGTTGCTTTATGTGGAAGGTAAAAAAACTAACCGAATGGCTCAGGCTAACATCAAAGCAAGTTCTACTGTACACTCTCGCAGTGCTTTAAACTGGCCCTGAGTAATTTCCCACACAAGTTAACACAGTGGTGATCTGTGTTTATGGTGATGTGGGTAGCGCTGTGGTCTTCTGCCAACCTAGCAGTTCGAAAGCATGCCAGTGCAAGTAGATAAATAGGTACCACTGCAGCGGGAAGGTAAATGGCGCTGGTTTCCATCACGGTGTTCTGTTGCACCAGAAGCAGTTTCATCAATGCTGGCCACATGACCCAGAAAGCTGTCTGTGGACAAATGCCGGCTCGCTTGGCCTGAAAGCGAGATGAGCACCACAACCCCATAGTCACCTTTGACTGGACTTTTAACCATCCAGGGGTCCTTTACCTTTGCTTTACCTTATGGTGAACTACCTAGGTACTCAGGTTTATACTGAACTACTCAGGCTACTTCACCACAAGCAAAACACATTCAAATGTGTTTTCTGAAGTCAGCCAAGTAAAATTATCAGCGTAGTGAAACTTTCCAAACCTCGAGTGTATATCTGTTTTGAAACTGAGGCGGAAGATAGCAGTTCTCTGTTATCTTTACGCAATACCTACATTTTCCACAAGCTATGTTAAAGAAAACTTAAAACCAAGGGAAGTCTTAGAATACTACAGTAATATATCTGCACCAACAAATAATTTTGCCCTCAAACAGCAGTTGCAGCTAATTTGTGAGCAAATTACAAGAGAGTTGTGTGTCTGTTGGGTGGGGTTGAGCAATAATGAATTAAAAATGGATTTTGAGTAGAATTTTAAATTGTCAATATTTTTTTCTACTCCCTGCATAAATGTTGTTGACAGTAACTTGAATGCAACTATTAGCAGCTGGTGGTCTTCCATGTTGTGGAATTTTCACTTGCTGATTTCTACAAGTCAGGCTGGTCCATCTGCAACCCGGTAGGCTATTAAAAATGTGGAATCACTTTTTATTGTCTCTCACCCATCTCTTTGAACCAGTCCCTAGTGGCCCGCCTTCAACTACAATCAAAGCATCATCCAGTACAGCAGAAGGTGGTGATGATATCAGTGTTCTGTGCACAGTTTTGGGGGAGCCAGATGTAGAAGTGGAGTTTAATTGGATATATCCAGGGCAAAAGGTAAACTGCTGCTTGTTTTCTTATTTCTCTAAAAAAAAACCAAAATAGAAAATGACATGAATAGCATGAAATTTTGGAAGGCATGAAAACAAAGCTTATTCGCTACAAAGTTGCTAAAGTCTTGAGAACGATGCAGGCAGAGGGTAATGTTGACTGGTAATCTGTTTTTTTCCCCCTGCCACTTTTAGCTTGGAAAGATTATACACAAAGGCCTGATTTGGCCCAAAATTGGCCATCCATATTTTGGATAAGTCTATGCCCCAAAAGCCTAACAAAAGGACTACTATAAAGTTATCTACATGAGTAGACACAAGGGGACGTGGGTAGCGCTGTGGTCTAAACCACAGAGCCTAGGGCTTGCTGATTGGAAGGTTGGCGGTTCAAATCCCCGCGATGGGGTAAGCTCCTGTTGCTTGGTCCCAGCTCCTGCCAACCTAGCAGTTTGAAAGCACATCCAAGTGCAAGTAGATAAATAGGTACCGCTCCGACGGGAAGGTAAATTGTGTTTCTATGCGCTGCTCTGGTTCGCCAGAAGCGGCTTAGTCATGCTGGCCACATGAACCAGAAAAACTGTCTGCGGACAAACATCAGCTCCCTCGGCCAATAAAGCAAGATGAGCACCGCAACCCCCGAGTCGTCTGCGACTGGACCTAACGGTCAGGGGTCCCTTTACCTTTTACATGAGTAGATAAGGAATATGCTTTACAGAGAGCGCTTATCATTATAATCTATCACAACATTTTTCTACTAGGACATCCTGATAAAATTTTGAGGGTTATTTCCCTTCTGCACTTTGATTCTTCACCACTAGATTTTAGAAAATCAAGTTATATTCACCTACTGTTCTGTAGAACAGTAATTGACCCTTTCTAGTTTCCTTTTATTTTTCAATATATTATTGTAAATTCACAGATTAATATGATTGTGAAGCTGCTGGTGTACACAGTTATTACAGCAACACAAACTCTCATCCTGTTTCAAAGCATAACCCATGCCATCAGTTTAGCAATATGTGGCTACTAAAATTGATTAGTAACACAATAACATTGATTTGTGGACATTTCCTTTATTTTGTGTGGTGATAGTGGGCATTAGGATAAAATGCAATTTGTTCCAAAGCCTCTTTCTGGTTCTGAGAGGTGGTAGAGTCAGTTGTGCCTTTGCAATATGGTGCTTGGATATTTTGAATATTTTTACCACAACTGTGTCTGAAGTGGCACAGTTCTGCCCCATGATCTCTCATGCATAAATCCCACTAAAACCACTTTAACTCTTGACAAAACAGATGGCAGGACTACATACCAAATGTCTGAAGTTCCATCCACTGCATGGATTCAATTAACTTTTCAAAGGTGGTATTTAAAAGACTTACATCTTTACATCCTTGATCAGCTTACACTGGTGAGTCCCAGACTCGGCTGTACCAAATAATCTGGACCCAAAAGAAATCATAGGACCAGTTTTCCCAAAGGTGTTTAAACTAGACAAAATACCATTAAGGAAGTATGGAGGATGTTGTATTAAGGCTGTAATCTGCTGCCACACTTTGCTGGCCTTACTTCCAGTTAAACGTGCCTAGCTAGGATCTGGCTGCATGTCACATATAGGTGCTAAAATTCCCCAGTAAATAATCTTCATCTGGCATGAATACAAAGAGAGGCCAGCCTTAAATGGTCATGTTTCCCCTTCAGATTAAAAGGGCAGAAACAAACAAGACAGCCCTAGAAGCAGCAAACACATCTTTCATTGTATGGGAACAGCTGGGATTCTTATTGCAAAACCAGCAGCCTCGGCATCTTCCGCAATAGCTCTGCCATTCAGATTAAAACTCCTACGCTAGCAAGTAAACTACTGTTAATAAAATTAAGTACTGTGTTTACAGAAATGCTTCCAATGACTATCTCATGTTAAGTGTTTTCCAATCATTAGTATGAAAGGCCTGTGGTTATCCAAGACTCTTGGAGGCTGATCGACAGAGGAATTGGTCACACCACGAGAATTTCCGAGAGCCTTATTACCGTTGAAGATTTTGAGACCATTGATGGTGGAAACTATATTTGTATAGCTCAGAACCTTCGAGGACAGACCACAGTAGCTGCCTATGTTGAACTCATCTGACATATTGAGCTCTCGGACAAGACGGAACAGGAAATGTATTGCTGGACTGCTTCTGGCAAGCTTTGCCTTCAGAACTTGAGATAAGTGGAAACAAATCTTAATATAATTCATTCTTACTTTAGAGCAACACAAATGCAAGCATGTGGTTGTAAATGAGGGTTATTGTGCAAGTGTAGCACAAGGGCTTAGAAACCGAACCAGGAACTAGAATATCCATCACTCAGTGTTGCCTCTCCCACTCAAAGTGGCCTTAGAGAAATGACCGTCCTATCTTCATTATGGAAACACTGAATTACCACACAGGGTTGGTTGCAAAAGGGTGCTAAAATAAGTCTCCATCACATTCCGAACACTAAAGCACTATATAAATGCTAAGCATTAAATATAACTCAAGTCACTTTTTAGGAAATATACATTTCAAAGCCATAATCTCACAATATTCTTTTGTCATTAGGAGATAAAAGCTAGCTAAGTTAACGTTAAAATTAGCCTTGCGCTTTAATTTGCACACATGAAAAGTAAATAAATATCACTTGTAACATAGATGCACATGTCTCCTGGTAGCTTGGAATGTAATGCTTAGTTTGCTCTGTAAAATTTATTCCCCCTGCAGAATTAGTCATTGTAGGTTTTGTAGAAATTGCAGTACAATATATGTGTTTTAATATGCCATCTTTAGGTATAATAGACAGCTGCAGCCTGAATGGTTGATGTTGTTGTCATTTGTAAAATACGTATCAAACAAATAAAATACTCTGCAAGTTTTAAGCATTTGTAGATTTAATATTAAAAGTAGTTTTCTTATATTTATACAGTAGTACCTCGGGTTAAGTACTTAATTTTGGAGTTCCGGAGGTCCGTTCTTAATCTGAAACTGTTAACCTGAAGCATCACATTAGCTAATGGGGCCTCCTGCTGCTGCAGCACGATTTCTGTTCTCATCCTGAAGCAAAGTTCTTAACCCGAAGTACTATTTCTGGGTTAGCGGAGTCTGTAACCTGAAGCGTATGTAACCCAAGGTACCACTGTATAGGGGACATGACTTACTGCATGTTACTCGGCTGTTTACATAGTAGAAGGATCCAGTTTTAGTGTTCAGTGTGAAGGTCTTTTGCTGATCACACCAAGCACTAAAAGAATTCTAAGCAAGTGTAGAATTCAAATTGAATTCAAATCATTTCTATTGGTAACTGCATTTAGAATTAAGCACTCATCCAGCCTCTGTAGAAGGGAAACAAAAACAACATCTTTTAATAAATTAAGTTTCATCATCTAATGCAGCTGTAAGTTTTGAACAATACATAATGCTGGATGATTCGACAAAACACCACTTTCTGTGGCAGCTTATTCAATCTTATTATTACTGTGTGCAAGGTCATCTAAAACAGAAGCCTCTTCTGTATAAATGGCTCAGAATGTGGATGTTATGCTTATAACTGTAAAATTATCTCTTTAGCCTCAGTATTTTTGCTTTTATGTCTAAACAGGCAAGAGTCTTGAACCAGTAAAAAAAATTTATTTTAATTTTCAACACTCAAGTACATATAATCAAATATGACCTTGCCAAAGAAATAAATTGCTCCAAGTCATACTTTTAAGCCAAGTTTCAGCCTATAGCGGATTTTCATAGTTATATAAATCAATCTCTGAACAACAGTTAATTTAGAAGTGCTGATATCTCTAGCTACATAACAGTGCCATAAATGGGTTTGGGCAGGCAAAATGCTTCACAGGGGAGGCACACTTTACACAATGTAAAATTAAAATAATTCATCCTTGAATTTTTCATATTACAGAGTAATATTTCAGTCAGTAATAACTAAAACCTTCTGCTGTTGAAGCCAATGTTTCTGCACCCTAAACAAAACATTTGGTTTGATACTTTGTTTTCCAAGTTTATTAACGTTTTTCCCAGTGCTCCTTCGGTTTTATGGAAGGGGACAAGGATATCTCAAGACCTAGCTCTCAAATTGTCAACATCTTTGCTACAAACCACTATGGGTTGAATCCAATGCTGTCATTGCATGCGTGGGTCAGTCTTCACTTGTGCAACATGCCTTCCCTTTCCACTCCTGTACCCTGCATCCCTCTGTGCCCCCAGAAAATCTGCTCCAGAGTGCCTCCAACCCTCAAGCAGATTGAGGGTACTGGGGGGCAGCAGTGGAAAGGAGAGGATGGGCAAGCCCAGTTGCAAAAGTGGGAGTCTCTCACTTGTACAACTGTCATTTCAGCTACAACCCTATGATTTCAACAGGCTTTGATTAACAAGTTGATTATTCAACAGCAATGACGGTACCAGTGCGTCTTGGATGTGTGAGTGATGACTACATAACCAAGCCATAGCACTTAACAGTCCCATCTAGATCTGATAGCAGAGATAGTGTTTAACCATAATAAAAAATGCGTTTGTACATACAAGAATACATGTTGAACAGGTCATTAACAGGAGCGGACATGCAGTGAGTCATCTTCAGATTTGTAATGCAGCACTGAATGTTGCCTATGACACAGACATCTTCAACCTATCATGTCAGCAAAATAATCAGTTTTTGTTTTTTCTGATTCCTGAAAATCTCATGCTAAATGAAATGGGGGAATGCAGAGTCTTGCAGCCAGTTGGTTAAAGTGCACATCGACAAGTTATCAGTTCGGGATGTTTGTTCTCCGCAATGCAAGGAAGTGCTACTGGCAGCTGTACACAATGGCTGTGTTCATACAACATGCTAAGCCGAAGCCTTGGCTAGGCAAAACTGAATGAACATGTGGGCTCTTAGGGAGGAGCTTCTAGCTATTCAGCTCCTCTCTGGGAGCCTGCACATTCGCTGTTTGGCTTAGTACATTATGTGAACACAACCAATCCTACTGTTCTATCCTAATAATAGCATCTGAATATATATATATATATTTCCTTTAGTGTGAAATCCTGTGATCTCAAGTCAAATCAGACCATTATTCTCCACAGCTGTCGTCACCCTGGAAAGGGCTGCATGTCTGAACTATCTATCACCAGATATCTAAAAAAAGGAGGGGGAAGAACATTTAACTAGGTGAGAAAAGAAACCCTGTTCTTATATAGTTACCTAGGGGAAGCTTAAAAATATTTTGAATGATATTTTGTGGTATGAGAGGTTATCGGTCTTGTCGTAAATTCCACTATGCAAGTAGGCAGACAATGACAAAAATCAAATAAAAATCTCAACTGAAGCAGAGAGATAAGGAAAAACGTAGAGCACAAGCGGCAGCTTTTCCTTAGTCCCAGAGAAGGGAAAAAATCTATGATGAAACATGCATAATGGCAATATTTTATTTATGAAGTACATGTCACTTTATTCTTCAGCTTTCGTCCTTTATAATATACATAGCAAAGGTGGCTGCATCACACACACATAACACACTCACCGTGTGATACATCCAATTCACTCATGCCACACTCGGCGTCTCAAGGTGTCTATAATAAGGAACGTATTAAAGGTTGTGATCTTTTATTTATAAGCCCCTGAGCATATTTTTTTTCTCCCTAGAGTTAGGTGAAAAAAGGCAAAAAACCGAACAAGACTTTCCTTGCTCTTTTAAGTGCTTTGTGCAACAATGTTCAGAGAAGTTATCACTGAAGTCTTTTTGTATTCTTTTAATAAGGAGATGCACTGTTTCGAGTTCTAGCCATGAACTCCCATTACGTTACAGCCATTTCTCATGACAGTCATTTCCAGTTATATTTCAATCACGCGCAGCTAATATAGCTCTTTGCTCCCTCGATCCATGTTTTTTAGTTCTGCAGACCAAAAATGAAATGCCTGTATGGAGAGTGTCTCTTCGTTCAGTGGTGTCATCTAGGCGACACTGTTGGGCTGGAGAAGGAGCCTGAATTCCTTGGCGATTGAAAAGGCATTGGTGGAGTACTGGGGGACAGTTTTCTTGGGCTGCACAGGTCTCCATTGTGTAGCTTCCACAGAAGTTCTTCATTTTCCATTGACAAGCGCTTATTTACCTTTGATTCTTTCTCCAGAGACTCTTGCAAAACTGCCTGTTCGGTGGAAAGTTGCCTGTTATATGAGAGAGAGAGAGAGAGAGAGAGAGAGAGAGAGAGAAAGCAGACGGTTACTGTCTAGGTTGGACTAGCAACAATACGCTGCAAGTGTACCCTCTTTCCCCAAAGGTGTTTCTGTTCAGGATTTCAGGTAGCTATAGCCTTCCCCAGAGTTAACAGACATGGTTGCTGAATTTAATCTCCTACCAGTCCCAGCCAACATAGCCAATGATTGGTGGTGATGAGGATTGCAGCACAGCTCTCCTAATCTCTGATGTTGTTTTTTCTCCCATCCAACAATTAGAATTCTGTGGTTCTTAAGGGCAGTTTCCCTGGGCTGTTTGGAGGTTGCTTTTTGCTCTCTTTGGTTTACGTTTTGTATTTCTGCACACCTGAGAGTTCACTCGTGTGTGCAGGTAACTTGCTTCCTCCTTAGTGGTTTTGTTGTGGCTCCAGTCCTGTCAGCACTCAACCTCGAGCTAGAGGGGGAATGATCATGTGACCATATTGTGGTTTGCCAGTCAGCTGCTTGTGGTGCAAGGAAACTCTGTGGACAGGGACCGGAGTAACAAACTGCAGAGCTTGCCTGCTCTACATCCTTGCCCTTAAGAGATGGTAGCCCCGTAATCCTACAAAAGGGCAAAGCCAAGCCACTTTCCTCACATAGGATTTAACATTAGGGACTGAGCTTCCTGCTGCAAGGAGTGGAGAGCAAACTTCTTGAAGGCAGAAGAAACAGCAAAAGGGGAAAGAGTAGTTATCTGATCCTCCTTTTTAAAAGCTAAACTCTTCCACGATTCAGAAAAAGTTACCACCAAGGACTAATAGTCCAACTCCAAACATAAGCAGTCTGAGCAAGTACTTTCACAAATCCAGCATAGTTTAAATATAAAGAGCTTAAGGAGGCTGCTTTCTCTTCTGCAGGGACACTGAATGTCAGCCATTGACCAAGTAGTACTAATTCTCTATGCAGTGGCTCTCCAAAGCTGTTTGTACATTAAGTAATGAAGCAGAATCTTGAAAACTGTTCTTAGGCAAGCCCCTCTGAAACTATTAAGAAATTGTGGTAACTAGGTAAGTCCACATTCAAATGCTGTGTGAACTGTGCTTCTGTTCCTTTTACTGCAGGCAAGTCCCACCTGCAATAGGCTTGAGGTAATTTGCAGTATATACAATTTCACTTGAGTTCTCTACTTTCTAAATCCACCCCCCCCCCAAACAGAACTATGGCAGCTGTTAAACTACAAGAGCAACTCAAACAAGTATTTTAGAGTTACCTGGAAAGCTCCATGTGTTTGTCCATCCGGGCTTTTAATTCTTCATTCTCCTGCTGAAGTTTTCTCATTTTCTCCACTAAGGCTGCATTGTTCTCCACCTTGAACAAATGTGCAAATTTAATGTGTGGTGGGGAGGGGGAGAGGCCAATTTATTTTAGATGAAGCCAGGTTGTCCTATTGTGTCAATTTATAAAATAACATCTCAAAATCTACCACAAACATTATTATTATTATTTAAAAAACTTGCTATTACCGCTCCAGAGCTCAAGCATAAATTCTCTACTACAAACTTGTAAAATGCCTCCTTTACCCTGCACTAATCTAGTCTTGTCTTGTTAAAACTAGTAAGAAGCACCTTATAATTGAAAGAAAAAATGGGAGAGTTGACCGGAGTCTTCCAGTTTCTTCTGTTCAGCATCCTTATGTTTTTGGCTGCACAATCTGGATTTATGGCCAGTGTATTGTGTTTAGGTTTAAGAATTAAATGCTGTGGAATTAATGATCAAGGGCAGTATAAAAGTCTCTAAAATTATAAATACTACTTAGCTCTGCTCCCTGTCCCTTGGATTTATAATCTGTTCCTCTGTGCGCTTTGGAGACGAGAGGCCTAACTTACTTATTTACATGTGTTCTGAGACCAGTATATCATCTCAGAAACAATGGCACCCACTGTCCTGGGATCTCAATGTCCCCGATTATTATGATGTTTGCCCAGCCTTACTGCTGCCATTTAGATGACACACCCTGCTGGCTCCTCCTGCCTCTGGCAGAGCGAAAGGTTTCCAGAATTTGTCACACTTTAAAAAGCATGTAAAAGAGGGAGGCAGGCATCTCTCTGTCTCTGAAACCACCCATTCTCAGAGTTTCCTGTATGGGGTCACTGCTCAGAATATTGCTTATTCTGCTCTGCATCTGCATTACTCCAGCAAATATTAAGCAGAGAAACAGAAGTTTGCATAAACACCCTCAATTTACATTCTCTTTCCATATCAACAGAGCAGAATTGTTATACCATGTACCTGGATTTATACAGAATGTTTTAAATGTTCAGTATTTTAAGTGTGCAAAGGGCCCCATATATTTCCGTAACCCTTACAAAAGTTCGTGATGTACTGTCTTTATATGACAGATGGGATGGGCTCAGACGGAGAGAATGATGGACTGCAAAAGTTCATAGGTGGAAACTTATTTAGCTAAAGCTAATTAATTTACGTTAGCTCCACAGAGGAGTATTATGGTTCCTCTTTCCAGTTTTACTCCTTTTTAACTCCTCTGTAACTTGAATTTATTGCTTCAGTGTCTACTTTTGCATTATCAGCACAAATCCAGCTTTTGGAAGCCTAGCACTCCAAGAAAAAGCTCACCAGTTTTTCCATCTTCAACAATTTGATATCTTGTTGATGTAGCTTCTCATTTTTGATCTCCAGCACTGCTTTCAAACTTTCCAGTTCTTGTTCCAGATACATAAGCTGAGGGTTTTTCTGCAAAATGACATGCAAAGTTAATGGAGGCCCCTCAAGATTGCCATGCATAGCAAACATATTTTAAGTTATGACTGTAAATATTGACTTGTTACAGATTTCCTTAACCAAGCAGGGGAAAACATTTATCACACACACACCAAGGTACATCTAAAAAATTTCAAACTCGGAAGCTGTTTGTATGGAGGAATAACAAAGTCTCTTTAAAACAAAACTTTCACAAATGCTCTAAATGTAATTTACAGCTCTTGTGAAATTATTTTATTGCTGTAAAAAGTGATAAAGGTGGTCACTTTCTGGTATATTGCTGTATTTTTAAACCACGCGTAAGGATATCTATCCCAAGGTAAAATATACCTATAATGATTAAAACTTCAAATGGGCTTCAACCATGAAACCATAGAAAATCATCTTGTAATGAAAATGTACACACACATCTGTCTGTTGAAATTTATCCAGAATTGTTTTATATTTGAAAATTATGGAGATCCGATCTTGAAAAAAAGCAGCTGATATAGATTCTGGTTCTAACTAGGGGTGCATGCAAACACTGTTTTTAATTTACAAGTAATACTGATTCAGGTAATTAAATTTGTTATTGAGAAATGCCAGATACAATATTGATAAATTAGTATTTCCAGAAAATAAATAAGATTTTGGTGCACACATTACTCAGTTCCATATTGCCTAGGGATAATTCTAACAAAAACCCCACTACCAAATTAGTATGTATGCATCTAATTGCACAAGTGCTTTCCTCAGGTCAAGCAAGATCTTCCTTGCATCTTGATAACAATGACCAGTAGCAAAAGTAAACTCAAGAGCTAAGATAATATGATAATCTAATGTAGCTCAAACAAAGCACAGCAACAGCCAAAAACATAGGAACAGATAACATAGGTTCAGGTGCAGGCAAGACTATAAACATCTGTCAACTTTGGGGTTTAAGGAGAAAGACAATGCTTTTTCGTCTTCTGCACACACCCACACTAGATCTTCCAACTTAAAACTACAGTAACTCAACCTGCAGAAAATGCACCACTACTCTGATTTGTAGACCCAGAAGAAAGAATGTAATACACCTGGTTCAAAGGCTCATAGTATCTTCCTATCCAGGAATCATAGGGCTGGATGTCGTTTTAAAAAAACACAGCTAAAAATAGAAAACCAGCTAAGCTATGTGGATGTACTGTATACACACACATACAAAAACACAGCAAGTATGTGTATTTTAATTACACACATACCCCACATATGCAGTGTAATGGCAATTAGGCGCACATGACACTAGGATCTGTCAACCTTTTTACACCAGGGATCCACTTGAACCGTCCTCATTCTCTTAAAACCAAGACTGCACTGCTCCTAGTGCAACACACCTGGTCAAGCAGCCATTCATCAGTTTAAGCCACAACATTCGTAACTGCTATTCATGTTTGGAACATTAACAGTGAAGCCACAGCACGGAAACTGAGATAAGACAATGCGATGCCTAACTGGTCCCTTTGCACGAGCACAAAGGTTTTTGATCCAGCAGGGGGGCATCCTTCACTCATGGAAGGAGAGGATACGTTATTTTTCCAAGCTCCCTTTCACCCAGTAGATCCCAGCCTTCCCCTCCTCCCCACAAAAAAAAGCTATTTCTAGAGGATTATAAAAGCAAGCCAGTACTTACAATATTTGTTTTTTCTTTGGCTGTACGTTTTTGCTCTTCCAACTTAAGCTTTTCATTCAGGGAATCATTTTCACTCTGTAATTCACTAATCTTTTTCTAAAAGATTAAAAACAAACAAAAAACACCCCAAACTTAAGACCTGAGCCTCTGCTATAAAGCCAGGTAACATTTTAGGAAATTGCTATCAAGTACGCTAAATAGAAAACCCCAGTGTGAGAAATTAGAAGTTGCAGAGATCCTTAACACAAACAGTAGGTCAGAGTTTAGAGAAGTAATGCTCCAAAGCATAGCTGTCCTGGCCAAGGAATTTGTCTAAGCAAAAATATAAAAACAAAATGCATGTTTTATAAAGAATCGGGAGTTGCATTGCTTATCCCATGGTACTGTTGCACACCACCCCCAAACTCTGAGCAGTTTGAGGTTCCCAGGGGTTTGGTTCCAGGTGGTCTGTGTATCCTTTTAGAAAACGAGACACAGCGGAGATTGTGGTGTTTTTATGCTATATGGTTTATGTACAAATATATGCAACTTGAGCCTATAATGGAGTGCACAGCATCAATACCCCAAAAGGGTCTTGCCTCTTCCATAGACATAGCTTTGGGTCCAAACAGCCATCATGCTCTGCCTGCTGTTTTGTGTCTCGGTCACAACTCCTAACTTCTTACTCTAAACCCTGGCTTTATCAGTTGAGGGAAAGGTTCCGCTCATTGTCTAAATGGCTCATCCCTTAGGCTATCACCTCACACAGGAAGCTAGCCTGGCTTGTTTAGCTTTTAACACTTGTTGATTCCAAAGGATCAGATGTGTCTAGCACACAGGTCTATACACATGGGTCTTAATTGGCTTTTGAAATTTGCTGATTCCAGGGGATTTAGAAGTGTCTAGCACACAGCTTAATACACACACAGGCCTAGCTCCCAAGTGTCAACACCCCAGATCTTAATTAAATTCCTTACTGAACACTTACTGAATCAAGGAATTTAGAAATGTCCAGCACCCACAAACTTGTACCAGTATGTAGTTTTAGATCAAGTTGAAGGTACCTGTGGCTACTCTGGGCTGGCCCAAGACATTTTGATACCTGGCACTCCCCTCCTGACCAGGGAAGAAGGAGTGAGTGAAGATCTACATCAGGAACAAGGGGAATAAAGATCTCCTTTATATTGGAATCTGCTGCCCCTGTAGCTCCTGCTGCCCGAGGCCTCATGGGTGGGGTGGGGTGGACCGGCCCTATGGCAACAGTTCCAGGACATAGCTGTCAACTTACAGATTTGAAAATAAGGGGCCAGCAGCCTCAAAAATAAGGGATCAGCAGCCAAAATAAAGGATTTTCCGGGCACAGGTATGTTCAACTTCTGAGCCCCTCCGAGCCAAAGGCAGAAAGCCCAGCCAGCAGCCAAACAAAGCCTCAAGCCTCAAGGAAAACCACTGTCACCTCTCCGCTGGGAAGCGCTGAGCAAAGGTGAGTCCCCAGGCAACACGGCCGATTTGATCAGCACAAGGCATGCAAACTCCACCCCCCAGTCGTTCTTAGACTCCTTACTGGGTGAGCAACGCAGCCAAGCGACACAGTTGGAGCCTCCCTCCTCCCTGACCAGCAGGGAGAGAGAGAGAGGAGCTGCTTCCTTTGAAACCCGGGAAATTTAAGGGACATCATCAATAAGGGACAGCAGCGGGACATGGCGCTGGGATAAGGGACTGTCCCGCCAAATAAGGGACGCTTGACAGCTATGTTCCAGGATGTTCTACAAATACAAGGTACATGTTGACTTTGACACTGTGGTGGCATCTAAATCTAGCAATGTTACAGTTGCCTCTGGCTTAGTAAGCAAAAGAGAAATTCCAGACCTCTAGTAGTTGTTGTTTTTCTTGGAGAGATTCTTCAAGTGTCCTTCTTTCTAATTCCTGGGCATTCTTGAGCTCTGAAAAATGTTTAGAGTCTTAACATTGCACAAGTGTACTCGCCTAACTTCTTTACAATACCTGCATAGTGTGGGTTTTCATGGTTATTTTGGCAGGGAAGTTTTAATAAGGTACTGACCTCTTGTCACACTGCCAGGATTATAAACAATAAATGTATTTAGCAGCACAGCAAAGAAACCCTTCCTCTCTCACAGCAATAATGCAATGTGTTTGGTACTATCAAAGCAGATAAGCTATGCAATTTACCTGTAAAGGACAATTCGTGGTTCTTCTTCAGCTCATCTATCCTTTCAGTATGACTGGTTTCAAGCTCTAGCTTAAAGTTTTCATGTGTAATATTCAAGTTGTCGACCTGAGGAACAACAACATATTTCGCTTACCGTGTGCCAGGACGTTTGCGATATCAACCACCACAGCCTTGTTAATTCCTACTGTGGCTATTTTTATTTTATATAATTATTACTGTTCATTCTTTCTGCATTTTGTTTCCCTTCAACCTTACACCTCTCAATTCCTTCCTCCTCCCCCTCTAACCACATACCTGCATATACACAGAGCTGCCAGTTCAGGATGACACTCCATACATCTAATGAAACAGACCTTTGCTTAATTCATCATGACCAAGGGTTATTTCCTTTGCCAATTTTTATGTCTGAATAAAGGAGGTTGTACTTAAGAAATTCAGCAGAGCATTTCAGCCCAACTTCCATCCTGCCTACCTGTTCTTGGAGCTGTGCTTTGTATTTTTCAGCTTCTTCGATACAGATGCTCTGTAGTTTTTGGCATTCTGTTGTGTAGAACTGCTTCAGCCTTTCTTCCAGTTCAGACAAATCTCTTTGGTGTTGCTGGTTCAGCTGCTGCACAAATCCTTCGTAAGCTGCTTGTAGTTCATGTCTACCTTTCTCCAATTTCTCATAGGCTGCAGAAGCGGTTACTGAAGACAGAAATGCAGTGACGCTCTATGTAAATAAAATGGTTTTGCAAGCACATGCTCACAGGACTTCTTTTAGGGAAGCTCAGCCACAGCCCTCTTCAACAGAATACCATCCTTGATGACACATAGGGAGTTTCTTCCTTTCCTCCAGCCCTATAGTATTCAGGGATAGGACCCTAATTCTGTGAGAAAACACAGGTTTTGCAGGCAGATGTTTCAGCTTCAGTCTTCCTCACTGGAATCCTGGAGAGTCGCTGCCTGTTAGTTTAAGACAGCTTCTTGTTTCTAGGTAAATTCTAGACCATAACATTTGATTCAAGTCCCACATCTTAAAATGCTTTTAAAAAGCTAAAGGTTTTTACTCCCAGAGCTTTCAGGAGGTTTGCCTTCTGCAAATGCTCATCTAAATTTCCAGAAATTTTATATAAAATTAAACTGTACAGAAGACTATTATAAAAGTTGCACAGGAAGTTTGCTTGGCATCTTTGTTGATGCCTATTGTTGTGCTTTTTATTTGCCCACAGCTACTTTTTTCCTGGTATTTTAACTGATGCTTCACACACACACACACACCTTTTAATGGCCAACCTTTATTGCACCCATGTTTGAAACCGGACTTCTGATTTATCACACATGGTTATTTTTGATATATATAGCTCTCTGGCTCGAGAGAGCGAGCATGCTATAGTATTTAACTGTGTTTATGCTGTATATGCTATTTTGGAATATTCTTTCTTTCTTTGAAAAATACCCTCTTTCTTCCTAAATTTATCCAAACCAAAGCTAGTACACTGATAATCTGAAAGCAGCCTAACTAATCAGATTTGCACAAGTACTCTATGTGGTCATCATTCAAAGAGCTCAGTTTCACCTAAGGCCATAATATCTTAAGAGCATTGTTACTGTACCTCTCCTTTCAATGACGCCAGAAGTAGGTGAATCAATGACAACTTGCTTCCCCTACAGTTTTATATTTTAAAATCCCCAAACATGTTCTCCCCCTATTCCTGCTTCCCATGTATTCCCTAGTTTCCTAGCACCAGTTCTTTCAAAAGTGGAACAGAGTTTGCTCACAAAAATCCCCACTCTATGTCATAATCTAGCCTTGCCCAAGTTGTTAAGTGTTTATAGCTATTCTGACTTCTGTAAAGACTTCATATTAAAAATTGGGAGGGGGGAAGATAAAGAACTGAGAAGATCAATAGCATTTGCACACATTATCATTCTGCTTACCCAATATGAAGTTACTTCATGTGTGTGAAATACTTAGCGCAAGGAGCATTTCACTCTCCCTAGTGCATCATTGCAGAGCAGCAGAGCTCCCATTTGGAAAGTAACCAGTTTAAGAAATTAAGCTTATGCACATGGTTTTACACAAAAACCTTTCAAAGACATCCACGGTGCCAAACAAAAAAGGGCTCTTCGCCTAACGCAGTGGCGTAGTGTGGGTTGTCAGCACCCGGGGCAAGGCAAGTAATTTGCGCCCCCTGACCCGTGGATTTTACTAGGGGCAGAGAGCTGCGAGTGCGAGCGCCCCCCCCCCAGATGTTGCGCCCGGTGCGGCAGGCCCCCCCTGCACCCCCCACGCTACGCCACTGGCCTAACGTAAGCTTCCAGCAGATAAAATCGCAGTAGGCCACAAAGCCCTTAAGAATAGGCCCAAATATTTTAAGGCCTGTTATGATTGAAACATTTTTCAAATGCAAACTGAAAGCTAAGTGGGCATTTCTAACTCTAATGTGTGATACACAAAGATTTCTTCTGAAAACCACCACTTAAAACATTCACCCTGCTTTAAGAATGTGACAAGTAATTATTCTCATAATAAAAAAGGCTTAAGTATCTCTGAATTAAACGAAGGGTATATACTTCAACCACATTTCACAGGCACAGATTCAATCCATCAAATACACTATTTATATAGATAGCACTTTCATTAAGTGCTCCACATTCATCATCTGATTTTTTTTTTACAACAAATCTGTAAGGTAGGCCAGACTTGCCTCCACATTACAAGAGAAATGGAGGCCAAATCATTGCATTATACCTAGGGCTATCCAATGGGCTTTAATTTGCTGGAAGGCACCCAGAGTGGCTGGGGCAGCCAAGTCAGATGGGCAGTGCATGCATATATATAATTATTATTTTTGCCGGAAGCAAAATGGACAAATAGCACACATCTCTTCCTATCACAGCAATCTCTCTATCAAGGATTCTAAAGCTTTTAAGAGGCAACTCTCATTTGGCCAATTTAAGCCATACCCCATCTCTCACCATTTTAGCATTACGGTCATCTGCTATGCTGCCTTGCAGCATTTAATCTGATTACTGTAAGTGACAATTAACCTGCACCCAAGTTCATTTCAGACCTGTTGTCTACCAGAGCCCGGCATGACACATGGCAATGAGTAAGATACAGCACACTTTTACAGTTGGTTTGCTTACTGGCAAAATGCGGGATAAATGTCTGCAAAACCATTTAGGCAAACAACAAAATCTATGCTGAAAAGACACCCCCAGTAAATGTTTTGACCATTAGACACATGTTTCCAGGAGGCTGCTCTGGTAGGCTTAGTCAAGTTGGTGCCAGGAATTCGATGAACCCAAGGGTCAGGCAGACAACACTCCAGAGAAATGCAGAGCACAAACATATGAATGCAGTCAGGGGATTAGATTGTTCTGGTTCAATACTATGTGTCTTAAAATCAGTTTTGCCGCTGCATTGATTTAAGGGTATTTTTTTTTAAAATGCAAAGGACAGCACAGAAGCCTGTACTTACCTAACTCTCCGCGAAGATTGACAAGTTCTATCGACAGCTCTTTACGTTGTTTTACCACTTCCTCCCTCTGAGGGAAAAAAACAACACAGGCACATGGAATGTTAGTGAACACTCCAAGCAGAAAATACAACATTTGCCAATGCTTAACTTGCATGCTATCTGTAGAATGACAAGAAACAGGAAAGTGAAGCCAAGATATGAATCATCCAGGACAACAGCTTCATAATGTTAGAAAAACACAGATGGCCCCCTGAGTTAAGGAAGTACGTAACTTGCAATAAGAACTCTGCCAATGGCTAAAGTAATCTTCAGTGGGGTTTTAGTTAAGTACACAATTTACTTTAAAGTTAACAAAACTTTAGTTTGCAAGTTAAGAAGGGTGGGGGTGCTAAGGATTAAATAAACAGTGTGTATTAAGTAGCATTCAAGTAACCTTCCAGGATGCATGATGTTTGCCTCCAACCCATAACTGCGAGAACATCGTTAGGGATAAACAATACGTGTAATGTACTTTGTAACAAAGGTAAACATAAGCTTCGGCACAGAATACTCTTAGCCTGCTAGTACAAACTGATAAAGCCTCATTGCAAAATTTAAACGGCAGCTGCAAGCTGCTGTGCCTGTCAAGGTTTTGCACAAAACACCAAAATTACAGTCATCTTTAAGAGTTCAAAGTGCTTCTGCTGTTAGCACAAAGTTAGCCTGCAATCTATACTTCACTACTTTTCTTTCCACTCCCACTTGCCAAACCCTGTATTAAAAGAAGTTTCTGGACACCCCAGTAAAGAGTTCCGACTAAAGCACCAAACAGCACCCACATAACAAATCTATGCTGTGCAAGCATTTCAGTATGCTATCTGCTTCCAAGATGCAGCAACTGCTGTGGAGAGCAGAACATTGCAGAGGTCGCCAGATCCAGCCTGCCTTCCTTCCCTCCAGCTGCTGGAACCATTTTTCACCTTGCTTGCAGCAAGCCGCTGCTTTTAAAATCCTTGTTATTCCAGGAGAGCCCCTACAGCGCAAATGCCAATTACCTCTTTTGCAGCACACTGAGAATACAGGCACATTCTGCTGCTGGAGCAGCCCATCGTTCAGGTTCTCTGCCCAACCACATCCACGTAGCAGGCATGTACAGGTGGCAGGGACTACCGCAAACCAAACTGGTCGGCCCACGCTTAACTCACAGCTAGGTAGCACTTCCTTTGGACACTGCCTCAGCTCGGCTTCATTGTGCTTTGCAGTTACCGTACTTCTTCTACTGGTCTCTCCCCCCAACACAGAAGCAGACACTGCAGCTTCTGCACTTGGCACAAGCAGCCAGTGATTACTTAAAGCCACAGCCCTTTCGTTTTTTGAAAAATGAGAACCAGACATTACAAAGATCGATTGCCACTTACTCAAATATCAGCTGGTACAGTGAAGGGTGGAGGGAAGGAAAGAGCACAGAAATCC